AGTGAAGGTTGCGATGCCGTCAGCATCGACTCTGAAGGACTGAAGGCGACGGTTTAAGTGTCAAACCTCAATCTCGGTGTCGCCTTCGCACGCCCTCCTGACACGGCTCACGGCCCTCTGTCCATGGCTACCATGGCCGCGGCAACGGCCACTGTCGAAACCCACAGCGTCACGGGCGGTCGAGCTTCGAGTCCGCAATATTTGTATCCGTACATCAACCAAACTTGCCCCCAGCCAGGCCGCTGGTTACCTACGACGGCGGGCGGGCGGCAGAAGCGACGGCCCACGGGGACGGCGAAATTTGGCCTTTTTCAAGGTTCGTCGCCAACGGCCGTTGACCCTTGTCCATGTCGCCGTCTCGTCTCCTCTTTCCTTCCGCCCCTCGTCTTCCCATCTAAGAGTCCAGGTCCAGGTCCAAGTTGAGGTCCAGCTCTGACTCCATCCCTCATCCATCTCAGCCCCCTTCATCCCGGCTCGTTTGTTCGCCTTGCCCGTCCGGTCTGCCCGTCAGCCACAAATGGCAACCCGGTCCTCAGCTAGCCGTTACTTTGCACAACAGCGGTACAGAAGAAGGACCGCTCAAGAATGGATGGCGGCTGAAAGATGTCAGGACAGCCAGGCACATGCTGGCCTTCTCTATCGCATCTTACTCATACTTTCAGTCAGCGCCACGATCCAGGACCGACACAATGGCACTCGGCGTACATTCGAGACGGATGACAATGCAGCATGACGGGCGAGTCACCATGCGCTTCGATGCGGCCGGGGCGCCATCATCAGATGCGGCAGACGAAATACTACGATATCAAGATCACAACCGCGCCTCTGCCTGACGTACCTATGTACCCATACGGCCATATTAAAATGCCATCGACCTCGAGTCGACGCCCACAATTATTAGTTAATTGTGTACATGCGCCTCCGTCTCCCGGTCATGCGCTAGGGCGCAACGTGCCGCTTGCCTCTGGCGAGGAGGTAGGTACCGCACCGCCATTTCCCTCTCTAAGACAGTCCTCCTTTCCCAGTATAGGGTACTCCGTACCTTGATCGTGCATCTCTGTCTCTTGTTGCATCGAAATCTCAAAGACCATCCGAGACAAATACTCGCATATCCGCACAGAGCCAAACGTCCATGCTCTGAACCCTCCAGGATCAGGCTAGGTCAAGACAGAAGCGAGGAGGAAGGAGAGTCGCAAAACGGCAATATCGGACACGGACAGCATACGAAGACGATGGACGTCCGTCGGTCGTTACCTTGGGACAAAATTCGGCATGAGATGTCCAGAGCAGGGACATGCAAGGCAGAAGGAACATGGCTGTACAAGACAAGCCCTGACACCCTTCCTTCCGATGCCACGCTGCCACGGGTGCACCACACCCCCGAGCAACAAGAACAAGTCAAGTCAAGTCCAATGCTATCCCTACGTATTCGTACGAAGGATACCTTACCCTACCTTACCTCACCTCAGAATGTACACGCCGGCCTGCCTGGTATCCGTCCGTACCTTACTTTGCCTTACGACATTGGACAGGGTATCCGAACGTGGACAGCAGATTTCAGAGACGGATGCTACCTACGTTACCACTTACCCTACATCGCCTTATTACTTGCGTGGCTTCCTTGCCTGATGCCTCCATATTCATACATCCGTCCTTCCTTACCTTACCTTGCCCTTGAAGCAATCCGTAAGTACGTACGGATACGCATACGGGCCCCTTGCCTTGCCTGATGTCCCATTCCATCCTCGTCCCATTTCACCTCCTCTCTGATCCCACGCAACAACAGCTACCTTACAACAACAACTACAAACTTGGACCATGGCAACATCGGATGCTCTCTCGACGTCCACGGACGCGTGTATCGAACTTACATCCGGGCCCCTTTCATCCAATGCCACCATGTCAAACCCGTCATCTCATCTCTCTGTTGCGCTCGCAGGTCGATCCCTCCGCTCGCCTCTCCACACATCCCACAACCTTCTTTCGACCCCATCGGTTTTTGATTCATTCACACCCCCTCCCCTTCTGCCCTTTTATTTTTTTCTTCTTCCCCCCATGTCCCCCGTAGCCCCGGTTCGACGCACCCACGTCCGCTCATCTGCTTCTTCCCCTCCCCCCTGGACCCTGGACCACCACCACAACGGGCACCCACTCTCATTATTCCCACGAGCAGCAATTAGAGCGGCAGCAGTGGTAGCGGGCGGTACCAGCATCGGCGGCGGCGGCACCACCACCATCGTCTCTGCGTGGCCTCCCTCCCCCCTTCTCTGTTGGCTTGAGCTCTGCCATGCATGCCATGTGTGCCATGCGCTGCCCAGCTTTCCCATACCTTACTTCACTTCACGTACCGGCGACTCACTACCACGGATTGTCTTGTCTTACTTGACCTCCTAAGACGCCCACCCCCATAGTCATAAGCTCTAGATGTATCGGGCTGACAGCTGCCAATCGAATTTGGATTGGTTTTGGCTTCGTTCAGAGTCGCCACGGCCACGCCAAATAACCGTTCCAACTTCCACGTTCTGAACAGGGCGTAGTTGCCCCTCGAGCCCGCTCCATTTCCCCTCAAGCCCCCAACGCCTCTACCGTGGTGTCTCTTCCCACAATTACATCGTGTCAATTTCGCGGGCCAGCCACTTCCTCCCGACGCCTGTCTTTGATCCTGGCATGGTCTTTGACTGCCTTTTAGTGTACAAGCGTGTCCGTATCTGCCTGCCTGCCCTGCCTTGACTTAAGCTATGAGAGTTCATTCCTTACATCGCTGAGCACGTTGGACTGCCCCCTCGGTGTTGGTCTCTCGTCAATCCATCCGTCTATCTACCCGTCCTACTGCATCCCAAGCGTCCTGTGCTGCCCTTTGCCATCCATCCACCAGCCAGTCTTGTTTTCCTCCTTCCTGGCTCCTGGCTACATGTGCAGACAGACATACATACATATTCGTACATACACCCATCCTGCCATCTGCCATCTGCTACCGGCTCCGACATTCGAGACAACGTGTACCCCTCCCTGTCCACTCCCACCTGAACCATCCCTCCTTCGCTCCCCAATCAAATTTAGCACTCTGCACACTACGCTCTGCTTCGCTGAGAGCTCACAGAGTGTAGAGGAGGGGGGTACCTGTCTTCAGTATTTTCTATTTTATTTTGCTCCCCTGCTCGCCGTTGTCTCTCGCCATTGGGTCCCTGGCCACCACGACAGCGGTTCCGTCCCGTCGCCTACGTTACCTATTCGTACCTTTACCTAACCAACCTACGAATACCGCGTACTTTTACACATGGCCATCATCCATGCTCGGATACCTTTGATCATGTACTTGCCTCCCATTCACTGACTCTTGTCTCCCCCACCGTCTTATTACGTTGTGGCTTCATACGTGCCTGGTTAATCTCATCCAGGAACACTCAGACCAAGCGCTATCACGGACACGCATTACACACACCTCTCTCTCGCTCGCTCTCACACCAGAACCACCGCGTGCTGCTTCCATCGTCGTTCGTCCGGTTGCTAGCTCCTTCCACCTGTCGCTCCCTATCAGACTAGTAATTAGGCATGAGCTGCCATCATCTCTCACACTCACTCAACTAACTACCCGCTGTCTCTCCGCCCACAGACCGCAGGCCAGTCGAGCCGAGTCGAACTAGACCGGGCCTCAGATCACACACTCACACTCACACTCACACTCACACTCACACACACACACCATCCACACACCCTTACACCACTCCCGCTCAACTCTCACGCTCTCACACACAGACGCGCGGAGAATTGTCGTTAGGCAGGGGATCGTGATGGCATAGCCCTCTGCCCTTGATTAGCAGCCACTCTAAAGACGTGGGCCGGGGTCTTCCCTGGGTCTACCTGTCCCCTCGTCCAGATCAACCCTGAACCACCCTAGCTTCATCTCAATTGCCCCCCCTCGTAGGCCCAGCACGCCTGCACGCCTGTCTCCAGTCGCACAAAAACCGACCGGGAGCCACCGATCGACTGCTCCCGAAAAAAAAAGTCTACGGGGCCCTTTCTCCAACATCCAGCCCTCGACAAATAACGCTCACTCTTCACTCCGGCCACCGGGTCAAGAGAGACAAAACCAGATCTCGGAGCGGACCAGACATAACTTGTCTCTTCCTCCCTCTCCCTTTTCTACAGCCTCTCTCACTCTTTCTCTCTTTCTCTCTCTCTCTACTGCTTCACTCTCTCTTCCATCCAACAGCAACAATACCCAACGACCTCCACTGACAAGACACTTGGCCGCCGGTCCCAAGTGGTCTATCCGTCCAGCCAACTACCTCCGCATCCCGTGCCTGAGGTTCCGCCGTCGTACCTCCTGCAGCCGCCCGCGCATCACCATCTCTCTCTCTCGACGAACCCGCCAATACTGCCGCGAAGTAGCTTCACTGGAGCCCGAAAGGATTGTTGTGCGAGTATCACTCTGCAGCATCGTCGCCGTACCACGACAGCAGTAGCAGCTGCTTGCATCTCCCACCCTGTCTGTCCGTCTTTCCTGGGCCGTCGTCAATTCGACATCGTTCTCTGCCTCGCACAGAGCTCTGGTTCTCATCGAACGAACCTCTTTTTAACACCTTCGAGACCTTGTCCATCCGGTCTTGGGGGATCTCTCCAGTCTTGTTTCGAAGTTGCGCCAGATACGCATCGAGCTTCATCAGCCGACCTCCGTGTTGAACCGAGTGGACGGACTTTCAGCGATTGAGAGCAGATCGAACGGCAACAGCACCAGCACCAGCGGCTAATATCTTCTCTCATCGACGACTAGAAGGGGAAACGTCCTCTCTTTTCACCTGGACTAATCACCAAATCACGACGACGGTACATGTTCTGGGGGTAATCAACGCCACAACCGGTAACAGATCGAAGTCAGCAGGGTACTTTGGTCTCGCATTGTTGAGAAAGAGTCTGGGAAACGGGACCGTCGTCTGGAAGAAAGACGTGGGGAGCTCTCGACCCAGACGCTTAATTCCAGCCAGCAGCGCAAAACATCCATGCAAGCCATCAGCAAAGATTGCGATACGTCGTCCACCTCACTCGGCCAGCGCCGAGGCATATCCGACCTGGCGCGATTCGCCCTTGACCTGACTTGGGCAACTACTCCAAGGGCAGAGTCCGAGACTCCTGCTCGTCCCAGAGACTACCCTTCTCCGCCCATGTCAGGGTCTCCTCCACTCCCGCCCAAAGCAAACCAAGAGGTTGGTGACCGAGGGCAGCAACCGCATGGCAGCAGCTATCCGCCCATCAGCTCGCAAGATGCCTACAGGGGAGGACCGCTACCACCGAACACACAGCAGGGCGACATCCGAGGACCTCCTCCTCCTCATCCTCCGCCGCAGTCCCTGCCGCCGCCTCCCGCACCACGACCGTATCATCCCGAGACGGACAGAATGGCCTACTCATATCCTCGCCCCGACGACCACATGCGCAATCCGCCTTCCGGTTACGCCCACATGGCAAGCCAGGCATTGCAACAACGACCGCCGCCCTATATGCAGATGCCCGGCCCTCCGCCGCCTCCCCAACATCAACATCAACACCAACACAGCTACCCGGCACCGATGCCGCAGCCTCCCCAGGAAAGCGCTCCCTACACGTCTCCCAAGGCGCAACGAAAGACCAAGGGTCATGTGGCATCAGCCTGCGTTCCGTGCAAGAGAGCCCACCTTCGGTAAGGCGCCTTTGTCCTCTCCCTCTCCCCCGCACACGCAGACGGCGAAGTGAAACGTGCGGTGGTATCTTGATACGGTGACGCTAACACATTTCCCCAGATGTGACGGTACGTTTGGGCCCGCAGCCAGTGATTTTCCTTCGTTCTCGTTTTGCTGTTTTTTGTTTTTCATCTGCGTTCTGTTTTTGGATGGGTACACTTTTAGAAGCTGCAAGGGCACGGCGCTGCAATCCGCGGGTTCGCGGCTCGCATGTGTGTGAGTGTGTGTGTGTGTATCATGCGGCTGCCAATCTCTTGGGTCCGTCTCTGGTGGGGGAATAATTGACATCATTACCTGTCGATGGATTCCAGGTGTCATTTTAGACGCGGCATTAACCTAGCAGGTTGGCCGGAGCGTGCGACACTCGACGCGGCGCAGGGATCAACCCCTCGACCTGAGACTGATCCTGAGGGGAAGACGATCCCGTTCGGGCGGATCATTCGCAGAAACTCGGGACGGAAGTTGAGATGGTGGTTGCATGACCATGGGATGGCGCAGCCGTCAAAAGATGAAGGTTGTCTGTGGTTTGACCATGATCGAACGAAGCAGAGACGGTCGTCTGCGTCAGTCAGCCAAAAAGAGGAGGGACAGGAACCCGTTCGCCGATATATCTTCATGTTCGGTTGTCACCAGCAGCAGCGATCGGCCAGCCACACCACACCCCCGACCGACTTGGCCACGGCCGCTTTGGTTCCTGAAGGTTCCCATCCGGCCGGCATTTCGGCCCGTTCAGCTGGGAGATTGGCGGCTGACAACCGGCGCCCCCGGGAACCCTCGAATCTTGATTATGGTTGGGATCTGGGCGAGAACTCGCCAATCGCAGGGCCGCAGGCGTTGGGGTGTGGTTGCTATCGAACGCTATCGATTGTGCCATGTCTGAAACAGAAGCGGAGGATACTCCCCTTGGGAGAGCAGGAGTTCTCTTGGGGTGGCCGATCGCTGCTTGGTCTGGGTTGGTTTCGTTCGCGGGATGATCCAAGTGGGTTGAGCTAGCGTGTCATTGACGTGTCGGATGCGACGCAGCGACAAGCGGATGGGACAACGTCGTCAGCGCGCGCAACGTCTAAGCCACGCGGGTCGACGAGCAAGCGCTCGCTTCGAAGCCAAGGAACAGAAAAGGAGAGACGTCATTCGTTGCACTTGCAACAATTGTTTTTTTTTTCCAAGGCCGCATCTTGTCTTTTGAGTACTTACTCAGTTTGCTGACTCTTCTGCGACAATTAGCTCAACGACCTTGCTCGCGATGCACGAGCAACGGCAAGGAAGACGCCTGTGTCGACGTCCAACACAAGAAGCGCGGCCGCCCAAGGCTGAGGGACGACCGAGAAGGCCGTTACGGCCCCTCGACGTACCCGCATCCCCAGGATACCGCCGCAGCGGCAGCAGCAAGGAGGCCGTTGAGTCTGTACTCTTCCGGCGGTCCCATCTCAGGGTACGATGATCCCATCCGACGTAGTCATTCCTACCGCGTTCTAAAATCTCAACCAAGCGAACCCCTTCCGCCCCGATACCTCGAGCGGGCGTCGCCGGCTGACGCAAACCTGTATGCGCCTCCCCTGACCGCCGCCGCGGTGCCGGGGGGCGTGCCCGAGCCCGTTGTGTTCCTGACCATGGAGTTGGACATTGCGCGCGCGTCGCAATCGTTTGCCGACGCCATCGGCATTCCCAACGTACGCGGTCGAAAGCTGTCCGACATTGTGATACCGTCGGAACGTGAAAAGGTCCAGAGCTACCAGCGGCAGATGCAGGACGAGCGTGCGAGGAAAGAGCCCAATTACCTACCTCCCATCTTCGGCCAGCACGAGCAGGAGCGCGTGTTCGAGTCGTTGCGCTTCGAGACGGACGAGATTGCCCGATTCCAATTGGATCGTCAAGACTTCTTCGCTTTTGCATCGATCGATGGGCAGCTGCGATCGTACCCGATTCGAATGGGTCTCGCAAAGCAGGAGTCCATCTACTTCATCGTCCTCCTCCTCAACGCCCATCCGAGGTACCCGTATCCATCTCCTTCGCCTCATGCCAGGGACATCCCCTACTCGTCGTATCAGCAGCAGCCTCCACCGCAGCAACAGGCGTACGCTCAACACACGCCGGTATCTGCCACTTTCGAGCCGGCTCGACCTCGCTTCGGAGAAAGCGCGCTTGCGCCGCGCCCGTCTCCTGGACAACCGCCGCACATGACGTCCGGCCTCAGTCCCGGCGTTAGCCCCGGCATGCCTTCGTACGCGGCCTCACCCAGTCGACCTGATTACCCTGTTGGACCGTCGTCTTACCAGATTCCGCGCAGTGAACTACCGCCGACCACCCGGCCTCCGCAACCATCGTTCCAGCTTCCGCCGATCCGCGCTGGCCCGCACCAGCCTCCTCAGCCCGAGCCCTCGTGGCAGAGGGACGATCGTTCCGGCCGTGTCGATATCGGTGGCCTCCTCGAAAACCCGGACCCGCAGCAGCGCCGTCTGCGCAATGATTGATGACTTCTTCCTCCGCCCCCGCGCGGTTCGTTGTCGATAATGATTCACTTCTTCCGGCCCTGTGCCTCTTCCGTCGTCGCATCTTCGCTAGAGTCTCGGTCCCGGGCTATTTGTCGCATTGTATTGGTCGTTCTTGGCCACGTTTTGACCGTACGGGATGGGCGTTGTGCGTCCGTCTCTTGTATTTGTACCGAGCTTCGCTTCCTTCACCTCCCAAGACCATACCTTTTTGTCGTTTTTTCCCCGGCGGCCGCGAGCCGTCATGAGATACCACTTGTACAACCACCCTTTTTGTTGAGCCCGGCCGTCGTCATACATAACTGTTTCTTGTCTTCTTTTGCTGCCCGATCCGGTTGGGCAGTGTGGCATCCATCTGGGCGTTATCGTTTTCCCTTCTTCCTAACTCTCTGGGGCTGCTGTTTGTCTGCATATAAATGCGCTGAAAGACGTGGGAGAGTGTAGGAATACGGGCTGTCGTCTGTTTTTTGCCGGTTGGGGGTGGCCATGGAATGCGGAGGATACTGGGCGGTCATCATGCGTGTTTTCGTCGTTGCCTCATGGACCTCGGACCTGAGCTCCTCTTTTTTCGTTCTTGAACAGAAGGATTCATCCGGTACTTTTGCCGGTTGTGTTGCGTATTGTCTTGCCCGTCGCTTCGTCTATGTCGCCCCGTCCGAGTCCCCCTGTGTTCCGTGTTGCGCTGTGAAGGATGTTGTCGAGGTTATGATGTCCTGTCGCGGCGCTTGGAGGATTTCGTTAGTCGAGTCTGTCGTTCGGACATTTCGAATTGTATTGTCTGGCTGGCTGCTGATTTGTCTCGAGGTCGAAAGAGTGGCCGCTGAACATGTCGATCGACGAAGATGGCTGAAGAGCCTGAAGACCGATGTGGTTCATCCTTCGAGCTCTGATATCTCACGCCCGCGACACGGGAGAGTTCTCGCTGTGGACTTGGGCTCTGCTGGGCCAGTCCATGTCGAGTCCTGTGGCACCGGGAGGCATTTCGAAAGCATGAGCGTGATATATGAAGGTCGACAAAACCGGGCGACCATAACGGGCGGGTTCGGGATGTGGCGACGACTATGAGGGATTTGCAGGCGGAAAATCTCGCAGTACACGGCCGCCAAGCATCGTTCCGTTTCGTTTCTCGAAAGAGAGAGGTACTCAAGCAGCGAGCCGGCAGGCGGGGAGCGAGGATGGAAGCCCTTTTTCATGAATTGGGAAAGCCGACCCATTACTCAGTGTTCAGGATCCCGGAAATTGCGGAGCCATCCCGGGAAGAGGGGTCAGTGCGGCGAGATATCTGCCGCAAACCCGGCAGGTGATCCCGCGGGCTGTGTGCCCACAGCCGGTGGTCTCGAAGGGTGTTCCATGTTTCGGTTGACATTGGGAATCCGGGTTGCGGTCGAGTTCGACGTCGGAGTGTGGCGGTAATGTAATGCCTCTCTGGGCATTGGATGGAAGTTCGTGCCGGGCGGGCGAGTCGAAAGCACCGGGCGAGTAATGCAGACGAGAGAGTGGGACGAGCCGAGAGATGAGGAAAGTGAAAGAGAAATGTAATAGAACAGAGAGGGAGGCGAGGGACATAAGAGAGAAAGAAAAGAGGAGAGGACACGAGAGAGAGTCCCCAGTGGCTGCAACAGCAGGCCCGTAGATAATTTAAAGCACCCGGTTCATAAGAGAGTAAAGAAAGGTTTGGCCACTCACACGTCGTCTCACGCCTTCTCTCCGCAGGAGGTCTGCAGTCACTTCTGTCAAAGCCCTCCATCCATCCAGTAGGCGCCCAGCCGGGCGGCCGGCGGATGCGGATGCGTGCGTCTAATGTACTCCATCCAACGTGTGCGTGCCCATGCAAGTGGTGCATGGCGGTCCTCTCTCTGGCGAGGCCTAGACGTGGATGGTGTGCGGTCATTTCGCGTGTCCCCTTGGACGAGCCCTTAGTGAAGTTGCATTCGCCGCATAGGAAGCTATAATCCGGGTCTGGTATTGGCCTCATCGAAGCGGGTTCGCGCCCTGACTTCCGCTCCTGTTCGCCGACGAACCATTTTACACGAGTCCATGATCTTAATAGAGACAAGGGAAGGAGTGAGAAACGGGGCCGATTGGTGTGAGGGAGGGGTTCGACGACGGCTGGTTGATCGGGAGTTTTCGTCGGGAATCCGTTGCTGGTTCTTTTAAATGCTCGGAGCCAAGTGAGCGTACCATTGGTCCGGGTCGTTGTTGGCGGTTTCTGTGTTTCCTCTCGTCTGCAAAGCTTCCCGTGTTTCCCCGTGTCGACTCTGGTGTCCTTCGCCAGAGGATGTGTGAGGCCCATGGTGTAATATGCGTAAGCTGATGAGCATCTCCGTTCCTCCTGGGGCGAGTTGCATTTCTCGCAGATCGTTCCTCTGCTCGGGTTGTCGTGATGTGGGAGCCTTGCCCAACAAATGCAGAATTCATGAAATGAGCGGGACTCGGCGAGATGAGATGATACCGGCGTGAGGCCTGACTCCTGACGGACATGCGTTATTCAGGGGACAGGAGGAGACGTGTGAGTGTGGGAACCGGCTCATTCTTGTCTGGCCGCGCCGCTGGGACCATCAGTAGTTGGTGGTTCAAAACGTTTCTCCCTCTCTGTTTATTACCCCAGAGCCAACAGAGAGCAATGAGCGCAAAACGAACGAGGAAACGAAACGAAACAAAACGGACATAGCGGCGTGCGTGGGGCATTCCTTAAGACGCCAGCCAGGGGGATGGAATGAAGATTGCAGGGAATGAGCTCTTTGCGGTTGGGAAAAATCTCCGAGACGGAGCCGGGCAGTCAGTTTGTGGCCCGAAGAGTTTTCGTTCTGTCATTGTGCATGCATGACAAGCGCTTGTCATTTCTGAATGCGGCAGATCCCCTGAACTGCCATAACAGTGAACACAGGGAGCTGTAAATGAGGAATTGCAGACCGGATGTCTGCTGTACTTCCGCCCGGCGCTGAGAGAAGAAAAGTGAGCCAGACAGTCGAGATAGGGGTCGGAAGAACACCACTTTGTAATGTTCGCGTTCCTCCGAGCAGCAGAGGCGGACGGCCAGTGTTACTGTTGAAACGCTGACAAGACACTTTGGGAAGCCTGGTGGATGCGAGCAACTGTAAACGGAAAGATGCGACAGGGGTTTGTAATTGTCTATTTGCTATTCGGGCATGGGCCGACGGCAAACACGAAGTCTTGCCTTGATTGAGTGAGTGCCTTGGTGTGAATGCGAAGCAGAAGAAGAAATGAGCTGAGGTTCTGAAGAGGAAAAGAGAGATGGAAAAGTGAACAAAAATTCCAGTGAGAAGGGCGACCTGAAACAAAAGAGGCGCGGGCGAACGATCTTCATCAGGTGTCGCTGCTTTGGGCTTGGGCTTGGTCCTGGGCTTCTGCTTCTGCCACCAGAGGACTCAAGGGCAGGCGAAGCCTTCCTGAAAAGGCCCCTCTGGCACGTTGCGTAATGAGGGAGTCGCCTGTAATGGGAAAAGCGTCGACTGTTAAGGTTGTTTCGAAACGGACCTCGCATGGTGAATAAGTCCTGTGGTCGCTTGTTTGCTGGGGAGGGAAATGAGAGAGGGGCGCCGGATAGTGGCGATGCCGACCGCTGGACCTCACACGTGGGCTGGCTTGCTGCAGCGCCGTCCACTACATACGCCAACCGAACAGCTTCATATCGTCTGTTCAGCGCCTGTCCAGTTGAACGAGATTAGAGAGGGTCCTGTCCGATGGCTTGTCGCTGGTGAGTCCCCTTGCGGAAAAGTGCAGCGTGCTCCGGGCCATGACAGCGGCAGCGAAGAACGCCAACCACGCGAGGTTCACACTTCTGTTGGGGGCCAAGATTGCCCAAGGACTTGCTAGTCGAGGCTCGAACATGATAAGAGAGGGGCGATGCTGCGCTACCGGTGGACGTTGAACGGTAAGTCGTCCTGGAGCTGCAAGAATCGCATCATGATACCACGTAGTATGGGGTGGGTGGACAATTTTAGAAGTTCGCGTGTCAACCCTTTGGCAGCTCTGAGCTAGAGCCGGGCCTTCTTGGATTGCCGTTACCATCGTTATATTGGTGACCCGCGGAAGTCGGTGCCGCCACGCGACTAGGGTTACTGCCTCGGATGGCCAGTTGCTTTTGTCTCTTCTTGTCCTGACCCTGGGCTTGCGGTTTCTCATTCTTTGGTAGAGACTGGGCCACGGTGCGCTGTCCGGCCTTCTTTGCTTCTTGGTGCTGCTGGTCTAGTTCACGCAATAGTTTATCGGGCGATGGCGGCGTGCTGTCATCGACCACTTCGTCAATACCGCGTTTCTTGCCAAGCCGGGGAGGCGGCGTTGCTCGCGGTGGAATGCGCATATCCATCAAGCTCTCGGCGAGAAAACTGCGAGTTACACGGCGGCCAGGAGCGAAGTCTGGGTCTGAGAGGACGGCGTCCGGCGAAGGCAGTCTGGAGCTCCGTCCGCTGCGTCCGCTAGGTCGACTGTCAGACGTGACACCCACTAGTGGACCCGGTTCTATCAAGGGCTCACCTTGCACTCGGAGGTTGGACGCGAGACGAGGCGACGGTATCTGCCGTCCTCTCTGATTTGCCGTCTTCGCACATCAGGTTTAGAATGAACTGTGTTTGTGGAGTTGAAGCAATCTCGGCAGGGCAGGTTGTGTCGTTGGAATTGAGCGACTGAGGGATCTGCTCAGTTTGTCCGAGGCAGAGTCTAAATACGCGGATTGAGCGTCCAGCTGATGAGATGACCAAGTGCGAAGCCGCGGGTGGCAGAGTCCGTGCCATGGGATCGGATAGCCCTGTTTGTCAACTTCATGCGACATGCGGTCTTCCGGAATGCCTCGCCCAAGTTGCGCTGTGAGCTAACAATTTCGACACAAAGTGCAGCTTTGATGCGTTCCTAGCAGGCAGGCTGCGGGCGTGAAAACTGCTTCTGTCCGCTCCAATTCGTTTCTGGCGTGAATTTGCGAGATAACGCCCAAAGTGCTTGTCTTGACGTCAGGGCTGCCCACGATAGGATGGCAGGTCGGCGTCGTCACAGCCTCCAATGAGGGTCATGGTGGTGGTGGCTTATGGTCAAAAACGAAGCCCTGATTTCCAGCCTGGCTCATTGACGAATTCTGGTTGGTGAGGCTGACAAGCAAACGCGGCGGTGTTGAATGTGCGAAAGGTCAAACAGGTCCTTGGTAGGTCAACTGACCGAGAGATTGGAGCTGCTCATTGGCGATGCTGCAGGTCCGCAATCGAGGATGTTGTATTGCAGGTATCGTTGCGCAGGGGTGCTGACATGTATATGTGTACAGAGCATTTGCTAGTGTACTCTGTCCGGAGAGGCCATTGACGGCTGGATGTGTCGTGCTTGAAGTGGGAGAGAATACAGCTGATGCCTGCATATATTGACTCTAATGTTGGAAACTTGGCAGAAGCTGGAAAGAATCTTAGGTAGGTAGGCAGAGCAGATTTGATGGCCGCAGTACGAAGAGGAAATAGGAAGTTTAAGTGGTGTGATGACTAAGACAGCGCGCGACGCGTCTGACTAAGGCAAGCGCGCCTGAAAATTACTGACGTGAACGGAGGCAATGGGGAGGAAGGCACAAGGGGCAGGTGCCTGCTTGTGGGGTTACCTACCTACCGAAGTTGGACGCACCTTCCCCAATGTAATGACATCTTCTGTTGCCATTCGAAAGAATCTTCGACACTTGATGTTCCTAGACTTGTGGCCGTGATAGCCAAATGAGAACGGCCACGGCTCAAATCGTCTGCTCCAAGAGAATCGTGCAAACGGAAGACCCTTGACAAAGACCCGGCCGGCCTCGCCTCGCCTCATTTTGTTGGTGACAGCAGTGTCTGCATCGATACCAGCACAATCGGATATTCTATGCCAAATCGAGAGAAGATGACCGACGCGATGGACACCGACTCGTCGTCTGGGACGAAACGAAAGGCGGAGGAAGACCCGGAAGAGTCTCGTGCTCCTCGTCGAATCCGAGTGAGTTGCACTTCCCGCTTCATCTGACTTATCGCATTCTGATCCGACATGGTAGGCTCTTGACCCCAAGGTCGTCAACAAAATCGCTGCGGGCGAAATCATCGTCGCCCCGGTGAACGCCTTGAAGGAGCTGATTGAGAACGCTGTCGATGCAGGCGCCACCACCCTCGAGGTCTTGGTCAAGGAGGGCGGCCTGAAACTGCTGCAAATCACTGACAATGGACACGGCATCCAGGTAAGTGGGACTATGCCCCGGGGCCTCGGACTCTGGGTCTAATATGCTCGCAGCGAGATGACCTCGAGATCCTCTGCGAGCGTCACACAACCTCCAAGCTCTCTTCCTTTGAAGACCTCACCTCCATTGCCACATACGGTTTTCGAGGCGAGGCCTTGGCAAGTATCAGTCACATCGCCCACCTCTCAGTCACCACCAAGACCCAAGACTCCAGCTGCGCATGGCGTGCACATTACCTAGATGGTGCATTAGCACCGGCCAAACCAGGCCAGTCGGCCGAGCCAAAGCCCACGGCCGGCCGTCAAGGCACCCAAATCAGCGTCGAAGATCTCTTCTTCAACGTCCCCACTCGTCGAAGAGCCTTCAGATCGCCTGCGGAGGAGTACAACAAAATCATCGACGTTGTTGGCCGCTACGCCATCCACTGTAAGGGAGTGGGCTTCTCGTGCAAGAAGCACGGCGAGTCGGGTACAAGCGTTTCCATACAAGCTGCTGCGAGCGAAGTCGACCGCATCCGCCAGATTTACGGATCGAGCGTCGCCAATGAGTTGATGGAATTTTCCACCGGCGAAGACCGTTGGGGCTTCAAGGCCAATGGCTGGGCAACCAACGCCAACTACCACATCAAGAAGACCACGCTGCTCTTGTTCATCAATCACCGCTCTGTTGACTCGGGAAATATCAAGAAGGCTCTCGAGCAACTGTATGCCACATTCCTTCCCAAGGGTGGTCGCCCCTTCATCTATCTAAGCCTCGAAATCGACCCATCTCGCGTCGATGTCAACGTTCATCCTACGAAACGAGAGGTTCATTTCCTCAACGAGGATGACATCATTCAGTCGATTTGCGAGCATATCCGGTCAAAGCTTGCCCAGTTTGATACCAGCCGCACATTCATGACGCAGAGCCTGTTGCCAGGCAGACAGTTGATGGATATATCACCACAACCTGACAGCGAAGGCACTCCAGTCACACCGGCGAGAGAAACGCCAGGCTCCAAGCGGCCGCGAAGGAACTCTAACAGTCTTGTTCGCACCGATACGAGCGTGCGAAAAATCACCAGCATGCTCCCTGCCGCATCCGCGGCAACGCCGTCCAAATCTTCGCCAGCGGCCGATGATAACGTCTTGTCCGCCGCGGAGAACATTCGGTATGAAACAATCGACAGGCCCCTGGCGCCCATGAAGCTCAGCAGCGTGAAAGAGCTTCGTGCTGAGGTCAGAGAAGACATGCACAATGACCTCACCGAAATTTTCGCCAACCACACGTTTGTCGGTATTGTCGACGAACGCAGGCGGTTAGCTGCCATACAAGGCGGCGTGAAGCTGTACCTAATTGACTACGGCCGCGTCTGTTACGAGTACTGTTACCAAGTTGGCCTCACCGACTTTGGGAACTTTGGCATGATCAGTTTCACTCCTCCGCTCGACTTGCGGGAGGTCCTCTGCATAGGTGCCAAGATAGAAAAGGACAACCTCGAGTCACCCGAGGACGACTTTGATGTTGAAGAGGTCGTCGAGAAGGTCGCTGCGCAGCTTATCGAGCGACGTGAGATGATAAGCGAGTACTTTTCTCTGGAGATCAGCCCAGCGGGCGAGCTGCTTACCATACCACTTCTGATCAAGGGCTACACCCCAGCCATGGTCAAGTTGCCGCGATTTCTGCTGCGTCTCGGGCCCTGCGTCAATTGGAACGACGAGAAGCCATGTTTTGAGACTTTCTTGAAAGAGTTGGCGACTTTCTACGTGCCCGAGCAGCTACCGTCTACAGTTGGGGGTGAGGATGGGAACGAAGCGGAGGATACCCTGGATGAAGAGACGCTGACTCGGCGCAGAAATGTGCGCTGGGCCATGGAGCATATCTTTTTCCCTGCATTCAAGGCGAGGCTTGTTGCCACAACATCGCTAATGAAGGCTGCTGTGTTGGAAGTCGCGGATCTAAAGGGACTGTACCGGGTGTTCGAGCGATGTTGAAGATATGAAAGACACACTGATTTGCAAAGGGCTCGAACTGGCAGTAAGAATCGTTCAACCATATATCCTCAAGCTTAACGATAATGACAATAGTAAAGAGTTATCACACCGTCTTGGGCAAGTCTCAATGTCGTTCAAAATCTCTGTGGAGCTTCGACTAATTTGCGAGCCAACTATGGATCTTCCTTAACAATATTTGTATTCTCGGGTCACATCGGATCATCTCATTACTATTACGCGAGTCTGCAAGATATTCCCACTACGCTACGATGGCGCCTTCTCTCATGATCTGAGTCTGCCTCTCCTTCGCTTTCACAGACGCCTTGCGAGGGTTCTCAGCCTCGAAGATCTCATCCAACTCTTCCAACGTGAAACCCTTGGTTTCAACAAAGAAGAAGTACATGAAGGCAATCTCAAAGCTGTCCCACGCCACGAAGAAGACGTAAAACCAGTATCCGATCTATCCGCCATCCTCTTAGTATTCACGAGAGCCAAAAAGAGCACGTCGAAACTTACGCTAGAAAGAGCAATAGGCCCAACAAAGGTATTGAGGAAACCGGCAGCGCCGGCCGTCAGCTTGAACGTGCCCATGGCCTTGGCGCGCATCTTGTTGCTGACCACTTCGGCCGGGTAGATGGGCTGCATCGGTGTAAAACCGGCGGAGAAGACGGCGCCGAAGACGAAAATGAAGACGATGCTGACAGTCGACGCCGTCGTGTTGCCGTAGTCGGTGTACCCCGCGGAGCAGCCCGCCACGATGGCCAGACAGATCGTCATGCCCGACGTGGTGGTGATGAGCATCTTGCGGCGGCCGACGATGTCGTGCAGGCGCGAGCCGGCGGTCGAGAAGACCCAGCCGATGACCGAGTAGACGATGTTGAGGATCAGCTTAGTGTTTGTGTCCCTGATTCCGACCCCTGAAAGCATGATCGGGAGGTAGTAAGAGACTGAATTGGGATGAAGTGGTTAGCATCCCGTCGCAATCTTGGTTTCTTTGTGCGGAATCGTCTTACTGATGTTGTTGCCACTGAATTGGCCGAACCATGAAAACGCGACATTGAGCATCAGCCTGTACCGGCTCGACCGCGTCTCTACCAGAACCCGCAGATCGAAGAGGTCTCTCCAGGATGGGACGTGGGTGGGATCGACCGAGTTTATCATCTCCCTCATTTGTAGATCGACGAGAGGGTGTTCGACGTCGCCGTTGGTGTGGTACACGGCGATGATGTTCTTGGCCTCCTCGTGGCGGTCCTTGGCGACGAGCCTGCGTGTGCGGTTTCAGAAACAGGTTTTGCGTCGAACATTATGATAGCATGAGTACATACCAACGAGGCGACTCGGGAAAGAACTTAATCAACAAGCAAACGAGTCCCGGACACACCATCTGAAGCCACAGCGGGATCCTCCAATCCAAGTCACCCTTGTCGCCAAGATGAAGATGACATGCGTAAACGGCAGAGGTCGCCAAGATGGAGCCCTGCGACCGCTTGCGTTAGTCCAGTCTACATGCACCGAGTCTCTTCCGACCTCGCTCTTCTGGGAGAACTCACCACATTGTAGAACGTGTTGTACATCCCGGCGATCGTTCCTCGGTACGCGGCAGGAGAGATCTCGACCAAGTACAAAGGGGCCGAGGTGTGTGCGCAAGTTGCGAAGAAGGACAGAAGAAAGCGGCCGCCGATGAACATGGGCAGATTGGTAGCCAGTGCAGTGACTATTGTCCCGATACAAACTCCCAGACACCCGAAGAAGATGTGCCAGGTTCGGCCGTACCAATCCGCCATCCAAATGAAGAGCGCACCACACATTTGACCGACCTTTCACTGATTTAAGCGAGCCCTCTCTCATAAGCCTTAAGAGTGCTATCTTACCTGAAAGATGGCAAAGACGATACCAGTGCTCGTGTTCCCGTTCGTCGGTAACCCGAAGTAAGAGGTGTAGTTGGGCAGCGCATTGATGGATCCCATAAGGGAGCTGTCGAATCCTTTTGCGAAGTTGTAAGTTAACACCTCGAGGAATTTGATGAGGACATCTGGCTTACCGTTCATCGTCGAGCAGAGGAACACCATCGAGGCAAGCATGTACAGCTTGATATATCCTGGCCCCCGAGGATCGGGCTTCTGAGTTGCCATGATAGCGGCGTACGTATCAGCCCCCGTGTCTGCATCGTCCACATGTTTTAGGACGGGGTCGCCCTTTGCGCGGTTTGCGTCCATCGTTGGCGTCCGGTGACGGCCTCTTGCTGACTGGAGGAACTTCTTCGGACGGAGCAAAAGAACGCAGAGAGCAATGTCCAACCGAACAGTCTCCAGATACTGACTTGCTCAATTAAGGTAGCTGTCGAGAATCGGTGCGATGACTGCGGTCCTCGAGATTGGGGCGGGACTCCTCTAAATAATAAGCCCACGTTGTGATCGAAATCGTCTCCGGCCGATTCCGCCCCCAGGCCGGTTCCCTGCACGAAGTTGGGGCCCCAGATTCTCATCCCCGGAAACACTCCGTTGTAGTACGACTCGAGTCCCACGCGGGGATATAAATCCTCGCCTTTAGTGAGAGGAATTATGGGGCCATGGCACTACTACACCACTCCACGGTTGTTGCTCCTGGTCGAATACTTCAGGGGTAATAACGGATATTAAGGGCAATACCAGAGCTAATAGCAGCAAGGCTAGGCAAAGAGGTATTGAGAAGTAGTTGCAAGAGAAAAGTAACTGTGGGGGACTGTATATGGTGGTCTCGACAACAGGTTCTCGATGCTGAACTGTCTACGTGCTTCAGAACTTGGGCAAAGCTGAAGAGGATCGAGTTATTCGTTTCACATGTGAGGACTCCGCCTCTGAATAAGAACATCATATAGTTTTGTTTCCACCAAATTGGCCAGTATAGTCAACGTATCTAAGCTAAGTAGCTACTTGGTGACTGAGGTTGAAGGAGCCTGGCAGCAAGCGTCGCCGTAGAAGACAGCATACGGCTTTACAGCTTTGGCCTCAACTCCCTCTCTATTTCTTCAATACCCGATGGTCCGCTGTAAAGGTGTGATGATAGTGCGTCCGTATTAATCTGTTTGACCAGGTCGTCAGCGGTCCGAAGTATCCTGTTCCAACGTCCGGAACCTACATGTCTGGGCCCAAGTTGATCAACTCGCTCTACCCCAAGTAACCTCATCGCAGTGACCGTCTCATCCGCAAGAACTGTTTTTCGTTTAGTCCATCATAAGCAACCGACAATAGTCAGACACTACAGTAGGGGAAACTTACTCTGCAACGCCCTTTCAACCCCCTCCTGTCCTCCGACAGCTAGGCTGTACAACGCTGCTCGGCCAATCCCAACGCCCTTCGCCCCGAGAGCCAACGCCTTGACAATGTCCGTCCCTCTCTTGATACCACCATCAACGAGAACGTCAATCCTATCGAAAACCTGCGGACAGAACTTCCGGATCTCCAAAAGAACCTGAACAGGCGTCATCGTGGTATCCAAAGCCCTTCCCCCGTGATTCGATACAATAATCCCCTTAACGCTCGGGAATAGTGTTGCCGCATAAGCGTCTTCATGCGTCTGAATTCCCTTCAACACAATCGGGAGCGACGTATGCCCCTGAAGCCAAGTCAGCGTCTTGCGCCACGTCAATCCCGACTCCGTGCCCCAGACCCCCGGCGCGGCTCCGCCGGCGACCTCGGCCATCTTGAACCGCTCGTCGGCCTCTCGCTTCCCCGGGAACGGCGCGTCAAGCGTCAACACGATAAACTTGATCTGCGGGATGGCGCGGATCTGCGCCAGAGTCCTCTCCGTGGCCGCGATGTCCTTCAGCACGTAGAGCTGCCAGGCAAAGATCGCGTCAGGGCCTGCCCGGACGATGGCGGATGGCGACATGGAGGCGTTCTTGCTGATGATCTGGAGGGCTTGGAATTTTGAGCACCCCGCTGCGATGCCTGCTTCCCCAGTTGGGTGGGCTAGCTTTGCCATCGCGGCGGGGGAGACGTAGATTGGCATTCCGACTTTGTTGCCGAGAATGGTGGTTGATAGCGAGCAGCTTGTGCAGTCGACGAAGACCCGCGGTCTCAGGAGAATGGAGCGGTAGATGGCGCCATTGCCAATTTTCGTGATCTCGTCGTCGGTGCCGGAGGCGTAGTACGATATGGCCTTTGGGCTCAGCTTCTTCATGGCGTAGTACTCCATCTCTGAGATGCTGAGGATCTGAGGCACGGGGGGCACCGTTGACCCGCACTGCTGAGATGCAGTCGGCGCCATTGGAATGACTGGAGGATCATTGGTATCTGGTACACTTTCAACAGCCACCTCTGCTTCAAATTTCCCCAGGACTTGGTCTTCTTTGAGGTATTCATCAATGAGTTCGACCGGGTGAAAAGAGTCGAACGCTTCTGACGCGTCTCTGCCGGCGTTTTTCAGGAGGATTGCCTTGCCGCCAGGATGGTGGGTGAGAAAAGCGGTGATCTGCCGGATCCAAGTCAGCAACCTCTTCGTGGTCGGGGCACCAATACCAAGGTGCGACTTCAACTCCATGTTCTCACATCGTATACTTTGCCGTGGAGTGCAATCCAGCAATCGTCAGCTGTCTGGTGTTTTTGTACTAACAAAGTCGAGTCAGCAACAGTTCAAGAGCGTTTCCGTCACGGACTAACGCACCATCGGCCAGAGTCCACGTTTGGCTCATGGTGGTGACGATTTTGACCTGGCGTCCTCGAGTGTGTGTTGACTTCTTCTCGTCTTGAATACCCCTTCAACACTCGGGTCAGCGACTCGCTCAATCGAAGTCGAGAACTGTTCGATTCCCCGCTTCAACCCTCCGCATCGTGCAATTTCCCCAAGTCCTCCACAGGGATTAATACGGGCTTTTCAAGTCCCACCTGCCCGATCAGGATGCGGAGATATGAGTCTCCTTACCCCAAGTGGGCGCTTTCTGACTTACACCCGATCTTGCGAGGTCTTCGGGGTTACACTTCTTTGGAATGAATGAATTACTTATCATATTGGCATATTGAGGTCATTTGAGATTATTGAAAGCGTCAAGGAGCGGAGTATAAAGTCGAAACCAATCAGTCTTGAGTTGTCCGTAGCGCGTTCAAATCCTCTTCTTGGACTACGATGCGCTTGAGAGAAGCTCGGTAGCGCCTTGAATACTGGCAACAATTCTTTGAATCCACTCGGCGGCTCCTGCTGTGTCCTGCGCCTCCATACACTCTACAACTCCTGGGAAGATAACTCCATCGTATCCGTACCAGAGGCCTGGCGCAAATATCTGCACAATAGTTAGCATCACGTTCTGTTAACTCCACGAACCAACCCTTTCATAGATGTTCCCTTAACCGGAACCTTCATAGAAAACAAGAGACTGAAATGCATCTTTCCGGGTCTTGATCATTGTGTGTTGGAAGATACTTACCATGTGGCGGTACCATTCTCTCCCAGGCAGTCCCTTTCCCTTCGGAAGAAGAAACTGGCGCTCAAGATTGATATAAGCCCTGTTTATGGCGCTGTCTGGCTGAGGGCCTGTTGGCAGTTTCGTGTCCAACTTCACAGCAATAGCATGAAAACGACCGATTGCCTCGTCAAGAGCAGATAAATCAAGCGAACGACCATACTTAGCCTTCATCTCCAAGGAATGAACAGCAAGAACCTTGGGATATTCCGCGGCCTCAAACAAGATGTTTCCCGTACCCGCCAGCCGGACAGTGAGCAAGCCCCAGAGCTGGGCCATGGCGAGATGCTTTTTGAACCCAACATCGCCAAACTTTTCGACCCAGTAGAAGCTGTCGTAGTTCGAGTGGTAAGGATAAACCCCTTGTCCTTGGCGGTTGAAGAGGAGGTCGACGGATGGTATACCAAGGTGGTCGAAGAAAACTGTGTAATCGCTCCCGGTCCCCATGAGATCGAGGACAGGCATCGGACGGTCTGGATCAGCTCGCCGCTGATCGCCGAGCCAGTCGTCATAGATAGTGCTGTCTCCGTTGATGGGTGATTTGATCATGCGGGTTACGTCGCGAAGGACGCTGGCTAGAAGTGGGCTCCCGGTTACGCCAAGGACCTGTCCGCCGTTTGTGGCCTCGTCGACGTTAAGGTCAAAATGGACGTTAGCTTTGCGAGTCAGCGGAACCGATTTCAAGACTTACATGCGACGCAGTTCTTGCTCAGCTCTTCCTGATGGTGCTCACCCCATTCGGTGGATCCCACAAGACCGTACTCTTCATTATCCCAGTTGGCCAGTATTCTGAAATATCTCAATCAGTTTCTTGCTGGCAAATACTGATAAGAGACGAAAAACCAACGAAAGAAAACCTTTCGGTCGCGACTCACATCTTTCGATACGGTTTCCAGCCCCTTTGGCATAACATACCAAGAGCGCGAGCAACCTCGTTCATGGCAGCCGTACCGCTTACCGGGTCGATGGCACCACAACACCAGGAGTCGTGGTGGTTTCCAAGCACAATGCTTTCTTGCGTTACTCCTGGGATTGTGCCTATCACATTGTAAATCGGCGCATACTTGTAAGTGCCTAGAAATGTTGATCAGGTCAGAAGTTCAGCCAAGGGTCAGGATTGTAGTAGGCTCTTACTCTCATTCGTCAACGAGACTTTGAACTGGCTTGGCCCGGTGTAGTAACCAACGCCGACAAGACAACCCTCCCAGTCGCCCCCTTCACCACCCATTTCAGTTGGACCTAGGCCCTGATGATCAAGGGCCTTCAGGAACGGAATCGCGTCGGCGTAGGAGATGGGCAGTGACGGGATCTTGGGGGTTGCATATCCTGGGTCTTGACGTTCTACGTCGGTCCCGGGCAAGCTCGGATATCCGGGTGTCGTTGGATCTCCCACAGCAATCGAGAAGAAATCAACGCTACCTCGCTGAATCGATTTAGGGTGCCTCGCCGGCCCATGAGGATAATGTTGGTATCCATTCGCCTCGGTGTATTGCCCATCTTCTTGGGGGTCGTTGTAGAGAATGACGGCAGCTGCTCCGTACTTCTCGGCGGCGCGAACCTTGAGGCCTCGGAAGACCTTGGCATATTTGCAGATGACGATCTTGCCCTTGACGAAGATGCCCTTGGACTCAAGTAGCTCGAAGTCTTTCAACTCGCCAAAGTTTGCATAAACCAATTCCGCACAGACTTTTCCGTTGGCACTGAAGCCATGAAATGCAGGAAGCCCATTCTGGGGTGACGATGTCGGGTCTTGGGGTATCTCGTCTTCGGTTAACGATGCTTCAAAGGCAATATGTCCGTCTGGAGCGAGAAGTTGCAATCTCTGCAAAACGGGTAAGTTTTGAAGCACATCGTACTGTTCCAGTTCAGTCGGAATGCCGTACGATCGCCAGAGGTCTCGGATCCGTTCTGCATGTGATAGGTCACCGGCAAGGTGAGGTTCTGCGCTGTATTCTTTTGACCAATGGCGGAGGTTGGCCACTTCTGGAATCTCCAACATCAGTTGTTCAGCTTCTTGCTGGGTTACCTTGATCTCCATGTTTGAGGCGTGGCGGAAAGTACATGTACTGTTGGGCTAGTGGTTGAGTTCGGCGTTGAAGTTGAAGCTCCCGTCTAGATTCCCCGCAGGAAGAAGTGCACGACGAGGCCTGCAGTAGGGTGAACTCATATTATGTACATGTTAATCATGCAGGAATACCGTCTCCACTTGGACGCGGGGATATCGGAAATCAAGCCAGAGATAAGGACATGGATGTGTGTTTAGTAAATGGAGGGTAATATGGCGGGTGTACACAATGACACGAGGTTTGGAAACTCACACGACTTGATTACAATGTATTCAGTTTTCAACCACAAATATCTACAATCAAACGCATAAACATCCTTATGCAGTCGAGATAGTCAACGATGTCAACTTTCTCATCAGGTCGAGTGTTGTATTTCCCACCAGGTCCACAGACTATTCCTTCCATGCCCAGAGTTTTGAAGAGATGTCCAGCATCCGATCCGTAGAAGCACGTCGGCGCCAGGACACCCGTCGGTTGCTCCTGATTTCGAACCTGACGATATGCCTGATTCAGAGACTTGACAATTCGTGAATCGGGCGAGACCTCGAACGCAGGCATCGTCGGTTCAAAACGCTGCTTTACCGTAGCCGACATCCCCGAATACCTCTTGATGACTTTGTCCACAATATAACGAATATCAGCCATGACACCGTCTTGAGTCTGACCAGGAGCGTACCGCGCGCTTCCAGCAAGTCTGCAGACGTCCGCTACTTGAGCCGGTCTCCATTCCACCAAGTCCTTGCCCAGCGCCCCGTGGACCACCCCGACTGAACACCTGTTGCACTTTTCATGCTCACTGGATCTCGCACCGTGAAACTTCATCTTGTCCATTTGCAAGATCAGCTCGCATCCTGCGAGAATAGCATCAGACGCTTCTTCTTTGGCAGACATGTGTCGAGTCACGCCTATGATCTCGATCTCGAAAGTAAGGGCCTCTGCGTGCATCGTGACAGCCTTGATGTCCGAAGGCTCGCAGTTGACGAAATAGTCCGCACCGCCGATACGGCCTTTTTCAATGAGAGCCATCGTGCCGACACCTCCTTGGAGCTCTCCGACCACATATGTCAGGATGACGTCGCCCTTCGGCCGCCACCCGCTCTGCATCAACGCCTCGACGGCGCAGAAGTATGCTGCGCAACCCGACTTCATGTTGCTGACCCCGATGCCGTAGATGAACTCATCATCGATCTTGCCCTCCCACGGGTCTATGGTCCACCCCTCGGAGACTGGATTGGTATCCAGGTGGCCGTTGAAAAGAATCGTCTTCGGAGCAGTCTTGACGTCGGAAGGTCCCTTCCCCTTCCACACACCTACGGCGTTCTGTCGCCGGCCATTGTCGAAGGGGAAGATGTCTGCTTGAAGCCCGATACGTTTCATCTGCTCCGCCATGAAACTTGTCGCTTCCAACTCTCCATCGGTCTGAGAATAGCTCTTGATTTGGATGAGCTTGGAAAGAACATCTAGGCAATGATCTTTGTCGATTTCCGGGATCTGCATATTGTATTTCGCCGCAGTGTGTTGACTATGATTGGCTGGGTACGAGATTAATATCAGAATTGTCGTCGAGTGCTGAGTTGTCTCTGGTGACAGGACTTCAGTGCTGCTAATGCCGTTCTTTCGCGTATTAGGTGATCACTAATCAAAATAAAGAAGCGGATATCGGTTGCCGCATGGCCAGACGCACCGCTGATCGTTGTAGTTTTCCGAGGGCAACTTAAAAGTCCAAGGGTTTGGAGTTTGTCGATGAGAATCTATTGGACATCGCTTATCAACCCCAGATTCAATGCAATGTCGTGTGGACATGCCAGACCAGGGCCAACAACCTTCGTCTCAGCTGTTAGCCGATTCATTACATGATTGATCGAGACCTTCTGGCTATGATAAATAACCGCTACCGCCTGACGACAATACCCTTGACGCTTTAACCGTTAGTAGTAGGCCGATTTGTCTGGAGATCGGGGTGGGTTCCCGCAGTCATGTCCTCAAGTTTGTCGGCCGCAGTCTTATCGGTAGGTCTCGAGTCAAATGGGGCCATTCCTTTGGTCTGGCATCTGTAGCCTGGAAGAAGGATCAGCAACCTAGATGGCGATAAGAAGGCGCACTTTCTACATCTTTCGTGCGGAGTCTGAGTCTCTTTATCTCCGCAGTCGGAACCACATTTGATACGATGTTCGGCATCGCTGATCCGAACTTGAGCGAGCCTCAGAAACATCACCGCATATCTACTACCGCCATCCCTGTTATCTCCAAGAGGTATGTATAGTGTTGTCGAACCAACGTCTTGCCTTCGATGCAAGACATTGGAGACGAAGCCTTTTGTGTTAGCTATTGGTCTTCGCTCCAGCATCGACAATGAAGGACAACATCGAGGCAGCCCCGGAGGCACGAGACTCCGTCATGGAGGAGAAGGGAGTCCTGAAGGGTCAAGTTGCCGATGAAGGATACGAAATCTTCGAAGAAGGCATTTCGCAATCTGTGCCACAAGATGTCGCTGATCGAGTGAGACGCAAGATCGACATGCATCTTCTGGTCCTCATGTGTGCCCTCTACGGTCTCAACTACGTCGACAAAGTGGCCATAGGATGGGCAGTTCTGTTTGATTTCCGCAAAGATCTCGGTCTCGTCGGCGACGAATATTCTTGGGCCAGCTCCATGTTTTACTTGTGAGTATTGACAAGACAACGATTCATAATGACAGTGAAATTGACCTTGTTTAGCGGGTATCTAGTCGCACAATATCCGGCGAACTACTTGCTCCAGCGCTGCAAGACTGTCCAGATCCTTTCTGGTGCAGTAATTGCCTGGGGAATTCTGATGCTAGCGTAAGTGAACCTACGCTCTGTGATTCCACAGTTTTAACACCAAGAACAGCCATCTGGGACTTCGAAATTTCGCTGGCCTGATGATCGTCCGTTTTCTCCTTGGAGTCACGGAAAGCGTGGTGACCCCAGGCTTCGTTCTTTACACATCCATTTGGTACACCAGAAAGGAACAGGTTCTTCGGACAATGTTATGGGCAGCCATGCAAGGTGCCTTCTCTATCGTCTGCAGTCTGCTGTCTTATGGGCTAGGTCACATCACCAACACAGCCCTCAAGCCGTGGATGTACATCTTCCTCGTGCTTGGAATTCTGAGCATTCTTGTGGGCGTTCTTTGGCTTCTGCTGATGCCAGAAACCCCTAACAAGGCCCGTTTCCTCACGCACGAAGAGCAGGTCATTGCTGTTCAACGCGTTGCGCAGAACATGACGGGCATCAAGGGCTACGAGTGGAAGTACTACCAGATGTGGCACGTCCTGATCGACGTCAAGACTTGGTTGATCTTGGCATTCGTCCTCTTCACCCAGCTCCCCAACGGTGGACTAACCTCCTTCGGAAGTCTCGTCATATCTGGCTTCGGATTTGATTCTTTCAGAACGCTTCTGATTGGTCTACCGTCGTCGGTAGTCAGTGCAGGCAGCATGATCGTCTGGGGAACAATCTCGATCAAGTACGGTAATCTTCGGACTTGGGGTATGATAGTTCCTCTGCTTCCCGCTATTGCGGGTATCGCTGCAGTATATGGAACCATGAACACCGGTGCGAACAAGTATGGTCGAGTGGTTGCCTACTGGTTGATCAACTCCTACGCGGTTACGGTGAGTAAGACTCGAACGGTGCACGATGACTGAATGGATACTGACGTATTTTTAGTGGCCGTTCATTCTGACAATTGTCGGTCAGAACATTGCCGGCCACACGAAGCGTGCATTTACCAATACCTTGCTCCTGATGATCTTCGCCGCTGGCAATATTGCAGGGCCTTTCTTCTTCCGAAGCCAAGACGCACCGAAATATGTGCTTGCTATAGCCATAATTCTAGTGTGTTTTTGTGCCGCGCTCTTGACTGCCGTCGTGCTCCGGCTATACATGGCATGGGAGAATAAGCGCCGGGATAGGAAGTTTGGCGCCGTTGATGGTGCTCAGAAGGTGGACGGAGTGAGACTTGGAATGCACGACAAGACGGATTTGGAGAACCCGGACTTCAGATACGTGCTTTAGAGCTTCCAGACTGTGGGACTGGCATGAAAGCCACAAATAAATACTGTCTTGGCTCGACAAGAGGCAACTGACTTGGCGCGTAACTGAAGCCCGGCTAATAGCTCCTGCAAACGCGAATTATGGCCTACATTAAAGCAGTCAGTTTCAGTTACAACGAGTTCGGCTCAGCCCGTAAGACTTTTCTCACCTGCCCTAACAATATGTAGCAAGAGACATCGATCGGCCATGAAGATATCATGCATCAGCCGGCCCCTGAGAGTCAGCTGAATTCGTAAGATGGCTCCAAAAGGCACTAATAAATGGATTTCTTCATGAAACCCCAGCAAAGACCGTTTGCCAACCCTCAGGGAGCTTGAGGGATTTCACCATGTTGCGAAGAAGCCGGTGCTGTATGGCGAATCTATTAGTAGAAGGTGTTAGCAGTAGTTGCGCGGCAAGCCGTCCCGTCATATGACTTACCACACAGATCATGAACCAGACAAAAACGAATGCTACCGGAGGCAGAAGCGCTATCTTTCGCAACAAGGCGTAAGGGAGACCGAGGATACGACAAACAACAAGAAGCAGGCATATGTTGCGAGTAAAGCTAGCCACTTCTATAAGCCAGTGGCCTTCCAGTCCCCGTAGACGGCAAGGTCCAGGTGAAAAGAAGCCAAACTGAGGCGGAATGTGTAGATAAGTTGTTTGGATAGCAAAGTATTTCTCGCTGATAGCGTGAAAGTACGGATCCTCGACGCTTCGAGCAGGACAGTTATCAAAGGCCCATCGATAGATTGCGTACCCAACATCTGCTAGGACTGCGCCGGCCTCGTAGTTCATCGCCATTTCGCCTCGGGTATAGAGAGATGGATGTGCTAAGCTTTGTATGGTGAAGGGTTTGAGAAAGTCGGTGGACAAATGAATTCCTAGAAGGAATTTTGTTGAGAGGCAGAGTAAAGAAGGTGATGCAGCGCGAACCAAATACGTTCTCTAATAAGACACCACGGCCAGGTATCTCCGGTGCCCTAGGTAAGTGCGCAAGACCCTGACGGCCGTAAGGCAACAGAGCAAAAGAAAACAGAAGAAACGAAAAGGAGGTTTCTCGAATAAATGAAAAGTTAAACTATTAAGGTGGTGAACCCTAATATCAGCAAAATCAAGTCGCCAAAGACACACGAGAATTACATTAGGTCCTACTGCCTAGATTGGACGTAGATCTACCCCGGGAAATCTAGATCCTGGCAACAGACCGCCTAGTGGTGTCTTCCCGTTAGATATGATCTTGAGAACGAGCCGTTTCCCCAAGTAGTAGCATGATATCATACGAAACATGGAACTCGGACCAGGATCTATCCTAGGAAATCTAGATTCTTAATATGGCTCACCATGCTCATCCAGTCGCCCCGATCGCGCGACCTTAAGGCGGCGGGTGGTCCAGCTGCATCTGAGCGACAGTGAGGCGCCATGAAAGCGTCGAGAATCTGAAAAGAAGCTCTTTGGAAGTTCCTCATTGCCTTCATTCCAACAGCTTGTCCACAAAGTCTGTTTTTCTGAATCTGTAGGGTCTCCATTCCAGTTGTGAGACATGGCTTAGTTCTTGCAGCTGAATAGTTTGATGAGCCACCACATTCTAGGGTTTAGCTCGGCTTTACCGTCTTTGGGCCTTGTCAGTATGTGAATCTGCTCCAACCTCTAGAAGAATGAAATCCTGGGAGAGCCGAGTATCCGGGACGGATGGTCGAAACCTCGTATGAGTGGATGACAAGAAGGCCTTCTGGGTCTAGGGCGCCGACACCTCACGCAAGGCGGCGGCACGAACCGGAGCTGATGCGTCTCCTCTTTGAGATACCCCTCACAGGTTATTTCGGTACACCAGACGGAAACGGTTGTTGATGAGCCGCGGGTTGAGTCAGATGAGACGAGTGGCTGCTGCCTAGCGCGCACTAAAACGTCAAGTCTTGAAGTCTAAGGGGACGTCGTGGATATAAAGATGTCTTGCCTGGAATGAGCTTTCTTATTCTCACAAGTTGACTCCCTTTGAACTGCTATCCTCACCTTCAAGTTGATCTTTCAGAACAGCGAAACAGACGCGCCGAATGCCTCATCTCAAGGTTTTAATCTGTGGAGGAGGATGCGCGGGGCCGGCTTTAGCCTTATGGCTCGCACATCTGGGCCACCGCGTCACGATCGTCGAGCGGTACCCAGCGCTGAGAGCAGATGGAGCGCAGATCGACTTTCGTGAGCAAGGGATTGAAGTTGTCAAGCGCATGGGTCTTCTCGAAACCATCAAGGCTCACCGGGTTGACGAAGCGGGCATGGCCGTGGTCGACTCCAATGGCAAAGTCATCGCCACAATGCTGGCCAATACTTCTGGCAAGGGCGCCCAAACCGGAACTTCAGAATATGAGATCATGCGAGGGGATCTTGTCCGGATTCTCTACGATGCCACCAAAGACAACGTCGAGTACCTCTTCGACAAGACCGTGGAGAGATTCGAGCAAGACGAAGAAACAGTTCTCGCTCATTTCTCGGACGGCACATCGGACATATTCGATATACTAGTTGGAGCAGACGGCCAAGGTTCAAGAATCCGCAAGGCAATTCAGCCCAAAGATGCTCCAGATCCCTACCGACACTTAGGCCTGCACGCTTCGTACTGGTTTATCCCACGAATGAGCACCGACAACAACATCGGCAGAGTGTATCACCCCGCCGAAGGCCGGATGGTGTTCCGAAGAACCCACAACCAGAAAGAGACCCAAGTATACTTCTTCATGAAAGACGAATCCAAAGAGGCATCTTTGATACACAGAGGATCGGTCGAGCAGCAAAAGGTGTTCTGGGCGCACCGCTTCCGCAACGCAGGATGGCAAACAGATCGGTTCATCGAGGGCATGAAAGAAACGGAGAACTTCTACAGCCAGGAGGTCGTACAAGTCCAGACCAAGACATGGTACAAGGGCCGTGTTGTTCTCTTAGGAGACGCCGCTCACTGCCCATCTCCCTTCAGCGCCATGGGAACTACCAGTAGCTTCGTTGGCGCATACGTCTTGGCTGGAGAAATCAGCCGGCATTCCGACGACCTGTCTCAGGCTTTCGCCAACTACGACAAAACTCTGCGGCCGTTCATCGATGAGTGCCACAAGATTGGGCTTCCAATGATCAAGCTCATAATGCCAGACACGCATTGGGGCGTTGTTATCTTGCACTGGATCGTTTGGTTGCTTTTCTTCCTTCGCTTGCCTCAGCTTGCGACGAGGTTCTCCAGCGAGGAAAAGGGCGGATGGCCGTTGCCAAACTATCCAGAGCTAGTACTAAGACAATAAGCCCTTTAGGGAGTTCCCAAGATGAACCCGTTGTCTCCTCCCATTAACTGTTATGGGAATAGGATGCCGAAACCCATCTGCATAGCCTTTTTCTTTAAAACTATGTCGTTGTGAGTGTCTCTAGGTACTTTCAATTACACTCACTTTCGCATATGTCTAGTTGCCTATCACGTTGAGATTGCATACACTGGCAGTTGTATTGTAGGCTTTGTACTGCAGTCTTGTTAGAACATCAAGGTCTTGACTCTAATTTTCAAGTTGCACGAGTACACGAGTACACCTTGAGCACCATTTAGAAATTTTTAAAATAATGACCCGGACGAATTGAGCCAGACTTAAATTCAAGCGAACTAATTACAGCCTGACAATGTCACGAACAACCTCCAGACCCTGAACCGTTCACCACTCGACCGAGACCTATACGACCAGGTGAACAACGAACGTAAGTCTCCCAGAGTGACTGTCTCATAAAATCCATCTCAATAGCTCTTCCAAAAAAGTTTTCCTTCGCTCCGGAAGGAGACCGATTTGGATTTCCAACATCCGTCACAGCAGCACGCCGCAGTCAGACCCAAAAGAGCACATCATCCTAGTCAAGAGCTCTCCGGTACAACGATAACCAATCCCGATTTGTATCAGAAACGATTTACAGTATCTTATCAAAGCTTCTCCATTCACCAAAGCGGCGAACCCAAAATGTTTCACAAATGGGAATACCTACCTCAAGAGCTACGCGACATGGTCCTGAAAGCTACAATAGAAACCGATCGTTGTCAAATAGCCGTATTTGCCAGTGTCAGTCGAGAGTGGCAGTACTTCTTTGAGGATATCACCTTCAGAACCCTCAGAATCGAATATTCCCAGAAAGAGATTGCTACATTCGACAGCATCGTCAGAGACAAGCGGAGAGCTCGCGTCAAGCGCCTCAAGCTTCACGTTCCCCTGACACCGTACAATTGCTCGACATGCGACGTACCTGAAAGCGATACGACGATCCGTGATAACAACATCATATTCACGCAGGCCTTGTGGTCGATGTTCTCGATTCTTTCGGCATGGAAAACTTCTTCGGGTCATCAGGTCTGGCTGAGGATAGGTGCTAGCTCGCCAAGCGACAAACTGCATGGATATTTTAAACCAAAGAACGCAACACCAGCTGAGCAAATAATATATGAATCATGCCATTCTTCAATGAAATCTCGAGCTTTTCATCAACTAGGTTCACACCAACGACTACTCGGTAACTTGCTCGACATACAAGCCCACGACGAGCTGCCACCGTTACCGGAAGTACCAGTGGTTTGGAGATTCGGGGTTGACAGACAACTGTACAGGTCTTTATCTGCATCAGCTCTCAGCGAAGTTCTCCCGAAACTCAGTCGCGTTGTCCAAATCAACTATGAGCCATGGCGGCTTATCCACCCAATTGAGCAGCGAGGGCGAGACGAGGCGATTATCACGTTGTTTCTTAACTTGCCGCCCAAAGTCAGACATTTGTCAGTCTGGGAGGCGCCGGGACTGTTTTTGATCTCGCACAGACAGAAGAAGCTGAGTCGAGAACTTGGTGTGGCCGCGTTGAGAAGCAGCCTCCATCTACGATCCCTAGCCGTTTCGCAAGCGATCGATGCGGTCGATTTTTTTCCCCATGCAGCCTTCCGTCTTTTCCTAGCGAGTATGGCGCATGGAAAAGACTTGAACGACTGGCGCTTTCCTCTCAAATCCCGCGGGCGAGCGGAAGCGTGAGAGAGACCAACGCATTGCTGCTGGTGGCTAGCAAGGCAGCAGCGTGCATGCCCCGCCTTGAGATCATGGAAATTTGGCACGGTGATCACGGAGAAACATTTGTGTTCAGTTACGAGGTCTGTTCTGGTTTAGCAAGCATCAAAACAGAAGCAACGTGGGATTTCCGTCTGGACCGAGAGGTTTTCGAGTCTTGGGGAAAGGTCGCGCGTCAGCAGACGTCTCGCGAGCCAGAGGAAACTGTTCGTAATCTTGATAGCGTCGGTGTCGAACCATATAATGTGATTTCAAGGCTAAAACTTAGGTGGTTTGTAAAGGACCGAGGTATCTTATGCGGGTAGTGGGCTTATTGGATCATCATGTCGCATTACCTCTAAATGATATAAATTAGTTAGTACATCTAAACACGCAATGAATAGCATAATGAGTATAATATATAAGATATGAGTTACGGGCAAGTTCGAATGTATCTCGATCGTTTGCGGCCATCGTCTGTGTTTGTGTTCTTTCTTTATCCTCTCTATTACTAGTCGTTATATTCCTCAGTAAGATTTTAATAGGCGCTTATTATTAGACCCTACACCGCTTAACTAGTATAAGTACTAACTTAATAAATCTACTTATAGATTCCTACCTAAATATAGCTTATTTATATTAGGTTTATATACCCTCCTTTTTTCTAATGCTTAGGCTAACTTAGCCCCTTTTAGCTAGTTATATATTAATTAATATTTAATATACTATATTATTAGTTATAACTATTACTTAATAGTTATAAGCTTAATTAATTTCTAGTAGTAGACTCTTATTATATATATTATTTAATATATTATTTAAGCTATTAATTAGTAAATTTAATATAATAAAGCTTATTATAGCCTTAATATCTAATTAAGCTAAGTAATATAGTTAGTAATTATAAATAGTATAAAATAATAGGGATAATAGAGATTATTTAAATATTTTTTAATATATTTAGTATTATTTATAATAAATAGATAACTAATAACTTTATATATTAAAATAGATAAAAGCTCTATATTAAAATAAAAATAAATCCCTTATATATTATTAAATTATTAAGATCTTAATATAAATATAAAATATTATTAAAATAGATATTTTAAAGTATTTCTTTAATTAAAATAAGAAAATAATTTATTAATTTTATATCTAAATAGTTAATATAGGTTTTAATATTAATATAAATAATAAGCTAACTCTTTAGAGCTCTACTAACTATAATAAATAATATATTTAAATTATAATAATTATTAAACTATATAAAGTTAAAAGATATATTAATTTAAATATAACTAATAATAATAAGAAGTTTATTATTAAATATCTTAATATAAATAATAAGAACTTTAATAATAAGATATCTTTTATAAAGATAAAATATTAAGATACTCTATAAGAATAGAAAGAGAATAAAGTTAATATATAGGCTATAGCTAAAGAGATTATAAAGTCTATCTTATTATTATATTATTAAAAGATCCTTAAGTATAGTAATATTTATATTATACTAAAAGAGATTAAAAATAATATTAAACTAAATAACTTTATATAATAGAGATATATTTATTAATAATATTAAACTTATCTCTATTTTATTAAAAGGTTTTAATTAAACTAATAGCTATTAACTTATAAAGAGATTATAATAAATATAATATCTATTAAAGTATTAATACTTATAGATCTACTTACTTAAGTATTAGACTTTCTATATACTATTAAGGGTATTTTACTTAAATACTTTAATAGTATTTTAATATTATTTTTAGAGGCTAACTAAAAGATTAAATTAAATATATTAACTACTAAAAGAAAGTCTATAAGTATAAAAGAGGCTAATAAGTTTTAATAATAAGTTTATATATTTTATTTAAACTAGCTAATAGTATTAAAGCTTCTCTCTATTATATTTAAGAGTATTAATTATATTATTTAGTAAGGGGGTAATAAAAATATAATAACTATATTAGCGCCCTATAATAATAAGAAAGTATAGAGAGATAGTAATAAAACTCTAAAGTATTTAATTTATAATAATAAGTTTTACTTTATTATAAATTATATTTATATAAAACTATTAATTTAACTTAAGGTATATAATCTAAATAATATTAATAATAAGAGAAAGATTAATATTAAATATAAATAGTTATTAATACTATTTTATAGCTACTTTAAGAGGAAACTTAATAATATAAATATTAATATAAGTAATATATAAAAGGATAAAAAGTTTAATATAAACTTATATAATTAGAGAGACTATAGTAAAAATAGAAAGCCCTCTTATTTATACTCTTAATTAAAGAATTAAAAGAATAAGTAGATATCCTTTTATATTATTTTATATATTAATATAGAGTTAATTTATTTTAATTCTTTTTTTATATTACTATTTTAAGTTATATTAATAATAATACCCTTTATAATAATATAATTATAAATTATAGTATAGACTTTTATATATATAATAATATAAACTATATAAAAGATCTAAACTATATTTATATTAAAGTTATTCTTATTAATAGTAGAGAAACTATAGCTATTATTATTAAATTAATAAAAATATAGCTAAACTAGAAAAGTAAAGAGATATATTATTTATATATTTATAAAGTTTAATATTATTTATTTTATTTTATAATATTATTATTATCTAGCTAACTTAAAAAGAAGGGTTTATTATTCTTCTAGAGAGTCTTTAGACTTCTAAATAAATAGGATAAAGTAGTATATATAATACTTTTAATTTATAGTTAATATATTCTTAAATATTATAAATTTAATATAGATATAGACTATAATAATATTAAATCTCTATTATAAATAGTCTATTTTAATATATTAAAGAATAAAACTAGTTAGTTATATATAGGATTTAAGTCTTTATTATTATTATATATAAATAAAGTAGAGGTTTAGCTTTAATATAAGAGACTTAATTATTTAAGTATATAAAGCCTTAAATAACTTATAAAGATAATAATAGGTATTAAACTTAAAGGGATTATAAAAGATAAATATAAAATATATATTATTAATAAGATAATTTAATAAATATTAAGAAAAACTCTTAATTATTAGCTAATAGCGCTAAATAGTTATATAACTATTAACTTCTTTATAATAAGTAATCTATATAATAGAGAGAAGGTTCTATTACTTTTATATAATTAATAATCTAGATTTATATAAAGATAACCCCTTTATATATATAAAGAGAGCCTTAAAGTAATATAGAATATTATAACCTTTTTTAAATAATAATATAAAATACCTATATTTATTTTATACTTTAATTAAAACTCTATATTATATAATATATTTAAGATATAAATAGTAATAAAAAGTAAACTTATTAAGCGCTTAGCTAATTATATAGGTATTTAGAACTCTATTAAAAGGTATAGGGGATATATCTTTATAATTATAAGAGCTTTAAGATATTAGTTAAGATTCTTTAGATCCCTAGCTTTAAAGCTTATAAGAGTAGTAATTTATATAGCTAATTAGCTTAACTATTAGTATTATAACTAAAAGACTTTAAAAGACTTAATTAATAAGTAGTTAAATAAATAGCTAAATATAACTTATTATTATACTAAAAAGCTATAAGTTACTTACCTTAAAAGATATAGATATTAAGTATATTTATTAATAATAATATATAAGAGAGATAAATAATATATAAATAAGATACTTCTATATATATATATTAAATATCTCTATAGATATAATAATATAAATATATATTATATCTAAATATTATTATTAAGTAAAGTTCTTTATATTTAAGATATTATATTTAATAAGAATATTATATATAATCTTAATACTAAAGATATAAATATATTATATTAAAAAGAACTTTAGATTTAATTTAAATAGCTTAAAATATTATATTTAGACCTGATTAATAAGAAATTACTATTTAATTTATTTATTTAAAATAATAATAAGCTACTTTATATAAAATCTATTTAGTTAGTTTAATAATAATAGCTTAAAAGATAATAGGACTTTAATATTAACTTAAAATAATAGTTACTAAGTCCTACTCTATTTTATAAAGCGTTAATTAATATTATTATTCTAATTAAGGGGGTAATAAGAGATATAAATATAGTATTATTATTACTATTAATATAATTTATTTCTTTTTAAATAATTAATAAGAAGCTAAAATACCTATAGTAGTCTAGCGCTCTATTTTTAGCTAATATAAGTAGCTCTCTATATTTAAGTTAATAAGTCCCTCTATAGGTAGACGTTTTATTAGTTAAGATAAGACTCTAGCTAATACTTATTACTATACCTATTATATTAATTAGCCCTATAAATCCTATTAAATACTTTAGAGATAGAGATAATAATAATAATAATAATAATAAAGCTATTAATATCTTTATAAAAGAGTTATTTTAGCCTACTAATTTACCCTATTAAATAATAGCTATCTTATTATTACTATAAAAGTTAGTTAAGTTACTATTAACTCTACGTTACTATTTAGTATTAATAGAGCTAACTTTACTTAAAAAAATAGAGATAATAGCTATAATACTTATAGAGGTTAATAAAGCTAAATTAGATATAAAGACTAAAGAGGATTATAATAGTTTAAAATTAAAAATAATTATAATAGTAATAAATACTTTTATACCCCTAAAAGATATAAATATAATTATAAATATATATATATATTTATTAACTCTTTTAATAAGAATAAAGAGTAAGCTAAAAAGTAACTATAATAACTAACTATATAATTAAGAAGTTTCTATTAGTTAGATTAATTATTAACCTATTAATACTATAAGATCCTCTATAAGATATTAAGCTAAAGAGTAGTCTTATAGATTATTCTATTTTCTATTATTAATAGATATAATAAAAGATAAGTGCTTAATAGACCTATTTATTAAGAGTCTTATTAGGATCTATTATAGAGATTTACTATTAATACTAAATAACTATTTAAAAGCTAAATAATATTACTTTTAAAATAAATAGCTAATAGTAATAAATATTAAATAGAAAACTATATAGAGTAAAGAAATATTTAAAATAACTTAAATTAATAATATTAAAAGAGGGTATTATATCTTACTACTTAAATAGGTATTTATATATAAGTTTAATAAGTATAAATATCTAAAGAAGTTTAAAGTATATATTTATATAAGAGGAGACTTATAGCTACTTAATAAATTAAAGACTTATATATTAATATTTATATTAACTTTATCTTAAAGTATTATAGTAATAGCTATTTAATTTAGCTTTAAATTAATTTAACTTAATATTATAAATATATTTATAAATATAATGCTTAATAAATTAGTTTATATCTACTTTTCTTTAGGTTTTAATTAACTAAATAAATATTTTATATTATATAAAGCGTTATATAGACTCTAAAGATTACTATATCTTTAATAAAAAAATATAAATATAACCTTTTAACTATTTAATATAAAGCTACTTAATAAAGATAATTATATATTTATAAGCTATAATATATTAATATTTATATTTATTAATAATATTATAGTTCTCTTTTAAAAGAGAGATTATAATAAAGTATAATATATTATTAATAGAATAACTAAAAGAAGTATATAAAATAATAAAGATAAGTAAACTTAATATATTCTTAGGTATTTAAATTATTTATAACTATTATTAATAAAAGATCTAGCTTTACCTTAATAAGTATATTAAAAAGATCTATAATAAGTTTAAAATTAAGAGAGATAATAATAAAGAGATAGTAATACCTATAAATATTAATAACTTTATACCTAATAATATAATTATAATACTAAAAGAAATTAAGTTATATTAATATAAAGTTAGCTTAATTAACTATATTATTATTATTATATATTTAGATATTATAAGAACTTTATTATAGTTATTAGAGTTTCTTTTAAATCCCTTAAAGGACTACTATAAAGTAGCTAATTAATATCTTATATATTTCTAATAAACTTAATACTTAGTAATTAAGTTTAATATTAATAATAAGAGTATATTCTTCTATATCTCTAACGCTTTATTTATTAATAATAATATTACTTATAAGAGTACTTAAGGCTATATAATAATATTATTTAGGGAACCTATTAGTTAAAAGTTATTAAAATAATAGATTATTATAACTTTAAGTATTAAAGCTAAACTTATAGCCCTTTTATAGGTATTAAAAGAGTATATTATAGTTATATAACTTATTAATTAACTATAACTATACCTTAATAATAAGTTTATAATATATTATAATAATACTTAAATATTATACTTTCTAACTACTAAAAGACCCTATATAATAAATAAGTTATACTATATTAATATTAATAACTTATAGCTATAATAAGAGATTAAAAGACGTTATATTATATATAAATAAGTTAAAATAAATAAAATAGTAATAAATAGTTTTATAAAAGTAATACTAATATAAAAATAAAGTTAATTTATTATATAATTAAGTATAACTAATATTAAGTCTCTAATAACTAATAATATAATATTAGCCTTACTAAATAATATTAACTTTATTAAAAAGTTTAGCTATTAAATTAGCTAACTCTTTCTATTTAACTTTATTATTAAATATCTTAATAACTCTATTACTTTTATAGTTAGTAAATATATTATTTAAATTATTTTAATTTACTTTTTTTAATAATTAAAAGTCTATTTATAAGAGTTACTTTCTTTTTAAGTTATTTAATAAACTATTATTTTAAATTTAAGTATCTTAATTTATTTTATAAATTAAGTTATTAACTGATTTATATTATTATTCTTTTTAATTACTATTTAATATTGATATTATTAACTTTATTATAATAAAATAATAAAATAAATAAAATAAAATAATAAAAGAGAAACTTATTAAAATACTTTTAATATTATATCTAGCTTTAAAAATAGTAATATAGATTATTAATAGAGATATTTAAACTTAAAGTCTAATAGAGTAATAAGAAAACTTATTAACTCTATAATATATAAGTTATATATATTTTATAAGTTATAGTTTTTATTTAAACCTTAATATTAATAATAAGATTTAAACCTAAAATATTAAAGAGAAGCTTATTAAGCTTTTATATTTAACTATATATAGCTAATATAGTTAGTTAAATTATTATACTATATACTTTAGGATCTCTAAATATAAGAGGACTTTAATAAGAGTTTTAATAGTAATTAGAGCTATAAAGGTATATTATTATTTATATAATATTATTTATTATAATAAGGAGTTATTACTTTATTTTATATAGCTATTAAGGTCTATTTTATATATTTAGAACTTATAATATTAATATTATAAGATCTAAGGGGGTATATTAAACCCTATACTACTTAACTAATATAAGTACTAACTTAATAAATCTACTTATAGATTCCTATCTAAATATAGCTTATTTATATTAGGTATATATACCCTCCTTTTTTCTAGTGCTTAGGCTAACTTAGCCCCTTTTAGCTAGTTATATATTAATTAATATTTAATATACCGTATTGCTGGCTGTAACTATTGCTCGACACTTATTTAAGCATGGGGTATCCACAACTGTCCGTGCACACTGATAAGATAATAACTGACCCGGATTTTTTTTCTTTGGACTGCACCCGCTTGCGATGTTCTGCTCGGAAATTTCAACCTCCAACCCGTCGCAATAACTACCTCCCAAACGCGAATACCATGAAGAGAAAGCACGACGAAGAAGCCAAGGGCGATAACGGCGAGAAGCGCGCCAAGACCCAGAAGCCATCCGCCGCCGCAGATGAGCCCCCTGCCGCTGCCGCTGCCGCCGCCGCCACCAATCTAACGTTCGCTGATCTCGGCCTCGACACTCGACTGGTGCAAGCCGTCGCTGCTGAAAGCTTCAAGGACCCGACACCTGTGCAGCAGAAAGCCATTCCCCTGGCACTGGACGGCAAGGATGTTGTAGCAAAGGCTCCTTGTGGTTCTGGAAAGACCGCCGCCTACGTGCTGCCCGTGCTGTCCAGCATCCTCAAGCGCAAGACGGTATGCAATCCTGTTGGTGATCTCTGACGAAGGTTGCTAATATCTAAGCCTAGACCGATTCTTCCCCGGCCACGACCGCCCTCATTCTTGTACCGACACGCGAGCTCGCCGACCAAGTACTGAAAGCGATTGAACAGTTCTCGGCCTACTGCGCGAAGGATATCCACGCCGTCAAGCTGGTCGACAAGATTTCCGACGCCGTCCAACGATCGCTGCTCTCCAACTTTCCCGACGTGGTCATCTCTACACCTGCGACAGCATGGCGGAACATCCTCAACGACGCCTTGTCGCTCGAGAAGCTGTCTTGCCTTGTTCTCGACGAAGCGGACCTCATTCTGTCATACGGTTACAACGAGGACTTGGAGAACATCGCTAGGAAGCTCCCCAAGGGCGTTCAGCTCTTGATGATGAGTGCGACTCTGTCAACCGACGTGACGTCTCTGCAAGGAATCTTCTCCCGGAAACCGACCGTTCTCGACTTGGATGATGAGGAGACGGAGGGTGACAGTTTGTCGCAATTTGTCGTCAGCTGTGGGGAAGACGAGAAGTTCCTGTTGGCGTTCATCATCTTCAAGCTCAAATTGGTCAAGGGCAAGTGTTTGATTTTCGTCAACGACGTTGACAGATCCTACCGCCTCAAGCTGTTTCTCGAGCAATTCCAGGTTCGAAGCTGTATTCTGAACTCGGAACTTCCCGTTACCTCGAGAGCCCACGTTTTGGAGGAGTTCAACCGCGGCGTGTACGACATCATCATTGCGTCGGACGAGAAGAGCGCAATGGGTGCCGACGAAAAAGACGAGGAAGAGGTGGACGGAGAGGGCGAGAAACAGAAGGAAAAGGAAACCAAGAAGAAGAAGAAGAAGTCCTCAAAGCGGGACGCGGAGTTTGGTGTATCCCGTGGTATCGACTTCAAGAACGTTGCGGCGGTTGTCAACTTCGACCTCCCCACATCCGCATCATCATACACACACCGAATTGGCCGGACAGCACGTGCGGGCAGGACAGGCATGGCTCTCTCCTTTTACGTCCCCAAAGAGTTGTACCGCAAGCATTTGCCGACGAGCATCGAGACTGCAGAGAACGACGAGAAGGTTCTGGCGAAGATCAAGAGGAAGCAGGCGAAGCAAGGCAAGGAGATTAAGCCATACAACTTCAAGAAGGAGCACTTGGATGCGTTCAGGTATCGTCTTGACGATGCTCTGAGAGCGGTTACGAAGGTAGCTGTGAGAGAGGCGCGTATGAGAGAACTGAAGCAGGAGCTTCTGAAGAGTGAGAAGCTCAAGAGGTACGATTCTCAAATAAATTGCTCAGGATGTGTACCAAACGAGACTAACTGTATCGCAGATACTTCGAGGAGAACCCTACAGAACTGCAGCATCTGCGTCACGACGGAGAGCTGAGGACAGCGAGACAACAACCCCATCTCAAGCATATACCCGAATATCTGCTGCCGAAGGAAGGAAAGGACTCGCTCACATCCAACACCGTCGGCATGGTGCCGTTCAGAAAGGTCGGTGGCAAAGTGAGAAATAAGAAGAAGTTTGGGCGCAAGGTGGGAACGAGGAAAGTCAACCCCCTGAAAACTTTCAAAGCAAGACGGAAGTGAGCATAGGCCTCGATTGCATTCAAAAGGGTGCATTGTAGACATTAATAAGAGATTCACTGTGTTTTCCCGTCAATATCGCGACCACGTTGTGCTTCTCTGATCATCAGTGCGACCCGGCCACCCAGATACAGCTCAGCGGGATCCCATCTCGTTGCCGGCCGCACTCGCACACGGACCACGCTACAGAACGTCCTGATTTTGGCCACTGTTAAGTAGACGCGTTCGCGGAAGGATTGGTTTCGCCCTGACTCAAATCATCCCATGTTTAATATGTAAAGTCTAATCGTCGTCATCTAACAACTAATCGCTGAAGAACCCGGTAAACTCAATGAACTCGTGGCAAACCTTATTGCCATCGCGGAGGGGTCCGGCGGCGTGTTACGAGAGTTGTCGCGGATGCCGCCGGTGTCGAGCCAACGCAGACCGGAGGCTTGACAGGGTCTTGAATCTGGGTGGAAGGCGGTATTTCGGCCGTTGCAACGGTCATCCCTGAACGGGCACTCTGTCTACAGTCCTCCACGGTTATCTTCTCTCTGTGACTACTTCCTGCCACCTCTATGCCTATCCTTGCTGCCATTAGATAGTACTGCGCTTATTATCCTTTATTACTGCGTAAGTATTCGACCAGGAATAATAACTGTAGAGTAGTGTGTATCCAGTCAAATTCTCCGTGTTCGTCAAAGCTGAGGGAATACCACCCGCCTGAATAGAGTATGACAGGTGTTTCGAGTCCTCAGGATAGGTTTCCTCGCCGGCTAACATAAATCAAGCCTCCCTATCTCCTTATTGGCTGACTGGCATCCATCTTTTAGATATATTTTTTCAAGCATGAAAATTTGACATCACCATCATCTCTCTTCCAAGTATCCAGCTGCATCATACTGCGAAGTTCATATGACTATGCAAGACACGTCCGCGGGAGCGGCCATCTACTTCCCAATCTTACTTCGTTACATCTACGATCCCGTCGTTCTAGGCTGCTATTGCCCATGCGCCTGGCAAATTCCGACGAAAAAGTTGCGAAAATTCTTCAACGACAACACGATCAGCGCCGCCGCCCGCTCCATCTCAAGGTCTCGAAAGTCACAACAGGACGACGATTCAAAATCACGCCGTGAACCATGCCGGTTGCTTGATATCGGAGTCGGAACGGGATACTTTCTAAAACATGGCCCAATCCCGAAGGGAGCTGAGGTGACTCTCGTCGACCTAAATCCATCTGCTCTGAAAGCAGCTTCGTCGCGCACCCTCGAGGCTCACCCGACGATCACCTGCAAGACGTCCGTCGCGGACTTTTTGGACCCCTCGGCTAAGGGCCTGTCAAGCAAAGACCTCGACGGCGGCGGGTTCGATGCTATCTCTGTTATGTTACTGCTTCACTGCGTCCCGGGGCCTCAAGTGCGAAAAGCTGAAGCCTTGGTCCGGCTGGGGAGTCTCCTGGCTCCGGATGGGAAGTTGTTTGGCGCAACGATTCTTGGGAAGGGAGTAAAGCACAACATTATGGGGAGAGTCATCATGTTTTGGCACAATCTTTTCGGTGTTTTTGGGAATGCCGAGGATGATGTCGAAGGTTTTGTCGGGCCTTTGAGGGAGGCTTTTGGAACGGTCACATGGGAGGTTTGCGGTACTATGTTGCTTTTCGAAGCAAGTAAGCCGAAAGCTTGAGAGACTCTTAATATTGTATATACTAGCAAATCAAGAGCTTGACGATTCATACCTAGGCTGAGCATCAGTGTCTTGGAGTAGCGATGGTATTCCGAGTCGCCTTCCGTTCGGAAGTTCTTCCTAATGGCGCAAGTACATCTGGGTTTTCGACTTGAGTTAGAGTTCTTCTTCACACCTCGGGCGCGTGCTGCGTGGATGCCAACTACCTCGTGGTCTGGAAGCTTAATGGGTATCGTTCAGATGAACCATACGCCACACCCGGTTAAAAATGTTCGCGATTGGCCCGCATTCGCTCGCACAGGCTCAGAAGTATGGAGGTTCTCACTTTGAAATAAACATGGAATACTGTCTTTTACTTTCTATGAACGACATCTGGAGAAGTTTCACTTTATCTAGCCTCGGCCCTCGGAATTCTGATAACATATCGTGCTTTCTGCGGGTGGCTGACAACTTAACGTCGCTCGATTTTATCTAAACAGTACACGGCTATATAATGTTGCAGCAGTGCAAGAGGTATCGCAGCTCTCGTTTGTTGCTTACATCTGACGCGAATCATTCTCATATTCGGAGTCATATTCGTGTTCGGAGCCTGAACTGCACTTCAAACAGCCTCCACATACCTAGTTTATCTGGGCTCTCTCCACAATGTCGGTAGTGAGAATGATCTTGCCCAGGATGGTGCCGTAGATGAAAGACGACTTTCGTCGTCGCTACCGACAGTACTTCATGCCATCCAGTACTAGTAGTGGGTAGCCAAATGTGAACATGAACCAACTTGTAGATAAGTTGAACGCAATGAATTTCATGAGAGGGTGAAAAACGACAGTTGGAGAGTGCTTAACTTGGTGGTCTCAGAGACGAGAAAAGTGTAGTGTATGGTCTCAGGACCTTTCTAGACTATCATCTTTCATGTTTATAGTTGTCGTTGACGTTGTTATTGAGGCAGGTCTACTCAAGTTTCGTCTCTATTTATGTGTTCTCCATCCTTCCCATAATCCCGATCCCGAATATAAGCCATCATAACCCATTCTATACCCTCATTTTTCGTAGATATCCCATTACCTGCCATTTTGCCCGATCCTTGGATTCTGTTCCCATGTTCCGTTACACGTGCTACCATTGATCTCGGCGCACGTTTCTAGTGACTTTGATGCTTGTGAGTCGTTTACGCTTAGACCACACTTCTGACTCTCGTGACCACGAGTCCATCCTTTTTCCCGTTACTTGCGGCCTTTGTGTTCTTCTCTTCGTATCTGGTTTCGATGGCCTCCAAACTGTGACCTCGTGTCTCGACCATGATGAAACCGGCCACGATGGTCGTAAAAAGAGAACAGCCTGCGAAAAGAAAGTATGCTCCGAAGGAAGACTTCGAAATCAGCACAGGGGTAATCAGTGCTACAACATAGTTGGCGAACTGTGATGATGTTAGCAAGACCGTGGCAATCCAGGCGAATTTTGGACGCCGCAGGTTTAAGGGAGGCTTACCCAATTAGAGGCCTGAGCTAGACTTGAAGCACTGCTTCTTGTCTTCCTCGGCAAACTCTCCACAAGGAAAGTGCGAATGCCGATTGCCCATGTGCCGCTGTACACGATGGCGAAAAGGTATACCGAAACGATGACAACCCACTTGCCAGCTCCTTCGCCTGCCACCTTCCCCGCTGCGTAGAGAGATCCCATCAGAACCATGAGGGCGGTGATCAACGTCCCTCCTAGAATAGTAGATGTCTTTCGTCCCCATTTGTCCGCGAGGAATGTTGCTGGTATCGTCGCGCCGAGGATGACCAGGGCGGAGACACCTGAGGCCAGGAAAGTTGCTTGTTCGCCGTCCAAACCAGCTTGTGTGAAGATGATAGGAGCGTAGTATAAGACTCCGTCGATTCCACTCCACTGCTGCATTCCAAGCAGGAAGCAGGCGAAGAAAGTTCTGCTCCTGTAAGGAGCTGAGAATGCCTCTCGGAAACCTGCGAATGCTTGCCTCAGAATCTCCAAAACGGGTGCATTGGGGTCGTGTTCCCCATCGGACGAAAGCTCCAGCATCTCTTCGCCTTCTTTCTCATCCAGGCCCAGTCGTTCAACGATCAAACGGGCTTCATCCGGTCTTCCTTTGGCAAGTAGCCATCGGGGGGAAGGAGGCACAACCCAGTATGTCAGAGAAAAGAGGAAGCCCAGGAAAGACGCAATGGCAAGGGGCAGACGCCATGCCACAGTCGACAATCCAAAGCGTGCGGTGCCGTAGCCTAGACAGCATTCAGTATGTGGCCCTTGAAAAGAAGAAGAGGGTCGTCAAAACATACACATAAAGTACCCCGTGACAATTCCCGTGACGATGGCAAATTGTGGCAAGGCAGTCATGATGCCACGGATGCGGGCCGGTGATATTTCAGAAACTTGAACGTAGACGTTGCTCAAGAACATGCCTTCACCAATGCCCTTGATAAGCCGTCCAAGAATGAACACTCCTAGTATAGGTGAGGCACACTCGATACCGGTGCCGCAGCCATAGATGAAAGCACCAAGAGCGAACAAACGGACATGGCCGAAACGGTCAGCCATGACACCGGAGACCAGAGCCGACAACGCGCCCGGGATAAGAACAGAAGAAACGATAACTCCATGCATCGTGGGAGAGAAATCCCCGAACGTCTCACGGAATGACGGCATGGTCGTTACGGGGCCGATGCTTCCCGTGTCGAGGCTAGCTCAGGAACCTTGTTAGGAGGGGCTCTTGAATAGACGTGAAAGTGCAGATACAGATTGTACACACCCGAACAGCATAGCGACGCATGATGAGACGATGCTGGCTCTCACGTAGAGAGGAATCGACAAAAAGTTCATGGTCACAACAAGCCACGCTTCTGATCAACCGTGGTTTCTTGATGAAACGAAGAATTCTTTCCCAGTTTCCCAGGAGTTTTTGGACGGTTTTCATCAGTCGGTCAAACCAAGACCGGTGGGTGAAAATTGGGTTTTAACCCAACGCCGCCCGCCACAGCGCTTCGCAATGCCTGATTCATCGAAACCCACTTGTAGAGTTTTGCGTTATCGTGACTTTTGGGCCCCCCGAGAGATCCACATCCCGCGCGGATAGGGTCCATTGGCGTTGTAAAAGTTGCCCAATCCAGCAATTTTGGCGACCGAAGACGGCGCCGGGTGCGGGACGGCGCATGTGAATGGCGGGCTGTCTCAGAGATAAGCCGCATTGCAGACGCAGAGTGAGAGGCACATGGCTTGGTTTCCAAGCAATCATCGCGAGTGGCTCGTGGTTTTGGGTTGTTGGGGGAAATTTAGCCGGGTCTAGAACTTCGCGGTTCTCGAGTCAGAATTCCACGTGGTATGGGCGTGGTTGGCTCTAGGCTTATTAGTGGGCTTTTTGCTCCAATTCGCAACCTGATGACTACGGTTTTCTTAGTCAACTGTCGAGACTTGTTCTGTTTGTCTCAGCTGAATTGGCATGCCCAATTTCTAGCGTTCAGAAAGCAGCGTTTCGTCGCATTTTACATGCAATAATGGTTTTCATCTCTGAGGAATGATCCCCTAAAGTTCACTCTGTTAACTGTTTTCTCAAAAAGCAACAAGGGCAACGTATTCTATCCCGGATGCATTACTACTAATGCCATATTGTTCCTGTTTTGAATCTGGTAATACGTTGCTAGCTGGAAACTTTGATGGTAGAGCTGGATAATGTTTCTCAAATCCGGCCTTCTTTCTGGGCAACTTCCTCCTCCGTAGGCTTCCTGCCATACACGCAGTAACTAGAAAGTGTGAGTTGATGTCAAGAAACCCTTCCAGTTGCCAACTTACATGGGCCAATATGCATGGATCGACTTGTCATTCAGGTCCTTTCGCACACTGGTCAAAAAGACAAGGACTTCTTCTCTCGTCCACTCATGAGCTCTCGTAAATAAAGCCATGGTGAACCCTTCGAGGCCATTGCAGAAGTTCTCGTTGGCCCAAATCCCCAATTCCTTGTACATCCGATCCTTGGGCCAGGAGTTTGACGGCCACTTAAACACACTCATTCGCACGTCGACAAATCCAACCTCCTCCATAATAGCCACTAATGGAGGGATCTTTTGGAAAGGCCGTCCGAGCTTGACTGAAGCTTCATACATTAGATCCGTGCACTTAGAGAGCGCGGAATCAGCCTTCAAAGTGTCATCATCTGAGTAGGCGAAGAGATCTGCCTCTTGAAGCTCGAAGTACCCTCCAGGTGTCAAGTGGCTAAAGCCAGAGTCAACAATCCGACATATCCTCTATGTGCATCAAAATTGTTTAGATGACTCACTCGTATCCTTTTTTGAAGTAGGCCTTCCAGTCGCTGACTGAGGAATTCATCGTCCGACTATGTATGTAGTCGAAAGGCTGTGAGTACGTCCATTCCTCTTCCAAATCGTCAATCTCGAACTTCACGTTAGGCGGCACGCTTTAAATAATATCGTTAGAAACTTCCACATTAGATGAATCAGAGTACAAGTTATTGCAATAGAATCGTTACTTACAACTGCGGCATTGACGGGGAGAGGTCAGTGCCGAGGACCTAGTAAGTGAGTTAGGATTCTAGTATTGGAATTCCCACAGCAGTCTCAGAAGTGGCGACCTCAGCGTCATGATGTTCCTCTCCAAATTCGACAGCCCATATGCCACTTCCAGTACCGATATCAAGAACGCGTTTGACTTTGGAGTCAGCATCATTTGGTGGCGCTAGACCCAATTTGTTGTTGAAGGTGAGCAGAAACAAGTTGTGTTGCAAGTCTACGTTTTTAGTGGATCAGCCTCAGCTTGAATTGAATGAAGGGACGTTGTTACCTAGTCGATCGTTCTCCCTCTCATCGTTTGGCATGTTGTATTCTACAAAGTCAGGAACTCAAACTCAGCTTTTGAAATGAATGGCCCTCTCAACTCACTGCCGTCCTTGTACCGATGATACGTTCTCCCATTTTCGACGCGAAAATCGAAGATCGAACTGGACACGCTGGTACTCGAAGAGGCGATACTCTGAAGTCACTGGTCAACAACAATGGGACGCAAGGAACTTCAGGTCCGTACCGCTCCGAGCTCAGAAACATTGTCGTCTGTCAACTTTATTGTGTATGCGTCAGAGTGAGTTCTTCAGTTCTTAAATTCCGGTTTATTCAACTCACGTCTTCGGGAATGAGTTCGACTGGATTATTGGCCTGGGCAGGTGGTTGATTGGCTGGGGCAGCCGCTAACTCATCATCACCACGGCACATGATGACTGAAGTTTGAAGTCCGTGAACCGTAAAGGATTGACGGTCAGAAAGATTGAGAACAGTGGGTTCTTGTTGTTTTTGAAATGCGACAACTTTTGTTACCCCTCTCCTTGGCTGGAGACTGTCATGCAAGTTAGCGGCACGTAAAGCAAAGCCAGGGGTGCTCGTGGGTACTGCATTATCCAGATGAGGAAAGCAAAGCGCGAATCAGGCCACAGAATCTGGAAGGAGGAAATGTTTCTTACAATTCCCAGTTATCTCATTGCGTTGGTTGGTATTTAGCAGCCAATCCTTCGGGTCTAGATTCCGGACGTAGACCGGTTCTAGCGACTCGTGCCCTGCAGATGAGTTGGTGCATCTAGGAAACTCGTTTACCTATCTTGAAAAGGAACATCTGAATTATCAGCCAGCCTTTCTGAATGTAAGTTGGTGTCTTGACCTGGCTGAAGACATCACAAGGTGTAGCCCCATGCGGCGAAGCTGGCTTTTACCGTAGATACCGGCCCCGTCGGGGACCCACAGGCGAATCGGCCGGCCCGTGGCGCCCGGGCCTCTTGCGCCCCACTCCGGACTGTGTGTTGTATTCCCGTCGTATGCAATCAAAGATGCTTCCAAGCCCCCTTATTTGCATAATGCCATAGCTCTTACCTGCGCATTGAGGATTCACCTGCCGCCTCGGCAAGTCGCCTCCCAATCGCATGGACTTCTTCCAAGACAAAAGAAGAAAAGCAATGCTGGCAATGAGGCGTTCGTCCAGCCACAACGCGCGCAACTCATGATGCTTAGCGGCACATGTTTACGGTTGACCCTAGTGGCCGCCGTCTTCCTCATTGCGGCGATATTCTTGATTCCCCAGCTTCCCCACGTCGGCTACAGCGTGCCCACTCAGCTCGGGAGCCATGCACCAACGACGCCAGTCAAAGATCCCTCCACCAGCAAGCCCAACCCAGACAACAACGGCAAGGGGAATGATGCAGGACCAGTTGCGCCTGGCGCCGTTGCGTCCACTCCGTTCACAGACGCTGCGACGCCATCACTTCCCGTGACGTCCGCTTCGAAACCAACCTCGGACTCGATCAAAGACGCGAAACCCAGCTCCAAGACCACCTCGAGACTCGAAGCCGGCCAATCCCTCTCGCCCTTCCTCCTGACCTCGCCTAGTGGCCGTTACGAGCTCCGCTTGCTCGACAGCGGCTCCCTCTCCCTCGTCGACACCAAGACCGAAGCCGAGCTCTTCACTTCCGACACCGAATACTACTGGCCTGTCGCATGGCAAGTTGAACTCACGCAGGAGGGCGTACTAATGCTCTCCTGGTCCAACGAAACAGCTGCTCCATACGGCGCGACACCATGGATATCAAACATGCTCCCCGATTGCGCGTCCGCTGATTCTGGCAGCGAGAAGCCCGTGCTCGAGCTTCTGGATAGCGGCAAACTGCACATCCACGTCGGTGGCAAGACGACATGTACCTTGCAACGGGCAGCAGATGACAAGGGGCGCGTCGCGATCGTGTACACCGGTTTTCTGCGGTCGTATCTTGAGACCTGCAAGGATCAGAACGAGAAGCTGGTGAAGACGTGGACAGGCAGCGGTGGGGTTGATGTCCATGTCTTCACGTACGACACCGACGTCTACGATGAGTCTGGCGGCGAAGAGGCTGATGTGGAAACTATCAACAAGCACCTCAAGTCCTGCTTCGGCGACGCCCTCAAAACCCTCGAGGTCAAGAAGCTGGATGATGTCAAGGAGAAGGCGGTTGACCCGCCAGAGATCTTGGCGAAGGCCTGTGGCAACAAATTGGACCACCAACTAAGCCAGTGGAAGGCTCTTTACCTCGCAAGCCAGCAGGTTCAGCACTACATGGTCGAGAAAGGAATCTCGTACGACTACATCTACAAAGGCCGTCTCGATCTGCAATTCTGGGGCGACTCGCCCGCGCTCTCATCCCTCAAGGTGCCCGAGAACGGCATCCTTGCGCCCCGCGTCGCGTTGGACTGGACGTGGTACTCTATGCTCCACGACGGCGAGCTCCGCGCCGGTGTAACCGACATCACGGCTTTCGGACGGCCCAACGCCATGTTCACGTACCTCGCCCTATACCGCGAGTTCATTTCTCTGCGAACGATCGAGAAGGAGACTGCGAAATGGAAGGGTTTTAACACCCATTCGAGGGAGAAGACGTTCAATGGCCAGGAGCCATGTACGCCGGAGGGTATTCTGGCCTATTGGCTCCGAGTCAATGGGATCGCGGTGAAGACGGAGTGGCGGTTCCAGATGGGATTACTACGCAAGGGTGGGGAGGTGATCTTCACCTGCCCTGAAGGTAGAGGCTGGCTGTGTCCTAACTTCATACCAAAGGTGAACGAGGATGGCACGTTTTCGTCGTAGTTAGCATAGGTACGAAATAATGAGGATCGGGCGTTCACAGGTTATCCGATAACCATATAGCCGAGCCCAACGATTATGTGTAGCGTTATGGCTGCTAAGATCCCCTGACACCTGGCAACTCCAGCCGGAGCGTCTTTCATTCTACTGGGAATCCCTCAACCTCAGGCCCAGCCCATCATTGTCGTCATGCAGGACTACCTTACTTTCCCTTGCTTGTCTGTTCCATCCATGCCAAATTTGACAGAGGAGAGCCTTCCAAGCTCGATGCTCGACTTGTTCGTCACGATGTAAGGGCAGGTGGCGATGCCATTGTTGCCGGGCGGTTTGAAGATGATGCCGTACGTAGAGAGCATGTCGTCTCTACCAGTAAGGTTGACCCGTTTGTAGGCTTGCTTGTTGTCTAAAGTCTGGGTCCTGTCTGTACACTACTCCACGGTTATTATTCCTGGTCGAATACTTGAGCAGCAACAAGGACAACGGATAATAAGCGTAACACTAGAGCTACCAACGCCGAGGGCAATCACGGAGGTGACTAGGTAGCGAGAAGTAGTTGTAAAGAAAGATTAACCGTGGAGGACTGTAGTGTTATAGCTATGAACCGGATAATTGACCACCTGACAGAACATGATGCATTCTACTGTTTCAAGGCGGAGGGCTGGGTGAACGTCAACCGATGCTAAAAGTAAGATCGGCGTATGCCGCCGAAAGAGCTACTTCGAGTTGTCCGCCAGTGAGGCGGTTATCTTCGTCGACTACAACATGGCCCATCGAAGGGCTGGTGTTGACAAAGCTGCTGTAAAGGTTAGGTGTTTCTTGGGAATCCAATTCATTCAAATCGGAAGACGCCTCGAACGATGGCTCTACGCGTTGTTCAACATCGATCGCGTTTCGAGTGAAAGTTGACAGGAATAAAGTCGATGAACAAGACACAACCAAATGTCATGTGGACCGAATGGTTGTGAGACATTGGACATGTTCTTGTACAATACAAGTGGGAGTGCTAATCTTCGCTTCGAAATAATGAGCTTGGTGAACCCTGAGATACCCCTCGATGCCTCGATGCCACAGCTGGTAGGTTATTCGCGAATCCTCCGTCAAAGATTCGATCTGTGGAGGACCCAATAGTAGCAGCCGAGTACTATCACGGCCACTAACATGCATGCAAGCTCCGTATACCGCCATCCGCTTATGATGCGGGCGCGCAGACTAGAGTATCTCATCATACTAGCTAGTGTGCCTACTTCTAGACCACGTTGTCGGAGGGCGCTGGGACAGAAAGTGTTCGACGCTAGACGGTACCATGGGCAGGTGGGAATCGCCGAATCCAGGTCTATTAGAGTCTCTCAAGAGTCCACACTACTCCATGCCTAGAATATCGAAGGGATTCGAGGACGCCTTTTTCTCAGGTCGCGCCTGATGATCGACCTCTGATGCCGTCTTCTTCCTCTTCTTCTTCCTGTTCTTGGACTCTTTTGCTGGCAGGAAGTCATTTTCCGGAATCTCAAGCGCTTCTGCCAGCCTTATTAATCCCCCATTGGCATGCAAGCTCGCGATCAATGCCGTCGTCCCGTCCACTCCCGGCCATTCTGTGAGCGGGGGTAACGTAGCCAGGAGCTGTCGAAGTCGATCCAAGCCCTGCGGCACACTCTCGGCCTTGATAATGTGGAGAAGGCCTAGGACTTGCGAAAGAATACGAAGAGAATACAGCATAGCTTGGACCTGCGCTGACAGGTGAACCACGTCCCATGGGACGTGACCAGAGCCCTCTTCCATGGAGAGAGCTTGCTTAACGGCTCCGACGCATGCCTCTTGTTTTCCATCTGCCTGTGAACAAGCGAGGACCTGTTGCAATGACACAGCTTGCCAAACTGATTCACTTTGGTCCAAGCTTTTCTTAGCTTGGTTCAGCGTTTCGAGAAGAAAGTCCGCATAGTCCTTGATAGAGGGTCGAGGAAGAATGATGATGTGCTTGCCCTGGTTCGTCCCGTTATACACCCTCCTGTACTCTCTGACAGGAGGCGAAGCGCCTGGTTGGAGCAAAGAAGTCAGGCTGTAGGCCAGTTGTCGCACAGAGGCGCTGCTATCCCATGCGCTTGCACGGGCGGGACAGTCAAGAAGAGGTGGGAGGCACATCATGCAGCCTTCTGAGTCGCCTTTCGGAGACGAGTTGCCAGCTCCAGAGTACCCAACGCATTGCAAGACGATTTCTGACAACCTTGCGTCAAGCTTGGGATTCTCCAGAGCGCCCAAAACGGGAACGGCACTCCAATCTGTAGTCTCCAACGTTTCGTATGGTTCGCAGAATTTACGGAATTCTTCAGGGTCAGAGACGTCCCCCTTGCAGTTTTCAAGGACTTGAGAAAACTTGGGACGGACGGACTTGGATAGTTCGTATCCGAACCGTCTCATGCCCTGGTCGTCGGGGAGCTTCAATCTCTCTGCGACTTGGGAGGGAGAGAACTTCAATCCCAGGAGACCATTCTTTCCATCTGCAGATCCAAAGTGGAGATCCTTGAAGAACACGACTGAGCCCTTGCTCAGATCATGAATGGTCAGATCAGAATCTGAAGTGACTATCGTCCCGCCGTTCTTGAGCACATCATCGGCGCAGTAAGCATCGGCCTCGCCTGGAACTAGACGGACCAGCTTCGCGTATTTGTCTGTTTCGCTGAGCTTATCGACAACAGCGGCGACCAAGAATGGCGGAGGCGGGGTGAGTGGCTGCTCCCTGCGAGGCGCATCTGTCGGGAACAGAGGAGGCCGCGCTGAATGTGTTGCGGCGACTTGTCTTGCCGGGCAGGCATTGGGGAATGATGAGTGGAAGAGCTTCAATTGAGTCGAAGTCCTCAATATCCTGTCCAGGCGGACGGGAAGCTTGGACGGCGGGAGGAAGCCATCAAAGTAGATGGCAGCTCTGCGAAGCGTAAGTTTCACTGACCGGATGAGGTGTCTCCGAGGACGTGGTACATGGAAATGTTGTGGTTCATGAGCTTGTCCAGCCATGCGATGGTGGTGTCCCCAAGCAGTTGGTACGAGGGAAGTCCGGTGCTACTCCTTGTGCACAGATGGTAGACGTGGTAGGCCAAGGCTGGACCGTCTATCACCACCCTGTCGCCGTCTAAGGGTGCAAGGACGCCATAGGGGGCGAGGTGGTTGATAAGATGAGGGATTCCCATGGTGTTGACGTGATCTTCCACCTGTGGAGGGGTGTAAAAGCTATGCACCTTGTTAGTTGGATTATTTTTATAGGAAATATCTGAGATGGAAGGTTGTGCGTACCTACCAAGTTTATAACAAACTTTGATGTTTTATTTATAGCCAACTATTTCCCAAGTTCTTGCCACTTCTCATTGAGAAGAAAGCATCTCGAAAACAAAAGCCTTTCTCGAAAGAATTTCCAGCCCTTATCCCGAGGAAAGAGCAAGACAGTCAGTCAGTCAGTCGTACCTGCCAACGTGGGAAAAGGTAGGTAGCATCTCCGGCAGGCATCGCGGGGTCCCAGTGTCGAACACGGTGCAGCTGGAAAATCCGGCGCAGACGGAGCTGCGTCGGATCGGATAAAAACAGTGCTAATCGCGACTGCCATTCATCCCGCAGACACCTATCGGCGCACTGTCTGTCCCGCTCATCCGCGCCTCCGACCCGTTTGTCGGCTCGAACCCCTGGTCCAACTCAATTTTTCCTCTCGCCTACAATAAAAGCTCCCCGCTGCGCGAACCCAATTCCTTCGACCTTCGCATTCTTCTTCCAAAATGCGCGGCACTCTCATCTTCGCGGGCTCTTCATGCCCAGCCCTCACTTCTCAAATATGTGGGAACTTGGGCATGACTCCCGCTGACGCGGAGCTTACCCAATTTTCAAATGTAAGCTGAAGTGCGATCTTTTGGTTCTTTTGGTTCCCTCCCGAACACACAAACTTTGCTGCCGTCGACACCAACGGCGGGGAGTGGGAGAGGGTCGCTTCTTGTGTCGCGGCTCCTCTCCTGCTACTGCCTTGATTGGATCAATTCCAAACTTGTTTGGACGCCCTGTTGAGGCTGACCCGTCAAAAAGGGCGAGACGAGCGTGCGAATCTTGACTAGCGTCCGAGAGAAGGATGTCTTCGTCGTGCAATCCGGAAGCCCCAACGTCAACGACACCATCATGGAGTTGTTGATCATGATCTCGGCCTGCAAGGGCGGCTCCTCGAACAAGATCACTGGTATGATTACCCATCGCTCGACTGAATCCTTCACGCAGCACACCGCTAACAATGCCTGTCTTAGCTGTTCTGCCGTACTTCCCCTACAGCCGGCAGTCGAAGAAGAAGTCCCACCGCGGCGCAATCACCGCGAGGATGCTTGCAAACCTCCTCGCTGTTGCTGGCGTTAAGCACGTTATCACCGTGGACCTCCACGCTTCCCAGATGCAGGGCTTCTTCAAGTGCCCCGTCGACAACCTCCACGCCGAGCCCTTGATCGCGAGATGGATTCGTCACAACGTTCCCAATTGGAAGGAGGCTATTGTCGTGTCCAAGAATGCCGGCGGTACCAAGCGTGTGACATCGCTTGCGGACGCGCTGAAGCTGAACTTTGGCATGGTTACTACCGAGAAGAAGCGTGGTATCAACATGACCTCGAGCATGATCATGCATCATCTCGACGGTATCGACCGCGAGCCGGTTTTGGAGAGCAGCCGCACCGCCCCGGCTCCTAGACCTTCTACGCCCCCTCCCAATGGCCGTGCTGGTAGAATCAGGACCAATGCTCAGGGATCTCCTCAGCACACTGATCCCCCGCGCTCCCATCCTCGCACGATGGATGAGCGGCCTACAACACCCACCCAGACCAAGCCCCATGAGGGACCTGTCGATGACGAGGAAGGCGACACGGAGTATGATGACCGTCGCGCCCACGAGGTCACTCACGGTCGATTGGTCCAAGGTCACATTGTGGACGACGACTATCCATCGCCGGCTACTTCGACCGCGGGCGGCAGTGTCCGCGACGACGACCCCATGACTGCCTCTCAGGCATCTTCCTTCTTCGCTCCCCAGCCACATGCTCTAGGCGGCTCCGGCGACGCTGTTCCCGAGTCGGACGAAGAGGACGAGGTTCTCAAGGACCCCAAGGTCGAGCACATGATCACGCTGGTCGGCGACGTTAAGAACAGAACTGTCTTCATCGTGGATGACATGATCGACAAGCCTGGTTCATGGATCGCCGCGGCTGAGACTGTGGTCAAGAAGGGTCGCGCCAAGAAGGTCTACTGCATGGCTACCCACGGTGTCTTCGGCGGCGACTGTCTCGAGCAGATGCAGAAATGCGAGTGCATTGACACCATCCTCGTGACCAACAGCTTCCCGATTCCCGAGGACCAGGCGAAGCGCACCCCCAAGCTCGTCGTTCTGGACCTCTCCTTCCTCCTCGCCGAAGCTATTCGCCGTAACCACTACGGCGAGTCGATCTCTCCCCTGTACCAGCACATCCTGGACTGAGTCTCGCACAAAGCACATAGGCCGGAATTTTTGTTTTGCAGATTATCGCTTTAACACGTTTCCTTACTTGCTTTCTCTTACGAGAACTGGACTCTGGATTATGTTTTCCTCTGGGTCCAGCTCTGTGTGGCATACATCGGGGGGGACTGGCATTCAAGCGCGGCGTTCTGGGCGGCGGCACGACAAAGTGGAAAAGCCAGAATGGCGGCACTACAGATGACCTGGAATGGTCAGTATTGCTTCTACATGGTCAGTATTAGACATGAATGATGATTTTTGATGCCTCAACCGACCGCTGTCTTTGATGGTGTGTGTCTGCAAACTGATATTTTCCTTTCCTTTTCTTTCCCTTCACACCCCCCAACGATGCTGTCTTCTGGACAGCAAGGGCTATCTTTATCCCAGAAGAAGTCCTTAACGGAGCGTTGGTAGATTGACTCGATTAAAAGAAGACGCCTCGCTCAGTTTGCCTTTTGGCACTCACCACCTCCGGGATGGATGGGCGAGGGGTAAGAAAAACCTTCGAACATGTTTCCAAGTGATGTCTTGACAACTGCCAATCCAAGTTACAATCAGCTAGGCGGGGGTGTTCAGTGTTTGTCAGTTTTACTTTTATCTGATCTCGGTGATCATAGCCAGAGTAGTAATACAATAGTCTCGTCAGCAACTTCTTCCATCCCCCGAACGTCGTGACATCGTCCGCACAAGAGCAAACCCTCCGGTATGTCCACCGTAACACGCCGTCCTCTTTTCTCACGTAGAAAACAAGCTAGAGTACACCCGTACACCGTTCCTTTTTTTATCCCCATTTTCTCACGCCACGAGATTCCTTCCCCTTGCACCTTCACTCCACAGGCTTCGTTCAAAACAACTCCCACCCGTGAATCTCATCCAACAGCTGCAGATAGGTGCCCTTCTCGCCCTCCTCCTTGACCGCTGCGACGTCCTGCAGCAGCTCCTCGCCAAAGTTGCCCGTACCGGCCGCCTTAATGATGCGCCAGGCGCGCCTGAACTCGTCGCGGATGGAGACGATGCCGTTGTGCGTCACGGTGCGGGCTACGTTGTGGTCGAGCTCGAAGGGGTCCTCGATCGCGAAGAGGTACCGGTGGCGGACCTCCTTCACCTCGCCGTTCTTGTGAGAGCCCGCCGCTGCTGCGGTGGCGTTGGGCTTACTGCCGCCGACGGTGGGCGAGGCAGCTTCCTGTGCCGCGTCCGCGGCGCCAGCTGTCGGCGTAGGCGGGTCGACGGGGGACTTGAGGGCGAACTGTGCGGCGGGAGAAGGGGTCTCGGCGCTCGGGGAGTTGACGGCGTTGGGGCGGTACTCGATGACCGTCTTGGCGCCTGTCCAGCCCTTCTCCGACTTGGAGAGGAGGCCACCCGGGGTGCGGATGCTGAGAACGTCGCGGCCCCAGTCGTAGCCCCGGCCGGGGTAGGTGCTCATGTTGCCGTTCTGGGCGTAGTACTCGAAGAATCCGCGCAGGAGGTGGCCGATGCTCTCGCGGTTGCCGTTGAGCTGGTTCATCTGCGCCAGGCGGCGGATCTCGGCCTCGTCGCGCCAGAAGCCGACGTAGCGGCCGCGGCACATGATTGCGTCGTCGTTGATCGCCGGTGACACGCCCTCCGGAGGGGGAGGGGGGCCGAGTGCTTGGAGGTTGGGGCAGACGAAGGGCTGGACTACGTTGACGAGGTAGTGGAGCATCATCAGGACGTAGCCGTAGCTGCTGAGGGTGCCGCGGTAGGGGGTGTTGATGCCGCGTACCTTGGCCCAGTGTTTGATGAAGAGGACAAGGGGCCGGACGCGAGGGTCGGTGTGGGAGTAGCAGCGTAGGAGGAGGGTGTTTTGGAGAGCAAGATGGGCGGAGAAGTTGATGTCGCACTGGACGCCGACGCCGGACTTGGGAAACTCGAGCTTGTCGCGGTAGGGATCGCGGGGTTGATTGACGGACATCTTGGCGGGGTCCTTGATATCACGCATGCGCTTGATGATCTCGATGTTTTCCTTCGTGACGGGGATGACGTAGTCGTAGTGAGGGTCTTCGGCGTTGCTCTTGCGCATGGGGCCGCGGAGGATGAAGATGTATTCCCGTATGTCCTTCTCGAGGGCGCTCTCGTAAAGCTTGTGCTCGAGGGCCTTCTCCAGCTCTGATGCGAGTTGCAGACTCTTGTGACGGCGAGTGACGGCCAGAATGCTCGGGTTCGCTGGAATTTGGCCAATGAATTCTTTGACGTCGGCGCGGATGCTGTTAGTCCATATTCCGGCTGTGTACTTGTCGACAATCAGCTGCTGGGCGGCCAACAGACTGTCCGCATCTCGAGGTCGTAGCTGGGACACTATCCTCTGGGCTCTGGTATGGTATGAACCAGCAGCCTCGTGCTGGCTTTGTTCAAGGGTGAGCAGCTGAGCAACTGGGAGCTTCTTGAGCTTCTCGAGGAGCAGCTGTACCTGCTTCGTGTACGTCAGTGGCTCGATGCCAAAATGCCCTTGGTCTTGGAGCGCCTTCCACTGAGAGATGAGCATTCGGCTGGCGCCCTCCGTGTCCTCTGGACCCACGACAACGACGTTCTTCTGGTCCTCGCAGAGCATGACAATCCTTTCGCCTTCCATCTGTGCGTACACCCCTGCCAACGCGCGGTAGTTCGGGACGTTGGGAAGTGGCTTGAAGGACAAGGAAAGATATTTCGATAGCCTGTCCTTCAGCTCACCATTCTGAAGACCATGGAAGAACCCCTCACACACATTGGTGAGCAGCACATAGTCCTCCTGCGAGAGTTCGCGACAGTTTGAAACGGTAACATCGCGGCCCCCAAGTTGTCTCAACTTTCGCTTTGCTAAGTTATAGTAAGCGGGAAGTGACATGTTGGCGGACTGGCGAAGATTCAGCGCCTTCGCCTCATTGGAGCTGGGCAGTGAAGGGGAAGAAACTTCCGACTTGTGGGCAGCAGGGTCATCCGTTGAGTCATCGGTGGTCTCCTTTCCATGTGCGACCTCGCCGTCGGCGTGCTCGTCCTCATCAGCTCCATCGGCATGTTCGGCGTCATCGATGCCCTTCTCCCACTTCTCTCGCTCTTCCAATAGATCCATTCGCAGTCTATCGGGTGGGTTTTGGCACAGCTTGATGATGGGCACTCTGGTGCGAGTGAGCAGACGGGCGCCGAGGCCGAGCTCCAGGAACGCCTTCTCGATGATTCTGGGGATCGGCGAGCCGGCAGCATCTGGTTGAGGCTGTGACAGAGGCGATACGAGGCCGAGGTCCATGTCGGATGCTTTTGTAGCGAAACCCGAGGAAAGACTGCCGAAGCACTTCAGCTCCACTGACTGGGGAGGAAAGTTCTGGACGTTGTTTTCTTTCTGTTCATACTCGGAGACGGCGAGCTGACAGACCTGCTCAATTTGAAGGCGGAACTTTTCCTTCTCGAGGATGTCATCACGCTCGATCTCCGCCCCGGCAACAAGTGTGCCGCATAATCCTTCCAGGTAGACTGATTGGTTTTCCAACTCCTCGGGGCGAACCTGGTAGTGGGAGCCCCGAGGGCTATAGAGTAGGCCATGGGGATTGCGAGGGTATCTGGGTGATTTATTGTCTTGGCGTCCAAATTGATGTTGTTCATTATGGTGTCGCGAGGTATCGACATTTCCGGGATGGCGGGGTCCGGTATGCCTAGGCGTGTGAGGTTGAACACCGCCGTACTGGCTTTGCGCTTGTCCCTGGCCATGGTAAGGCGGGCCGTGGTGAGGTCTGCCTCCACTATGATGAAGTGAAGGTTGATGGGGTGAATGGCTTGGGGATCCGGAGAATGGTCTTCCGTAGTTGGCAGGCGGCGAAGGTCTAGGGTCGATGGGGATAGATAGCTGAGCGTTCATCTGGCGTCTTTGAGCTTGGTTTGGACGCTTCCTGGATACCTTTGGAGAGCCGGGTAGCTTTCCGTCCGCCGAGGGCAGAGCTGAAGGGTTGTCATTGGCGGCAATTGACACAGAGGCAGCATCGCCAGGGAGAGGCGCAGCCGTTCGCGGGGTCTCCGAAGGTTGAGCTTGGCTGGTTCCAGGCGGCGCATTGGTGAGGATCAGGTTTCGCAGGCGGTCCTCGAGGCCATTTTGACCGACGGGTTGGCCTCGTCCAGGCCGTCCTTCACTACTTTGCATGGCGACTGTTGGTTCGCGTTGTTGATCCCATGCGACGTAGTTTTAAGTTGCCAGAACTTGGCGATGATGAGGTTGCTGTGGGGTCTGAATGAGCTTCAGGTTTCTGCGATTGCATCGTACCTAAGGGCGGGTGAGAATTTACCTGGTCAAGGACTCCTGGGGAACATGGCCGAGCACGAGCGTTATATTGGGAGATTCTGCTCAGAATTGACGACAGAGAAGACCGAATCACGGGCTAGAATCCAGTTTCCGAATGCTGATCACCTCAATCACGTTAAAGTAGTGTAAATCCGGAGTTGAAGTGAAAGTTGTACGTGGGGAAGGTACCTCCCTTGATGAGGGGCTACAGTACTGGAAGCGAGAGACACTGTGCCAACGGCGCTTGGGCCGGCCACTTTCTACTGTGCGAAGGCAGAATTGGGTCTGCTGTGTTTACATTTAAAACTCCTTCCCAGACGGCATTCAACTTCAATTGAGGTGAAATGAAAAAATAATTTAGTCAGAAGGCCGTTAGCGACGGATTCCCGAAGTGCGGCGCAAAAGAGCGATTCATCTTGTGTACCGGCTCATGCTATTTATTCCCTCTTATTTAAGGTTAAGTATAGTCAAAGGGTAGGTTTGATTTTTCATGAGAGTAAGTCCCAAGGCTGAAGTGTGAGTTTACTTCTATAGAGAAGCTATGAAATTGACTTCCAGCCAGTGAGTATCAAGACACCTCGATGTCTTCAAGATGTATTTGATTTCTGACTTGCGTCTTCCCTCGGTATGACGTCCTGGTGAGGCTAGTCCATTCTAAATGCGGCTGTTTGGTGGATCCATCCATAATTGCCAGGCACTGTGAGCCACCCGCCAAGGAGATCAAGGTACTCCAAGCCAAAATTTGCCAGTCTGGTACAACGACTCCCAGCTTTTCTGCAAGCTCCCGACCCAGAGCTGCCTGCCTGCGCCGTCTTACCTTACGCTGTACGCCTAATTCCTGAGGTAGGCGCGCTCGTTGGCTTTGGTAACCTGCCTTCCGCAACCACTTTCTCGTCTCTGCTGCGCTCTTTGTCATCACCCTCATCGTTCGCTCTTCACGACAACAGCTTTTTCCATCTTACAGTCAGCTGTTACAAGAACGAATCGAACAGAGATACAAAAATAATTCACGGGAATCGACATCGACGGTTTGAACGCGATCGCGCCAGCTTCTCACGGTTTGCGCCGCCAACGAAGCTGCCAGCGGCATCACGCTATTTAGGCACCCTCAGCATCGGATCAAACCCATTGTCTCTAGCCAAGTCGCGAGAATACTGCGACGTCGTCAATTCCTTCGCATCGATCAATTGTCTTGCTCCGCATTAGCCGATCGCACAGCTTTCAAGCTGGTGGCCCTCGGCTGACAAGATGAGCGCGCCTCCGCCCGGTATGCCTAACGGCCAGAATCCCACCGGCCAGCCTCGCCCTCCCCCAATGAAGCGACGACCTCGCGGAGATCCTCTCGTTGCTCGAAAACGCCCTGGACAGCCACGACCTGCTGCTGCGCGGCCCGCACCGAACACTCTGCAGACCGCCGCAGGCGCTCGACCATCCCCCGGCGCGTCTGCCCACCACGGCCTCCAACGCCCCGAAACCGAGGAGGATATCAAGATACGGAGAGCGGCTAATGGTGGTTGGCTCGATCCTCCACCTACTAATGTTAGGGAGTACAAGATCGTCACAACGAAGAAGGCACTGAAGGATGGCATCCGTCACCACATCATGAAGCTTTCTTCCTCCAAGGCCGACCTTGAGCAGAAAGGCATTGATCCGACAAATCAGGACGAGTTCACTAGACCTGTAACTCTCCAACGACGCGATCCTCGCCAACCCCCGCCCGGCCGAGAAGTCAAGCAGGAAGCCCCGGAGCCTATGCCAGTGGATGAGAAGGAGGCAGAGAGGTTGGCCCAGATGAAGGCTGAACGTGAAGCCGTTCGTGCCGTCGAGATAGCCAAGAGTGCTCCGAGTCTCAAGGATCCCAGTGCCGACAAGAAGCCAAAGCCGAAGAAGAAGGAAGAGGACGTTCAGTTCCATCGTGCTCCCAGGTCAGAGAAGGAGAAGAAGCAGCAGGAGTTGAGATATGAGGAAGCTCTACCCTGGCATCTCGAGGATGCTGATGGCAAGAATGTCTGGGTTGGATCCTACGTCGCCCCTTTGTCTGAGACGACGGTTGCTTTTGTCGCTACTAGGGACGGAAAGTTTTCCGCGGTACCGTTGGAGAAGTGGTACAAGTTCACAGCAAAGCCACACTTCAATACCATGAGGCTTGAAGAAGCGGAAGCGCTCATGAGCAAGAAGACAGATATCGGCCGATGGTACATGCGTGACAAACAAAAGAAGACAGAGCAAGACGAGTGGGAAGCTACCAGACATGCACTCTATGGTCCCGCTAGAATCAAGACAGAGTCCAGCACCTTCCGAGCTGCCTCGCGAGAGGAGAAGATGGACCATGACCAGATTGACATGGAGGGCGACGAGTTCCAGGATGACGACGAGGCTCCAGGATTGGAGGCTGATAACGACGAGGATTTCAAGGAGGCGACTGATCGCATTCGCCGCGACCAACTTGGCGCCAACCTATTTGGTGAAGCCGACGAGCAGAGAGTTCAGAAGGAATTAGAAGAAGAGAGAAAGGCCGAAGAGGAACGCCGAAAGGAGGGTAAAAAGACCACCAAGGCTCTCATCAAGAGAGAAAAGGAGACAATCTACCAATCCGACTCCAGCGGCTATGATCCCTTCGAATCATCCTCGGTAAGTTTAGCTGGCACACCATCGTGTCATTGACTAACAGCGTTTCAGAGCGAGGACGACTCCGATGAGGAGAAGAAGGATGACGAAAACAAGGACAAAGAGAAGGGAGACGAAAAGGGAGACTCGAAAGACAAGAATGCTTCGGGTGTATCCTCCAAGGGTGATACAACACCATCTGGCCGAAACAAGCACACGGATGCCCTTAAGAAGGGCAAGTCGTTGAAGCGTCCAGGCTCTCCCAACCTGTCCGAGTCTAGTGGAAACGAGTCTTCCCGTAAGAAGATTAAGAAGCATGCTGCTGCATCAGTGCAGCAAAGCCGGTCTTCAACTCCTTCGTCGCAAGGACCCGCCGGCCAGAAGAGCAACCTCGGCAAGGGTGTGATGAGTGACGGCGAAGCAACGGCAGGAGAAATGTCCGACGGCCAACCGAGGAAGAAGAAGATCAAGCTTGTCGGCAGTGGAGCCAGAGGAACACCCGTCGGTTCCAGGGCCGGTAGTCCTGTGCCCGCCGCGCCGGGTAAGCGTTCACCTAACCACCGCTCCCAAGAATACTTACTGATCTCTCATCGCAGGCTCAAAACCTGGTTCACCCATTCCCGAAGGATCACCGCGTGCCGGGTCTCCTGGAGCCGGCCCAATCGAGCCTGCGGAGATCATTGCTGCTCTCCCTGACCTTCCGAACGGTATCACCATCGGTAATCTTATGCGGAAGTTTGCTGGGCGTATTGGAGACGGTCCAGGCCAAATGGATCGCAAGGAATGGATTAAGCTTGTCAGAGAAAACTGCGCCTATGGACCGGACAAGGTCCTCCGTCGCAGAGCCTAGGAGACATATCCTCGTATCAGGCTTTGGAAAATAGACAACATCCTACAGTAGCAACCTACATCTTGGGCTGTTGCGAAAATCAAGCGCATCGTGTAGAGGAGCTTCCTCATCGCGACAACTTTTGGTCGAGGTTTGGCGGCTATACGGCAACGCTGTACGGCAGGTTCTCGACGTTATCTTTCCTCTCGAGTTTAACGGCAGGGTTCGAGACGGCTTGCTGTTGTACCTTGGGCCTCGAGATACGAGACCATTCACGACAGAATTGCCAGTCTGGTTGGATTATCCCAGACGGTACTTGCTGGAGAAGGACGGGTTAACACTTATGGGGAGGGCGGTGGCATGGTGCCGAATATGGCACACCTTTCTAGTAGACGTACATTCCGCCTCTGCTGTAATAGATTAACGAGGCCTGCGGTCCAACGCTTGATTCTTTAGCTGCCGCATCCGTGATCGGTGATCGCGTCTGTTCTTTCCGGTCTATTTTGCACTTAATGTCAGGTAACCTGTGTAAATCGACCGAATTAAGTTGAATTATTGTGGCAGATACGCCTATGGCACATGAATCTGCGGAGGTATTGCTTTGCAACCTCTAGCCTCGAGATGGTCCGGAGATGTTCAAGACAACACAGGCAAGGCGAGGGCTTGGGCACTATGACACCTTTGACGTAGTTTTTCTGTATAGGCCTTGACCAGGTATCGCTAAGAAAAGTAAAATGCAGCCCGCATGGATTATTCGTCCATTTGCCATTCATAAGTCAGGCCCTTGTTCCGCTCCTTGCGGTTCAGAGCCCTGAACCTCTCCCCTTCAAAGCCATTACTCCTATCCACGCCATCCCACCTGTAGCCCGGCCGAATTCCGTACCGATTCGGCTCCGCAGCACCACTGTATATAGGCCTCTTCTTGCCCTTCTTCCCTTTCGCGCCTCCCGAAGTCTTCTCAGTCACAAATTGTGCCATAGGATCGTTCCACCTCTCCTTCTCCTTCAGCTCCCGATTCATCTCCTCATCGTCCGCCGTGCGCGCAAAGTTCATGAGCTTCGCGTCCTCAAGCGCCTCCCTCCTCTTGCGCGCCTGCTCGAGCTGCACATCGCCCTTTGGCGCAAGCTTCGCCAATCTCTCCTTCTCCTCTGCTTCGGCAGCCAACTTGCGCGCTTCGGCACGCTTCATCGACACGTCCACCCGCCGTCCCGTGGCGTCGCGGTATACCGTCTCCTGCTCCTTGCCAGACTTCCGTAGCTTCGCGAACTCGGCCTCTTCCGCCTGCTGCCGCCGCTTCAGCTGCGCCGCTACCGACGCGGCGCTCTGCAGGCCCGCGTGCGTCCCGTCGCTCATCTTGACCACACCCGCCGCGTCATTATCGTTGCCGCCCTCCACCACCGGCATCTCGTCGTCTGCGCGCGCGGCCGCGGCGTTTTCTGCGGCTGCCGAGGCGAGAATCGCGTCTGCCGCCGCGGTGTCGTCGTCTGGTTTTGAAGAGCTTCCGCCGCCGACGGATTTCCAGTTTGATTTTTTCGTGCGGCGGAACTCGGCCGACTTGGCGCCGGATACGAGCATGGGCGAGTCTTCATCGTCGTCGTTTTGTGTCGACTTGCCCCAGTTGTCGTCGTCGTCCGCGATGATCAGGCCTTGGTTTTCGGTGGCGGCCTTGCGCTTGCGCTTTTTGGTTGGCTTGGGATCTGCTACCAAGTAGTGCGTGGCGAGATATGATGATAGGTCGGAAGGCATTTTCGCAGTTAGTGCTAAGGAACGAACGAAGGCAGTTGGGGGTATCTTCAGAAGCTGGTAGGAAATGTTCTTGAAAGTTGCATTGCCTATTATCAGCCTGGAAGCTTGCCGATATCATTCTACGTACGTCTTGGACGCACGGGCCAGGCGACCAGAAAAGCAGGGGCCGTGGGACGACAAGGGTCCCCCCACTCCCTCCACGAATAGACGTGCATGTGACGGGGCGCTAGTCAATTATCGGAGGATCGAATGTCTCCCGCGCCGAACCTGACAATGACGGCCTGGAAGTAATTTGGATTGCTGGCAGCTTGTAGCGCAACTTGATTGTGGCCTCGTGATGGAACAGTGTCTGTACGTTCTTGCGACCGCACTTTTTGCGAAAACCGAATGACTGCTAACCCACGGCAAAGTCACAGACTGATCCGCCCAGGCCTTCGTTTCCGCGATCCATCCGCGCAAGCCCCCTAATGATTACGTCGCCCGAAGCCACTCGACGAGACTACAAGATTTAGTCTAGAGCCGCAACTTCCAACGTCCCTCCTCCCCAACCCACGATAGCACAGCGAGAACCACACTCAATACACACTCGAGAAGTCCGAGCCGGAAAGGGTTATCAGTCGTCCCCTCGACTGATATACCTCGGACCGCCCCTCTTTCCCCAATGCAGTCCCCGGACAACGATGCGTCGCCAACCGAGTCGATCCAGGCGCTGCCGATGGCCGCCTCCACCGTGAGGCTGCCTAAGAGGCAGTCTGTCCCCGAGGGCCACCCTCTGTCGCAGTCCGAAGTCAGCTTGCCGCACCGCCGGTCCCACCCCTCGGCCGCGCCGCTGTTCGCCTCGACCCTGACCCCTCCGGGTTCGCGGTCCGGATCGCCCATGGGACGGGGCTCGCCGGCCCGCAGCACCATGTCCGGATCGGTCTTCGGCGGACCCGCGGGCAGATCTCTGATTGATCTCTCTTCCGACAGCCCCGGCGACCCGCGGAATCTGCTCGTCAAGGCGTACGTGCCGCATGTTGCGATCTACACCTCCAAGGACACCGAAGAGCTGGCGAGGGAGAAGGGTTTCAAGAACGGTCTTTGGGAGTTACTCAGGCCGTTTGGAGAGCAGGTCAACGGCAAGGTTACGATTAGAGACAGCAACGGCGCCAGCAGGACGTGGGAGGACTACTCTATTCGGTTCGTCAAGTTCGGAGATAACATCGACTCGCCGGACGGCGCGAAGAATGAGAAGGCCTCGCTAGGATCCTCGCTGAAGTCGAGAAACACACTGGAAGACGTCGAAGCCGTGGTTGATCGCCATCTGTCCTACGCCGAAGACTCGTTCATGCACACCCCGCACCACGGCGCCTTAACAAGACAAGGACTGGACATTGAGGCAACCTCGCCCTACTACTCACTGTACCTGCGCAGGTTACTTTCGGGTATCCCGGTAACGCCGCACGAGACATTTGCGCATCCGGTGGCATGCGTCATCGCAATCAGTTCCAGAAGCCCTGCGCCGATTGAAGATCTTAGGAAGTTGTATAACGACACGAGCTCAGGCGAGAACAAGCTCCCTGTCTGGGTTGATGGGGACTACCTTCGGTACTACGTTCTGGTTCACGACGAAGAACGCGACGATATAACGCGATCACTTGCTCTCTTTGACCAGATGAAGCGCCACCTTGGCCTCCACTGCCACTTACTCCGATTACGAAGCACGCAGAGCGCCGAGACCGACGACGACAGTATACCGCTCCCCCGCAGCGACTGGATGTCTGCGGCCGAAGAACTTGTGGACATTCAGCACAGCGAAGACCAGGAAGACTTCGAGGACCCAACCAGATACATCTTTGAGTCGGATGCCACGGCAATCCGGACGTTTGTGAGAGAAATGGTGACGCAGTCCATCCTTCCTACTATGGAGCGGCACGTATCGCTCTGGAACGATCAGGTAGCTTCTCGCAGGAGAGGTATCACAGGCAGATTTATGAGCATATCCAGAAAATGGGGAGGTTTTGGCAGCAGCTCAAGATCATCAGTGGTCGGAGGTAGCAGCTCATCTAGCACCTACGACCCGTCAGGTTTCTACCGGCCAGATGCGTCGGAAGCAATCATGCGGAAGCTGGCCGACTTCGCTTTCATGCTGAGGGATTACAAACTGGCACAGTCGACATACGACCTGCTGAGATCCGACTTCAGCGACGCCAAAGCGTGGAAATACCACGCCGCTGCGAACGAAATGGCTGCTGTCAGTCTTCTCATCATGCCACAAAACCTCAGTTCCAAGTCCCGCGCGGAGACGATTGATCAGATGCTCGAAGCGGCCTTCTACTCCTACCAGACACGATGCAGCGCTCCCTTCGGCGCACTGCGTTCTCTTACCTTGGGCATCGAGCTTTTGCGCCTCAGGGGCGGGAGCAGCGTCGACGATGCAGTGCGATGGGGCATCCGCCTCCTGGATTCCAAGATCCTAGGTCCCATTGGCGACGCCCTGATGAAGGAGCGCCTCGCGGTGTGCTACGCCGCGAAACCGGGCGTCGGCTCCGGCTCCTGGGGTCACCGCAAGCGCAAGTCGGCGATGTGGTGTGTCCTCGCCGGCGAGTCCTGGCTCCTTCAGCAAAAGTACATCCAGTCCCAACGCTGCCTGAACGAGGCCGGTCAGATCTGGTCAGATCTGCCGCACGAGAACGGCATCTCGAGATTCAACCTTGCCAACGACTTCGTGATGGGCCTGCAGCAACAGCTTGATGAGCGGCTCGAGGCTGCGGAAGACGGAGGCGACGCTTCGATGTTGCAGGAGGAAGAGGTCCTCGTGGACGAGGAGAGCGAGGCGCTGGATTTGAGGTCGAGGAGGGCGAGCATGATGGGTAGAGCGATGCCGCCAGCTGCGAACCTCGAGACTGCGCCGTTGCATCAGGCCAACTCGAACGAGGACGACGTCGGGCCTGGTTCTGTACAAAACGATTTCGGATAAAGACACGATTGGGATAAGGATGGCGCTGGATGACTCGTAGACGCGGTTTATGAAGCGGTTTAATAGCATTTACACCGTTTTTATGAAGCCATGTCCCCTAAGTGACCTTTTTTTGTCCTGATGATCATTCGCGTCGCACAGCATGATGTCGGTCGAGTATGTACGTACCCGCCGCCAGGGTCCCTGGGATTTTCCCAGTGATCTCACCGGCAACCGATAGGGGGAAGGTACCGCTGGAAGAGCACCGATAAGGCGCCACCCCACCCTCCCGCCAACAACGGAAGCTCAACGAGCAACCTCGAAAGATCACGGGCAATTTTCTTCTTTCAATCTCATAGAAGCCACGTCCTGTTCCTGCCCGTCTCTCGAATCCCCAGGGACAGCCCGCGACTATAGTCCCGTAACTCAACGACCACGGAACCTTCCACCGCGTAAAGAGCTACACTTGTGCCGTTCGTCGGTGCCATCTAGCGACGATGGGGGACTTGGTAGACTTCCTTGTGGAACATGACCAGAACTTCCGCAAGTTCGTTCATCCCCACGATGTTCTGATGCTACAGTAGCCTGGGTCAAAGTTGGCTAACACCACTCCTCATCACAGAGCCCGACTGCCCGCCCTGTACTCCGACTTCCGTCCCCAACGAACCCTCAACCCAGATGGCTTCCAGGCCAACGTGAGCGCATGGCGACAGGCCCTCGCCCGCGCAGCTTGGGAAGGCAGGATAGCGTCGCAGGTCTCTGCACCAAACCTCCTGGTCGTCAACGTCGACGAGCAGCTCGTCCGCTCCCTCGAAAGCAAACAGTTCGGTCGGCCACTCGCCCTCGGCACCGTCGTCAGGGAGGCCGTCAACGACAAAGACCTCTACCCCCTCAAAGAATTCCTCGCCGCCAAGGACAGCATATACGCGAAGACGTGGTCGCAAGTCCCGTGGAGCGTGGTGTCTTGGGCGGCCGGGCAGCTCGGGTTCGGAGGGAAGTCAACCTCCGGCGAGGATAAGCTGCCCAAGGGCCAGTTTGTGGTGATCAAGAACGTCGAGACAACTGCGAAGGGCCTTGCGGAGAAGGTCAGCTCTGCGGATGCCCGGTTCGATAGGACGTACACCAAGTCGCATTTCCAGAAGACATTTGCGGATAGTTTGGTGGAGCACAGGAGGTTATCAGACACGGACGTCGACATTCTATTGGTTTTCTTGTCGCGGGATAAGGGCCTTGTGGTCTACGATGGCAAGGTCGTCAAGATCAAGGGTTCAGGGCCCGAGGAGGACGAGTCTTCTATAACGGAGGAGGACGCCGCCGTCTCGTCCCTAAAAGAGCTGATCGAAGACATGAAGAACCAAACGGCTCTCCTCTCAACGCGCATCGATGAGCTCACGGTGACCGCGAAGGAGGCCGTTGCGAAGAAGAACAAGGTGGCTGCTATGGCGGCCCTGAAGTCCAAGAAGCTCGCCGAGAACTCCCTGCAGACGCGCTTCGCGACGCTCGGCCAGCTCGAGGACGTCGCATCGAGGATCCAGCAGGCGCGCGACCAGGTGCAGCTCGTCAAGGTCATGGAAGCGAGCGCGGGTGCGCTCAAGGGGCTCAACGAGAAGGTTGGCGGGGCGGACCGCGTCGGCGACGTGGTTGCCTCGTTGCGGGAGCAGATGGGCGAGGTCGACGAGGTCGGCGACATCATTGCGGACGCCAACGCGGCGCCTGCGGATGAGGTCGAGGTCGATGACGAGCTGGCGGAGATGGAGCGCGAGGAGAGGGAGAAGGAGGAGGCTCTCGAGAAGGCGAAGAGAGAGAAAGAGGCGGCCTTGGAGAAGGCGAAGAGGGAGAGGGAGGAGGCCAAGGAGACCGAGGAGATGGAGAAGAGGTTGGAAGCGGAGATGCAGGGACTGAAGGCGCCTGTCACGGAGCCCGAGGAAGGAGCGAAGACGCCTTCGAAAGAGACGGCGGAGAGTTTGGAGAAGTTGGAGTTGGAAGAGAGGCCTCAGCCACAAGCAGCGTAACGATCACGAGCAGCCTCCAGTTCCAGTGTATTAGCTACGGTGTTCAAGGTAGACCACGGCGTTTGGTAGTTCTGTGCATTCATGTTCCGGGGTATATTAATGAAGCGCCGTCTGATGATGGTATTAATGAGCAATATGTTCACCTCGCTTCACCTCGCTTCCTGACTATTTTCCGCGCCAAGTTCCACCGGGGGTATCTGCTCTGAAAAGCCGTCCTGCAAGTAGTAAGTCGCCGAAGGAGGTTGCGGCTGCGCTACCATCTCAACCTCCCCCACCGAGTTGGGATCGTGATGTCCCTGGATTCCATCTGTATGCGCCGTATTCTCCTTCTCCTGCACCTGGGCCTCTGTGTTGTCTATCGATGGCTCTGTTAGGTCGACCATAGCGACCTCGACTCCTGGCCCCTCGATAGCTCCAGACCCAACGGTCCCAGAGCCTTCTCTTGACCCGTCGCCCGTCTCCTCCTCCGTCTTCGGTTTTGCCTGCCGTCTGCTCTTGCGCGCATTCGCAATTAGGTCCTTGAACGAGGTATCGTGTTTCGCCGCCCAAGCCGCCCCATCAAACTCCTTGTCCTTGACCGCAGCCCCAGGTCGCGCGGCGAACATAGGGGCTTTGGCACCCTGCGTGCGCTCCCACACGTCGAGGTCATGCAGCAGCTCCGCACGACGTTTAGGGCGCGCGGAATCGCAGTTGGCGTTCCAGAGGGTCACCCACTCCTTATGACGCTTCTCCAGCTGCTGTCGCGTGCCGTTTGTCGAGAGGCCGAGGTCCGACATCCTCTTGCGGAGGGCGACGTCCTTGAGCATGGAGTAGGCTATAGCCGGGAGGCGCTCGGGGGCCGGGGTCTGTCGCGGCGCGCCCCGGGCGGGGGCGGAGGTCTGAGGGGTCGGTGTTCGGCTTGAGCTGGCGCGAGAGGGTTGTGTTTGGGTTCCCGGGCAGGTGTCAAGGTGGCGGAAGACTTGTGATTCCTTCATGCGGGTGTTACAGATTGGACAGGGGACGAGGCCGTCTTCTGGAGCTGGCGGATTGTTAGGAGAATAACAAACAACGTCGGGGAGATAGAGGACTTACTGAAGGTTGCGTCGTCTCCCTCATCTTCTACATCGTCTTCTCTGTGCTCGGAGACGAAGTCTTCTTCTTGATATACCGTAGCCGCAGCCTGTCCGGCCCGCGTCTTGCTGAGTCTCGCTGAACTCCTGAGTCGTTTCGCGTCTGGTTGCTGCTCGCCCGCCGCAGATTCCTCCTCGGCCAACTTCCTCTTAGGCGACGATCCTCCCACGGCAGATCGCCCCGCTGTCCTGGCGAATTCCAATGTTGTTTTCCTCGCCTTCACAAAAGACTCGACGATTTCCTCCATGGCCCAATTACTCCTCAACTTCAACTCTTGGTCCGAGGCACGGCACAGGGGGCACTTGCCGTCGTTGGAGAGGGCACGACGGATGCATAGCGAGCAGAAGGTATGACAACATGACGTGAGCATGGGCGTCTTGAAAAAGTCCTTGCAGACCTGGCATCGTAGGGCGGCCTCGACGGCAGAGAGGCCTGGGAGAGGCGTCGAGAGCCAGTCCGTCGAGTCGGGCACGTCTTCGAAGTTGTCGACCATTGGGGCGCTTGCGGTTGCCGGTCGTCGAGTCGCGAGGTTGTGCTGAAGGTTTCGAAGAGTTACCAGGGGTTCTTGCTGCAATAAACTTCGTTCTAAGACCCCAATGTTCCACACGCAAACCAGATTCGAGGCGACTTGGAGAGAACGAAGGGTCTGACCAGAGGACCATTGGCAAGTTTTCCGAGGACGATCAAGTCGCGTTAAGTGGCGGCACGCGCTCAGGTCAGGGATCTGTGGAGGTTGCAGGGGGGTGTATTTCAGTGGATAACGTCACCAATAGCGCTAGCTTTAGTGGCTGACGAGGGAGTGTGCGTAGAAAATCAATTAAGGGAAGGTCCCCTTACGCGTCTACACTTTTCTGGACGCGTCTTGCCTACGCCTTTGTCCCTCTTCCTGCATAGAAGGTGGAAGGTATCGTAATAATTTCAATTTGATCGAAACGACGACCCTACCTCTTTTATTGCCACATTCTCACCACTGGACGTTTTTCTCATCTTCAGGAGCCCAAAATGGATGAGTACAAGAAGTATCTGGCGGATCAGATCCTCAGCGAGGAGAAGATTGTAAGTATTGACCCTTCATCACGATGGACGATACTGACGGTCAAATTAGGTGACGTATCGCAGCCTTAGCAGGGCCTTGAAAATTCACGTCAACACTGCGAAAGGGTTGGTCTCTTCGGCTTCACCGCGAGTTGCAATCACTCACCTCTAACAGCATGCTCTATGAGTTCCATCGCTCTCAAAATGCTGCGCGCCCTGGCACCATCCATGCCACCTACTTGATCTACGGCACCCAGAAGGTAGCCAAGGTTCAGGAAGATGGCGACGTTGAGATGACCAGTTCTCCTCCCGAAGTCGAACCCCTTTCTGAAGAGGTCGTCACCCATTCTTTGACCTTTGTCCCTGGCGACCGTTTGAAGGGTAAGAAGGGTTCCATTTGAGTATAATTGGACCCAAGCTAACGATCGTCCTAGAGGTGTTGGCGACGTATGAGGAGGTCTCTTCATTTCATATCTACAGCCTCGCTCGCCATCCCACTAGGGTAAGCTAGAAGATTCAATCACGGCCGCAAATGTTGACATGTTGTCAGGAGCCACAAATGCTGGCAGATGTGTCCCAGCAAATTCGGGAGCAGACCGGTGACGACAGCATCTCTATGATGGAGGCCTACGGCTCGATCACAAATCCCAACGTTCGGAGGCGCGACCGCAAAGGCAAGCCGCCCGTCGCTGCGGCTGCTACGCCGGCGGCCAAGCCTGTCAAGAAGGAGCCCGCAAATGTGGCATCCAAACCCGCCGCCGAACCAAAGGCAGAAGATGTCAAGAAGGAGATTGGCAAGAAGGAGGCTAAGCCCGCGGCCAAGGAGTCGCCGTTCTCGACGGCCGCCAGCAAGAAGGGCTCAGCACCTCCCACGTTGAAGAAGAGTGGATCCTCGGGCATCATGGGATCCTTCGCGAAAGCTGCAGCAAAGGCCGCGAGCAAGCCGAAGGAGGCACCGAAGAAGGAGGAACCTGTCAACGATTCCCCTGCGCTGTCTGACGATGGCGAGGACGACGACGACGACATTCCGGCTGCTAAGCCTTCCACGGACGGAAGAAGATCAAGAAAGGAGCGCGAAGCTGATCTGAAGCGCATGATGGAAGAAGAAAGCGAAGAGGAGCCTGAGGAGAAGGAGAAGGAGCCTGAAGACGAGCCTATGGAGGAGGCACCGGAGCCCGAGCCCGAGACCAAGAAGGAGCCGGAGCCGTCAGAAGTCGTCGCTAGCAGCGGTGATGGCCGGCGACGCGGTAAGCGGAAGGTGATGAAGAAGAAGCAGATCATGGACGAGCAGGGTTATTTGGGTACGTTTTTCTTCATCATCGACATATTCACGCATGTGCTAACCATGAGGTATTAGTCACAACCCAAGAGGCTGTCTGGGAAGAGTTCTCTGAAGATGAAGCTCCCCCTAAGCCGGCTGCCAAGCCCAAGCCTTCAACAGCCCCGAGTTCGGGCAGTCAGACCAAGTCCAAGAAGCCGGCGCCGAAGGGACAAGGAAACATTATGTCGTTCTTCTCCAAGAAGTAATCAAGAGTGTTATAGGTCATCTGGAGGGAAGCATCCATCACAGCCACAGAAAAATGCAGGAAGGTTATAACAGTGATCTGTGCGACCTCCTATTGCTTTCGGATGGTGGACAGTGTGCCATCAAAGCGAATGGTATTTCAAGTGACAAAGCAGGATTTACAAAGGGCGTTGACATCAAGCACTGAGAAACATGCATACTTGTCTCTGAGAATTATCAACATTGATGTAACATTTATTCCAGCTGGGCTTGATGCGGTGATGAATGGCAGTTGTTCTTCGGTCATGAGATGTCAGTGATGACCTAGTCGGTCCCCGGCGCATGGGTCAACATGCCCGGTTTCTTACCTGGAATTTGTTTATCTACATCCCAGCAAGAAACGAAACCGTGTTTTACTCGTGCCGGCCGGAGCATTTCAGACGGCAGATCGGACAGCAACGGCACGGCGGTGCCCCGCGCAAACCCCCGCAGTGGGTCCTTCGCTGTTAATGCCGGGCGCTAAGGCGCGCATCCCCGGTCAGAGCTGCTGCAAGGGACCACACCACACCTAGTGACGAGATCCCCCCAAGCGCAAGCGCAGCGGACACCTGGCTCACTGTGTCGTGGTACTGGACCCAGTTTCCTGTTTCCGTCCCGTCAACGCCAAAACCTCCCGGACACGAACCCTTCCATTCCGACTACACTCTTTCTAGAGGTTGTTGAAGATACCCATGCGGACATAGACCCGTTCGTTTCTTTCCTACCTGCCTCCTTTGGCCTCGTAGTCATGTCTCTTCGCACGGTTGTCGAAGTGCTGCTGCCGCTCGCAGGGCTCCTCGTCGGCCACGCCCGCGCGGCGCAAGAACCTCTCACCGGCGAGGAACGCGGCGCATGCCCTAATTATGAGCAATACGCTACTCATCCCCAGTAGGTCGCTCGCGTTCAAATCGAATCACACTGCGACTGCGGCCCGTTACTGACTCCTTGGTATCTAGTAAACCCCTAAGCGAAGGGCCCCTTGGTCTTCCTTACCAACGACCCGACCCACGATGCCGTACCTTTCATTCCGAGGCGATCGAGAAGGTCATCAAGGATGTCACATCCCGGATGAAGGACCCTGACCTGGCCAGGCTCTTCGAGAACGCATTCCCCTCGACAACCGACACAACCATCAAGTTCCACACGGACGGGACGGACACTAGATTTGTCGACCTGAACGGCCGCAGTCTGCGCGACGAGGGCAAGTGGGAGGGCCCGCAGTCTTTCGTCATCACGGGAGACATCATAGCCGAGTGGCTGCGCGACAGCACAAACCAGTTGTCTCCTTACCAGGCGCTGGCAAAGAAGGATCCGGCCATCTTCAAGCTGATCCTCGGCGCCATCAACACACAGTCCGAGTATGTCATCGAGTCGCCGTACTGCAACGCCTTCCAGCCGCCGCCGATCGCGGACCTGCAGCCGAGTCATAACGGGCAAGATGATACCGTACATCCCATCTACGAGCCCTCGTTCGTGTTTGAATGCAAGTACGAACTGGACTCTCTTGCGCACTTTCTGGCTTTGGGCAACGACTTTTACGAGCACACCGATTCGAAGGATTTCCTCACGCCGAGATGGTACCTTGCGCTCGAGACCCTGCTCGATGTTCTGGAGCAGCAGTCCCGCTCGACTTTTGATCCCGAGACTGGCCGCTACCAGAAGAATGAGTACACCTTCCAGCGTAAGACGGACGCCGGCACCGAGACCTTGAACCTGAAGGGCATCGGCAACCCATTGAACAATGGCACCGGCCTAGTGAGGTCCGCTTTCCGCCCCAGTGACGATGCTACCATTCTGGGCTTCTTTATCCCGGCCAACGCCATGATGGCTGTAGAGTTGAAGCGTACAGCTGAAATCCTGAAAGCTGCCGGTAAAGGCGTCCTGGCGCAGACTGTGGATAAGTGGAGCCAGACCATCACGGATGGTATCTGGGAACACGGCGTTGTAAAACACAAGAAGTACGGCGACGTCTTTGCGTATGAGGTGGATGGCTATGGCTCGTCTATCATGATGGATGATGCCAACTACCCGTCCCTCCTCGCGTTGCCCCTAATGGGCTTCCTGCCGCCCGAGGACAGGACGTACCAAAACACGAGAAGGATGCTTTTGGAGAAGACTGGGAACCCATACTACCTCGATGGCCGGGCTTTCCACGGTATTGGAGGTAGGTAATTCTTACGTGGAGTCCGTAGTCGCATGCTGACCTTTGCCCAGGACCTCATATTGGTCTGTCCAATGCTTGGCCCATGAGCTTGTTGATCCAGGCGCAAACATCCGAGAACGATGCTGAGATCACGGAATGCCTGGACCTCGTCCTGCGCTCCGCCCGTTTGGGATTGGTTCATGAGAGTGTCGACGTTAACCACATCACTTCTTACACCAGAAGCTGGTTTGCATGTAAGTTGTGAATGTAGCCCATCTTTTAGGTATGATACTAACAGCTTCTCCAGGGGCCAACGGTGTTTTTGCTGAAACAATCTTGGACATTGCGAAACGGAAGCCTCATTTGATCTTCACTGACGCGAAGCCTTACCACGTTTGATTGTAATGGTGACGGTTCTTAACCGTGAGAAACGCGCAACATGTTTTGCTGGGTTGCATTGTAGGATTGACGGATGAGAATTGGGCATAGCGACTGGACTCGCTTCACCTGCATTATTTATACCCAGAGGGGCCTCGACCCTAGATCGAATCATTTCTTACATGTGCTATGATTTCCAGCTATGAACAGCCGCAAAACAGTGACGAGTCGTGTCCTTGATAATTCCAAACAGCGCTTTTACTTTTCTTCCCAAACCCTCACTTCACGTTATCAACATCCAACCCGCTTTGAGACGTCCACTCGCCTCCCTCCCTCATCGCCTGCAAGACCCTTCCCAGCCTCTCAACACCCTCCACGATATCCTCCTCAGGCTCCCAAGAGAAGCAGAGCCGCACCTCCCGGTCAAACCTCGCCGACTCCTCGTCCCCATGCACCTCGAACTGCGCTCCGTGCCCGATGACCAAATCCTCCGTCTCCTTGGCCCTCACGGCCGCTTCCCGACTCGACATCCCCTCCGGCAAACTAAACCAAACAAAATACCCTCCATAAATGCCCCCGCCCTCCAAAGAACTCTCCCTCACTTTGACCTTCCCGCCGAACGGTTCCTGGATATGCTTCCTGACAGCCTCCATCATCAACCCGTGCCTCCCCGCCAGCGCCGGCCTCGTCTTCTCGTCGATATGCCTCTGCACGACCCCGCTCGCCAGCATCTCCGCGATGAACATCGCCGCGAGCTGACTAGGCGCCCCGCCGCTGCAAGACGACCCCGTCTGTGACAGTCCATATGCGAACGCCGGGCTGCCCTCAGCCCAGCCCGTCCTCACGCCGGGTCCCACGATCTTGCTGAAGGACCCGTTCGATACGACGTTGCCGAAGCCGGCCTCGGGCACGCCCAGAGCGCGGTCGATGTCGACAAGGCGCGGGAGGCGCATGGCGGGCGTGTAGCCCGAGACGGGACCTTCGAGGGGCCACTGGAGGAAGTCGTAGACGTCGTCGGCGATGACGAGGGCGTCGTGCTGGCGCGCGAGGCGGACGAGGTCGTAGCGTCGGCGGAGGGACATTGTCTTGCCGGTTGGGTTGGAGCAGGTCGGGACCAGGTAGATTACGTGGCGGTAGAGGTGACGCTTTTTGGCTTGTTTGAAGTGCTGCTGTCGTGTTAGTGATCAACTCTCTGAGGTACCTCATCTCGGCAGATCGGGATCATGACGATATGAGAAGCAGAGTGAACTAGACTGACCTCGTCGCTCCCCTTGCCTGCGGCCTCGAGCCCCTTTCTGAGATACTCGAGATCGATACCCTCGTCATCCTCGGGCACGGACTTGAGCCTCCCGTCGAAACCCGCGTCGGCGTAGATCGGGCACGCGAGGAAGTAGCACGGCGCGACCATCCAGATGTTCTGCGTATACAGCGGGTCTGTGAAAGATTGCAAGATACACGCCAGGTTCTGGCTCGCGCCGCCCGTGATGCAGATGCGGTTGACGTCTGGCGGGTGGTGCGGGAGGGGGTCTGCACCATCCCCAGAAGAAGCCACGGCCGCTTCCTCGGCCGTCGGGGGCGCCACCGGGTAGAACGCCGAGAGCCATTTCGAGAGGGCCTCGCGGAGCGGCTGGTAGCCCGGGTCCGGGCCGTACTGGAGCCCCGGTACGTAGACGGCCGGGTCGGCGAGGGTCTTGACGGCCGCGGCGGAGATGGCTGCCGCCGGGAGGAGGGAGGGCGAGGGCCAGCCTCTGAGGAGGTTGATGGGCTTCTTCTTCAGGGAGGCGTTCATCGTGGGTGTGGGGTGACGGGGAACGGAGGTTGAGTGGTGTGGTGTGTGAGGTGAGAGACGGCGGTCCGTTCGGAAGTGGGTTCCGGCGATGACGGCGGTGCGGGGCCGGGTATGAGGTATTTGGATGAGGTGTTTTGAGAGCTTTGGCACCCGATGATTCATCACCTCACTGTAACGGGTGATTGGTAGAAGGATTGAAAGTCGCCGAAATGTTTTGGCTTGGGGGAAACGCAATTATTTATGGCATGGGGATTTTGTGACGAAGTGAAGTTCATAGCGGTACGCTCCGACTGCGGAGTCAAGATAAGACGCCAACGGCTAAGATGCCTTTTTGAGCGAGGAGAATGGGCGCTCACGCCCCATAATTTTGCTGCAATTGTCATGGCATCCATGAAGAATTATCGACAATACTCAATGGAGACAATGAACTGAAATGAATAGGGGTATCATATTTGCTCGAAATGCAGCGTAGTCTATGGATACAGTGTACAGTATGAGCTCTACAGTCTCGATGAATTTTCCCTTTACCAACCCCATGTCCTCGTGGATGCTGTGAACACCGGAGGCTTCCATTGGATCCTACTAGGATCAATGAGCCTCTTCTGCTTCACTCTCTGCCTCTCACGTTGCTGGATGAGCTTCTCTGGTATCACGATCTTGTGCTCGCCCTTGTGGTAAACCTGCATCTTAAGTGCTTGTAAGGTGTGTTCCACATCTTGGGGGATGATGGCGAGCTGGGTGGAGATGGCTTCGATGGTCGCCTTCTCTTCGCGCTCGTTGTATCCTATGAGTAGATCTAGGATGTTCTCACCCCAGTATTGTCGGTAACTCAGCAGACCCAAATCAGAGAGCGGCTTTTCGGGCGAGCCTAGCTTGCCTTCAATCTTGGAAAGCTCGTAAGAGAATTGGATCAGCAACCGACCGTAACCCTTGCGCTGGTATTGAGGTAGTGTCAAAATACAAGCAACATTGTAGCCGTCGGCGCTTTCTTTTTCTTTGGAAAAGTATCCGATAATGTGGCAACCCTTATCGTCTCGACTCGCCATAACGTAGAACAGGAACGGGTCAACGTCGTAGTAGAGTGTTTTGTGATCCAGGAACATCTTGGACAGTAAACATAGGTTGCGACAGTACGTCCGCTGTCGTCTACCGTCAATCTCGAAGAACGATACGGAGTCGTCCCGGTAAATCTCGTTTCCGGGTGGGTGTTGCAACGTGCACTTGCGCCTGTGTCGCGAGAAAGACTTCTCGTCGCCGTAATATCCGAGGCAGAACTCGCAGATGTAAATGACATCCTCCTGGTTGAAGACCTCGGGGTATGGCGAGAAGTACCAAGGGAACAGATCGTTTTTGCCGAATTGCACCTTGGAGATGTTTCGAATGCGGGAGATCTCGGCCGGATTCTGGGTCATAGACCCATGCGTCCTCAACTTCTCGATCTCCTCTTCGCGACTGAAGCCGTTGAGGTCTTTCTTTTGGTCGCCCTCGTCCCCGTCAATGTCCATTTCATCTCCCAGTGCTGCTGGCGTCGCGCTCGCCTCGCCGGTCGCCGGTGTCTGGCTCTGGCTCTCCTCCGCCGTCGGGGTCATCTTCCGGCTCTGCGACTCGGTGAATTCGGTCCATGGGTGCGGTGTGGCGGACTCGGATGGGGCCGACTGCTCCCGCTTCGCAGGCCTCTTCTGAGCTTTCTTTGAGGGCTGCGCTTTCTTCGATGTCGCCGTTCCCTTCTTCGATTTCGCTTCCTTAGGCTTATCCTTTTCCGGGACTGGCCACTCAACCTCTTGGTCAAAGTCGATGCGGGATGTCGGCACCCATTCATCGAGACGTTTGTTGAAGTTATCAAAATTGCAGTAGAACTGCCGTCCGCTCTTCGTTTCTTTTATACTGAGAATTTCTGCTCGTCGAGGGACACCTTCTTTATTGACCATAGCAATACATCCTATTCTATGGCGCATGTGTCAGTGAAGCTCCCTCGAAGAATACTTGGTGGGGCGATGGAATGACGCACCTGATCGTCTCTGGAGTCGCCTTGCCCTTCTGTCTGGGCTCGCCGGACCCGACGGTGGGTTCCCCGTTGCTACCGTGTGCCGCCATGATGAAATCTGGAGGTGGTGGCTGGTGGTTGATGGTTATTGAAGTTTCGGCGCAGAATGACTTTCTTGTGTTCTGTCGCAAAAGATGATGGTCGCAGCGGGAAGAGGAAGGTGGTGTGGCAGAAAACGCGACCTCCAAAGGCGGTGAGGAAATTGCCGTGAACCCCTGTCAACTTAGTGGAGATTCTAGCAAGCGATCGACCCACTATAGTTGCCGTTTGAGGGATTGCCCCGTTAAGCTCATTTTCTCACGTCGACGAGCTATTTGGGGCGAATTTTGGTCCAAGCCGACCGACCCTGAGCCAAAGTGCAGAGGCTTTACTCACAGTTTTATGATCATGGCGCCTGAGCTGTCATCAAATTGGAAGAAGCTCCAGGCTCAACTCAAAGCGGCACCCTCATCCTCTTCAACTTCCGGGGCAGTGAAGAGGAAGGCGGAAACCTCAACCCAGCAGCCCGCCAAAAAGCAGAAAACAAAAGTCGACGGAAAGCCTGCCCCCAAACCCTCTCCAAAGAACTCCAAGCCGACAACAAAACCAACACAAAAGAACTCCAAGGTGAAAAACGACCGTATGGGTGTTACACAGAGCTCCAAGGTTGAACTTGACCTCGACCCAAAACTGAGGACCACGCCGTCCCTTGCCCTCTGGGCCGAAGACAATGGTGTTTCTTCCGAGGCGTTGGCCGAAGCCTATGGCCTTGGGCTGAAAGACAACTCGATGCTCGCGTCAGACAAGGACAAGATCAACGCCGGTCTCACAGAAGGACTCGACGTCGGCAAGTACATCGCCATGGACTGCGAAATGGTTGGTGTCGGTGACGGAGGATACGAGTCGGTGCTTGCTCGTGTGAGCATCGTCGACTTCCACGGCCGCCAAGTATACGATTCCTACGTGAAGCCCCAGGAGCGGGTAACAGACTGGCGGAGCGCTGTCAGCGGGATCCTGCCAAAGCACATGAGGTTTGCGAGAGAGTTCAACGAGGTGCAGGCTCAAGTCGCCGAGCTCCTGAAAGACAGGATACTCGTCGGTCACGATGTGAAACATGATTTGGACGTTCTGAGGCTCAGTCACTCGGCCAAAGATATTCGCGACACTTCCAACCACCCAGGATTCAAGAAGTTCAGCAATAGCAGAAAACCAGCATTGAGGAGGTTGGCGGAAGAAATCCTCAAAGTCACCATACAAAGCGGCGCCCACTCGAGTATCGAAGATGCAAGGGTGACGATGCTGCTCTTCAGGAAACACAAATCCGCATTCGACGTCGACCACGCCAATCGGTTTCCCAGCTTTGGGGGCGCGTCGGCCAAATCGAAGCCCAAGTCCAAGACTAAGAAGAAGAAATGAATTCCGTCTCTACCGCATACGATTCCCGCTACCTCATGAGTTTGATACTCCAACTCTTCATTATTGCCGCCGATCCGAGGCTCTAAGCCTCCTGGCCGGTAGCGATGCTGCCATTTCCACGCTTTTCAACCCTCATCACATTATTACCCTTCACAAGGGAATACCCTCCATCAACTCCAAGGCACCTTCGCGACCCACAGTTATTATCACATCGCCGAGCGTTTTCGTCAGGAATCCAGCTTCGCAATATGTGAAATAATACTGGACACACGTTAGCATAGACCACAGACTCCCGGATGGTGTACCGCATACCTCCCACTTCCTCCTAAATACATCTATCTCTTCCTCGGTCATGTCCTCATGTTCAATCATCAATGCTGGTCGGATCTTCGAATCGAAATTTTGAAGGAATGCCTCCTTCCACAGTCGCAAGGTTTTCGAGTAGTGACCGCCAATATTCTCGATTTTCTCGACGATCAGCGTTCCTTTCGACTCGTTGGTGATGTGGTTCATGAGTTGGGTAATCGACGGGAGATATCCGCCGGGGAAGATGTAATGGTTGATGAAACTGTCGATCGTCAGCAGGATTCCTCGGAGCCTATGTTTTCGTGGCTTACTCTTCTCCCTTGGAATACGCCTCGTGGCGTCCTTCCGGCATGGTAATGCACTGGAATACGGCGATGCCACCATCCTTCTTCAACAACTTGTCCATGCATGCAAAATAAGTTGCCAGGAACTCCTGGCCCACGGCTTCCAGCATCTCAATCGATACGATCTTATCGAACGGCTTTTCTGGCACCTCCAATGCCCGGTAGTCCTGCAGTCTAACCTCGATTCGGTCGCTGAAGCCCGCGGCCTCAATGCGCTCCTCCGCAAGCGCCTTTTGTTCTTTGGAGAGCGTCAGACTGGTGACGCGACATCCCGTCTTCTTCACTGCCTCAATCGCGAATGAGCCCCAGCCGGTCCCGATTTCCAAAACGTGGTCCGACTCCTTTATGCGAGCACCGTCAATGAAACGGTGTAGCTTGGTCATTTGCGCCGCCTCCAAGCTCTCTTCCGGCGCATTCGGGTCGTTGTGCGTCTTCCATATGGGGCAGGAATATGTCATATCTGGTGACAAGAAGGCTGCGAACATTTCGTTGCTGATATCGTAGTGCGCCGAGATGTTGAGAAGGGCATTCGAAAGAGTATTGGTGGTGCGGGCCAAGCTTGAGATGGCAGCAGAGAAGCTCGAGATCCACGTCGTTCCATTGCCCATTTCTTCGCGATTGACGATGAAGAGCTGATCACCTTGCATATTAGCCCTAGCTACACAGGTGACGAGGAATGATGGGTTCTTTTACTACTGACCTGGAAGAAAGCCGTCAAGTCTTTACACTCGATCTCGCCGAGCATGTACGCCTCGGCGAAGCCCATGTCGGCGAACAGGAACAGGCGCATCCAGAAGGCATCACTCTTCACGACCAGCTCGACTCGGGGCACGGCATCGGCGCGGCGCGGGACGTAATCGCCATTAGTGAGGTTCTCGTTGTACTTTGCGCCCAACTTCTGGCCAAACACGCGCCTGAACTCGGCCGGCTCGTCGACGAGCAGCAGCGTGCCGCGCTCAATCTTGGAGAAGACGGACAGGATCGCGGGCTTGGCCACGGACAGCGCCGGCCCCCAGGTCAGACTGCCGACCGCTCCCCTCACCAGCTCCGTCCCGCGGGACAGCGGCTGGGATACGGCCGCCGGGACCAGAGAGGGCAGCTTGGGCATGGTTGAAGCAGAAGCTTTCTCTCTCTCTCACTCTGTTACTCTCTGTATCTATCCTCCCGGGACAAGAAACGAAAGGTCGATGTACGTATAAGATGGGAAAGTCGCGAAACGTGGTGGTACGAATTGGGGCAGATCCAGACCGTCAATTGAGTTGGGCGGGACGCCGAGGCAACCTAAAGCAAGCTCTCAAGGTAAAGGCACACTGGGATCTTGCATCTGTTGTTCGATGATGGAGGGGGGTTGGATTTGTCGGAGGGGGGAGAGTGTGAGAAATGCGGGAAGGTTTACTACGTACAGTAGCAGAGGCAGGACGACGGTGTGTTTTCATCTGAGACCAACGGCAGGGCGGGATGATCGGTTTTATTACTACTAGGCCATGTCACCGCACATTTCTTCTGGAGGGCTGGATCCAGGCGCATAGCTAGGCCAGCTAGCAGCACTTGTCCTCTTTTCACAGATGCAACGAGCGCGTGCTTATTGTCTCGCCCATCGGTACCGTCGCAAGCCCGAGGGTCAAAAATGTGGGTGGACGAGGGTCTCGACTGGGATTAGCATCCATGAGAGAGTGGGCGTGGCAGGGGTAGCTCAGACGGGAATCTCTCGGGAGGGGCAGAGGCCTTGGCCATCGCTTGTTTCATTGAGGGCATCGACGACGGATGGTGGAAGGGCGATCATCGGCAGCGGGCCTTCTTTTGCCATTGTACCTACATGAAGAACCGTCTTCCATACTAGCCTCGAAGCTTGGGAGGAAATGCCTTAACCCATCGTCCGGTTTACAAATAGCCATCTTCAGGTGGTTCGCTGCGTGACATCCAGGACTTGCAGCGGGACGTGGGAGAATTCGACGGCAGCTCTGAACTCTCTCTCAACATTTCTCTCTAGGGCAGGGCTAGGACGGCATGATGTCAGCCAGCTCCGACGGAGTGACGGCGAGCCGAGTGCATGGGAACGAACGCACGCACGCAGGCACATGTGCGCCGCTGGTCGGAGTTCACATCTGCAGATTAGCTTCCAGGTTCGGAGCAAGCTCATTCGCTGTTCAAAAGGAAGAACTGCACACTTTCTGTACCGAAGTACATCCTACGCAACCACGCAACGGGACATGCCAGACCGCAAGACATTGTTGAGGCCAGTGCGCCGCGCCGGAGCGGCCGGCCGGCCACGTTCAGCCATGGAAGATGCTAGCGCTGGAGGAAGAACTTGCAGTTTTCGAGAAGCCGTCGAAGGGTTGGATTGTTATGTGATCCCGGCTGGCAGAGCAGAAGCGGCCCGGGCGGTCGAAACAAACAGGTTAGCCTGGGAAGGTTGGCGATTCATTTGCTCGTCATCGGACGAAAAAGGGCTATTTGCATCAAGCGCGTTGGCCATGATTGCGCGTTGTCTGCAGACTTCTCGCACGGCTGTGATTTCAGGACTGACGCTTTCACGAGCAAAGATGTGGTCTTTCCTAGCAGAGGATATCTGCATTGACGGACTGGCAGCCCTTGACAGGTCCCTGCAGGTTGGTAATGGAGAATGTTGTCTGGAAGGCTGGTGGACGGGGGTGAAGAGCATTCCTTCAGGCACCTAGGGTGTGGTGTTGAGGTCCCGGAGTACCAGAAACGCCAGTCGAGCCGTCAACGACTTTCTGACACGGGTTTTCCATCCTCTGGAACAAAAGTCCGTCCGTAGGGCGCATATTACCAGAAGCAAGTTCCGATCCAGCAGTCAAACCGTCGATGATGGAAACGAGGGGACCGTTGATTCTGACAAGTGAGAAGGGCGAAAACCAATTAGATGCGCCATTGAACCCGATTTGGGCTGGTCCCCGTAGATGGTAAACGCCGAGGGGGACAGGGTCTTTGTGCGTTTCTGCGGAGCATTTCTGTGCTCCTGGAGATTTGACCAGGGTCGATTTCATGTCAATGACATCAAGACTCTCCCCACCGCCGCCAATGGCGCGATTGGATTTCAGGACTTTGCTCCGAAGTTCCGTGGACCATCAGAGACGGGAGTTGAGGAAAAAGTTAGAAAGACGAGCTGAAGAGTTCTCGAATATGGCCGCAGATGGGTCGGATTGTTTGGAGCAGCTGGAGCTGGGGTTCCTGAGACAAAGTAGTATCTGGATGTTTTAACATCCGGTCTTGCAGCAACTTGGGTGTGATACCAGACGGCCACGTAGTTGTCGCAGGTCACCTAACCCGCCGTGGGACCGTCTTAAGCGTAAGTGTCCCTATTCCGTGGGAAATCCTCCCCTCGGTAACGGCTAGCGATGCAGGACGATCACTTGAGGGAGTTGGTCTCTGTCGAGGATTGGATGTGTTTGTCTCTCTTCTGCGTCCTGGTCGTTAGTGAACTGCATGTCTCACCACACAAGCCAGTACCTAACAGCAGAACCAACCCGCCCGCCAATTCAGCCCAGTCACAGCACGCAGCCTGCCGTCACCTGCCATACACGTGTTGTACAAGATGCATTGAAGTTTTCGTCGTGGGTTGATGAGGCGGTTCGAGTAACCCTTGCCGATGGCTGGCTGAAACAGTGAGATGGTTGAGCCCTCTGGTTCTTGATGGAGGGGGCTCGTGCGCTGAGCAGCACACCTCCTTCTGCCGAGCCAAGACCTGTCTTATCGATAAGGATAAGCTTATCGAGACGCCTTATCGGCTTAATTGCAGTCGCGTCCAGTCGAAACTTGGACGCGTTGCTTGGACAGAGAGGTCTCCTCGCTGCAAATCCACCTCAGAGGAAAGAAACACATCAATCCAACATGTCGCAACCAATTCTCTCCATTCAGTCGAACGACTCTACAAAGACCAGCAAAGCCGTCGCAAACCTTCTACCCTGTCGGATTCACCACGATGGTTCAGTTGGCGAGATAAACTCGTCCTTCTGGAACCCTACCAAGACAGACGGTATGCATTCTCCCCACCAACGCACGCAACTTTTATACTAACTTGAGAGCTGCAGATGGAAAGAACGTGGCATATTTCCGCGGCAGGAAACTTCACGGAACGACGGTCAAACTACCGGAACAATACAAGGGTGTAGTCATGGAGAAGAGCGACAAAGTCGAGAACAGGCGGCACGAGGTCGATGAGGAGGTAGAACAGGAGGAGGAACGGGTGGATGTTGGTGCTATGGACATCAAGACCGAGTTTGACGAGATGGTTGTTTGGGGTCACGAGGCAAGCGCTGAGGCTGGGTCGGATCCCTACGTCAGAAGTATTGAGGAGTGGTTGTCAATTGCTGAACAGGTTCGTCGTCAGGCAACTGGGACAGGACTTTTTACTGACTTGTCGCAGATACACTCTTATCCTTCACCAGAAACGAAGAACGGCGCTTAGATGGATAAATGGGGACAGCTAGCAGCATCAGGGTCAATGGATACTTTCCTCGATATCATGCAGCTGGATTGACGTTGACACGTATACCTGGACATTGGTATTGTCGTTGATTCTTTGAATCGTGTTCTTTTACGACGGCGGAAGATCTATCTCACGTTGCGGTAACCACTTTGCGAAGCCATGAATTGGTCGTTGTCAGGGACGCTGCGGCAACTTGCTATGGTCAACCCAATACCTGGATTGGATGACTCGTGATCAATTCAAGAAAAAGTATCCGTGATAACATCTGACTAGCAAGTCATTTCATGAACTGACTGACTATTCACAGGCATGGAGCATTGCACTAACAATTAACCCAAAGAGGCTAGCGCAATGCACTCAATCAAAGTGGCGCGTCAGCGACGCGCTCAAACGCGCTTTCCGTCCCCGCGCGAGAAAATCAATTAAGCCCCTGGCCAATTCTGCCGTCCCCAACTGCGAAAAAGGATCCATTGCATCCCACCACCCAAAATCCCACCTCCCCAAATTTCACCATCCCGCATCACCGCCTTCAAACCCCCACCGCTAGCTCTGCTCTCCTTTTCCGAACAGACGACATCATAACGAGCAGTTGCAATCTCGGAGTATACAACAATGGCTGCCTCCAGCGATGCCGGCTTCCCAATGTCGGACGCCCCGTCTCAAGCGGCTACCCCTAGGCGCAATAACTTCATGCCGAGCTCCTCAGCCGGCGGCAGACCACGAGCGCCACCGTCTGAGAGCATGGGCGCTCCCAGCGACGACGAGATCGAGGGTTTCGCCGATGACCAAGTTCCAGGACGTCGATCAAGGATACCGGACATCGCCAACATTCCCAAGGTCGAGGACCGCCTTGGCTTGTTGATCCAGGGCCATTTCGAAGAGTTCATTGAGGGGTAAGTCTGCGCTGCCGAAAGCCTCTCTTCTGACGTGCCTGACGATACAACCGCGTAGATATGTTGAGGATTTCACCTCCTCTGCTCCGACGTCTAGCGCCGTTACTACAGACAAGTACTACGTTGCTCAGATTCACGGCATGCGGGCACTACAGCTCTCGACCTTCTACGTCGACTTCAGACACCTGACTTCCTGGCAGGATGGAGGGTTGGCCGATGGAATTATGCGCGGTTACTATCGTTCGATACCCTTCATCACCGCCGCCCTACACAACATGATCGCCAAATACGAGCCGCAATATTTCAAGGAGCACAGGCAGCCGACCGCCTCGAGCAACCAGAGCAACTCAACCGCGAGCAATATGGGTTCTGCTAGTCAGTCAGAGATGGGTAACAAAACAAGCAACCAGCAGACGGACAAGCTGTTCACCATCGCATTCTACAACATGCCTCTTGTTTCGAGAGTGCGCAGTTTGAGGGCGGCCAATATTGGCCAGCTGCTGTCCATCTCTGGTACCGTCACGCGAACATCCGAGGTTCGCCCTGAGCTGTCTATTGCGACCTTTGTGTGCGAAGCTTGCAGATCTGTTGTGCCCAATGTCGAGCAGACATTCAGATACACGGAGCCCACGCAGTGCCCCAACACGACCTGCCAAAACCGCCAAGCATGGCAACTGGACATCCGACACAGCACGTTTGTGGATTGGCAGAAGGTGCGCATCCAGGAAAACAGCTCCGAAATTCCGACGGGAAGCATGCCCCGTACGATGGATGTCATCCTGCGTGGTGAGATCGTTGATCGGGCCAAGGCAGGAGAAAAGTGCATCTTCACTGGTGCGCTCATCGTTGTGCCCGACGTTAGCCAGCTTGGCCTTCCTGGCCTCAAACCATCTGCCGTGAGAGACGACCAAGGGAACCGCGGTGCCGATGTTGGTGGCTCGGGTATCAGCGGTCTCAAGGCTCTCGGTGTTCGTGACCTGACATACCGTCTGGCCTTTTTGGCATGCATGGTAACTCCCGATACATCGACCCCAGGCCAGTCTGCCACCGGCCAAGTTCAGGACGTTATCAGCTCTCTTACCCAGGACAAGTCTGCCGAATCCGCGGATTCGGTTGAGGCTGCCCAAGCTGCTGTGCTTGCATCAATGAACGAGTCCGAGATCAACGAATTGCGTGAAATGGTTCACAGTGGTCACATCTACTCTCGCTTGGTAAATTCAATGGCCCCCACCGTTTACGGCCATGAGGTCGTGAAGAAGGGTCTGCTTCTTCAGCTCATGTCTGGTGTACACAAGACCACAGCCGAGGGTATGGAGCTGAGAGGTGACATCAACATTTGTATTGTTGGTGACCCGTCGACATCCAAGTCTCAGTTCTTGAAGTATATTTGCTCCTTTGCCCCTCGCGCAGTCTACACCAGTGGTAAGGCATCTTCCGCCGCTGGTCTCACGGCCGCCGTTGTGAAGGATGAGGAGACGGGTGACTTCACCATCGAGGCCGGTGCCTTGATGCTGGCAGACAACGGCATCTGCGCCATTGACGAGTTCGACAAGATGGATATCGCCGACCAAGTTGCCATCCACGAAGCCATGGAACAGCAGACTATTTCCATCGCCAAGGCTGGTATTCAGGCCACCCTCAACGCTCGCACTTCCATCCTCGCTGCCGCCAACCCCGTCGGCGGCCGCTACAACCGCAAGACCACCCTTCGCGCTAACATCAACATGAGTGCCCCCATCATGTCGCGTTTCGATCTTTTCTTTGTCGTACTCGATGAGTGCAATGAGCAGGTCGACCGCCACCTTGCCGAACACATTGTCGGAATCCATCAGCTGCGCGACGCCGCTATCGAGCCCGAATTCAGCACCGAGCAGCTCCAACGCTACATCCGTTTCGCCCGCACCTTCCGCCCAGAATTCACTGTCGAGGCGAAGGAAGTGCTCGTCGAGAAATACAAAGAGCTTCGCGCCGACGATGCACAGGGTGGAATCGGCAAGAACTCATACCGTATCACCGTCCGTCAGCTGGAGAGTATGATCCGTCTTTCCGAGGCTATTGCGAAGGCCAACTGTGTCGAAGAAATCACCCCCGAGATGGTCAATGAGGCCTTTAACCTGCTCAGACAGAGTATCATCTCCGTGGAGCACGACGATGTTGAGTTCGACGAGGATGAGCCCGAGGATAGTGAGACCTTGCGCCGTGCTGCCTCCGAAGCCGCTGGCCAACAACTAGAGGACGAGACTGCCATGGCTGTCGACGGAGCAGCTCCCGCGCGGCCGCAGCAGACCATCACATACGAGAAATACGTTAGCATGGTCAACTTGTTCCTGCAGCGTGTCACCGAGGGCGAGTCGGAGAATGGAGAAGGTATCGAGGCTGAGGAGCTTGTTCTGTGGTACCTCGAGCAGAAGGAAGAAGAGCTTCAGGGCGAGGAGGACTACCACCGCGAGAAGGCGTTGGCGCACATGGTGCTCAAGAAGATGGTCAAGGTAAGATTTCATCCCGCTGTCACAGACAAGTCTCGACAGAAACTAACTCGGCACCACAGACCAATTTCCTTATGGCCGTCCGTGGCGAGGGCTTGCTGGACGACGAAGGCAACGCTGGCGAGGGCGCCTCTGCCGACGCCGCGAAGATCGTCTACGTGCTGCACCCCAACGCCAACGTAGAGGAGTTTTAAGCCGTCAGTGGTTTGGGCACGTTTTTGCGTGTGAGACGGTGGAGATGAATGAGAGCATGACGAGAAAGAAAAGTAATGTCCGTGGCATTTTGTAGACCTTTTGAGCCTTGAGCAGGTAGGATGGCATGTCGGGCGTTGTGTTGATACAGCCCGGGGGAGTTTCGGTGTTGGCGGAAGATAAACTGTGTTTATTGAAGGCGGTCTGAACATGAAGCTGAGACATGATCGGACCTCGGCGATATCCTTATCCTGAATGCAAGTTGAATGACTACTTGGCATGCTTTGTATTGAGTCTCGGAGTGTCTCGTCAAACGGGTAATGAGCGGCTCCTCTGGACCGTCAATCAATGTATTGATTGATTTTGAAAGATGTCATATCCACATCTCCTTCGTCCGCTACATTCGACCCTTCCCGGTAGACTCGATCTCAGTTGATACACGCAAATTATCTCGCTGGGGGCTAAGAGGCTATCACACAGGTCGCAACCGGACTGGACTGGTGTAAAATGACTCTTCTTCGCTGCGAAGGACACCGTTTGGAGAACGTCAACTCTGAACAGAGAGCTTGATATGGCTTGTAACCGGCAGCCCTATTCCTATGGGGTATCGAGTTGCCCACCCCTTGATTGCGTAAAGGTGTTTGTTGGCTAGGCTGAGATGGGCAAGATAGAAAAGGCTTGTATGACAAGGTTTCAGTGAAGAAGACAGTTGCGACACATGCGGATGTTTGATCACTGTTCCGAAGCTTAATTCATGTAGCTACGCGTAATCTGACAGATATCCTCCACGGATTCGCGATATGTGCTCATTTGGCGACGGCACAAGCTTGAAAAGTCCTCCAAGAGCAGCGCCGTGGAGTGTTGTGTCACCATCTTCTACATCTAGTTTTACCTTGATATCCGCGCGTTGGTCAATCAGGGTTCGGTCGTGGCTGGGAAAGCTTCCGGAATACACAGCCCACCACGGTTCATTGAGAATTCGGTCCACGTTATGTGGAAAGTTATTCCTCAAGGTGTAGCAGGATGCGAGCTTGTTTCCTTCTCTCTCTTTTTTTCCGTAACACGCGATCCTCACACTCTTCTTGCTATCCATCCATACGCGAAACGTAACCCTACCTACCACGGCCCACAAAGACCTCCAGTATTCGAACCCGGAATCAAGAAGTTAGAGTGTATTTATGGCTTCATTCTAATTTCCTTTTGACTTTTTCAGAGAACTACATCCTGCCAGGAACTCTTCATTGGGACCCACGACATTTGCCGTCTTCCTCTCGTCCCCAACGCCCACAGAGACCTCACACACAATGGCAAAAACTTTCCATTCCTTTTCAAGGCTCCCGGCCGAGCTCAGACTATGTATTTGGGAAACGGCAGTTGGACCCTCGGGTCCCAACCACGCAGGAGTTCACTTCTTTTCACTACACAGCCGAATCGAGGACGATAGAGACCGCGGCCCCTTCGTAACAACAATCCCTCCGTTCAAGGGGGAATCCAAGTCACCGTGGAAAGAGACGGAAGAAAACCCTTCAACGTATTTCTTCGATTTCGGTATGTGGATGGCGTGCAGGGAATCGAGAACCGTCGTCATCAGGGAGATGAGCAGACGATTCGCACATCAGAAAGGAGACCCGGTCCGCAGCTTCGTACGCGCGCGGTATAACCAGGAAGAGATCACTTTCGGCCTCAGGCCGCGGGACGACCTCATTTGCGTACGGTTCTCGGAAGATCCGAAGGCTTTCGAGATTTACGATCTGTACGACGTTCTCGACATCCGATTACACAGACCCGAGGACTGCTACGTCTTTCCGTATATGGATATCGCGTTCGAATACGACGCGTCCTCCTGGACGTTTGATCCGAAAGAGGCTCACATCGTCGACTTGCAGAGCGAACCGGGTCCGCGGGGGGCTTTTCTCACGATTCTCGAACAAATCATCCAGGGCGAAATACGCGCGACTCTCTTTCTCATCGAGTACGGGGCGACCCTGAAACCAGACGGGAGGGCGTATGGGACATTTTATGGGAACGGGTTCAACTTCGCGTCTGTGGCTGAGGACGATGTTGAGATGGAATGCACTGAAGGCCGCCGCATGGACGCCTGGGAATTCATAGATGCGGTAGATGAGTGTGGGGAGGGATGGTGGAAAGGAGAGAAAGATAACCAGGACGGGTATGGTTTGCGTTGTAGGTGCTGTGAGCTGCTTTCTGGAGAGCACATCGGCATACATGCAGCGTCGCACATAGGTGTGCTAGTGTGTCAAGAAGCTTAGCAATATTTCTTGATCAAATACAAAACGAGTTGTTAGTTAGGGGAAGGAATTAATTTCGAAATTGAGCAATGCAAATGTGACATCGCAACATCAAGAGTGATCGCTCCTCTCTCATGAGATAGTTGTTGAGGAACATATGGGTTGGCAATTACGTTTCGTTCCATGTACAGCGAGTTCCATAGCTATGGAACCAATGTTTCTTGTGCTTTGAGGAAGAAAGAACCAAAGAAACATACAATCTTCACACACCTTTCTCAGTGCTGTGTCCTTAAATGATGTGAATGCCAAATTTTCACACGCCCTGAAAGATGGAGAATGCTTTTTTCAATGCAGTTTCTATGCCATAAGAATTGACATTTGCCGCTGGTCGTTAGTTATCACCGTCACTCAGTCACACATCTCACCCCATGAAGAGCACCACGCGTCAGACAGAAACACACTGTCTTTTCATCCTTTGTTTGTGTATTTTCTGAAACTGCAATTATCAAGGGACGTGACGTCCCACATAAGTCACCCACCCTCGTTTAGCATCAGGTGTGTAAAAGACTGCGTTTTCCTTCCGATCACCCAGTTCCCGTTTCTCCCCTCGCCCTCTGTTCATGATTGTGTCATATGTTGTAGTGGCACAGACGCCAGACCGAAGTCGACAAGATGAGCGTTGTTGACATCTTGAGCCCCCCCAAGGGGGCAAGCGGAGTTGGGGTTCGGGAGATGATAATGGAGCTTGGTTTGTGTGTTGCAGAGAAGAAGAGGGGAAAGAAAAAGTCAGAAAAAGAGTTCGCTCTCGCTTCCTCCGAACCCCCATGGGCCCGCAACCTGTTCTTGTACCTGCCAAAGCAAATCGACAAGAGTCTGCGGAAATAATCAAAGTTGGTCGCGTCGTTCGATATCGTGACGGCTTGGCCTGCACCAAGCTCACTGTTGCTTTCGTTGGTTATGGTTTGTGGTGTCCACCGGTAGTGGTGCCGTTATTGGCGCCGGCGGCGGTTGTGAAGTATCTTGAGGGGTGTGTTGCCCATGGTTTAGGCTATGCCGCCTGGCTGGCAGGGCTCCGGCGTGACCAGTTCTCGCCTCCGCGTCCTCGGTATCCGCCACGACCACGGCTGGGAGGCGGCGTTGAGCTGCTCGCCTCACCAGAGTAGGAGGATTCACGACCCTTGCCGCCACGGTGGCTCGGCCCGGATCCACGCTGACCACCGCGTCCGCTTGGTCTACGCGGGTTGCTGGTTGATCGCGAAAAGGGAAGAGGGATCATCTTGGCCTCAGTCATGCTAGGAAGCTGAACGCGGTATACGCTGCCGCTGGACGACATGTCGTGAGGGATCCAAAGCGGACGAACCGTCTCGATATCCGTTACCCAGAACCGTCTAGGCAGGGGTTTGGTTGGGGCCGCTGCCGGGTGCCAAGCAGCATCGGGTGTTTTGTGTGGCAGCTTGATTTGGGGCAGAGAGCCCATCTCTTGTTCCTCGAAACACTCTTCCGCCATTGGCTTCGTCGTGAAAGACTTGACATCATCTGAAGGTCGTTGAACAGCTGAACGAGGTAGTGAGACTGTTGCCGGGTTGTAGAACCCCGAGTAGTCGAGAGCGCTCTTGCTAACAGGCTCAACGCCAGGGGCCTTCGGCGGCGAATTGGGCTTACGTCCTGTCAGAAGGTTGTTGATTCGATCTTGCCAGTTCTCGTAACTCTGATCTTGCTGTCGCTGAGACGGGTTGCTCTGGTAGTGACTACCGCGAGCATACGCCCCAGGGCCTTCCTTGTAACCGGACGGACTTGCCCACGCAAATGGCCCATTGGATCTAGCCGGTGCAGTTGGTGCGGCCGCTAAGGAGGGCGGGAGCTTGACGACGGGGTGCGGGCGTGGAAGAGAAACGTGAGGGTGTAGCGCATCGCCGTCGTATGCAGGGTGGCCGAGCATATCCGGAGGCGGCGGGGACGGCGAGTTAGGCCTGGACGGCTCCTGATGGTGTGTGGAGGCATCGTTCCTGTTATCCTTAGGCGGGAAGAACCTAGACGGCCTGGCTTGGGATGCAGCTGGGCCAGTGGGTAGAATTGACCCAGCGGCGCCGTCACGATGGATGGCATGCGCAGGATCGCGTCTGCTATCCGAAGAAGGCCGCCAAGTGTCCTTGATCGTGGGTTGAGCTTGTTCGTGTGTCATGCCGCTCTCCATGAGCTGGCGATCACGCTCAAGGCGCTGGGTTCTCCGCTCGTCAAGGATAGTCTTGTCACTGTCCAGAACCGAGTTCGCCCATCTGTTCCGCATGTCATTCATTTCAGGCGTAGCTCCTACAGCGGGGCGGGCCTGATGGGAAGCGGGGAGCCGGGTCTGAGGTCTCTGTACACTGGGCGGCGCGATGGGCGCCGGGCCTTTCTTGCTCTGTCCGGGTGCGGCAGGGAGCTGGCCTGCCTCCACCCCTGGGATCCGCGCAATATCCGTATTGAAAGTGCCGTTGCCGAGACCACGATCGTTATTCGGAGAGCCCCAGACGTTCCTTGTAGCCGCCTGAGCACCGGATCCCCAGGTTGGAAGACGCTCTTGTTGGGGTGCCTGTCCATCCCAAGGACTGGCTTGTCTTGGATCTTGTCCGCTAAGTCGTCTGTTTTCCGGGTCGGCAGTCGTCGGTCTTTCGCCGAACGGTTTGTGACTGGCGTTAGTGCTGGCCGTGGGTACCGTCGAAGGATCAGAGCCCGCCGCAGACTCTCTGGACTGTGTCACGGCGTCTGAGCCGGCCGAACCGTCCTGCTGCTGCGTTTGCGTCTGAGCAGTCGTGCTCACATCCTCGGTTGAATCCTTCTTGGCACTCTTGCGTTCCGGAGGGGGGCCCATAGCATCCAGCTTCGCCTTGATACGTTCCCTCCTAGCAGCCTCTTCCTGAGCCTCCTCTTCGCGTCTGCGCTGCATCGCCAGCTCGCGCTTCTCCCGCATGATCTTCTTCTGCAGTTCGATATCCTCTTCCAAGCGAGCCATCGGGGCTGGAGGTGGCTGAACAGGCCGTCCATCGGGGGGTCCAGCAGAATGAAGACCGGCGTAGTTAGTTCCTGGGGAAGCCCGAGGCTGCCATTGCTGATTGGAGTGCATCCTGGGGCCATGCTGTAGCCCTGACGGGGAGAAGTTTCGTGGCGAGACGGGACTATCGATTGAGGCAGTGATTGAGCCCCGGCGCGCATTGAGCAGGTCCTGAGGCGGCATGGGCATCTCGTGCATCTTTCCGGGTCTCTGCAGGTAAGATCCACTTCCACCGCTGACATTCGAGGATCCACGGCGTCTGCCAAACGGACCCTCCGGTATCGTCGTCCTACTAGTCTGGAAGGCCGCAGAGGGCTCAGGATGATCGGACTGGGATGGGCGTTGCAGCACCGGCGGCTGTCCTCTGTGGTCAGATCGAAACGAGCCCCTTCGATCGTTCACTGGTTCGTAACGACCGGATTGCGAGTTGAAAAGCTCGCGGTTTCCACCTCCTGGTCCTTCCCTCCAAGCCGATCGGTTGAAATCGTCGGCGGCAATCTCCCTCGCGTGCGGCGGCGGGGGCGGCATGCTGTTTCCTTGATCATAGCTAGGATGGTCTCTGGCAGAGAATCTGTGTCCTGCCGGAGGAGCCGGTGGTTCTGCAACAACGGGCGGTGCCTTTTCGATAGGCGGCAAAGCAGCCCAAGGCGACTTGACGGGGGTCGGGGGAGCAGGCGGCTTTGCGACGAGAGTCGGCTTGTCGGCGGAACCACCCTTGAGAATCAGACCCTTCCCAGAAGCGAGCACACCGGGTTTCATAGAGGGAGAAGCAGCGCTGCGAGGGGGCGCGGGCGATTTAGGTTTCTCCATCAGCTTTTCCTTGGGCGGCGCGGGCGCGGGCGCGGATGTGGGTGCAGGTGCGACAACAGGTGCGGGGACCGGTTCGGGAGGCGGCGCAGGAGCTTCATCGGTGTGAGGCAACGTGGTCTTGGTGCCGTCCGTCCAGGTGATGGTCTCGGGGGCCCAGTCGTCATCGTCGTCCTCGATATCCGCCCAATTACCTTGCGACTGTGCGCTTTCCGGAGCCAGTCGATTCGCCATGTGGATGCCGTACTTCTTAAGCTCTTCATCCGTCAACTTTTTGGGTTCCGGAGCAGGAACCGCTGCGGTCCAACGTTAGCCAGAAGACCCAACCCTATAAATACCAATAGTCTTACGTCGGTTCTTGTTCCATACCGCGTTGCCGTCAGGCCCGGAGGCCTTGGCACCGTTGGTTGCCGAGAGTCGTGGCACATTGCCTGCTCCACTGCCAGACTTTGCGACAAGCCTGGGCCGTGTCGCGGAAAGAGTCGAGGTTCCGGAGGGGGATGAGCTCAGGATAGACGTCGAGGGGCTCTTCTCGGTCGGTTTAGCGGCGGAGATGCTGGCGCCCTTGGCTGCTAAGAAGGTTTTGTTGACAGAGACGGCTTTGAAAGCCGGCTTCTTGACAGCCGAAGAGGTCCTGCCGTGGCCCTTTTCTCCATCTCTAGTGCGCGATGCTTCCGTATCGGATCCCCCACTCACACTGACATCTGCTGATTCGACACCGGTGATGTGCTTGTTTTCCAGGTCATCGCCGATGGCGGGACTGCCGTTCAGCTTTGCGCGATTGACATCGTCGTCGGTAGTCTGCTCGGCGAAGGAAGGGCACCTATGGTCAGCCATCTGAACGACATGGAGGCCAAGTTGAAGTCGCACGAGGAGGAGGACGAGGACGAAGGCAAGGGTGGGAGGAGGTGGGGACCGTCCGTTTGGGGGCGCGGCCTGGGATATGGTTGGAGTAGAATGAGGCAACTCACGAGTTTGGAGTCAGAGACGGAAGCATCGACGGGGGCGGCGAGGGTGGCTTCCGTGGCCATCATACGTCGTTCTGCGCGGTCGGGACGGGGCGAGGTTGGCGATCGCTTTTCCGGGGCCTCGAGTCGGCGGATTACGTAGATATGGTTTGGGGTTTCCGACCGGGCGAGTACGAATCGCAGCGCAAATCTTTCGAGGGCTTGTCGTCGCGGAAGGGTCGCTATTTGGCGTAGTCCCCTACCAACAGGACGATCGATCGTCGATTTCTCGTGGAGGGAGGGTTGAGGAAAAGGAAAAAAAAAGGGAGCGCTGGGCTGATGGGGGGGAAGGTGGTGTATGCGGCTGCGATGGTTGTGAGGTTGATTTTCCAGAGGAGCTGCAGCTAATCAGGGATTAGCGTGCGGCAGGGTGCAGTGCGGTGCGGTGCTGAGGTGCTCTTTGCTGGGCGCTGGGTTGAGAAGTACTCAGAGATCACCGGGAAGTCATATCTGAGTGCACAATAAGGACGCTTCTTCACTCAGAAAAAATAAAAAGTTGACTATTCACATCTCATTTCCTACACATATTCAAATACAGCTGTTATTACAACTAAGTAAAAACATTTTCTTCCTAAGATAATTCTTTTACTTAGTATTAGAAACAGCAAGTGCACCTCAACCGGGCAGGAGCGAGAGAGGGGAGGCGGGCAGGTGAGGGAAAAGAGTGGATCCATGGGGCCTTTCCGCCGACGTGGACACACCACCACCACCAACCGATGGCTGCGTGAGGCTGTGACAGTGCGGCCAAATGACTCACTGTGCGGCACTGCTACTGTGCTGGGCTTATGCCCATGCTCCCCAGCCATTCCAGGTTGTCATTAACTATTACCTTAGCCCGAGCTGAGCGACAATGAGACACCAAGGCGGGATTCCCCGACATCAAATGACTATTCTTGGACATTTTGCATTGATCAACCAGGCCCATTGCCAATGAGTTGCCAAGTACTGGCACAGCATCCACCCTCTCCGACTGACATTTGTTTGATAGAATGAGTTGCAATTCTGCCCCATCAATTGTCACTATCACACCTTACACAATGTGATTCTAAACTCAATGCATCCATTTTCCTCTTCTTCCTCCATCGTCTGTGGTTTTGCGCCTGCAGACTGGCAGGGGAACACCAAAAGTCATTGCTTTCCTTGAGCATTACGCAATTCCACTCACTCAAATCATCTTTCTCATTAGCTGAAACAAACTCTCGGCCTCGGCACCTGCGCTTGCTCGACTTATCGGCGGCCTGGCCGACCGAAATCCCCGGGGACAGCTCCCGGGGTTGGGGTCACGTATGAGGGGTCACCACAGACCATCAGCCGACACAATGGAATTTGCCGAGGAGCCTCCTCCCGGACTAGTACTTCATCTAATTCTTATATACACAGTCCCAATGCCATTACATAGCCTTAGGCTGGACTATAGACCCCATCCGATTTGATTGGGAAAGCCGCTTAGTGAGCATTGTTCTTGTGGTGGCCTGCGTCGCACGGTCAGCATCATCACTCCCCTCGTCTTCGTATTTGTTGTTCATCCGAACTGGCGGATACGAAGAAGACGCTAAGAAGCCGACTTACGGAGGTGGAAGTAGTAGTTCTGGGCATAGCCGATGACGAGGAGAAGGCCGATGGCGTGGATGACGGCTGTACAACAATTAGCTACCGCGATCTTGCATTCCCGTATCATCCAGGGTCCAACATACGCTTGGCGGAAGCGTTCTTGCCGTTGAAGTGCTTAGCAGCGTAGCGACCGAGAATGCCAGTGGCCTTGGCCTCGGGAGCCGGGCCACGGGGGAGCTTCTCGTAGAAGTTGACGACGCGCTGCATGCGGACGGCGTTGGGGTCCGCGCCAAGGGCCTATCGTGGGCGTTCCATGTTAGCCAAATTCATGCTTTTCGAATCCCATCGAAATTCCTATCCCTCGTCTCGTCTCGTCTCGTTGCGCGGTGTTGTTGGTCTTGACGTCGTATGACTTTTTTTCCACAGCTCCGAGGAGCTCCGTTCAACCTCCCGGCAACCCGCCCGTGTTCAGCCGCCCGAACCTCCGATTTCGCGGCGTTATCTTCGCACCACCTCGGCCATCCACCAAAACAATCGGAAATCGCAAGAAAATCGTACCTTGGGAGAGGCGACCTGCGTGCATCTCAATTAGCGACCGCATTCCATTACTGCGGGGTGGAAGGGAGAACCCGGAGGCGTACCTTGGGGGGGATGAGGGTCGAGAGACCGCGGCGCTGGACGAAGCTCATGGTGATCGGAGTCGCGGGGGGGAATCTAGGAAGTGACCGTCGAAATTCGGCTCGGCTACGGAGTCAATTGAGCGGGGGTCAATTGACGTTGGAACTTCGACGTGAAGGGAGGCTGTTTGCTGCAGGGTGGATGATGCGGTTCGTTGCCGAAGGTGAGGTTTGAAGCGAAAAGCACTCGTTTCTCCTCGGGTCAAGGTTCTTGCGGCTACACCAATCAGCAGCCCGCAAAACCCCGAGGAAGGTCCCACTCTGCCACAGTACCGACCCGAACGTCAACCACCATCACCACCAAGGTCGCCTGCCGATAATACGCAACGACCAGGTCGTCAACAGATTCAATCGCCTCCGAGGAGAGTCGTCAACCCGGTCGCAATGGCATCCCTCCGAGCCCAGAGCGCGGCTCGCATGCTGCGCGGCGCAGCCCGCCCTTCCTTCCCGATGACTGCTCGCCGATTCGAGAGCTCCCTCACCACCGGCACCCAGGCAACGTCCGCCCCTGCCGCCGTTCCCGCCTCCACCGAACAGAACCAGCCCGACTACAACATCCAGGCTGACAAGGCGACATCGTGAGCCATGCGTTCAGGACCCAATTGGGTCCCGGGGGAAGCAAACGACCGCTAATCTTTGTCGGCAGCACCTTCACCCCCGTCCCCAAGAAGCTCCAGGACGGCAGCGAAGACGTTCCCTACCTCCAGGCCGCCGTCATCTCCGGTGCTCCCATGGAGCTCCAGGCCCGAACTGTCCGGTACGATTCATCCCGCGAAGCCCCGGACGATGCAGAGAGAAAGGCCGAAATGCTGACGTACGAAACCCATTCACAGCATCTACAAGGAGGCCAAGCCCGCGACGCAGTCCGGCGATTGGCAGGGCCACCACTGGCGCATGGACTGGGACATTCTCCCCAAGGGACATCGGTGGGAGAACCCTCTGATGGGCTGGCAGTCGTCTGGCGACATGATGCAGGGCACCAAGCTCAACTTCAAGAGCAAGGAGGACGCGATCCGCTTCGCCGACAAGCAGGGCTACGAGTACTTTGTGCAGGAGCCGCAATCGAGGAGGATCAAGCCCAAGGCTTACGCCAACAACTTCCTCTACTCCCCCAACAAGCTCAAGCACATCCGCACCAAATAGACGACGACTTCTGTATTCAAGTGTACATAAACCACGCGCAACAATGTTCAGTTTTCCCTTTCCAATTTGTGGATGTCAAGTTGTTGAAACCTTGTATGTGCCGGCGCGTAGGGGTCGCAAGCTTTTTGAGTTTGCTACAGACTTTCTGCAGTGACCGTCGTGATATGCTTGAGCATCTATCCGCCTTCGTGGGAACGTTGCGGGATCGATTGTCAGCGGACTTTGCTCATGTATAATTGGTCGGGGAGGGGCCCACAATCAACGGAATGCTGAGCAGGTTGTTCATGAAACGTTGAACAGCAAAAAACTACAGCTACTCTGGCGAAATGGTTGAAGAACAGAGTACTATTTATACCGCACCCGAATTTTACGATTGCTGCAAGACGGTAGTCCACGAGGCGGGGAAAAGGAGGACAGAGCGCGTAACATAGTCACAACCAAAAGGTAATCCTGGAGTAATTTGATGCTATTGCCCTCCGGCTTCTATGCGAGTCGGTCTCCTGTTCATCCCGATGCCGCGGTATCATGGCTATTCATGTGTAGTAACATCCCATTCCAACGCCGAGAGGATACGCCGCTCCTCTGTCCTTAAACCCAATCCCATTAAGTTGCTTGCTCTGAACGCCATGCTTTCGAAACCCATATTGACCCTTCACTTACTCGCCGGCGTCTCGCGCTGCCAGCTGATCAAAGACGGACCGGACTAGGTCTTCCCAATACATCCGCTGCCCTTGAACATATTCCGCCGCCTGCTCATGATGGTCTTGCGCCGTATGTCGTCCTCCCTAGGAAAGAACCATGTGGTCGTGCTCGCTGTCGTCTCCGCCGAGACCAAGCCCTATCCTCTCGGGGAGAGCCTTTTTCTCGGCTCTGGCAGTGTTTTCGGCCCACTGGCGCATCCTGACAAGCCGTCGAATTGAGGCTTCCCTACGTTGCGACTCGCGCTGCAGAATGGCCTTGTTGACATCGTCCGCCACACCTCGTCTTAAATCCGGGTGCAGGATAGCAGCCAATGCGGGTTCCAGATCGTTATGCGGGAAAATGAGCAACGCCATCGTTTCTTCAAGGTCCTTGAGAAAACGAGGGTCTGTAGGGGCACGAGGGCCCAGATGGTTTGTGGCAAAGGTAAGAGCGGGTGTGATATCCCCACTCTTGGTGCACTGCCTAATCAACTCAACGAGCTGAAGACGCAGCAGGGCAAAGTGCAGTTGAGGATCCCTGTCCAAGATCTGATCCATCTGTTAGTCCATGCGAACAAGTCAAGCGTGCAGGTTTGACAAAATAGAGTGTGTTAAGGGTAAAGCTCATTCGAAAATGGTGTGCCTCATCAAAGGGCCCGAAGGCGCTATGAGTGGTGCATGTAAAACTCGGTTTCTAATCATTGCCCAGGAGAGGAGGGGAAATGCGATGACGAAGACGGCTTACCTCGGAATCAAAGTCATTCAACTCTTCGATCGCACCACTGATATTGCCCTGGTGGATCGCCTTCTGTATCTGTTGGCGAGTTTTGATGGTCTCGTCGACGTGGAACGGACTCAGGTTGGCTTCCTTACAGAACCTGGAGGCCGCGCCCGAGTATCCTTCCATCATCAAGTAATCGAGGATCAGGGCGTTGATGTCGCTGGAGGTTCATGTTAGCATGCGCCTCTTGTGCCATGTTGCATAGTAAAACAGGTAAAATATGGAGTGTCAGGGTAAATTTTGTATCGGGTTTTCCGCATGTTAATTGCTAGGAGAGATTCCCATTTGATAGTTGATCATCATGTGAGTCGGGAAGGAGGCGTGTCGTGCTAGCGCGGGGCTAGTGCGAAAGAAAAGAAAGGCTTACCTCTTGGGCGACTTGACGTCCTGAACACGCCTTTCGAAGGCATGCTTCATGGGAGTAGCGGTTGACGCAGACGAAGTCTGGAAGACATCTTAGCCGCGGTCCCGCGAAGAGGACTCAGGAGCTACAACGGACCATGATTCTCTCCAAGGTCTCCCGCACGAGGCGAGCAGCAGCTCTATTCCAGACTGCTATCGCTGTTGGGTCGTTGATGTCCGGCAATCCTGACATGCGATGTCGCGGGTTGGAAAGTGCGCTGGAGCAGCTAGAACATGGAAAGAAAAAGATAATCCGAAGCAGGAGAGCGCTCTGGGACTTGGTCACATTTGAGTGGCCAGCCAAGCAACCAGATTGTGTATGGTTTTGGGAGCTTGAAAGAGGAAGAAAAAAGGATTGGTGTGGAAGAGAGAGAAAACGTCAGAACAAAGAGAAGAGGCTGGAGCGGAGCTTTATTTGGTTCCAGAGTTTGCGGCTGTAGCCCACCAATTGCAGCATCAGCCGATGCCCCAAGAGTGGGTCTTCCTGATTACCTAAGGTGGGCACATGGCAGCTGCTGAAAGCGGGCTGGAAGGGCTACGCGACAGGGCAAAAAAAAACAAAAATACAGGGCGAGCTCCACTACAGGCACAAGAGAGGCAGGTACGAAAGCTAAACCCGACCGTTCAGTGCGATGAGGGGTGGATGGCACCCTCTGTAGCTAAGCGAAAGGCGCTGAGGGAGGCTGCGAGCGTCTAGAACCGGTGTAAGGCGATCCCGTCGGTTTAGAGTAAAGAAGCACACGAGCACTGCCTTTCTATACCTCCCGCAAGGCAGGTAGCTTGTTTCGAACTTCTCTTTCTTTCTTTCATTTACTTCCTTCCCGTCACTCGAGCATCTTTTGGCGCCCTCACCAACACCCTACTGTCGCAGATCGTTGGAGTTGGCCCGTGGCTTTGATCAGCACTCGTGCCGACTCGACTGGACGCAGCGCAACACTACCTTGCCATCCAAGAGCTCCACCAGGCTTGATCCCCTCAGCGCTTATCTCTGGAGACTGGACCCTTGAACTTTTGCCTCACTCTCACTCTCTCTTTTGCTTTGATATCTCTCTTCCTTCATTCAACTGCATGGAAGAAGACCGAAGAGGCTTTTCCAATCCTGCAGCATATTCTCCTCTTTGCTTGCCGAGCTGCAGGAACTCGAGGCCCAAGCTGCAACTATCCGACATCATCTGCCCCTCGACGTCGGAGAGCTCCGAAATGGCTGACCAGACAAACGGAACCGAATCTCATGTGACGATCCAGCGGCGAGCTCACTACTCACCACCATGGGCGGATGTCAGCATTATTGGCATTGCAGGCAGCTCGGGCTCGGGCAAGTCTACTCTGTCTCATGCCATTGTTAGGAAACTGAATCTGCCCTGGGTGGTGATCTTGTCCATGGTATGTGCATTTTTACCCCGCCAACCGCTCACCCGCCAGCAGCCTGACTTGTGATACTAGGACTCTTTCTACAACCCCCTGACCCCCGAACAATCCAAGAAGGCCTTCGCCAACGAGTTTGACTTTGATTCGCCAGAGGTATAGACGATGTCATCGATTTCTAGTAAAAGGTGTCTGCTGATGATAACCGTAGGCCATCGACTTTGATGTACTTGTCCAATGTCTCCGAGACCTCAAGGCAGGGTGAGTGACTCGACTTATTCCTCGCGGGAGCTGGATATCAACATTGATTTTCCGTCATTCTGAGTGGTCGGTCATGCTAATGGCTGCCAGAAAACGGGCGGAAATTCCCATCTACTCCTTCGCAAAGCACCAGCGCATGCAAAACACCACAACCATCTACTCGCCTCACGTTCTTATCCTGGAAGGCATTTTTGCTCTCCACGACCCGCGCATTCTGGAACTGCTGGATATGAGAGTATGAGTTGTCTCGATGAACCCACTGCATTCGCGTCCTTACCAAGATCTAGATATTCTGCGAGGCAGATGCTGATACTTGCCTATCTCGACGAGGTCAGTAGCAGGCAAACTTCGGACTTGAGTCCTCACATGAGAGACTAACCCTCGCGTCCAGTTCTCAGAGACGTTAAGGAGCGTGGCCGAGATGTCGAGGGCATCATGAAACAATGGTTCACGTTCGTGAAGCCCAACTTTGAAAAGGTAAAGAGCATTTATACTCGCTACGGCCCTTTCTGACCAGGCCTCCAGTTCGTCGAGCCGCAGCGCAAAGTTGGAGGTAAGTTCCGCTCAGCTGGCACCCTCGATGCACTCTGTGCTAATAATAAAAGACATCATTGTGCCAAGAGGTATCGAGAACCACGTGGCGATGGGTGAGTTGAGATGAACTATGCCTTCGAGCCTGGACGTGACTAAAATAGTGAATCAGCCATGGTCGTTCAGTACATCGAGAGGAAATTGATCGAGAAATCGACCCACCACCGCGCAGCCTTGACCCAGCTGGAGCTGGCCGCCGCCAGCGAGCCTCTATCCGATAGGGTTGTCATCCTGGATCAGACATCCCAGCTGAGGGGCATGAGCACCATCATCCAGGATATCGACACCTCAGGCGAAGACTTCATCTTCTACTTTGACCGTCTTGCCTGTCTCTTGATCGAACAGTAAGTGAATCAGCCTCAACCAACCGCACGGGCAGCAATTGATCATTTAGGGCACTCAACAACGTGAACTTTCAAGAAAAGACGGTCGCGACGCCCCAAGGCTACAAGTACAATGGCCTTGTGGCTAAGGGAAATGTAAGTGCAGTGCTCGTTCTGCGAGGCGGAGCCGCCTTCGAGACAGCACTCAAGAGAGTCGTTCCGGATATCAGGACGGGCAGAGTCCTCATCCAGTCTAACGTACGGACGGGTGAGCCCGAGCTCCACTACCTCAAGCTTCCCGACAACATCGACGAGCACGAGGCAGTCCTGCTGATTGACACGCAAATGGCCAGCGGCGGTGCGGCTCTCATGGCGGTCCAGGTCCTCGTCGACCATGGCGTCGCGCAGGAGAAGATCGTGCTGGCCTGCTACGCCGCCGGAAGACTGGGAGTCCACCGTCTGGCAAAGGTGTTCCCCGGCATCACAATTGTGCTCTGTAATATGCTTGCGGACATTGAAGATCGCTGGGTTGAGAAGAGGTACTTCCGGTGCTAGCGGCCATATGTAAACGATCAAGAAGAACCTGCTTGACTCGAGCATCCTATCTCTCGCACCCGTAAACCACGCATGTAGTCACAGGAGGATCTAGACTCTAGTAGTAAAAGCCGCATAGCAACGCCAAGATATCAAGGCAAAACCAGGGTCCTCCTGTGGTTGATGCAGTTGTGAAAAGCCGCAGTTTCGTACGCCAGATGCCTCACTCCATATCTAAGAGTGGCCGCAGCGCTTATCATTGGCTGCACCAGATCTCGAATTGGCCGAGGGGGCACCGAAGAGTGGACGAATTCAGTGGAACCAACGGCAGCCGGCATGGGTCTTTGACGCCGCTGACTGAGCTCATTGTGTCGCCAGCATCGACATTATCAGATTTTGCCGAGAGGACCCCTGAACGAGAGCTGTCAGCTCGGCGGACCAGGGACGCGGCGCCGACCCCGGGCCAAGAAGTTGAGACGAAAGTCCGAGAAGAAGTTCGGTCGACGACCTGATATGCAAGTCGACGTTCAGAATGACCTGGAAAAATTTGTGAAATATTTTCGAACACACTCTGGATCTTTCAGTTGGTTCGGATGACGGCTCCCGGCAGGCGTTTGGAAGCTTCTGGCGGCGGGTCCCGTGCTGCATAATTGCATGCAAGGCAAGTTTTCGGCTTAACCGAACTATGACGCAGTTGTCTGGAACCGCCGGGCACACGAGCTCCTCGGAGGTGACATGCCCTGGTCTGGAATTGACTTAGTACAAGCATCATCACGCATATGTCAGGGAGCTATCCCGCCAGTTCCCCCAGGGCGCTCTTTTTTTCGTAACCGTGACACCTTGATTTCGTGCTTGCGACAGCTTCAATTGCCAAGATTTCCTGTCAATATACTGTAATTGACATCGCGAACGACCCCTAGCAGAGCTGTTTTGCTCCCTTCACTCGCTTCGACATGATACCTCCCTGTTGAATCCCTCGACATACCCAGTTCGAACGAAAGCTCCTGATAGCAAAAGACACGATAATCATTAAATGCCTCCAACCACCTCGGCGCTGATGCGCCTCTCCCGCGCAGCGCGGCAGACGAGCTCACCAGCCAGCATCTGCAAGACTCTCCCGTCATGTAGACAACAAATCGCTCCCCTGGCGCAAAATCGCGCCTTCGCTAATATCCCTCTCCGATCACGAACCCGAACGCCCCTCGCGAATGCCTTCTTCAACGCCCACGGTCTGCCAAAAGGCCACCTCATCCGCTCTGCCTCAAGCGCAATACCACCACCAAAACCAAAATCCCGATTGCTCTATCTAGCCTACCGCGGCGCAACATGGCTCGGCGGCAGCATCATCTTCGTCGGACTTGGCATCGTGGGTTTCTTCATCTACGACGCCTCAACTTACAAGGAACACCCGGATATCAACGAAATTCACGTCTCAGAGCTCGCCCTCGATCCCAGACGGGGCGGGCCAAAGAACCTCCCGATTGCTGAAGTATTGATCGACGACCTGGACACCGAGGGCATGAAGAGCACAAAGGACAAGCCGAAGCTGGTTATTCTCGGCGGCGGCTGGGGCGGCGTCGCGCTACTGAAAGAGCTGAATCCAGACGACTACCACGTCACCGTCATCTCGCCCACGAACTACTTCCTGTTTACGCCCATGCTGCCGTCTGCCACTGTTGGAACTCTGGAACTGCGATCTCTTGTCGAGCCCGTCCGCCGGATCCTCGCCCGCGTCAATGGTCACTTCATCCGCGCAAGAGCCGAGGACGTGGAGTTCTCGCACAAGCTCATTGAATGCTCCGACACGGACGCTGCTGGTAATGAGAGGCACTTCTACGTTCCCTATGACAAGTTGGTTATCGCGGTCGGATCTACTACGAACCCCCACGGCGTCAAGGGACTCGAGAACGCGCACTTCCTGAAAGACATCAGCGATGCTCGCAAGGTTCGGAACCAGGTCATGCTCAACCTTGAACAAGCCTGCCTTCCCACGACCTCGGACAACGAACGCAAGCGCCTGCTCTCCTTCGTCGTCAGCGGAGGTGGTCCAACCGGTGTCGAGTTCGCAGCAGAGTTGTTCGACATGCTCAACGAGGACTTGACGCAGCACTTCCCAAAGCTTCTTCGCAATGAGATTTCCGTCCACCTGATTCAGAGCCGTAGCCACATCCTCAACACCTACGACGAGACAGTTTCCAAGTATGCCGAGGATCACTTCGCCCGCGACCAGGTCGACGTCCTCACCAATTCCCGCGTCAAGGAAGTCCTGCCAGACAAGATCATCTTCACACAGAAACAGCCCGACGGCACACTCGTCACCAAAGAACTGCCCATGGGCTTTTGCCTCTGGTCCACCGGCGTCGCCCAGACCGACCTCTGCAAGGCCCTCTCCGCCAAGCTCGGCCCCTCTCAAACCAACCGTCACGCTCTCGAAACCGACACTCATCTCCGCCTGAACGGCACGCCTCTTGGTGACGTCTACGCCATCGGCGACTGCTCGACCGTCCAGAACAACGTCGCTGACCACATCATCACCTTCCTCCGCTCCCTCGCCTTCAGACGCGGCAAGGACCCCGAGACCCTCGAGCTCCACTTCAGCGACTGGCGAGATGTCGCCAATGACGTCCGCAAGCGATTCCCCCAGGCCGTCGGACATCTGAAGCGCCTCGACAAGCTGTTCGAGCAGTTCGACAAGGACCAGTCCGGCACCCTCGACTTCGGCGAGCTTAGAGAGCTCCTGAAGCAGATCGATTCGAAACTCACCTCCCTCCCCGCCACGGCGCAACGCGCCCACCAGCAGGGCCAGTACCTCGCTCACAAGTTCAACAAGATGGCGCGCACCTCTGATAGTCTCAAGGCGAACCAGGTCTTGGACGGCGACATCGATGCCATGGTGTACAAGGCGTTCGAGTACCGCCACCTGGGAAGCCTGGCGTACATTGGCAACTCGGCCGTCTTCGACTGGGGCCAGGGCTGGAACTTCGCCGGCGGTCTGTGGGCGGTATACATGTGGCGATCTGTGTACTTTGCGCAGAGCGTCAGCCTGAGGACGCGGATTCTTTTGGCGATGGACTGGGCCAAGCGTGGTCTCTTCGGAAGAGGTAAGCCGATGCAAATCCCCGTTTCTCCAATGCAGTTGCTAACACAGATTAGACTTGATGAGCTACTAAATACAAAAACACGACTGTTGTATGAGTTTTCCTTTTGTTGTATTAGCATACCCTGGGGAGTACGAAGGGCATAAAAGGCATCCATAGCGATGCGGAAGACTAGAGTAAAGAATCCACAGACTATGAAAGGTCTTGTAATTCCATTTCGTTGTTTCAAGCTTACGAAGTTGAACGTCTGATAATGTGTGAAAACCAATGCCCAGCGCTTTTGAATTACTACTTTTATGTTCCCGTCTATTGTATATGCGTCTAAATCTTGAAGTCCTTGTACTGCCACTTCTCCGTGATTTTCGACCTGGCCTGCTTCTTGAACGGAATATGCCTCCTGGCCTCGACCTTGCCACGCAACAACATGCTGCGGTATCTGTCCTTCAACAAGTTTCCTTCCGGCTTCAACAACCGCAGCGAGTCCTGCAGCTCGTCCGGCAGGACAAGCTCCAGGTCCTTCTCCGGGAGCTTGAACTTGCCGAGCTGCCGTCTCCTCAGGGGGCCTTCGTCGGCGAGATCCTCCTCGTCGGCGTCGCTGTCCTCGCCGACCTCCTTGGCCAGCTCCAGAGCGCTCTTGGCGGCGTCGCGCTCCGCGATCTCGGTGGCGATCTGCTTGATCCTCTCCGCCTGCGCGGCCTTCTTCTTCATGGCGAGCTGGTGCTTCGCCTCCCGCTCCGCCTCCTTGCGGCGCTTGATACGGTTCCGCTGCTGCGGCGTCTTGCGCTGCGGGCGCTTGAGCGAGGGCTTGTCGTCGTCGACGCCGCTCTCGAAACCCTCCCACGCCGAGTCCTCGTCCCACTCGGACAGCTGCGCGCGGGCCTCGGCGGCCTCGGCCTCGGCCGCGGAGCGGGCCACTGCCTCGCGCTTGATGCGCTCTGCTTCTTCGGCCGCGAGACGGGCCTCTTCCGCGGCCACGGCCTTGGCGGATTCCTCCTCCAGACGGTCGGCGTAGTCGTCGAAGGTGGGGTTGTAAGAGTATCCTCCCGTCGGCTTGACCACGGCTGGTAGCTCCTTGCCGGAGGCGGTCAGGGAGACGGGTTTGTGTTTGAGCGTCTTCGGGGGCTTGGCCTTGACAACGGGAGGGATGAAGTTGTCCTTGTCATCTTCGGGAGCGGGTGTAGCTGCGACGGGGGCGCCCCAGAGGTCGTAGGTGGCGTCCTGAATGGTGATGGACGACTCGTGCTGGCCGTCGGCGACCCTGCGGAGGCGGGCGAGCTCCTTGTGAGAGACCCAATCGGTGCGCTGGCGCTTGACGGGGAGGAGGCCGTCGGACGTCTTTGAGGAGTCGTTCTCGCGCTTCTTGCGGGCGGAGATTGCGGGGACGGAGGAGCGGGCGGCGATGATTTCGTCCGACTTGAGCGTCTTCTTGGGCTTGGGCTTCGCTGAGATCTTGCCGACGGTATCGAGGGTGAACAGGTCTGCCGAGTCCTTCTCTGCGGCGACACCGCTTGATGGTTGTTAGCAACGGACTAAAGATGGGTGATTCGGGCGAGGAAGAGCGATTGCTTACCCTTGAATGATTTGCTTGTTCAATTCATCGAGTCCGCTTTGCACCTCGGTCACGTCGACGTTCTTGCGCCACGCCTTCTTTCCTTTCCTCGAGGGCTGCTTGTGTTGCTGCGGCGCATCGCCATCGCCCGAGAGGGGCTTCAAAACGGGCATGTTGTTGATGTTGCAGCTGGTTCTCTTGGCTCGTAATTGTTTCGATTCGAAGAGTCTCGCTCTGGTGTTGAGTCGTAAAAAGTCGATCCGCACACCCTGCTGCTTGATACTTCCCGCCGTCCTACAGGTTCTGGGCCGCAGGGACTTTTTTACAGGCGGGGCCCCTACCTAGAAATTGGAAATTTTTGGTCTTATCGCACTGCAGGTGGGTCTTGAAAGTCTGTTATCGGCTATCGGCACGTGATGGCCCGCTCTTATCGATCCTTCCACTCAATGGGGGGGGACAAGGCCCTTGTCAAGCTCCGATGCGCCCAGGACGACAGACAGTTGACCTCCTTTTACCGATAGGTTCTCGATTTCCAGCTCGCGCTCATCCTTGAACGACACCTTTGGTCCTCCCATCACCGAATCTCCTTCGACTCGTCGGCCTCCCCCTTTACGGTCGTCTTTCCCTCCACAATTCCGTCTCTCCCTTGCATCAAAGACCACCGTTTGTCGACCTTTCGATAGTGTCGACCGTGTTCCCTACCGATACCACGTCTCGAGCTTCCCTTTGATCATCGCGAATACTTGGCAACCATGGCGTCCGGCGCAGGCGGGTCTTACAACAACCCACTCAAGAAGTTCAAGTACGATATGCGCAAACACGGCAATGGCCAGTGCAGTGGTTTCTTCAATGCTGACATGATTTGGGGAACAGGCTTGTCTTCTTGGGCGAGCAGAGTGGTACGGGCACCCTGCAGCATTTTCCTTTGACGTCGGCCCTCCCTCGCTAACACCGCTTTGTCCGCAGTGGGAAAGACATCCCTCATCACTCGATTCATGTACGACTCCTTCGACAACATGTACCAGGCGACTATCGGCATCGACTTTCTCTCCAAGGCAAGCTTTTTTCGGGCCGCTGCGTGGGATTTGCCCTTTCTGACTGATGGTAGACCATGTACCTTGAGGACCGGACGGTGAGGTTACAGCTGTGGGATACGGCCGGCCAAGAACGGTTCCGTAGTTTGATCCCGTCGTATATCCGGGACTCCAGCGTGGCGGTCGTCGTCTACGACATCTCGAGTATGTCTTGCATTGATCCAGGCCGAGGAGACGTTACTGTATCGGCGGGCTGACACTGGAATTTACAGATGCGAAATCTTTCCAGAACACCAAGAAGTGGATCGACGACGTGCGCGCCGAGAGAGGAAACGACGTTATCATTGTTCTCGTAGGCAACAAGACCGACTTGAACGACAAGAGGGAGGTGACGACGCAGCAGGGAGAAGACGAGGCCAAGAAGAACAACCTCATGTTCGTGGAGACCAGTGCAAAGTTGGGACACAACGTCAAGACCTTGTTCAAGAGAATAGCCCAGGCGTTGCCTGGCATGGAAGGAACCGATGCTGCCCAGCAGGCCTCAAGCCAAAGTGAGTCTCCCTCGGCCCCGGTCGAGGTTTCTGCGGCATACTGACTACTTGCAGTGATTGATGTGAAGACGACCCCCGCCGCATCCTCGCAAGAGGGCTGCGCGTGCTAGACGATGTTTAAAAAGAAGCAAACGACAGGAATAGCCCCTCCAAAAAAGACGAGCCGTGACGGACAAACACAAACACGGGGCTGAACTACCGTTACGTTACGACATGACTGGCGGGGCAGGACATCTTAAGCATAGCGTGCAATGAGGATTTCAGCATCAGTTACAGTTTGTATAATAAACGGGCTATAATCCACGGTCGTTAGTACATACCTACATTTAATGGCTCTTCTTTCCCTTCTTTTACTATTGTATGTTGAAGACGATGCGATCCGCATTTGCTAGCTGCCGCACTCTTCTCTGCGTCATTCGCCAGCTAGGCGAAATAAGCTTGAAATTTGACCTCGCGTCTCTACGAATTAAAGACGAGACTAGACCTGGCGATACTCGGAGTCCGTCTTGCCGTTGTGGATTGTCACCGAGGGCCGGGTCCATCGAGTGGTCGAGATGCCAGTGATGGTGGGCCTGGAAATGATTTTCTGCAGGTCGGAGGCGGCCATCTGTTCGGGTCCGCGTACAGCGCTCGGACACCACCCGGGGAGTGGCATTATGACGGGGCGGGTGGGGAACATCATGTCATCGAGAACGCAGGGTCTTTCCGCCCATTTTTCACCATGTCATCCGGCGCAGCCGCTTTGGCCAAAAGTGACGAACCTTTGACAACGCTTCCCCAAAGCTTCCTACACATTTACCAGAGCTCCTGGACCCTTTTTCTGACACAACTCTCACCTCTTGCATCGCCGACTACCACCAACAAAGATTGATCACGAAAACAATATGGCACTCTGCAGATTCAGAATTAGGATGCCGCGCCCCAAGGTTCGTTGGAAAATCGCTGTCGGTGCTAAGCGCCGGGTCGCATCATCGTCAACATGTTCACTAACGCGCAAGTCACGCGACAGACGTTCCTGGGCTGCGCCAGCCTCCAGACGGGCGCCGAGGTGATATCACTCATCCTCCTCTTCAACCGCCTCACCGGCCTGTACGGCCTCCTCGCCATCCTTACCGGCTACGAACTCTCGGTCACTCAGCTCTCGATGTACCTCTACTCATTTGGCGTCCTCGTCTGCCTGGCCATGTTCATGCCCCACATCCGCAAGCAGAGCCCATTCGAGGCGCTGGGGCTCGCGTGGCTCTACATCATCGACACGATCCTCAACATCGCGTACACGACCTTCTTCGCCGTCGGCTGGTACCTCCACAGCACCGCGCTCGACAAGCACCCTGGCAGCGCAGGTGTCCCCGCCGGGGCTGAGATCGCCGAGGAGGCGCTCGCCAACGGTGCGCCCGTCGTGCCGGACGTTCCCAAGACGACCAAGCACATCGGCCCGCAAGAGTCGTGGATGAGCCTGGGGCTCATCGTCTCGGTCACGCTGGTGCGCGTCTACTTCGCGCTCGTCGTCATGTCGTTTGCGCAGAGCGTGCTGCAGAGGTACACGGAGATGGGCTGGGAGCAGGAGGAGGGCCGCAAGAAGGGTCCCGACGGACCATTCACCCAAGGCGAGCCCGGCGGCGAGGGCTACCGCGGACGTGTCGGACGCGTGATGCTTGCCCTTGGCCGTGGCTACTGGCTCGAGGAGAGGCCGCAGGAGGAGTGGGCGAGCGCGATGAGTGCTAAGTTCAGGCACGCCGTTGTTTAAAGAGCGATTTGCGGACGGAAGGCATTCCGAGAAGTGGGTGGACCCTTTTCAGAATTGGATGCGGATGTGGATGTCGGTATCGGCGGGAACGGTGACGGCTTCGTCGGCGGCAACTGTGCTGACCGCCTGCGCCGCCCCGGGCCGCCGACGAACGGCTATTTTGCAGGTTACTCAGCGATGGCGGGGCGGAAAAAAGGGCGGATCGATGGCGCCATCGCGAAGTGTGATCATTGGGGATGGGGAATGTTTTTAATGTGGATGGTACAGCAAGAGGTGGGCCGTGGAGGATGACATTTTTTTCGGGGTTTAGAAATTCTGGCTGTCTACAGGCCATCGGCGTATGGATTTTTGGGTAAAGAAGGAATGGCGAATGGGAGTGGGACCGGGTCAGAAAGACGACATCAAATCCCGATACGGGAACAGCATACTACATTACAGACTCATGACGCATATACAGTAATACACGTACGCTAATTCATCAGAAAGTGGTCGCGACAGCCGATGTATCTTGTCGTCCACGGTCCGGCGACCGAGGTGGGAAGACGCTACTGTAGGTAGTGTATCCTGCGGTGCTAATCCGATGCTCACCATTTGTAATCCGAAAGATTCCCCGGGGGGATGGGGACCGCGAGACGGGGTCCACGACGGGATATGGAGCGCCAGGTGGCTCAGTCCCCTCTTATTGAGGCGTCGTGTGTTGGTTGACTCGCCTCCTTGCTGCTGCGAATCTTTTTGTTCATGTGAGTGTTGAGTGAGATTCTATGGTAGCGGCTGACAGACGAGTGAATAGGTTGAGGAAAGTGACTGTCGACGGCCTTTTTCGGCATTCGGGCATTGGTCTCAGGCAATGAATTATTGTTGTTGTATTTTCCTGTTCAGTCTCCCAGGCCCCTGGTTTGGAGACGAGTGCTTATCTTACGTCAAAGTATTAGTGAACCTGGGGTAAAGAGGATTCTCTGTGTCTGTTGTACGAATAGCACTTCCAGAGATGTAGAATTGGTCATCAAGTTTCCCTCGAGACGGCTCACGACTTACAACAACCGAAAGGCATTCGTACCAAACAGGCAAGGCATGCCGCTGTCGGCACAACATTCTCTAACGGTTGGCCACCCGCCAGCCATCCAGTGCCATTTGCCATTGCCCAAGACCAAGACCAGCAGAGAAAAAAAATGCACCCCAAGCCGAACCCGCGGCGCCAGGTCGCGAGCAGTGCGGCAGAGCAACCAGCGAATGGACTGGGGGAGACGCTGCGCTAGCCGATCACGCAATCGACCCTGATGTCGACAAAATTCATTGTTTTCTGCGGGGCGGGTTTTCTCGGTGGGAACTGCGTGCTTCCTCTCTCTCCTTGGGCAATGAATTAAAACCAAATAGCCATCGGAGCTGTTTCGGTTTGCTTTATTACTCTCTGCCCTTGCTCTACTTTTACCAATTCCCCCCATACCATTGTTGTTGGTGGTTGCTGCTGCTGCTGCTGCTCCTGTTTTTTTTATTCTGTCGATTCTTCAACCCTCCTTGTCACTCACTGTTGGTTCAGGCGAGCAGGAGGTATTTCAACGAATTAGAGGGACGCAAAAAAGCAAAACCTCTCTCGCCCTCAGAAGAACTTCCCGACTTATACCCCCCTTCAGAGAGACAGACACAGACACAGCGACGAGATGGCACCGACAAGAGGCCAGATTCAGACGCCTGGTGAGGCCGGTAAGTTTGGCCCTGGCTTCCCCTGCAACACCCTCTTCCTTCAGCGGGTTTGCCCACTGTAAATTCGGCAAGCCTACAGCGGCACCCGTCTTCGGCCAATCAGAGCTCGCCTATTTGTCGCATCCAGCACCCGCTAGCGATGCCAATTAGTGGAAGCTGGATGGATGGCGAAGTGAAGCTGGTGGCCACGACGACGACGACGATGATGATGATCAAGACAGAAGGCAACGGCTAACACAATGCGCACACAGTCGCCAGAATCGCATACCTCTCCAGCGATGTCGTCGTCTCCGTCCAGCCGTCACTGGCCAAGGACTCCGAGTTCTCTTCCCACCTGAAGCGCTACGTCGCTCGCGCCGACAAGAGTCTCGTCGCAAAGTCGGCAGTGCCAGAGGTGAGCAGCCAAAAACCCACGGCGATTCTCGTCGCCGTCGAGATTGAGTCCCCAGAACTGACAATCGTCTTCTCGAAACGCAGGTCCAGCACGTCAGGCACAACACCGACCCCCTCCTCTCCGTCTTCACGCCCTCCCGCGCCGGCAAGCTCGTCGCCGTCACCACTTCCTCCACCGTCCTCCTGCCCGCCATCTCCCACCTCTACAAGCTGGCAAACTACCCCGTCGTCCTGCACGTCTCCCTCCAGCCCGCCGGCTTCCCCGACTTCTCCAGCATCACAGCCATCCGCAACTCAGGATGGACGTTCTTGCAGTCCGAGTCGCTGCAGGAGGCTCAGGACATGGCCCTGACTGCCCACGCCCTGGCTCTGCACTCCGGCAAGGGTGTCATTCACTTCTTCGCCTCTTCCTCGAGCGACAACGACGCGCCCATTGAGGCCGAGGACCCCGAACTCGTGCGCCAGATCCTGGATGTCGATGCTGCGAGGCGGTTCCAGTCCAGCGGCGGCGCGGAAGCGGCTGTCGGCATCTACGCCGATGACGGCCGACTGCCGGTCGCGTCAGACCGACCCGACGTGCCGCCGACCGGCTCCTCCACTCTGGGTGGTCTGAGCTCTTCCGAACTCGCTTCGTCCGTGCACTCCAAGCTCGACTCGTCCCGCGCCTCGGTCCAGTCCAGCAGTGAGCACAGCTCCACCGAGAGCCCCCCGTCAGTCGTCTCCTCCAACGCCACCACCATCGAGTCCTCCTTGCCCGTTGTGTCGTCCGAGGACATTCTCAAGTACGCCAACGGTATCTGGGCCCAGCTCAAGCGTGTTACCGGCCGTGAGTACACGCCCTTCTTCTACGCCGGCCCCACCAACGCCGAGAACTGCCTGTTCGTCTTCGGCTCCGGCGCCTACTTCTTTGGCGATGTCATCGACCAGGCCCGCCGTGGCGGTGACTTCTCCAAGGTCGGCATCATCACCCCGAGACTGTACCGCCCTTGGTTGAGCTCCGCTCTCTCCGATGCCCTGCCCAAGTCCGTCAAGCGCATTGCCGTTTTGGAGCAGATCCACCGCAAGACCACGAAATGGGGCCCCGTCCTCATCGATGTTCTCACCAGCGTCAAGAGCGGCTTCGGTGGTGTGCAGACTGTTGTCGGCTACCAGCTCGGCTACATTGACCCCAAGACGGTCATCCAGGCCCTGCGCGGCGTCCTGCAGAACCTGACCTCCGAGAGCCCCGTCCAGAACCTCGAGGTCGGCCGCAAGGATGTTCCCCAGGAGGCTCTCGAGTACGGTCTGGAGAAGCCCAAGGTCGAGACCTCTTACACCAAGATTCTTGACCAGCTGTTCGGTCAGCGCGCCTTCGTCGCCAACGCCCTCAAGTCCAACAACGCCGGCATCAACGCCTCTATCCAGGCCAGTCCCGAGTTCGGTTTCGGTTCCCTGCTGGCCCGCAAGGAGCGCCGTGTGCGCTTCGTGAACGAGGTCAAGGAGGCCGCCAGCAGCAACGAGTTCGTGACCGAGTCCCCCAAGAGCTGGCTCGCCCGCTGGGCTGCCAACGCCCAGGATGCCAAGAAGGCGAATGAGATTGCCGATGACCTGATCCCCCGCCTCGAGACTGACGGTTCTTCCATCGCCCGCAACCTGCTGTCCAGCAAGCGCCTCTTCCGCAAGGAGTCTCTCTGGCTCGTTGGCTCCGATGCCTGGGCCTACGATCTCGGCAACTCTGGTGTGCACCACGTCCTGGCTTCCGGCGAGAACGTCAACATGCTCATCATCGACTCCACTCCCTACTCGGAGCGTGCCGCCGCTGACGCCAACCGCCGCAAGAAGGACATTGGTCTGTACGCCATGAACTTCGGCAACGCCTACGTCGCCTCCACCGCCGTCTACGGCTCCTACACCCAGGTCCTGCAGGCCATGCTCGAGGCTGACCAGTTCGACGGTCCCTCCGTCGTCCTTGCCTACCTGCCCTACAACGGCGAGGCCGACTCGCCCCTGACTGTTCTCCAGGAGACCAAGAAGGCCATCGACGTCGGTTACTGGCCCCTGTACCGCTGGAACCCGGCCAACGACGCCAAGGGCGAGCCCAACTTCTCCCTCGACTCCGAGCGCATCAAGAGCGAGCTCAAGACCTTCCTGGACCGCGACAACCAGCTGACCCAGATCATGAAGAAGGACCCCATCTTCGCCGCCAACCTGTCTCAGGACTTCGGCACGGAGGTCAGGGCCCAGCAGAAGCGCAAGGCCAAGGATGCGTACAACCAGCTCCTCGAGGGTCTTTTCGGTGCTCCTCTCACCATCCTGTACGCCTCCGACAACGGTAACGCTACCAACGTCGCCAAGCGTCTCGGTAACCGCGGCAAGGCTCGTGGCCTGAAGACTACCGTCATGGTCATGGAGGACTACCCCATTGAGGACCTCCCCTCTGAGGAGAACGTCATCTTCGTTACCGCCACGGCTGGTCAGGGTGAGTTCCCCCAGAACGGTCGCCCCCTCTGGGACGCTCTGAAGGACAACACCGAGCTCGACCTCGCCAACGTCAACTACTCCGTCTTCGGTCTCGGTGACCGTCACTACTGGCCCCGCAAGCAGGACAAGATCTACTACAACAAGCCCGCGAAGGACCTCGACCGCGTCCTCGCCAACCTTGGTGGTAAGAGACTTGCCGACATTGGTCTCGGTGACGACCAGGACCCCGATGGATACCAGACCGGCTACAGCGAGTGGGAGCCCAAGATCTGGGGCGCCCTCGGCGTTGACAACGTCGATGGTCTCCCTGAGGAGCCCGCCCCGATGACCAACGAGGACATCAAGATCCAGTCCAACTACCTCCGCGGTACCATCGCCGAGGGTCTCCTGGACACCAGCACCGCCGCCATCTCCGCCCCCGACCAGCAGCTCACCAAGTTCCACGGTACCTACATGCAGGACGACCGTGATGTTCGTGACGAGCGCAAGGCCATGGGCTTGGAGCCCGCCTACTCCTTCATGATCCGTTGCCGTCTGCCTGGTGGTATCTCCACCCCCAAGCAGTGGGTCCAGATGGATGACATCGCCAACGAGCTGGGCAACGAGACCATGAAGCTCACCACCCGTCAGACCTTCCAGTTCCACGGTGTTGTCAAGGGCAAGCTCCGTCCCGCCATGCAGGCCATCAACCGCGCCCTCATGACCACCATCGCCGCCTGCGGAGACGTCAACCGTAACGTCATGTGCTCGTCCCTCCCCCAACACTCCTCGTACCACAAGGAGGTCTGGGCCTACTCCAAGATCATCTCCGACCACCTTCTGCCTTCAACGTCCGCCTACCACGAGATCTGGCTCGCAGACGAGAACGACAAGAAGACCCAGGTCGCCGGTGACGCTGTCCAGGACTTCGAGCCCCTCTACGGACCTACTTACCTCCCCCGTAAGTTCAAGATTACGATCGCCATCCCTCCTCACAACGACACCGACGTCTACGCCCACGACATCGGTCTCATCGCCATCAAGGGCGCCGACGGCAAGCTCGCTGGTTTCAACCTCATGGCCGGAGGTGGCATGGGTGCCACCCACAACAACAAGAAGACGTACCCCCAAATCGGCCGCATGCTCGGTTTCGTTTCGACCGACCAGGTCCACATCGCCTGTGAGAAGGTCATGCTCGTCCAGCGCGACCACGGAGACCGCAAGAACCGTAAGCATGCCCGTCTCAAGTACACCATCGACGACATGGGTGTCGACGTCTTCCGTTCCAAGGTCGAGGAGCTGTGGGGTCAGAAGTTCGAGAAGGAGCGCCCCTTCGAGTTCAAGAGCAACATCGACACGTTCGGCTGGCAGAAGGACGAGACGGGCATGAACCACTTCACCTTCTTCATCGAGAACGGCAGAATCGAGGACACCCCCGAGTTCCAGATGAAGACTGGTCTGAGGGAGATCGCCAAGGTCCACAAGGGCGAGTTCCGCCTGACCGGAAACCAGCATCTCATCCTCAGCAACGTCGCCGACGAGGACCTTGACGCCATGAAGGAGCTGATGAAGAAGTACAAGCTCGACAACGTCCAGTTCTCCGCCCTCCGCCTCAGCTCCTCCGCTTGCGTCGCCTTCCCGACCTGCGGTCTCGCCATGGCCGAGTCCGAGCGCTACCTCCCCGTCCTCATCAGCAAGCTCGAGGGCTGCCTCGAGGAGAACGGCCTGCGCCAGGACTCCATCGTCATGCGCATGACGGGTTGCCCCAACGGCTGCGCTCGTCCCTGGCTCGCCGAGGTCGCCTTCGTCGGCAAGGCCTACGGCGCGTACAACATGTACCTCGGCGGCGGCTACCACGGCCAGAGGTTGAACAAGCTCTTCCGCCAGAGCATCAAGGAGGACGAGATCCTTGCCATTATGAAGCCGCTGCTCAAGAGGTACGCGGCGGAGAGGGAGAAGGGTGAGCGGTTCGGCGACTTCTGCATCCGCGTCGGCGTCATCAGGGCGACCAAGGAGGGTCGGGACTTCCACGAGGGCGTAAGTTGATAACCCTGAAACCGCGAGAAGAAATTTCATGTGCTAACATATAACCACAGGTCCCTGACGAGGATGAGGATGAGGAGTAGATTTACTCGTGAGGTGATTTCTAGGAGCGATTTTGAGTATTTGAAAAAGAGGGGGAAAAGTTGCGAATTGTAACATGTATGTTTTATATCCGTTGAGCTTAGCATCGGGGACTGGCGTTATTCTATGCTATTTTATCTCATATATATATCATGTTCGAAATATCTATATACCTGGCTTTCTGGTTCATAAAGGTCTGCGTGCCCATCAACTCTGTTGAGCCAGCTCAGAGGGTTTACCTCGAGAGATGAGACACGTCATCCTGTGATGAAAACTCCCTCGGAACCAGAGGTGCTTGATGTAACGCGCGTGAGATTTCCATTGAGACATCAACACACATGGTATCGACCTTCGATGTCCTACTCGCTGGGATTATAATGTGAACCGAGGCACGGGCCGGTAGGTGGGGGGCGGAGCGGGAGGTAGAACGGCCCCGCCGAAACGGACCGCACGGTCTCTGCGGGGGCTGAGGCTGTCTTAGGGCGGCCCGGTTCTAGATCTCCCTCGCGCGTCCTTACGAATGTGTTTGAAATCCCCAGTCGCAGCACTTCCTCTCGTTACGAAGACCCCGTTCTGGAACAAGATGTCGTTGGCGGGCATGGCGGGGACGGTTGCGGAGGTCGGGCTAGGCCGTGTTCGGCGGTGGTTGGAGAGGTGGCTTGACACGGTCGGCGAGACGAGCTGGTTTTGAGGTGTTTCGGCGAGGCGTGCCGCGGGGCTCGATTCCTCGCGTGCTGGACGCATGCACTTCGGGATGGGGGAGCCGAGTTCTTGGGAGACGTCGTTTATTCCTTATCTCCCCTCGAATGCGGATCTTGGACCATGGCTGTCGTCACTTGGAGTCTCTGTCAAGTCCTCCCCTGCTATTGTTGCCGTCCTTTCTATGCTTTCTCATCTTTGAAAGGCCGAGGAAACAAAGTTCTTCAGCCGCTCTCGCAAGTGCGAATAGTTCTCTAGCGAGAGCAGACGGCGAGCCAACCTTCTCAGCGCGGCCACGGCAAGATCATCAGGACCAATCGCCAGGTTCCCGGGAATCCCTTTTGGAGGCGTCATCGTGTCTCTCGCTTAAGCGCATAGGGTCTCTTTGGAGGACTCCTCTGGACCTGCTCGAAGTCGCGCCATCCTCCACTTCGAAGGGTTCCGGGAGGATGAGTCCACCGGAAACGGTCCAGCCACTTCTACTGGGGTTTGTCTTGGCCAGATCTCCGCCGATGGTGGTAGCATTTCCCGGATATCCCGTCGGACTGGCATCGATGGGGGGCTCGTGGTTTCCGTAGGAGTAGTCGTCCTCGCCCGTCGCTGGAATGTCCCGAGGAGCTACATTCCACACACACGCGTGCGAGGAAAACGCCTTTCTTCCCCCTACGACCGGAAAGGAAATAGGAACAAATCCTTGTGCAACATAAACTCCCGTTCGCTCCCATTCGCACATCCTGGTCTTTTTTCCCATTTCCCCTTTCCCCCCTCTTCCGCGAATCGCCGCCGGTTCCGCCCCGCCCCGAGATCGACTTCCCCGATGACCGTCCCCTGACCCCCGAGTGTCCCTCCCCCCGGTTCTCTTACCGTCGAAGTTTGCGGTACCATCAGATGGAGCTCCCGTTTTCCGAGTGGTTGGTCGACTTACCAAGCTGCGCCGTGAGTGTCGTCGCCCTGGGACTGTTCGGAAGACGGGTACTGATGGACGTATCATTCATCACAGGCGCCGTGTTTGACTAACGCGCTTAACTTTACTCGCTGCGCTGCGGACGATCTGGTATCTACGTGTTTGTGCAAGGATAACAGCTACATCGAGACGTATCGTGTCTGCGTGCGAGCTTCCTGCGAGATTGGAGACCTTCTGAGTAAGCTGGCGGCCACCTCATGTTGTTGATGTTGAGTTTATTGTCATGGTCCATGAATAGGCGGATTTGTTTGCTGACGGACGGACTGTCAGTCGCCAAGAACGCAACCTGGACGTACTGCAACTTCCCCTACCAAAGCCAGCCCGGCTCCGTGTTCGGCAGGGTATTGATAGTCGGCGTTACCGCCATCTTCTTTGTCGTGCGCCAGGTGGCCAAGTTCCTGGGCCTGTCGGCGTGGGGAGCGGACGACTGGACTCTGATACTCGGATACGTAAGTTTTCGTCCGGGCTTCAGACTGATCACCCTGAAGCAGAACGCTTACCTGCAACGACAGCTATTCACTCTCTCCTTCGCGGTCTCTAAATTCTATGGTACGTATTAGAGGTCTTGCCGACATATGAAGTTCATCTTCTGCGTGCGTGTCCGTTCTAAGGTGACTGACGCAGAACAGGATATGAGTTGGGAATCGGGCGGGACGTCTGGTCCCTATCCCACGACGAGATCAACAGATTCATGCGAGTAAGGCGCTAAAGAGACTCATGAGATCCGCAAAGCCCCAATTTCCCTCCTTCCTTCCAAAGACGACTTGATGCCAAAAGCCAGAATGACGTTCCCGGCTAACATCCCCACCACAGGTCTTCTTCGCCTTTGAGATAATCTACACCGTCAGCATCGGCATCCTCAAGGCCTCCATCCTCTTCTTCTACCTCCGCGTCTTCAACCTCGTCAGCCCCACCTTCACGATAATACTGTGGTGCACCCAGGTCTTCAACGCCCTCAACTGCATCGCCTTCACCATTGCCAACCTGAACCAGTGCAAGCCCTTCTGGTACGCCTGGGAGGGCTGGGACGGGCGGCACCCGGGGTACTGCGTGAACCTGATCGCCATGCTGGTGTCGCACGCCGCGATCAATATCGCCATGGACGTCTGGATGCTGGCGCTGCCCGTCACGCAGGTTCTGTGGCTGAATCTGAGGAAGAGGCAGAAGCTTGAGATCTTATCCATGTTCGGGCTTGGTGTAATGTGAGAGCCAGCATTCTTTGTCTCTAATGATCGCTGAAAAGCTGACGACGGGGACGTTTCCCGCGTTGTAGTATCACCGTCATCAGCATCATACGGTTGAGAGTATTGTTAAACTTTCGCAGCTTTCAGGATCCGACATGTAAGTATCTCTGTGTTTCTGTTCCGCAAGAGTAAGTCAAGGGAGAAGAAACGTCTACTAACGCTTCTCCGCAGATGACGCATTCTGGCTACACATGTGGTCCTACGTCGAACTATCTACGGGCGTCATCGTCGCCTGTCTACCGTCGACGCGCCAGCTGTGGCGCGACCTGGTGCCCAAGCTCAAGAAGAAAATTGGGCTCAGACCGCCCTCACGCCCTTCGGAGCCTGGTGAATCTGTGAGGAGACTCAAGGACATCTTGTTTCTGAGCGGGGACCAGCCGAGTCCCACGAGTAGGAGCGGGTTTGCGTCGTCGCCTTCGACGCGGACGTGGAGTGGGGGATTAGATGAAGGGCCGCGGCGGCATTCGAGGCCTTGACCTCTGTCGTATGTGATGGGTGTGCATAGCTGAATGAGGAATGTATATCAACATCTGGAACCAACTTCGTGACTGTGGGTGAACAGATCAAAGCATCTATGTGAAGTCTGATTCTCTGAAATATGGAACAGGTGCATAATGTGCCGAGACCAGCCTACATGCCTTCATGAATCTCAGCGTTGACGCCTAATTACAAATTCAACCGGGTTCCGCGGCCAACTAAAAAGGTCAAACCAAGACGAATCGCGCCGTTCCTCCTTGCGAGCATGTGCGCGGTTCCGACCAGCGGTAGGCGTGGAGTCATAGTAGTCTTTATCATAATATTGGCGATTATATGAGTTCGAAATTCTTTCAGCGGGATGGGATGCTCTACGACTCCTCGTTCGTTGCAACGCGGGGATCCATGACCGAACATGTTTAAAGTAATACTCCTCGGGCACCCCCAGAGCGATGGCGTCCCTGATGCCTCGATTCATGCGGTCGACATATTCTGGCCTCGCAGAACATTTCTGTGTGGTGGGCTCGCTGAGATAGACCAACACATCGTGCGGCATCGTCGGGAGGAGTCGACTCTGGTCGATCTTCTGTCCCCTCCTGCCGACGATGTCGACGATGTCGACCATTTCCCTCGTTGTCCTATAGACGTCTGACTCATACAGTATTATTGACTGATACGTCTTCCAGTACGCGCCGCTTCGAGTGCCTTCGAAGCGGTCGAGCGCGGCCTCGTCCTCGGGGAAAACCTCGTAGACCAGCCCGTGAACGTTGAACCCGGGGTCGGGAACGAGGTTGGCGAAACCCCGGTGGTTGATTTGCCACGAATGATCCGGGAGGCTCCCACGCCCTACGAAGCGGCTATTGGGGCACCGGGTTGCCATCTGCTGCAGCCATAGGTTGCTGCCATAGGCGAAGTACAGCTGGCCGGCACTTGACATGGGGAAGATATGCGGAGTAGAATGAGGCGAATGCCGGAGCAAGGGAGAATCGTGAGGAGAAATGAAAATGGCGAGAGTGAGGTGTCTCTGAAGGGGACTGTGTTTGGAAAGAAATTTGTCTCCCCCTTTCCTCGTCGTACAGCCTGATTTCGAGCTTTGTTGGGTATTCGTGGTTACACTCATGCCGGACCCACATCGGGGCCATGCCGGTCCCGTGAGGCCCACTGATGTTGATGTGGGGTCCGGCGAAGCGGGACCCAACACGGGTCAGCATGCAGCTGGAGCAGTTTTGAGGCACATCTTTCTCGACTAGCAGGGCAGCGGCCACCTTTGATTCGATATTCAGATACCGAACAGCCTCAACTTACAACACATCCCCGCGTATTTGCACATGTGTTTTCGGTGAGGCCTCCTAAGCCACAGCCTGCTTCATGGGCTCCCTCAAGCCAAGGCGAGGCGGAAGGGGTGGTACTTAGAAGACAGTGCAAGCCTGATCGGGATGGTCGTGGAATTCCTGAGAGAATGGCTTCAGACGTATTTTTGCCTGGCTGTGAAACTGTAAAACGTTATGATGCACTATATATCGAAAGGGGCTCTGCCAATGCGGGCACGGTTTACTCAGCGTTGTGCTCGTGTCGCTCGCCAGAAAGTCAAACATGCCGCCGGTTGGGTACAACTTCGGTGTCGAGATTGAGCTTATTGCTGTTCCTCATCGATCTCCGCGCTGGAAAGCAAGACGGCGCTGTTACAAACAGCTCGCTGACGCCATCAAGTCCGCAGGCGGTCGGGCAGTTGCTGACAAGCTGCCCGAACCCTACACATATCGCAAACATCCCGAGCACTATCATGCGGGAAAGTGGTGGATCACCAAAGATGGTTCCCTCGGAGACCCGGAGAGTCCACGTAGTACGCGATACTCAACAGGCGCGACACGTAATTCCCAGGACTAACAGCTCTGAGCAGTTCCACTTGAAGCAGTGTCTCCGATCCTCTCCACCGCCGACAGCTGGTGGTATGATATCGACAGATTCTGGGAAGCCTGCCGTCGGGTGTTCTTCAAGCCCGAGAATAGCCTTGTCTGCGGATCTCATGTTCACGTGTCGCCAGCGCCGTCGATGCAGTTCTCGTTGTTGCAGTTGAAGATGGTCGCGTATGGCGTCGTCGTCTATGAGCCGCTCGTCCAGCAGCTCCTTCCGTACTTCCGACGTGATAACAGTTACTGCAAGGACAATACGAAGCACTCCGACGCGCTCATCGGAATCATGTCGTCGAGCCACTGCTCTGAGTGTGGGTTGAAAGAGGCCCAGAGACAGATTATGGCGGCGGGTACGGCGCAGTCCGTCAGAGACCTCATGCAACGCAGCGCCTCTTCTCGGGATGACAAGCATGTGATGTGGAATTTCAACAACACCCTCCCGGGGAGATCTGGCTCTATCGAGTTCCGTGGTGGTCGTGGACTACGAGATTACACAATGAGCACCAGATGGATAGCTTTCACGGTGGCATTCGTTCATATGTGTCTTTCTGAGGTATATTACGTTTGAAGCCTTAGTATGATCTGGCTTTGAAGACTAACAGAAGCCCTAGCCGTTTTGCATCCGATATCATCGACCGAGCCTGGACGATTTCTGGCGATCCCTGCGTCTGGCTGCGGACTACATTGGCATCAAGGGCCATCTCCCGCGTGACCCGTCGGTCATGGCTGAGATAGAAAGGTACGTTTAAGTAGTTTTCCATATGGAGAAAGACGATAATGACACTACCTAGCTGTAGATCGGAGTACTCTGACGACAGCAGTTTACTGTCTTCCGAGTCTGATTCTGAATACTCGGACACGGACACGGATTCTAGTGATTTTTACTCATCGGAATATTCACTATCCAGTGGCTATTCTTACTAGAACTAACAAGGAGGTACTAAGCAAGATTAAGAATTTTGGGGGTTTTAATGTGGTGTTCAATCGAGGAAACTTGGAGGCATCGTAGATGTTTACTAGATCTTTACAAATTGTTTGAAAAGATAAAGGGCATCCACGTATAATAGACTGAATTTTCATTCGACTAAAAACTGCCTACTTATATCTACTCGGCCGAGGAAGGCGATTGAACCATGTCGCCCCCTTCTTCGGCTGCCTGAATTGTGTACCCAATCTTCATATTCTCAACTTGATCGTCGATCGGCTGCTCTTGCTCTGCTGCTTGGCTCGTATGTTCCTGAAAATCTAGGTGGGACGCGGCTGGGGGAACTTCAGGCCGATGCAAATGCCCTTGGACGTGCTTGATGAATGACTCGGAGATATTGAATTTCTCGGCGTGAGAGATAGCGTTCTTCATCCGGGTGATGTACTCTTCTCGAATAACCCCATCGTCTTGGTATTCATGGCTGACATAAACGTATGCCTCAACAGACACAGGATTATGCAAGTACATAGAGGAACCCATGTCCTCTTTCACATCATGGGTGGAAAGAATGATATCCAGCCGATCTGTCGAGAGTCCATCGTAGACTCTGTGCCGCTCAAATTGGACTTCCAAAGTATCCCTTTGATAATATCCCCTAGACACTCCCTCGGATCGGTCTAGCGCCTTCCTATCCTCCGGTTGAATGAGGAAGAGAACACCTTCGACAGAGGAATCCAGACATCTGACAACGTTGGCGACCCCGCGACTGTTGATTTGCCATCTGTAGCCTGGAAGTGTGGCCTTCCCGCAAAATTTGCTTTGAGGGCATCGAACGGCCATTTGTTTGAGATATATGTTACTGCCGTAGGCGAAGTAGTACTGCGTTTTTGTGGGCGCTCTCTGGCTGGAGCCGGATGAAGGGATCGAGGAGCTCATTGTGAGCTTCCACAAGAATGAGGTGCGTTGCTGGTGGCAAAGAAGATTAAGAAGAAGACACGCCGTCTGCAGGAACAGGTGTCGTGGCAGACTGAACACAATGGCAATGGGCACAACTGTGGTCTATTAGCTAAATAGAAACATCTGCTCGCTAGAAGAGAGTAAATAAGAAATGACCGTGTGTTCTTGAATGAAATCACTGTGCCACCAAAGTACTGGCAGGGATGGCCGAGTCAAAATGCAATTTCGGGTGTCAATCACAGCCTGACTGAACCGCACGACTTGCCACGTATTCCCGGCTTTACACACGGTAGTAGAACTGCAGTCATAATCTTTTTCCATTTTGATGGCATTGGTCCATATCAAAAAAGAAGCGGTCGGGCCTGGGTTGTCGAAATGTGATCGCAGCGTTGCAGCAGGTAAACCGACGTGATGATTGGGAAGTGTTGGCAGTTGCTCAACGCCCTGTGGCTGCAATTGACAGCCAACCATTTCTCTTGCTGGATTCCGATTGAAGATGCATCCAGGCAGCATCGCATAAGCTTCGTGGGGCGGTAGACATTGTAGGCTGGTCCTCTAAGTCTAGGCTATGGCTTGCACCTGAGGTGTGCATAAAATCATTTGACATACTCCTGCCTCGACAGTTCGTGAACCGCCACCTCCAATCCTGCGATGATTTTTCTTATCACTCGTGATCAAGATGTTGATTCAACTTAGTACGCCAAATTACCACTTCGGCATTGAAATCGAGGCCATCGTGTTGCCGCACGAACCCAGACCCGGGATCGTGAATCAACAAGCCCGGATGAGGCTGTACTATCAGAAGCTCGCAGCATCTTTGAGAAAACGAAACCTGAAGGCGGAAGCTTACGACTTGCAGGGCTCATATCATGACAGCCCGGGGCAGTACGAGACGTGGTGGATCACAAGTGATGGATCACTTTCGGCCGACCATAACCTGGAGAGTAAGGATACCTACAACCAAAAACCACAACTTGACCAAAAGCACTCACACGTGACGTAAAAAGTCGAGATGGAAGCCGTGTCTCCCATCATGACTTGCCAGTCTGACTGGACGCACGAGATAGATACCTTCTGGACCGCAATGCGGGTCGTCTTTCATATGCCGAATCGATCACCTTCGTGCGGCAGCCACATCCACGTATCAATGGGCCGTGGTCGGTCTTTCACGTTGTCCCAGCTGAAGCTAATCGCCTGCGGAGTTGTTGAGCACGAGAAAGCCATCGAGGGGCTCCTACGAAGAGATCGGCGCAGCGGCAATGAATACTGCACTCCCAATAGGCTCAACTCTTCTCGCTTGCAGAGCTGCGCTACCACGCAGGAAAGGGTGGCTCTAATCAAAGGTGCTAGCAGTTCCCAGGCATTGAAGTCGATTATGCAGGATACCAGGCGTGTGCTGTGGAATTTCGATAACGTCCTCCCTGGGAAGTCAGGGACGATCGAGTTCAGAGGAGGACGAGGCCTTCGGGGTGAAGTCAGAACTAAAAGGTGGATCGCATTTACGATATCACTTATACATGCTTTACTATATATGGTGAGTTCTCTGAGGACTGTGAAACATAGAAGCACCACTAATAAATGAACTGCGAGCATAGCAGGACAATCTTGGAAACATGCCGCAGACGCCATCTGCTCTTTTCGATGTCATCAAAACCGCATCTCGACGGCTGTTTCTGGAAGAGTACCTACCTGAGAGTCACAACCAGTTGAATGAAACTGAACATTAAGATGCCACGTGAAATAGGGACCATGGTAGGGGCTGGGCGTTCTATGTATCGAATTCATTGCCTTCAGGACAGGACCCGTGGAGTTTATTCACATACCAAGGTACGATGGGAGTGACATGGTTTGACGTTAGAGTTAGGAGCGCCCAACTGTACCATAACGGACAACAAGGGTTTTTGGTGCTGTAGCTGGTGATGAATTTCATTTACTTTGCCCCTTTCGCAACCCAACCTTCGCAAATAACACTATTACGTTGCATTATGCAACGCTAACTACCTTTGTTTTCACGTCTCGCCCGCCTGTTATCATCTTACCAGTTTCCGCAATCGCACAAAGTTCTTCAGTGGCTTATGTGTAACTCCGTCTCTCCCTTCGTAGCCACTCAACGCATCAGGGCATTTCATAATCTCAAAGTTCCATACAATGAGGCTCAAGAGAATTCGTAGTTCCACGTACGCCAACCTCTTACCGAAGCAGCTTCGCTTGCCCAAGCCGAAAGCAATCTGAGGCCCAGAGGTGGAGTCGAACTCGACCTCGGGCCCGTCTCCGTTCACTTGATCCTTCTCTTCTGTCGAGTTGGCAGGTTTGAGCCACCGGTCTGGGTTAAACACAGCCACGTCCATGGGATCCCACTCGGGGACTTCGCCGCGGTTCTTGACGGACAGATGATATGTGTCATTTCGCTTCGTTTCGTCGACCTTAAATGCAGCGCTCGTGATACTGGCGCCTAAACTAAGGCAAAAGACCTTCGTGCCTTTAGGTATTTGGTAGCCAAGAAGAACTGTATCACGTAGTGCTTCTCGTTCCACGAGCGGGGCGGTACCAGCGAGACGGAGGATCTCTTCCATCGAAGCGTACAGGTAAGGAACATTGGTGTGCATGATCTCTTCAATGTAAAGGTTGCGCTTTTCTGCTCGAGCGGCAGAGAATCCGTCCTCCATTGCAGTACGAAGTTTGGTCTGGATCTCTGGGTTGTCGGCAAGAAACTTGAGGCCCCAGAGCATCGTCGTGCTGGTTGTGTCGTGGCCGCCAGTGATGACGCCAAATAACTGTTCCAAATGTCAGTCGACAGCTGACGGGTAGGTATCTCTTCAACTCATACCTCATCTATCATTGTTGGCGAAAGAAAGTTGGGTGCCCTTCCGTCCTCCTCGGCCATCTTCTTCTCCCTTCGCACCATCAAATCCACCGCCGAGTGCATCCAAGTATCGTCCATGCCACTGGACTGCTGCCGCGATACAGCTTTGTTCAACTCTCGAGTGAGGAATTCACGCCTCACCCGCATCGTTTTGTTCAGAGGTGGAAACTTTTCGATGACTCTCCACTTCCACACCGGAAATGGAGATGCGTGCAGTCTCTCGATATTAATGCTGACGTCGAGGATGGCGTTGATTACTTCGTCGCACTCGACCGTAGGAAAGTCAACTGGGTCATCCGTAGACAGTCCTTGGCGGAGTTCTGCAGCCTCGGTGTCGTCAAGATCGCGTATCAGGTCTGCAATGGGTTTTGTCGCGTTATGAGGGAAGTCGTTGCCAAAAGAGAATGCATCAACCGCGTCCAACGCGGTGTAGAAAATGTCCTGGTATGCGCTGAACGGGCGCCCTTCCGCGATTCGAGCCTTCTCCTCCCACAACTTGATAAGGTTAACCACGTTCATATATATAGCCGGCGCAGCAACATTCTGAAGAAACGGCGGCGACATCAAATCCTGAAGGAGTCTTCTGTGAGCCTTCCACTCGTCCCCAGTCACCATGGTGATGTGATGGTCCGGGGACGGTCCGGTGAATAGGTCTCGCATCATGCTCCCTCGATCGAATTCTTTGCGACGCATACAGAGATCCTGTGCCTCGCGAAAGTCGGATAGCAGAACAATAGGAGGCGAAAGCGGACGGAGGAAGATCTGACAGACGGGAGAGTTGAACTCCGCCGCCCGCCCATGAAGCCAGCCTGATAGGTCCTTCGTTCGAGCCACTGTTCTGGCAAGGTCCGGTAAGTCGCCCATTATGCGCCTGGTGGACTCTGGATGATGTGGCATGCCCTTGATTGGCTTTGGAAGAGCCTTCAGGTAGAGGCTATACACAAGCCAGATGGACAGGCCGAGACCGAGGACAAAGAAGCCATATTTCCTCGGGATAGAGGCCGCCTCCTCCACGAATCGAGTTGTCTGGTTCGAGTTCACAAATGACATATCGAGGGCGTCGCTGCTAGAGATGAGTTGATGGAGACGTGAGCTAATAAGACTAAGAGCTTCTCAGGTCTTTATGCAAACACGCGCAAAAAGTTGCGGGAATAGGGAAACTATGTAAGGGGTCTTCAGATCAAGCTTCGGCGGTAGAGACGGCGGCAGCGCCGCTCCCCGCATCTGGTGAAGCCGTCAACGTAATTAGGTTTCAGCTTGGGCGCGGCCGCACACGAACATCACATTCCAGAGCTGGGGCAACTGAACGCGGCAACACGTGCTATCGGAACGTCCCCCGCGGCAAATAGCGAAGTGCATTCCAAAAAGAGTAATAAGTGTTCACCCCATTCCTTGCCGATGTGTGGTGGTTGGAGGGGCACTTGTTTCCATGCCGAGAACGTGACAGTTGTCTAAAGCCGCAGTATCCCTGGGGTTCTTCCCACCTTCTAGACTTCAGCCATCATCGACCCATTGAAACTTCTCATACTATTGGCCTTTTATTTTAACCTTGGGGTCGTGAATGTGCTTTCAACGTGAAGGTTTTGTACCGGCAAGCCGGTTCCCATCCAAAAGACGAATACGGTAGGTTCTTCGTTGCGAACGACAGGACGAACCTGGGATTATTCTGGAATAGAAGTCGCACTTCGGTCTCTCCTACTTCCGAACCCCGTTATTTCACAAGAAAGGATGGCTACTACCTTTTGCCTCTCGATTCCGTGTTCCAAACCATGAAATGCCAAGTCCAGATGCCACCACGTAAAGCGCGATAGAGTAACCTCCCACAGATCCTGAACTTGTCCTTTCATTAAGTTTCCCGTAATTGTCGGCGAACAATCCTGAAATCATCTCCAGCTCTCGCTGAAATGCCGAGATCGCTCCCATCATCTTTAACTCCATGTCGGCGGTCGCCACATGTGGCTGCTCTCTCCTAAAGCTTGATCCCTCACAAAGCTTTCGCCATAAAATAGTCTTCAAATCATGATACTTTCTTGATTTATGTTTGTGGTTTGTTATAAGCCACAGGAGCCAGAAAGCGTGGCTAGACCAACGAATCATGCGTGAAACACGATGGTTATTGAAGGCACTGGCTCCAGACTTGATGTCGTGATATTACTAAGATTTCTTGATGTTATTTGAAAGCAACAATAATTGATCCCATGTATTGTGGCAACGTGTATCTTCGGTGATATCTCATGATTTGAGTACGCTGAAGAATTCTTATACTATTCTGTGCGAGGAGCTTAAGTTCTATTATGCTTTCAACCTCTCATAAAGGAGCCAGCAACGGAGTTTATTCACTGCGCAGTAGAGAGCCTCACTTTGCGACAACCAACCTTGCAGCAGGATGGGACGTCTTCTTTATGCAAGTAATTTGGGGTCACCAGCACTGTAAACATGTCCAGTCCGTTACGATGTCTGATAGGTTCCGTGCTGGATGACATGTTTGCGTTCCATTGGACCATCTGCGTCCTCGACGCCGAATCCCCACAGAATGGGGCACAGCGCGTCTCACCAACCAGTTTTGTTTTCTTCTTTCCTGTACACAAGGCTGGCTAAATATGCTCTGAAAATCACTAGAGACCTTGAAAAGAAAACTTGTTGTTCATCCCTTGCAACGGTTAATTTCACAGGTGCTGTTACATCGACCGCAAGCGACAACTAGCTGTTCAACGAATAAACAACACGAGTTCCATCTGTAAGTTCTGCGGCACCCTGGTTTAACGATCAGACATGGCTGTCCTCTATCGAATTTGCCCCATTACCCTTGTTCTATTAGCTCAAGATCAAGTTTGCGCGGACCCTTTTACTTAAATCAACTAGAACTAACTTTCCTGAGACAAAATGCCATATCAACATACCCAACTAAGTGGCCCTCGACGAACCAGACTTCTGCTTCTCCATCCCGCCGACGATAAGAGGAACGTTCTATCCGGATCACTGGTTGAGTGTAGCATCCGCATATCTCCAGAATCCGTGGTAGAAGCCTCACACCACTTCGAAGCGTTGTCGTATGTCTGGGGCCCACCAAGCGCGTCGCATTATCTCCAACTTGGTGCGTTGAGTTTGCCTATCACCGCGAACTGCGATGCGGCGCTGAGGCAGCTGAGAGGACACGGAAGTTCCGCGCCCCGCGTCTTATGGGTTGACAGCATATGCATTGACCAGACCCCCGAGGGAGTTCAGGAGCGTAATGCCCAAGTTGCCATGATGGGGGATATTTATCAAGTCGCCAAAGACGTTCTTGTTTGGTTGGGCGAAGGTACCGAAAGAACAGACGCTTTCTTCCTTCATCTGAAACGTCTTTATCTTCTGCGAGATGACTCTTGGGACGACTTCAGGGCTGAATTTTGTGTCAAGTTCATGAATGATTGTGGTCAGTTGTTCTTTTAAGTTTTGCCCGCAGTGTCTGAGCGACAAATACTAATATTCTTGATATGATCTTAGACAGAAGATGGGGAACTTCGGATGCCCAAGCGGTCCGAGAGATCATTGAGGATGTTTTGAGTCGGCCATGGTTTGAGAGAATGTGGACTCTCCAAGAGCTTCTACTTGCTACACACGCAACCATTCTATGCGGCGGGCAAGTGGTTGCTTGGGACTCATTTTGCCAAGCTTTGGAGCTTATGGAAGCATCTTTCTCCCTGTCAAGCAAAGGGGTTCGGAACTTCGTCAATTGCTTCTACGCATATTCGGACTTCCAAGGATTACATCAGAGCACAGATGACGACACAATCCAATGGGGCCAGTCTAAGAAGGCCGGAAAAGACGATCTGGGAAACATATTCAGTCTTGTCCAACATGCAAGAATTCGGCGTGCGACCAATTCGAAAGACAAGATCTTTGGGCTTTACGGCACTTCGCAGAGACTTGGGAAACCATTTCCAATTCCTGACTATATACAGTCAGTTGCCAAAGTGTACACGGAGGCAACTAAGGCAATGATAGAGCATGGGAACTCTCTATGGCCGTTAGACAACGTATGGAGTGTGAATCGCCAAAGTGGCCTACCGTCCTGGGTTCCTGACTGGAGCGACGACCATAGATGGTTTGACGACCAGCTGATAGAGTTGGGAGGAGTACCTCTGGATTCCGCCGACCGATACGGAGAGACAACAACACATTGGGATGGACCAGAAGATGGACAAAGTCCTGACATTAAGTTCACTTCCGAGAACGGCATCGTGCTTCAGGGCCAAGCACTCGGCGTGATCGAGACTGTTTTCGACGATCACGCTAGAGCGCTCATCCAAAACGACATCATAGCCGCGCAGCGACACTCTGTTGAATATGAACTTGCAGTAAGACGACATGGCGCAGAACGTGTTAGATATTTCAGGCGCATTTACACCGAGCTCGACAAAGGCGAACATTCCGAAGCACAACTGCTAGCATTTTGCTGGTTATTGCTGACCTACAGCCCGAATCAACCTAAGGATGGCTTCAAGAGAGGATTTAAAAGCCTACAGACTCTTTTCAAATCCACTCTCCCAGGCTTTGAAGGAAACCGTCGATACGTATTCTCCGGAGCCAAGGACAAGCTGGAAAATGCTCTAGAGGAAAACCAAAGACACCATACGGTGCTTTCTTTCGTCGATGCAGATATCGACGCGGCAATAGACGTCATGCTATCCGTTTATCAAGGTCCGCAGTATATCATCCGCCCGAGACCCGAAGATGCAAGAAAGGAAACAGTCACCCCTGCTCTTCTGGGGTCGGCCTTAGGATTCTACAGAACCATCCAGGGGCTTTCAATCAACAAATCGATCTTCACAACAAACTCTGGGGTCGTAGGTTACGCCCACGGGCACGTGTGCGTGGGAGACAGTGTTGTGAAATTCCGTGGGGCTTCATCCCCTTCTGTTCTGCATCATAATGGTATGCAATATCAGCTTCACTCTCCGGCGGTTGTGAAGACTGAGGGCGCTCTAAGCGACCTTTTAGAAACCGCAACATTGGATACATATGAGCTGGTTTAGAACATTTAAATACTTGAAGCATCTGTTCCACACGACAAGAAAGAAGAGTCCACAATAGTACATGTTGAACAGGTTAATGTCATCGCATTATGTGAAAAGCGTTGCCGTCCCCATTTAGGCAGTCATCGCAAATTCCCAGTATTATTCTCATGGACTTGAAAGTCGATCAAAGTCTCATAAGTTCATTTCATGGCCGTGGGGAGTGAAGTATATCGTAATGGAAGTTTTAAAGCTTCAACCTCTTGGAGGTACAGCTGCAAGCCACATTCAACAGCACAATTTCAACTCTGGGACAATATTTCATCCTCGTTTTCTTTGTTGTGTATTCTTGAGAAAATGAACGTGTATTTCGGTACAACAAGACTTTACAGGGAATTGATTGCGGACTTGAAAACCGGCTCCCCATTTCCGATTACGGAGTTCCGGCGTATGGCTGTCGGTATCTTCGTCAGCCACTGCAATTGAGGAGGTCTAAGAGCACGCATTTTCTGCAGATGCAGTCAGAAAAGCAAGGGATCAATCTGTTTTGAATCCAGGCTCGGACATGCATGTCACATGTCATCGTCATTAATGACTGATCGGCCCGCTCCTCAGACGAACCATCGTCTTTTGCTCCCCTCACCCGCCAAGAAACTCTGCCATCTTCCATTCGAGACCGGATTCGAACAACACTGTCAACAACGCAAAACATTGGGAAAATGGTCATCACGACAGGAAGATACTTCTCTCGTATGCCTCTGGGCTACGGTCCTTGTCCAGGACCCCGACAAGACGAAAAGGGCAACCACCCGCTCAAAGGCTGGGATCTCGTCAACAACAAGACATGTATCGTTACCTTCAAAGCTCCTGTCGACCAGCTTGTCGCGCTCCTCCCCCGGCCATGCTTCCACATTGACGCGGAATCCGTCCAGGACGGCCTCGCAGAGGCGTCGATCTCCTTCACCTCTTTGGGCAATCTCCCGTGGTTGGCTGGGCGAGGATACAATCACTCAGGGCTGTACATCCACAACGTTGTCTGCAAGGGCAAGACCGAGACCGTTCAAGGGAAATACCTCAGCGTTTTGTTCGAAAACCTACCCGATCCGATCTTGAGCGGCAGAGAGGAGCTGGGATACCCGAAGCTGTTTGCGACGCTTGACCAGCGGGACGAAGTTGAGAAGTCAGGAGACTGGAGCTTGGCGATGGGCTGGGAAGGTAACAAGTTCGGGGAGGTCAAGATATCTGGCCTCAAGCTGGAGGTTTCGCCGCCGGAGCCTGCTGGCCCTGGTCAAGATGTGCTCTGCTACAAGTACATCCCGCGGACCGGTAGACCGGGTGTAGCAGATGTGGAGTACGCCACCGTCTCTCCGGCCCCGGCTTCGGATTTGTTCAAGCTTGAGCGCATGTTCAAGGCTAAGGACGCGAAGATTCAATTCGATGCCCTCGGTTTCGATGAGCTTCCTACTCTGCACCACGTTGCCTCCCGACTGGCAGAACTCGACATCGTGAGTATCGAAGATGTCAGGATTATGGAAGGAAAAGGAGCGCCGGACTACCAGAACCAGAGAGCGGTTGCCACTTGGGGTTATATGGGCTGATCCTCTGGTCTTTTGCAATGGTTGGTGTATTTTATATGTCATCGGTTGGTAGTTTCGAGCCATGTCTACCGTGTAAAGTTTGTAACACTAAGGAAGACGGTAGTTTGGAAAGATTAATATGATATCTGCTATCTGAAACTCGTACTTATGGAATTACTCGAACTGCCACCAGTCAATGTTGAATAGAAAGGTCTCCTCGGCTCCGGTAAATCGAAAGAACAAGTCGTGAGTGCCGACAGCATCACTCACGGGGCAAGACACGTTGACCCAAGCATCCCAGCCTCCAGTTCCTGGTACGTGACAAACTCCAATGAGCGTGCCTGCTATGTTGTCAAGAAGCAGCTCGATATCACCGCCGCCTGTAGCCGAAGAAACTTGAGCTGTAAAGCTCTCTGCGCCACTGTCGAAAGCAACCCCCTTAACCTTGATAAAATCGCCATTATCGATGTAAGAGACCTGAATGCCGCCGCCTGTGATCGTCTCGGTCTCGACACCTTCAGACCAGGCAATAGTCTCTGCCTCTTGGCGGATGAAGGGGTCTAGTGTACCGACTTGCGCCGGCCCTTCGGTCGTCATGTTCATCTCAGGAATCGAACCATCCGAGCTGTAGACGAAGCTTTCAACGGCCACTGAGCGAGTGAAGCCACCTCCTCCGGGCAAGGCCCCATTGTGGTAGAAGAAATAGGAGTTGCCAGCGAAATCGACGATTCCCGGGTGGTTCGTGAAGCTTCCACCTTGGGCGGGCATGATGAGACCACGATATGTCCAGGGGCCAGTGGCACTGGGTCCAGTGGAATATCGGATATCCTCGGCGCAACAGTTGGCCGGATATATCAGATAGTACAATCCATCGCGTTTGTACAGCCATGGACCTTCCTCGAATGTAGTGTTGCGATCAGGGTTACCGATCCGTTCACCGAAGCCCTCGATGGTGAGTTCAACCTTGGTAACATCGCCGCCGTAGGAGACCATGTCCTCATTAAGCTTCACATACAACAGGTCAGGGTTGCCCCAGTACATGTACACCTGGCCATCATCATCGATGAAGACGGTAGGGTCTATCTGTCCGTTTTCAACGAGCGGTTTCCCAATCGCGTCTCGGAAAGGACCCGTGATGTTCTCGCTCACGGCGACGCCGATGGCCCTACTCCCGGTAGCGCCGTTGGTGACTGGCACGTAAAAGTAGAACAGGCCGTTTCGATGAATGACTTGTCCAGCCCAAGCATCTCTGCTAGCCCAGCTGAATGCTGAGAGATCCATGGGTGAGCCGTGATGCTGCCAGTTGGCCATGTCCGCAGACGAAAAGAGGCGCCAGTCGCGCATATCGAAGTTAGTTGAGCCGTCTTCATCGTGGCCGGTGAAAAGATAAACTCGGCCGTCATGAACAAGAGGAGCTGGATCCGCCGTGTAGATGGTTTGAACAATGGGGTTGTCGGCCTGTACAATACCGACCAACCCCAAAAGGGTGGCGAGGAAGAGGAAAGATTGAAACATGCTGAGGGTTGAATGACTGAGAGCCACGTCCCAACCTTAAGGTCGATCTGTAGTGATTCGTTCAAGGCTTTTGTTGCCGTCGGCCTATGTGGTGGTCATAGGTTGATCGGTGTCTTCTCAAATCGTATACATGAGAAATTCCCTTGCCTTTATAATTGTGAGTGACATACTCCTTGAGAAGTCCGATTACGATGCGCTCGCTCAAAGTAAGTAGTAGCGATTTCACGCTTATGGCATTCATGTTAAACGTACCAATCATTGTTTGAAGCGCTATGCGCCATTGTCAAATGACATGGACCTTCATTGTAACCCTTCCACTAATTACCCGGCCACGAGGATAAGGATCATCAATCATGAACAATCTCAGTGGTGCGTATATTGCGAAGCTTTGTGGACCATGTTTTCCTAACCAGCTAGCTTTAATTGGAGATTTGAGTTCTTTTTGAGTTGTATCATGATTTTCTGCGATCGTTGGCTTGCCCGAAGCGAGTTTTCCTCGATGATGAATGCTCAACCGCCCAAGAAAACACAGCAATGCCTTGCGCGCAAATCAAAAGCACAATTGAGTTGGATGGAGAAACACACTTATCAACTCTGGTATGATATTCATCTACACACTAGAGTCCTAGTCACACTGTTGTCCTGACAACTATTACTAGGCTCTTGTCTAGGCCAATATACTATGGAAGAATAGTTGCCCGTTTTCAACCAGAATTTGCCTAAGCAATTCACTCCTGTCTTCTGCTGCAGCAGGCCATCCACCACGCCTTTGAACGTATGGCTCCATGACCATGACGGCTTCTCGAATCCACAGTTCGGCTTTGATCTCATCAATCTCAACAATATTGCCTGCCTCAACCATCCTCCGCTTCAGATCATCTACAGGCTTTTCTCCCGCGCTCTGGAAGACAGTACGCATCACTGCCCAAAGAATATGCGATCGCATTGTAAAGTTTAGATCGCCCAAATCGATACCTTTCGTCTCTTCAACCGCAGCCGCTGCCAAGAACGCAACCTCCTCTTCACTTCCGACCTCCGGCTCCCACCCTCTGCACCACGCCTGCACACCTATGCCACCATCCGGCCAGCCACACCAGTCCACCTCGCTCTTGCGTGTCCCATCCAATTCCGGCTCGAGATACTGCGCGGAAACCGATTCCCATGTCTTTTGTGAGTAGTGCGCTTCCCAGGCCCACATATCGAAAGCTCCTTGGGCGACGTGAATGCCAAATCCGTTGAGGCCCAATGCCTCTTTGGTGACCGGAACAGAAGAATCTATCTTCATGTAACTGAGCCAGAAGCGTGCCTGAGTCTCTGAGTAAGGTTGAACGCTTGGGAAGTCCGTCCGTAGGCGTGAGATCGTCTGCTCGAGGGTGGAGAGGGCTATCTGAATGATGGTCTCGACAGGGAGAGTCGGCTGTCGACGACGAGAACCCGCAACGGTATGGGCCCATCGTGGAAGTTTTGTAAAGTGCCCGGTTCCTTTCCGTCGCGGTTGCGCAAGCGGATCGCTAGAGTCCGGAAGCTCTTTCAAGTCGGGAAGGCGGTAAAAGCGAGCCGAGATTGTCTCGGTGAGCAGAGTCGGTGAGTAGTATTGTCTCCAAGCATCACGGTTGAGCAGGTCCTGATGCTCAGCGTAGAATGTATCAAACTCGTCTGCGGAGGGGAAGGTGCCCTCGAGCTGGTTCGAAGAGCGGTAGATGCCGGCTGTTATTTGAGCCAAATAGAATACGTCCAGGGTACTTTGGGTTTCAGCCTTCATTTGTCAAAATACCTGTTATTCGGAAGCCTCACCGATTGAACTTCAGCTTCCCTTGGCCAAACGACCACCCGTGCTCGTGAAGTTTATCAACCACATCAAATACCCCACTACCTTCCCACAACCCTTCATCCAGATATACAAACGCTATTCGCAACACCTGCTCATGGGAGCCAAGTGAAATCTGCCCACTTTCGGCATTGGCGCGAAATTCTTCGGCGCTCATGATTTCGTTCCAATATGAGACCGATGATTGCTGGCTATCCGTGCTATTCCTTATATGGCGATGTAAGTGTCCGATTCTGTGCAGACAGCGGAATCTCAGAAGCGTAAAGATGGATGTCGTTCTTGTTGATGCAGGAGGGAAGCAAAGGCACACACACACACGGCTTCTGGACACCGAGATCCATTATTCCCACCTGCCCCTCATTCTCCATCCACTCACCAAAGTGCCTCCTGGAAGCCGCGCTATTCACTATCGTTCAGTGCTTAGTGGCATGGGTTAGAGGTGCTAATGACCAACTCTTACTGGTTTTCGTTGACTGGATAGATAATCCCAGCCGACCATTGTTCCATGGGAATTCCACTCCTTGCCCTGGAAACTTTAACACCTCTGCGCCATCTGCCATGGCATATGCCTTATGAAGAGGTTAAAGACCTAACGATTACCTGCTAAACGTAACGTATGAAATGTATTCCTTATGGATAATATTAAGAGAGTCAAGCGCGGCAACAGTGAAGACGACGACGACCAAGATAACAACGAGGCATCGGGCTGCCGCGGGCATTGGGTGTAATAGTCTGTCCCTTCTGAAATTGACATAATGCTATACTAACCCACACGGCTACTCCATCGCACTCATGAATTCTTCCATCATAAAGATCGCCTGTCGAAGCCCTTTTTGCTTCAGAACTGACAGAGGACCCTGGGTCTCTCGCAATTCTTCCATCACGGCATTCGCTATCTCTAGAGCAGTCTCCTCTCCGTCAGTCTTGTCATGGATCATCCCACCCATATTGTGCGCTTTCAAATGCTTTAGAACTTCTTCTAGAATGACCGCATGACCGACTTCTGCTGCTTGGTGAAGTACGGTCCAGTTCGAGCTGTCCTTTTTGGATAGGAGCTTGTCTCCAAAACGATCGAGAAGCAAGCGAACTACAGCCACGTAACCTTGGGCAATGGCCGCATGCAACGGAAGCTCATAGGGCTTATCTGATCGAATAAGAGGGTCGGCACCCTGATCAAGTAGAAAATTGACGACCTCCGTTTTTCCCTTGAAGCAGGCCATGTAGAGCGGGGTGAAGCTATGGAGATGAGACATGTTTACGTCGATGGTTATGCCCTTTCCATTGGCAAGATTCAATAGTGATCTTGCTGTTGCTGTCCAGCCACGGTGAACAGAGAACAGGAAGGCCCTCTCAAGAATGTGTCTGTTCTCGTGGCATTTGCTCCGCTTTTGACATTCTCGGGCATGCCTGATGACGAGGCTAGTGCAGCCCTCGTATGCTAATAGAAAGAGTAGACTCTCTTGGCAGCTCTCAACATCTGAACTAGTGTCGCACTTCTCTCCATCAAAGGAGCATTTGAGGTGTCCGTGGTCTGGTATGTCGTCCTTGTGGGCGTAGTAACGAGTGTTTCGATGTTTTTGAAACAGTCCAAAGAGAACTCCCGTACGATTCGAACACCATAACAGAGAGGAAGGAGGATCAAAGGTTGCATCAATGACCTGGTCTCCCTTCCGAGCGTGTAGCGTCCAAAATTGACTCGCATAGGGGAGAAAAGAGTCCTCAGGAGGACGTGTGGTTTCCTCCGAGTCAGCCAGAAGAGCAGCCTCCGATGTCCCTAGTGCCTTCATACATAGCTTGGCCGCACAGAGGTGGGAATAGGCCTCGGAGCTGTGTTCCAATTTGGAATCGAAATGACCAAGCCCTCCACCCCTCAAGTATTCAATGACGGAAAGGTGTATGAACTGTATAACGGGCGACCGTTGTTTCCCTTCCAGTCGGTGGTCAGACATAGCCGGCGAAGCGGTGATCTCAAGAAGACCCCCGGACAGAATATGAATGCGATGGCTGAAGTCGTCTGTTGTGAGGTCCTGCAAACCAGCAGATAACTCGTCCTCGATGCCGCGAACATGTCCCAATGCAGATTGAACCTCCAGTAAAGTCAAAGGGCGGACAGCGGATTGGATCAATTGAATGAGGCAAAGCGCCTCTTCCTTCTTTTCCAAGGCCGCGCTCTCAACCAAACTTTTGTAAAGACCATGCAGCTCTTTTGGCATAGTCTCAACCTCCCTCATAACCTCTTGTTCGGAGAACCGAGCACGTTGCTTGATACGTATGAGAACAAGCCTTGCCCACAAGAACATGTTCCCGGACCGGCGAGACATCATCGATATCAGCTTCGACCGAAAATCTGGTCGGAATCTCGTTCTCTTAAGCTCCGCCTCCAGGTATGACTGAATATCTTGTTGATTGTGAAGCTTCACATCGATTGTGTTCGTTGGAGTCAGGAATGGCTCCATGTCAGCCACGTTCCGAGTAGATAGTAATACTCGGACGTCGCAAGACGTCTCTGAGAGCTTCCGGATAAACTCCAAAATATCAATGACGTCTGACATGCCATTGTCGTCGAGGTCTTGACATTCGTCCAGCGCATCAAGAAAAAGGAAAACTCTCTGGTCTTGTAAAATGCCAAGTATCTCGAAAATTGTGTGCTTGAGGATGTTCGTGTCCCATTCGCCATCTCTGGGTTGCTGTAGCCTTTCCAAAATCGGGTGTGCTTGTGATACGGGTCGCATACCCTCCAATAGTTGGGAAAGAAGACTGCGGTAGAGTCCTCTGCTTGATCGCTCAAGCGGCATGCCGTCGCGAGCATTGAAGAAAAACCCGAGAGTGATCCGATCCTGTGAGAAGTCTTCTGACAAAGACCGAGAGAAGGCTGTCTTCAAGATGATTGACTTCCCGGATCCAGGTTTCCCTTCCAATGCCAGAACTGGTACGCCGACATCTTTCGAGAACTCGTTTGTCTCCCATTCATGAAACACTTCCGTCTCAAAAAGCCATTTGCAGGTCCCTGGAGCGACCAAAATGTTCGACAACTCGTCACGTCGGCGATCCATGAGATCATATCGTAGTCTTCGAGACCAGTCTTGAGGACGTTAGTGGTCAAAGTACCAGAATGATGTAGATGTCACCGACTCTACCTTTGAGAAGCCTGTCGGGCTTTGGCTTGCTGGTTCCCTCTTCGTGTGCGCCATCATGTGTACACTCTGCATTGTATATGTTTGTGACATTTCCCATGTGAACCGTTTCCGCGGTGACGGGGCCATTGTAAGTTGATCCCAGTTGGTTGTAGGCTATCGAGGTGACTGCGTTGATGCCCCGGACTATCGAGTTTTGGGTAGGAAGGAGCGATCCATTCTCGGCCTTGAGCTCTAAAGAGAGGCGTTTGATCTCAGAGGTGGTAGTTCGCTGTCGGACTTTTCGAACTGAATCTTCTTCGTCGTCTTCGACCCTTCGCTTCAAAGTGCCCAAGAATCTTGCCAACATACTCGCACAATTTCGATGTTTGTCCCAGCTGTTTGGTTTCGCGAGCGTTGAATCTTACACTTGGGAATGCGGCCATCCGATCGTTCATGCGGCTTGCTGGCAAGCTGTTGCCTGGGATGGGGTGTCAGGCATTCTTATCACCCAGACTAAACCCGTCGTAGTCTCGCGAATCAGCTTTCAACATATTAGCCCCCAAAGAACAACTGCAGAGGTGCCTGGCGCGCTCTCTTAGCCCCTGTCTTGCAGTGATGCATGTTCCTTGCTGGTGGCTCTCAAGTAAGCATTTGGCAGCATGTCCTCAAAGTATGTTACATTGGCTAGTTCTATCTTGTCATAGAGGGCTTCCCAAGGGCTTTATGCCTCACACAATCAGCAAAATGTTGGGCTTTGAACACTACCGCTGACCATTGCATTCCTATTCATGAGGCACAAACGCATCCAAGAAAGCTCGAACAAAGTGGCTATGGAAACATCCTGATGAGTTTTGATCCGTCTCACTCCCATTTCATGCGGAACACTAAAACAACTACCATATTGCTTTCCAAATGTAGGTTCATGTCATCTTTCACTCTGGTGAGGCGAGAACGGTGATGATGTAGAACACTCAAATTGCTTGTGTTTCTTGTTGATTTCGTGTAACTTACTTCTCTACACCGAAAGTAAAGACGCAGAAACGAGTACTAAGACGAGCAGAATTGGTGCTTCAACACCCATCGCGCTCGACTCGGCGCCACTTCCTGAGCTGCTTGCGGACGCTGTCGCTGAGGTTGATGCAGCACCCTCAAGAGTGACCGTCTCCGCAGCACCACCTGCCGACTGCGTACCAGTAGCTATCTGTCCTCCAAGGGTGTTGGTAGTTACAGCTGCTGTCGGCTCCGTGTATTGCCCAATTTTTGACCATGTCGAAGTCTCGGTGATCAACGTAATGGTGTTGCTGAAAGACTCCGGGTCGTCGCAGTCTGACACCATCTCTCCATTTCTGACCTTAAACAAGTTGGGATCACAGGAAGGAACTGTGCCATTGGTACTGGAAAATGCGGAATCCTGGGAGCTCAAAGAATCAGTGGTCGTCTTCTACAGCAACGAAGGGATTCTCCTGAGGAGATGGGAGATTCTATGTACCTCGATTTGCGCCGCCGATCCATTCTTCTTCGTCCTGCGTGTGCAGCTGGCTTGACAGGTCCATGACATCCGCTTGAATTGTGCGATTTGGCTGTAAAGTCCGTAGTTGGTGTTGAAGATGCAGTCCTCCAAACAAGCTATCTTTTTGACGTCGACAAGCTCGCAGCAGAGACACGCAATGAACTTCTGAAAGTTGTTGTAAGGGCACTTCGCGAAAGCTGCTTCAACGTTGCACTTTTGGCAAGACGGCAAGTACGAGGCTACAAGGAGAAGACCTCTCGGTGTAATTCGCAGCTGGCCGTCGGCATCATTGTCCTACTTCGGTGTTAATCTCAGGTACCGTTGTCCAAGAAAAGGTTGTGACAAGTATATATGTAAGAAAGCTCAAGACCTACCGCGATTTGGAGCTTATCGGCTGTCATCGAGTCCGGGGGTATCAAGTCCAGCGAATCGATGGTGGTACCGCGTTGCACCTGCCAGGAGATGACTTCGTTGGAATCCACATTTGCGCAACCCATAACCGCGTTTAGGGTGTTTCTCTGTAAGAGACAGATGGCCAGTCCATAGCCGTCTGTTGCCAGCTCTCTGCAATCATAAGTGTACTGGGCAGCGTTTGGGTACTGGTACACACTGTTGAGGCCGCAGCCCAGGGCAGACGATGCCAGGAACGAAACAAGTGCGATGGGAACGAGCATTGTGTCAAAATCAATCGAGATGCAAAGATTGTAAAAGCTTTTTGACCAACTCCTACAGGCAAGAGGATGCGCCTTTCATATGAAAGCTTCAATTGAATCCTCCTAAATATCTTCCTGGTTCTTTGGACCCCCACCCGCAGGTGAAACAAAATTTTGCTGCCTTGCCTGGGCTTTCCCAAGACCTGCAGGAAATGTCGCTCAGAAACACTTCTGGTCTATGATGCTTGCAACTAGTGGCAAACTCTCATGTCTACGAATAATCTAAACAATTACATCGCGGAGTTCAGTTCCAAGATAGGAAGTCTCGTATAGTTACAGCTCTAGGCTGCCATCGTTTGCATCGCTAAGCGCGGTTCCAACACACTAGAAGAAGGCTGTTGCAACCCAACCCTGCCAAAGGTGAGCACTAATGCAAGCAGCCTCTGTCTCGGAAATCGTCTATGCATGTCTAATCGATTACCTCGAGCAAGGGTCCACCAAAAGCTGGAGGAACAGTTGGGGGGAGAGAAGGCGTAACGGGCCGCCAAGACCACGCCAAAATTGCCCTTTCTTGGTTTCTTTTCCAAGGCAGTTTCTTCTTTTTTCCTCTTATCCTTTTTTGTGACTCCGGATGCTGTAGTCTTTTGCTTCTTAGGAGATATGGAAATGTTCTCACTACTTCCAAGATCGATTTACTTTTTGGCTGATTTGAAGAATTGTATACAAATCTGAGCTAGCAAGTCAGACTTGTGTGAGCATAGTCGAAGGCATCTATATAGCCCATCAACTGGACTACAGCGGCGCATACAACTAGGATGTGAAAGATCGCATGTGAGCCCCATAAGTCAAATTTGCCGGGATATCGACTTTCGGGAAACCTGGTCTTCGGAGTCGAACGTGTTAGGGTCAGTTTCCCTCGTGTGCGAAATTGGGGGGCTCACTGCATAAAAAGCTGTCCCGGATAGAAGACAGCCTGCTTTTGCTAGAGTATGAAGGAGAGCTTTTCTCATCATCTGCGACATGCCAAACATATACAGTCCATGTATCAAAGGCGCAACACCGGATAGGCCAGTCGCCACGAACATCAGTGCTCGGAAGAGGCGATACTTGGAGCCCTGGAATTTGGGATGCATTGTCATGAAGATGACCAACGTCCCAAAAAGGCCAGCCTGCAATTTTCGGGAAGAAAGATGTTAGACTCAGCGCTAGGCCTCAAACCAGGAAAAACAAAACTGTAAGCCCGTAGATCAACTAACCATAGACCAATAGATGTTGCGTGGCAACGGTTCACACCAGAAAACCATGTAGACTCCCAATACAAGGTCGCCAAGAATGAATACCACCACGCCCAGCATGTCCAGTCGGAGACATAGGTGTTCCACGTGTTGAGAGTGGTTCAGCAAGGTATGGTATGTCGCCGACAGCGACAGGCACGTGACGGCTGTCAACATGTAGATGGAGAAAGCAATGAAATCGGCGGCGTTGACCCCGGAATATCTGTTGATCAAATACTTCTGGAGATACCCTTCGCCGAGCAAGAATACAACGGCTGGAATGAGGTGGGAATAGATGTTGACCGACTCATTGTGGATATATGACCAACTGCGGAACGATGTTTGAACTGAACCTGAGATGGGCCGGTAGCCATAGAGAATCCACTTGTTGGATTCACGCTGGAACCATTCTGGCATCTCATTGAACGATAGAAGAATTGGGCGTCCTGACTTATTGGTTTGGGACGCGGTGCTGTTGTCGTATTTCATTTCCGGCCCTCTTTGCGCCTCTGGCGACTGCAGAACTCGAAGACGTGGAGCTGAAACCATTCTGTCGTGATTGACACTAGCCATAATAGAGAGGCCGGACGTTGAGATTAAGTGTGAATTCAAGGTGATGCAAGAGGCTTTGAATTTTTTTGGATTGAGAACAGCTGTCATGATCCTTTGGCCAAGTCATGCCAGTCAACCTAAATAAAGGAATTTGTTGACTAGGGGGACTTGGCGTTAGCGAAAAGTCTCCACATCGTCCGACCCGATTCTGGGTCGTTGACATTCAAGATCCAGAGCGCGGTCCGCTTGAAGGGACTCAGGACGTAGGAAAGACTTTTCTGTTCTATTACTGCTGATACAACGCCGAAACCTCTATAGACTTTCAAAACACCAGTAAAGGAGGTGGAAGGTAATCATCAGCGTCTCTGTAGCTTTGAAGGAGCTTCATGGATTCTTGGTGTTCAGTTCTTTAGGGGTCATAGTGCTCCGGGCGGAAATATAGACGACGGCCACAATTTCCCATTTTAAATAAGAGAAGCCAAAGAAGTAAATTTATAGGTCAGATCTTAGACGGTCACGGAACACATTAGCCGATATGCACTCGTAGTCTGATTTCGGGTCTCCAGGCCTGGAGAATGCTCGTCAGATCATCAACGCACTCGACAACGACAGGGATACCGCGTTGAGTTGATTTTGACTCTCCTTTACTTAAGTTTCGGGATCAAGAACGGGCTTTTTGCGCGCAGGAGCAGTATAGGGTACAGTGAATGTCAAGAACGGAACGCACATCCGACGACCTGTTGAGAGGAAGGTGTTGAATCCAACATTAAATAGCTTAAAGAAGGACTTTATCATAAGCGCGGAAGAGGTTTAAGAGAAGGAATTAGAAGATTTTCATCATATCATTATTACAGAATAGGTTTTCATTCCCCTGCTCTTACCTTAAACAACAGTCCTTCCAATGATTTCGTAAATGTGACACCTAATATGGCGCCTGCCAATTTCCAAGCAATTTCATATGCGCCCTTAACAGCCTCGCGCTGCAGCAGCTTCTCACTGCACCCTGACCCCTCATTCGACTCATGTTCAAGTCTGGTAGAAGTAGAAAAGTCTTCGATCAGTCGCTCTCCAATCAACTGAAGTCGCTCTTCATTTCGTTCGGGTATGCTGCTTCTGGGATACAAACTTTCCACCTCCTCTGTGATTTCAGAGTTTTCTTGTAGAAGGCTGGGCTGCCGGTATGTCCAGTATGTTGTCTGGCGAGAATCTGCTTCCTCAGCTTGTGGGTCGTTCTCGTAGTGATCTAGCATGTCCTGAAAGAACTGCATTTTCAGCTTCCCATCGACATCGAACTGGCAAGCATCGGTTTCGGGTAGATCTTCAAAGCGCAAAATTTCCATGTATCTGTGACCTTTGCAAAAAAGCGTGGCGTTTTCTTGGCGAGGGTTGAAATGCTGGAATATGATGTTCATCTCCATGCGAATCAAGCTAAGGCGCCGATCTCGATACTCCTCATTTAGGTAGTCGGTCTTCCGATCACTCCAGTCGTCCCGGACCCTTGCAATCAAGTTGACCATATTCCACCCCGGAATAATTTGCGGGGTCCATTTAGTAGGGGACCTGGAGTGCGTTGCCCACCGCGAGTACGCCTGGCTCCTGACGTCAACCCACTCATCGACCAATGACCCAACTAGTGAGAGAACTTTTGCAAAATGCCGAACGTCCCATCTCACGAAGACTTCCAACACTTCGAGAACCGGGAATACATCTTTTTCAAGCTGTTTCAGGGTCTTGACATGTTGTGGTAACGTTTTTGGGGGAGTCGAGGAGCAGATCTCGTCGTAACATGTCCGACATAGGTCAGTGTTTATACACACAGTGCAACTCCGTCTCTGTCCGTTCGCTCCGTCAATGTGGTTCGAGCAAAGATCGCAGATATATGAAATTGCGTCCCAATGAATTCTGTTCATCTCCACGTTGCAGAGAAGAGCTTTTGAAATACTGTCGTTGGTCTGGAGCGACAACAAAGCTTCTGATAGAGACATCAGCATCTCAGGTCTTGAGATATCGTCATCGCTTTCACCACAGACTGACGATCGAAGCAACTTCGCTATGGCAACTTTGATGTTTCGAGACACTGTGACGTCGTCCACGGGTTTGTACGTAACTTCCATCCATGGTCTGAACACTGCTGAGAGAAAGGGATGCTTTTGTGCGTAGTCCAAGGCACAAAATCCAAGCCAATCTCGTTTGGTTGGATCTGCGCCATGTTCTAACAGAACTTTCGTTGTCTTTTCTTTGAAACAAACAGTAGCCATGAGAAGAGGGTCTCGTTTGAATCGTCTCCATGTGACGGACTGTTCGCTGTACAGTGCTGCTCCTCGGGATATTGCCTCTCGTACAAACTCCCAGTAACCGTACTTGGCTGCTATTTCCAGAGGGGTTTGCGTGCCACGAGGCGATCCGTGAATAGACACACCCAACTCAAACAGGGTCTGGACCATGTCAGCACGTCCAGTTGATGCTGCGTAAAACATCGCGTTTCGTTCCTTTTCGTTATCATGACCGACAGCTTCTGGTGATTGTAGGGCAAGTCTCTTTAGGATGCTTTGTGTTGCAAATTGCGCCGCCAAGTGAATGTTGTTCCGGCGCCCCCGGTGTGTCTGAGACTCATGAGTTGCTTTACTTTGAATAAACAACTCAATGATCTCAGACCGACCAGATACGAAGGCGGAGTCAATTATAGCCCCTAAGGCTTCACAACTTTTCACATCCAACGAGCCTGATTTCAGGAGTCTCTCAACAACAGTATCATCCCCATTCAGAACTGATTGGTGCAATAGATCTATGCCTTGATGATCATTTCCCTTGTGTCTGGCTCCATTGTCCAAGAGGAAGGAGACAACATGAAGTTGCCGCTGCACCGAGGCAATCAAGACAGGTGAAGAGCCGAAGGTGTCAGGCTTGTTGATATCAGCCCCGTGTGCTAATAAAAACTGCACAACTTCCTTATGGCCTGACTTGCTCGCCAGCCATAGAGGGGTGGCACCCTGATCATCACAGCTGTTTATCACTTCGGATTCCACCAGGTGCTTCACACAGCCTATATGGCCTTTATCAGCCGCATGATGAATCGGCAACTTCAAATCGTGAGTCGTCAGCCGCTGATGTGATGGATCAACTTCGGTAAGATACCTGAGTACATCGAGCGAGCCGTTGATGGCAGCGATGTGGATTGCAGTGTAGCCGCCATTGCCAGCTTTTCCAACATCGAGATCAGGAAACGTGTTGATTAGTTCCTTGATGAACCCCAGGTGGTTGCCCTCCGCCGCATAGTGGACGGGGGAGAAACCGTTGTCGTCGAGAAGACGATCACCGGCCGTCTGTGACACCAAAGCCAGGAGATTCAATCGTCCGTGGCGTGACACATGATGTATCGGCATTCGTCCCATCGGGTCCTGACGTATGGCGCCTACATCCACCTGTAATAGTAGCCTTGCTAGTTCGTCGCAGCCTGATGACAAGGCAATCTTCAAGGGCGTCCCGCCTACTTTACTGATCACATCGACTTTAGCGCCGCTATCCAGTAGCATTCTTGCCGCAACAACACTGTTCGCTCGAGCTGCACAGTGCAGGAGTGTTTCCCCTTCTAAGTCAGTCGCCTGAACTAGCTTTGAAGACTCGCCACTCTGGAGAATGAGTTGGATGAGCTCGCTATGGTTGAGTGTTGTAGCCACATGAAGCCCATTGCGCCCAGTTGCATAGTCGGTGGCCATGATCGAAGCCCCCTTTTCTAGCAAGAATCGAGCGATCCTAGTCTTGCCAAAATGACAAGCTAGTAAGAATGGCGTATTCCCCACAGCACATTTTGCTTCGATGTTTGCTCCATGGCCTATGAGAATACCCAAGATCTCAAGTGACTCGAATCTGACAGCCAGATGTAGAGGAGTTTCTCCGGCCCAGTCTGCCTGCGATGAACATGGAGCATTGATATCGGCCCCAAACCTGACCAGGAGTTTTGTCATACCAACTGAACCGACCCTAATAGCAGTATGGAGCGTAGTTTGTCCGCAGAACTTGGGCTTCGGTGACATCCTCGCATTGACATCTGCTCCATGACCCAGCAGATCTAGCGCCATTGCGTTAAGACCATGTCTTGCTGCCCAGTGCAGCGCTGTTTCTTCGTACTTTCCTCTGTGGTTGACATTAACTTCGTATCGGAGAAGAGATTGCACAGCTGAAGCATTCTCGCAACGAGCTGCTGCAACCAGAGGTGTCTCATAGCTTCCCGCAACAAGATCAGGTAGACATCCTAACTCAAGAAGGCAATCAACAGACTCATTGGCTCCGACTATGACTGCCCGGTGTAGGGGAGTGCGCCCTGCCGCGGAGACTCATTCGGATCCAATCCTAGCGCGATCAAGCGCCGAATCACGTCGTCCCAGTTCCGTGCTGCAGAATTATGTAATAATGGTAGTCTGCTGGTCTCAAGAAATGAGGGCTCGAATGCTTTAGTGGTGTCCGGTTTGATCTCGAGACATCTGTCCAGTATCCAGATCGCCATCTCTCTGCTGGAGTGCAGGATCGCATACTCGATAGGCAACCGATCAAACTCATCCCTCTGTTGAAGACAGGCTTTCAAGCGACCCATGCTTTCTGCAATCTCCACGAGGTTGAAAATGGCCAAAGCATGGAGGGACGTCGGCTGTCCTTGTGACCAGAGACCACGCTCAAACTCTTCGTACCGGACTATCTGAATAGAAAGCCTCAGCGCAACGTCGTTCCCAAGCACTTTAATCAAGACATCGTCCAGTCTCTCCTTACCGGCTACGGTAGCTTGAGCGAAATGCTGACCCCAAAATGATGCAGCGTAGTCCAGCAATGGATACTCTGACTGGAGCTGTCTCAGATCCCCTCTTGAAACCACAGACGTGGATTGGAAAGCTTCGAGGTTCAGGTATGTGAGGCAGGTGTCGGCAATCATTGTGTGCGCTTCCTGTTGAAGAGAACCATAGGCCTGTAGAATAGGAAGCTCCGAGAGGAGAAAGTCCCTAAGAGACGCATGACGAAGTCGATAAAACCCATGGTCTTCGTTGATGAGATCAGCACATTCAGTGCTGATTGAAAAGTCTCGAGGAAGTCTCTGACACCTGTTCAACCCCTTGCCTTGTGATTTCATGGCAAGCGCCTCCAACAGCTCTAACTTGGATAGCGAACGGTAAGAGTTCGTAACCCACATGAGCGCCCTGAGCGCACGATCTCGCACAAATCTAGACGGATGATTCAGAACCTTCCGAATTTCCTCGCCGTAGAGCTCATCGAGCCCCTCGGTCGTGTCTTCGAGTGCCTCCTTGATATCTTCAACCGTGCCGATCTCCTTGAACTGCTTCGCTCTGAAGTGGACCCAGAGAAAGAGACCACCTGCACGTCGGAACATGAGATTCTTGATATCAGCAAATCCAGCAAGTTCTTCTGGTGACGGGTCTGGATTAATCTCATCGACCGTTTGCGAGATATACGTCTTAATGTCATCGTCGTTGACACCACTATCGAGTCGAATTTGCGAGAAAGTGCAGAACGCGTGGTTGATCGGCTTGTACGGCTGAAGACAAGAACCTTAGTCGGAGTACCTGTTTCCCCTGGCCTGGCCAAATCGGCGAGAAAACTGCAGAGATCTTCGAACTGTTTGTCTGCGAAATGGCTGCACTCGTCTAAGCCATCGATGATGATGAAAGCAGAATCGAGCCGCCCCAGAACCGTTTTGATGCCTTCTTTCATTTCGGTCCTGGAAAGCTCTTCCTTAACTCCCACGTCTGCCTTGGATAAGAGGTTCTCAACGCCATCCGAAAGGTGCAAGTATTTGTAAAGCTGTCCGAGAATGCAGCCGAGGAGGTTGTTCAGTGTCATCCTTGTCTTGGACTGAGTAGATGTGCAGTAAGCGTACGCCATCGGATGCACCTCGTCGTCGCTGTTATTCGATGCAAGTTCGCTTATAACTCGAGACGCCAGATGGGACTTTCCTGATCCGGCTTTCCCGAGAATCCAGAGCAGGTCATTTGTCGTAGAAGCACGCCAAGTATCGAATAAGGGATGCTGCAACAGCCAATCCCCGGAACCAGGCACGCACCGCTCAAAGTTGTTTTCATGTATCTCTCCAAAGTCGATGGATGGGATCAGACTCAGAAGGCGGCGGCGTCTCTGCTCTGCAGCTCTCATCAGTATTTACTAGAGTCAAGTGTGGGAGTTGAATGTACCGTTTTCTTTCCTGAGATCATCTTCGACTTGGACTTCCAAAGTCCCCCTTCTCTCTGAAATTTGCTGGTCAAGCATGATTCCGATGGCATGAATCTTATCATGAGTCTTTTGTGTTGTTTGTGCATTGGCCAAGCTCCTGCGGTTCTTCAAAGCGCCCAAGTGAGATTTGAACTGCTCCTTAATGTCTCCAAACTTGGTGTCAAAGTCTTTGCACTGCGCCTTCAACGCGAATACAATACCATTCCTCTCTCTACCATCTTTATGGTAGAACATGTCGGCAACTCGGGCACAGAACCTGAGGATGTCTGCGGCAATCTTCAATTCAAACGACTCCACCTCACCGTGGAATTTAAAAAGGCCGTCTTTCCTGTATAGATTGATGAGATCAATTTCGTCGCCCATCCACTCAAGCGTTTCGATCACTTTCTCCTGGTATTCATCCAAACGAGTGGAAGAAGAGAGAATACACGTAATGCCACCCAGGATCAAAGACGCCGGCATGGGACTGATCTGAGAGGCGCTTGTCGTGATCGGGGCAATCGAGTTGGCGAGAAGGAATATGGGCTTCAGGTTCTTTGAGAGCCTGAACATTTTGCTGGAATGGACTGTTTTCTGAACGGCATGGTTCAGTCCTGAGATATAGTCTTCGAAGCTTGACGTTCTCGCGCCGTCTAGGAATAGGGCGCGGTGTGCGGGGCCAAGCTGGTCTGCCTCCGATAGCCAGAAGACCAAGGCCGTCTCGGTTTCTCTCCTAGCGAATAGGTTAGCAGAAGGATCCGAATAATTATCTGTCAATACCTACGCCACTGAGTCCTCATCTGTTGAACTGCCAACTGCCGTGGTTCGTGGCCATCCGGAGGCTGCGATTGCCACACCGCCTGCCTCTTGGTCTCTCATTCTCACCCGCGTAGTTTGTCGCAGATTGGGTTTAAAGAGCGACCATCGTTCGACCCTTACAAGTCTTAGCATACGTGCTGAACTTGAGAAGTGGCCCCATACGCCTTTTTAAGCCTTGACAATAGTGGCGGTGAACCTTTTCGTGGCACGAGGCAGTGCCGTTCGTCTCACGCCCTGGCGGAAAGGGATTGGGCACTCATGTCAGCTGCATGCCGGGCTGCATGAGGCGGACTCTTACGCAGCCACTAAGCTGCGGTCATTTGATGGGTATCGCTGATGATCTTTTGGCGGTACACAAGGCGTTCAATGTTGTGTTTCAAACATTGGTGGTGTGTGGAACTTCAGGAAAGACAGTCTAGGACTGATTCATAGGTCGAAGGACCGCTACTCGCCAAATCTAGAATACTGGTTGCATGGCGCATAAATGCGCTTTGCTTACGTACCTCAGCTACTCGCCAAATCTCATCACGTGAAGAAGTCGAAGCTCGGGCGAGTTCCTACACTTGAAGAATGCATTCGGGACACAAGAAGGGTATGGGCCCTGAAAGGACAATAGTGGGCTCTTTGCACTCAAGAGGTGATTAGACTGTTGCCGTTGCTCTAAAGTAGCTCAAGCAGTTTACCCAATTTTGTACTCGCAGTTCCTATGACGTGCCATATGTACTAAAAACATATGCTGGATCTCAGTGAAACAAGTAGATTCAACCAGCAGCAGAATTGGTATTGACGGGCTCGAATCCTTGACTGAAGACCTTTTGGGGGTATATGGATAAAAGAAGAACGTTGACTTCTCATGCATTCAGTAAATGAAATCAGTAGTATTGGCTCTGTGCCCTTACGGTGGCTTTTGACTCATATTCAGATTATGGGCATAATATTCATTCTAGTTCTCGTGGGAAATGTTCTTTAAACCCTGGACTTGTTGCCAACATCTTCAACAGCCTCAGCCTGGCCCGTCGCGGTCTTCCGCTCTCCAATGGGCTCCATGTCCTCGTGGTGAATAACCTTCTCAACAGCACCGTTGGCCTGCTCGGCAAGAGCCTTATCCTCGAACACTGCGCAGCAAATTCCGTTAGCCACATCTCACAAATATCAACCGAATCGGTGGTCAACTTACTGAAAGCTAACTCCTCGAGCGTACGTCCTGCCGTCTCAGGGAACATGAAGTACACAAAGACGACCTCGAACGCGAGCCAGCAGCAGTAGCTGATGAGATACTTCCACGAGGCGTTCTTGATACCGATGGGGTTGACAAAGGTGGTGAAGAAACCGGCCATCCTCCCGAACAGCTGGAAGAAGGAAATACCGCGCGAGCGCAGCGCGTAGGGCCACAGCTCGACGAGGTACGTGTACGTCAGCGCGTTGTATCCGATGTTGTAGCAGGGCGAGTACATGAAGATGAAGAAGATGGTCGCGATGGAGGCACTCTCGTTGTCGTAGCCGTTGGACTTTGCGTGCACGGCGCGCTCCATGGAGATGGTCCACGAGATGTAGCAGAGCAGCAGCGAGATGGTGCAGGCGAGGTACATGACGCGGCGGCGGAACTTGCGGACGAGCAGCGCTACGGTGACGCCGCAGACGAGGGACCAGCAGGCGATGCCCACGTTGATCTTCTGCTTCGTCAGGGAGTTGTTCATGCCGATCATGCCGAGCAAGTCCCCCAAATAATAAGAAATCAATGTATTTCCAGACCACTGCGTGAATAGGCCGAGCATAGAGGTGATGAGGCAGCGGCGGCGCATGCCGGCGGTGCGGAGCAGGTCCATCCAGGAGTGTTTAGAGGCCTCCATCTCGAGGGTGATGACGGTCTTCATCTGGGCGATCTCAGCCTTGACGAACTCGGAGTTCGGGTCGCCCTCGGCGTGGTACTTGATTAGGATCTCGCTGGCTTCTTCGGCGCGGTCTTGGGTGATGAGCCATCGGGGGCTCTCGGGGAGGAAGCTGGTGAGAGGAGTGTAAGTATCCTGGCGAGTGCTGTTTCTGGGGTGGGATTGAGCGTGAGACTTACAATACAAAGCCGATTTGCAACAGAGACGGGCAGATCTGGAGGAGAGACGGAATGCGCCAGGCCCAGTTGCTCGGGATGTTGTTGGTGCCGAAGCAGATGGCGGCGGCGGTGATCTGGCCGACAAAGTACGCGACATTGAAACTGGCGGTCCGTGAGTCCTAGCCCAGCATGAAGGTGAGAACCAATGTTTGTGACTTACAGAGAGGTGAGGACAGGACGCTCCTTGGGATAACCAAGCTCACCGATCAAGGAGGAGCCGGAGACGATACATGTCGGGATACCGAAGCCTAGAATCATGCGGGCAACGATGTACATGCCAACTGCCAGGTATCAGCAATCCGTGACCGTGAGTTCAGACATCTCTCAGAGTCGAACTCACCATGCTGAGAGAATCCTTGGATGAGAGCTCCTAAAACCATAACACAGCTACCGCCAAAGATGGACCATCGTCTTCCGAACTTGTCGTTCACAATTGGGATAAAGGGGAGTGAGAGGATGGCGCCAAGCGAGTACGCGGCCGCGATGATGCCCTTCAAGCTGCCCTGCGGGTCGCCAAAGTCTGCGGAAGCATCAGCCTCAGAAACGTCACACCGCATCACACCTCATGTGGCAAGACTTACACTCTATCCAGGGCTCCACGATCTGGAGCGCATTGATCATTTGCGAGTCGAAACCCGAAGTGAGCTCGATACCCATACACGTCGGGAAAAGCATCAGGTAGAGGTATCGCAGGTTCGGCTTCTTGTACCACGGCACCTTGTCCTCCTCCGAGATGCGGGTGAGGATGGGGTCCGCCGCCCCGGTCTCTTGGGCACGCTTGAGCGCAACCATTGTCGCTGATCCTCGAGGCTGTGGTGTGAATGCGGCCGATATGAGGATCGAAGGCGGTTCGCGATGGGAACAGAGCAAGCAAACGAAGTCAGGCAGGCGGGCAGGTGAAGGCGAGGGGGGACTGATGGGGGAGTTATTATAACCGGCTTGGTACGGGGGTATATAGTCCCGGATGAGAATCCCTGGGCGAACACAACACACGACACCTCGAGGCCGGAATCATCTAACTTATAACAGACGAACGGGTTTGTGACGAGGTCCCGCCCCGCCTACTTTATATGTATGCAACAGAGTCCCATGCTCGTTGGTTCCGTCTGCTCAGAAAGGGAACACACAACCACCGGCAGTACCCCGATGGTTTGGGGTAAGGCAAGGGTGGTGAGGGAGTGAGACCATGCTAAGGCGGGAGGACGGGAGAGGAAAGCGATGCCCAGGTGGCAGAAGGTCCGAATGAAATTGTTGCCCGCGTTATCGCAAAGAGCCGGTGCCAAGAGGACCGGGGGCTCGACATTTATCCATCCAGTGAGAAAAGACGAGCCGGGTTGTCGTCTCTCCATAATGAGGGCGAGTCTGACTGCCCTTCCCCGAACTTCACTCAGCTCAGGGACCCGGGAACGAACTCTGGATAGACAAGATATGCGGGGAAAGCTTCCCCCACATGGATTGGGTTCATTTCCAACCCCCGTGGGCAGGCAGCTCACATGGCCAGATTGGTTGCTTAAATTATGGGTGTTTTGTTCGACGGGAACTTGGGCGGTAACTCCGCACTTGCTTCTGAGGGGAACTCCCAGTTGGGGATTGGTCGGGTTCCCGAGAGATATGGGGAATGGTTCAACATGTTTCTTTTGTCGAGGGTTGCTTGGCGACCGCGCTGCTTGCTGGACATGAACTTGCATGGGTGAAAAACGAGGGAGGTTGGCTTGTGTCTCGGTCATTCGGGACTACCACGAGCGACGAGATGGTCTCACGAGCGCCGAGGTTCTAGCGGAAATCCGAGTGGGAATCCGCTTTTCGCGGGATGCAGAATGCCCACCACTTTCCGAATCATCTTCTTGATCAAGTCGGTTTTCGTGGTATTCCGCTGTTCAGACTACTCTTCAATGAATGTGTGAGATCTGGATGGTCTCTGTTTCCTGCTTACAGGCAAATTGCAGCCAACCAGACAGATGGAAAGCCATGGCAACTCAATAGCCAGACTGCCGAAACCCCAATTCAAAAGGGGAAAGATAAGCCGCATTGCATGCTGGCTTGCTCATGCGCTCCTGTGCACGCCGCATTCTCGCGGCGCAGCTCGTTAAGCTGAGGCAGGCGGAGGGACATCCGCCAGCAGCCACCGGACATGTTCAGCGTCTGAGTGAACGAGACGCGGGGCAGGGACGGGCGATGATCCGAATTGAGAGTTTTGCTGATCCATTGCTTATTCTGCGAGAGAGCGGACGGAGTTCTGGTGGTCCTGTCCCAGTCGCGTGGTCTACCAGAACCAACGCGAAGAAGGCTTGGAAGTTGGTTGAGGGTGTGATGCTTCTGTCCGACCCCAGGGTTACCACTTTGATTTTCCCCAAACCTAAGAAAACCCTTGTCATGGCGTCTGCCTCTCATCTCATAAATCGTCGGAAAAGGGTGCCTAGGCTGTTTGCGGGGAAACAACCACCCATCTTTCCGATTGGGGAGTTCATCTGAGGAAGGGAAGCTCTGACTCGACGACATTTCCGTCCTTTCGCAGCTTGAATAGCTTTGAACGAACAGACAGACGGACTGCTCCGTTTGCCTCTCTCTCACGTCAAACCATTGATACTCAGGTTTGTGTAAGTCAGAAAGTAACTCACGAGAGGAGCCACCACGGAAGAAGGACGCTGGAGTCGTTAAAAGACGGAACAGACAAACACCTCCTCCACCCCACACCCCACAACAAGGGTCTCACAACCACCACACACACCTGCCGGCGTCGACGGGAGGCCGGGACGTGGCTAGCCGTAAACACCCGAGAGAAGGGCCGATTACCACGAGGCATTGGGACTAGATAACCGGGACGTCGTCCCTAGATTTCGAACGTCGCTGTTTGTAGTCTTTAGGGGAATTTATTCTTCTTTTCTCCACAGACTCAAAAGAGGCCCGGCCTTGGCCTTTTCGTCGCTTGCCAAGGACGAAAAATGTGATGAGAATTTGGATTGTGGACGCCACTTACGAGACGGAACCGCCTTACTCATGGTCGTTCACCCGAGGCTTCGAATGAGACGCGAGAAGAGGGATTCATCTGAGAACGCCGATCGAAACGGGGTAGACACGCACGACTGGCATATCTGCGTCAGCGCCACGCATGGTATGAGAGTTGGGACATCACGGAAGTACAACGCGTAGTTCAACGGAGGAGGAACGCGGCCAAGACCCCCGAACGAAAACGAATCGAGAAGACCGAACCCACCAATCGCGGCCTGACATACCTACCACGAACGCAACCTCGCCTCACCTCATCTCATGCACAAAAGATCCTGCCCTAGGAGTCGAGACCGAGTTGGGCTGTCCACGATACTCCTCCTCTTCTCTTACGAACAGAGACCTCGTCGCCTGGAATGGCCATATTCTGAAGGCCTCCTTCTCTTCATGATGTTCTCGAGGAGCCTACTCTCCCAGTCCACGTCTCGAGTACCATATCATCATTCCTTATCCAGTACGGCAGCGAGACCATGGGCGGCTCATCGCTCAGAGATGAGAGGTGTCATGGTCGTTCACCGCGGCATGCAGGAGCGAATGGACTCGTCGACGATGATTCGGGCCTCAGGCGCCCCATCACCTCGGCTCATACGTCGTAGGCTATTCTGGCATATGCAGGAGGGGCGAGACGTCTTCTCTGCCAGATTTTGATTGTACAAGTCTGGCCGACGCGTCGGCCACGGTGAGTAAGTGATGCCATTTGCGTCTACTAGCCTTGATGTGACAGTGACTCTAGAACGTCTTACCAGAAACTGCTTGCATCACACCAAAGAGCATATATCGCAGGCTCGGAGTCCTGTTGGGGGATATTATGCGCCAGGCCTAATAACAAGACTTCAGGCACGGTGAGGTCGTAGAGTGTCACATGTAGGGCCGAAAAGTGAGCGCAAAAGAAGTGGTGCTTGTAAACTCCAGAGCTGGGAAATCTAGTCTTTTTATATTTCCTGCCGTAATCCATCCGGCCGTCAATCTGGTCATGAGACGGTCATATCATCTTGAGAATCCTCCCAACCGTCGAAAGCTGCCTTTCACAGCTCCGAATTACGCTGCCCATCACACATCACACAAAGACACGAGTCGCTTACTGCGTCTCGCGAACGACCTTGTCAACGGCCTTGGCAAAGTACTCGACGTTCTTGGTGTTCAGACCGGCCATGCTGATGCGGCCGTTCTTGGTCATGTAGACGTGAGCGTCCTCGCGCAGCTTCAGGACCTGGGCCTCGCTGAGGCCGGTGAAGCTGAACATGCCGATCTGGTCGGTGATGTGGTTCCACGTGCCCGGGGTACCGAGCTCCTCGAGCTTGGCACGCAGGACCTTGCGCATCTCGATGATGCGGCCAGACATGGTGCGCAGGTTGTCCTCCCACTCGGCGAAGAGGGCGGGGTCGTTGAGGACGGTCGCTGCGACGCGGGCGCCGTACAGCGGGGGGTTCGAGATCTCAGAGCGCTGCAGGATGGCGAGCTGAGAGGCGATGCGCTTGGTGGTATCGGCGGCGTCGGAGGCCGGGGCGGTGACGAAGTGGAAGCAGCCGGCGCGCTCGCCGTACAGGCCAAAGTTCTTTGCGAACGACTGGGCGATGAGCAGCTCGAAGCCCTGCTCGATGAAGTAGCGGACGGCCCAAGCATCAGCGGCGAGGTTACCGGAGGCGAAACCCTGGTAGGCGCAGTCGAAGAAGGGGAAGTGGTTCTTCTGGCGCAGGAGGGCGGCAATCTCCTTCCACTGCTCCTGTGTCGGGTCGACACCGGTAGGGTTGTGTGCGCAGGCGTGGAGAAGGATGATGGAGCGGTCGGGAGCGGCTTGGATAGCTTCCTTCATGCCGTCAAAGTCGAGACCCTTGGTCTGCTTGGAGAAGTAGGGATATTGGGCGATTGGCAGACCGACGTTGCCGAAAATCTGGTTGTGGTTGGCCCATGTCGGGTTGGAGATGTAGACTGTGCGGTTGCCCTTGTAGAACTTGGCGAGGAAGAGAGCGCCCAGGTGGACGGCACCGGTGCCGGAGATGGTCTGGACGGAGGTGGTGCGCTTCTCGCTGATGGCGGGCGAGTCGGCGCCGAGCATCAGCTCGTTGGCCTTGCCGGTGAAGCTGGCGATACCGGCAATGGGGGCATATTCGTGGTTGAGTTCGGGGTCGTTGCGAAGGATCTCATCGGCCTGTACAGTTGCATCATGGCGGGGTTAGCGGGGGTGGATAAGGGACGGATGGATAAGGATACTGTAAGGGGAAGGGAAGTGGAGGCGGGATGAGGGGAATCTCGTCAAAAATAGTGTGATGTAGGTGGTGGGTAGTGGTGAGGTACATCAGCTGCCGTGTGACGCAGTTGAGCTTTTTCGTTTGGTGGTCCGGAGGGTCCGACCAACGAACACCATAGAAGGAATAGGAGACGAGAAGAGGAATTGAAATGGTGAACAGAAACAGTATGACGCACCTTCTTGACGACGGGCAGGACCCAAGGCTTCGCGTTGTCGTCGCGGTAAGCTCCAATGCCCTGCAGGTGTTAGCTGTGACAGCTCTCCAGCTTCGGGGAGCAAGTTCCGAAGGGACCAAACAAGACCAGAATCGAATTCCGATCACCGGCCTCATCGGAATTTGCAGCATTGGGGGATTATCAGCTTACCAAGTCGACCTTGTCCTTGCTCTGGTCGGCCCTGTAGGCGGCCATCAAGCCGAAGAGGGGGTCCTCGGGAGCTTGGGGCACCGTGCTGGCGGGGAAGTTTGTCGTTGATACGGGCGCCATGATGTGTGATGCGATGTTGCGTATTCTCGAGAGGGTCGAGTTGGGTTGAGGAGAAGAGGAAGAAGAAGAAGATGAAGCAGAAAGAGAAAACGAAGTTGACGAGGAGTCACCGGGCATTTTCAGTGGTGTCGGAGGCTTGGAGAGAAGGAACGAGTCAGAGTAGGGGTCGGCCTGGGGGATGTTATTATTATGGCATCAAAGAAGTGGTACGATTTCGACGGGCGAATGGGAGGCTTTGCGATTACAGGCGCCAACTCCAACTGCCTGCCTTTCCACCGGGGAAAGGAAGGGAAGGGAAAGGGGCGGACATGCGCCTCCATGAACCGCATGTTCCAGCTGGGAAGCTAGGGGTGATGGGGGTGAGGAGAGGAGAGGAGAGGAGAGTGAGACCAGAAATGGGTACCTGGGGATGATGCGAGGATGGTGAGGTAAGAGAAGTACCGCGGACGGGGATGACGATGTAAGAAGCTTGCTTTGGAAATGGCCAGGTACCTCAGCCAGGTAAAGGCCAAATGTCCGCTAAACTCACCTTGAACCGGTCGAGTGTGGATTGCTTCTGGGCGCTGTGTCTCGCCGAGTGTCTCGTAGTTGCAGTTGAAGTTGCAGCAGACCGTGGAACAAACAGCTACCTTGGGTGAAGCTGCAGAAAATAGACGTTGCGGGTTACCGTTGCAGGTTGTTTCTCTTGCAGCTGATGCTGATGCAGGGCCAAGGCAAACAGACAGGGCACAGGGCGGCCTCGTTACGGGGGCTCCTCGGACGATCGGGGACACGGGATATGGAGAAAAAAATACAAGTAAAAAAAATCAGGTACGGCCAGGTGATGCGCTGTGAGGTACAAAGTATCCACAGACGGCGGGCTGCTATCTCGTAACCTGTTACTCGAAACGGGAGCGGACAGACGGCGTTTGTGAGGTGGTTGGTTGGATTCGGGGGCCTTTACACGAGAGTACAGAGCAATTGAAGTCTCGCTTTCTGTTGTGTTCTCTCGACCGGGGTGGTTGGTGACGATGTCGAGATAGATAGATCGTGGGAAAGAATCGGCGAAGTGTCGGCGTACTATCGGGAATTCTGCACTCAATGCTAGGTATCAATAAGACGGGGTAACTCCGATTTCCCTACCAGCTGCTTGCGCTTGCGGGGGAATGCGCCCTCTCTTATCCTCCCGCAGCCGGCTTCTCCAAACGCTCCAAGCTCTAGCTGTGAGGTCACCGTCGCGAATGGACCGAGGTCTCGGGAGTCCACCCCATGACTCTCCTGCCCAACGACACGACTCGAATCGACTCGACACATGGTTCACTTCATGTTTTGCCTAGCTGTCTCTTGTGTTCTCATTTTCGTTGACTTATTCGTCTCCAGGCTTTCCGTCTTTCCCCGGACCTCTCCCCAGTCTCCAGAACTCAATGCAGCAGTGAACGAGGGTTGACAGGAACGGGTTGAAGATCATCCCATCTCATGTAGCTTGACACACAATTTCTAATACAACCACAAGTATTCCTCGTCATATGTATAAATCCCTTCTCTACAAATAACACCGGCTCCACGTGGATTACGACGGCCCTGTTTCGTTTCGCATATCAGATGTATCCAAGGTACTTTGACGCAGCCAAGTTAACAGCGCCAATCAGAAGCTCGCTTCGCGGCAGCTCGTCGAGTACCGTCGTTCAATGGGAAAGTTATCCCCCGAATATAGGACACAAGCTAGAGCTGCTAGAGATCGCACATCCGACGGAGCCGCCGATGTGGCTTCCAGCTCACCGCGTCGAATCTCACACAAATCCAACCGTCTTTGAGCAACATCACTAATTATCTGGGGGAAAGAGTCCGCCCTCGAATCGGCCCTCATTAATCCAAGCTGGCTCGATCTTAAAGGTCACCTGGTCCTGCCACCATCTCCAACATGTGACGCCGTTACACCCTGCACTTTCACATGCCAGCTTGTCAGCCTCCAACACCAGCCTCCTCCACCAGCCGATGCAGTCTACGAGCACTTTGACAGAGCACTTTATTGAGGCAAACCCCATGAAGGGCACCCGTGGTATCTAAATGATCAAGTCCCAAAGAATCAAGAAAGCACATAACCCCGCCGACGCGAAAAAGGTATACCTCGCCGCGCTTGGCCTCTGCGTCGCCTTCTTCAGTTGCTTGTTACCGCCCCCAACATCCTCCGTGATATTCTCAGAGTCCGCCACGAGTTGCTCAATATGTGCCGATTGCGTTGCGAGGTTTCCCACAAGCAATGTCTGCAGCTCGGAAATCTCCATCAGCGACTTTTCCGCCGTCCTTCGCACACCGATGGTTAGCAATCTCGCCTCAGCCATACACCACACACCGCGAATAACGTACCTGACCTTGTCCAACGTGCTGTTGTAGTGCTGCAGCATGTCCTGGTTCCCCTTCTCAAACATCTGAATCTGCTCCTCCGTGAGGTCCTGCCTGAAATCGTACGCCCCGCCCTCGTCCGGCGGCAACCCAGTGCTCCCCGCTGCGACCCCCTTCTTCGCAGCCGCCTCCTTCCTCATGGTCTCGTAGAACCCCCCGAGCTCAGGCATCGCGCTCCCGCCCCCGGCCTTGGCCAGCACGCTCCTGTTCTTCTCCATCTCCCGCGTCAGCCTCGCCTCCATCATGTCCTGCTGCGTCCGCCCGCACAGCTGCAGGCCCTGCCGCAGGCTCCACAGCACCCCGTCGCGGTGCAGCACGACGTCGCGCGCCCGCGCCTCGGCGGCGAGGTGCTCCGCCGTCTTGCTCGCGTCCGCCACGTCGCCGGCGGCCCACGCGCCGAGGGCGCCCAGCCCGCGGGCGTGCTTCTTGCGGATGACGGCCGTCTCGGTCTCGCGGCGGAGCTGTTCCGTCTCGTCGAGCGCGCGGATGCTGGCGTTGAGCTCGCGGAGCATCGACTTGGCTTCGGCGTCGACGTTTTCGCGCTCGCGGTCCGTCATGGGCTGCGGTTCTTTCGAGGCCGTGGTGGACCCCGTGTTCGTGCGGATGTGCCGGCGCGGCTGCGCGGTGGAGAGGTAGGCTTGTCGGACATCTTTTAGCCTGTTGTGGAGGGTCGTGATGTGGGAGTTCTGCGAGGGCTGTCAGAGACGTTTTCGGGCGGAGGATCTGGGGTTGAGGCGTCACGGACTATTCTGTAGGCCTCTTTCAGGAAGCCGTCTATCGCTTCGAGACTGAGCTTCTTCTCGGTGACGATTGGCGCATTGCGCTTGCGCAGGATCTCGTTGAAGACGGGCGTGATGTCCATTGTCGGCTGCGGCTCGACCGATCGGGTGCTGGAGATGTTCAGTGAGGGCTATATGTCATCGGACTTCGCTGGGCATGCTGTTGGCGACGGGTAAAGACAGAGCAGCAGCGTCGCGTGAGTCCGTCGACATTCCAGCTGGACCTGCAATTGGCAAGCTGTTCTCCAATGACGTGGCTTCGCGGCTTTTGGGCTCACCAGCCACACTTCAAACGGCTGGTGTGTGGCTTGGCTATAAGGCGGGCCCACGGGCTCCACCCTGCCTTTCCCGAGCGCTGAGTACCTGTGACGAGATGCTTCCCTTCACGACAACTTCCGTCCTGTCTTCAAAGAGTCTGACCAACTCTTTTCGCATACCCTTTTTCATTGGAATTATTTCCCGTTGAGTTGTACTTTGAAAAACGAAGGGAAAAAAACTGCATTTCGCATCTCCTACTATCGCAGTCGTATTTACCCGCTACAGACATATAATCCAAGTTTTCCGACTAACGCCACTTCTTCACATCTACATATCGGAGCTTCGCTAACAACTCAAAGACGAGTGGTACCAAGTTACTGAGTTCCAGGCATCGATCACATATCAACACTTTTATGCACCGGTTGGCGATTGGCACAAGTCATCCTATAGGCTGGAATGTTGGAGCTGCATGTTCGAAAACCACAACCATGTTGATGGTGTTGTGAATGAGATAGACGCTCTAGACTTCGGGGCAGCATCGGCACCGGTCTCGGCAAAACGGGTGATCCAGGTATCCACCTCGGCGCCCACCGGCTCGCCGCCGATGGGTCCTTCGATCAAAGATTTCGAGACCCGGTTTCACGATCCATAATGATGCTCTCTGACGGATGAGGACCGGCGACGAGAAGAACCTCTTTGCCTCTCGGCCTCTGTATCGAGTCGGGCTTGAGCTTTCCTGGAGACTGTCATCGTCTGGTCAAGTGACCCTGTCTTCAACTTTCAAAATGCCTGGTCGGGCTGCGGTCAGTTCTGCCGGCACCCCCAGCTTCTGGAACAGCCCCGATACCGCAGCTCGCTGCGACAATCTCGGTCAAGAACAGAAGGTCGAGACACAACCCAACTGCCCCAAACAGCGGGTTCTGTGGGACCGCGCGACGGGCCGGACGAATCATGGGAGTCGCAATGAGATGCCGGTTTTCCATGGGTGGTGGAGGCGATCCAGGGCGGAAATAACATCATTCATGGGTGCCCTTTGGGCGGGCGTAGGTCCGGCTTGCGGATACGGACGACGATTTTTACGAGAAGGTCGTACTTGTTTCGATCTATGATTTTGGTTTATCTTTAACATACCCCGTTCTGCATTTTGTTCTTGCTATAATCCTGAAAAAGTGTTCTGGTGACTATTCCGAGTGGATTCACACACCTCTACGGTTCTCTTATCGATCGAATTGGTTATCTTACCCGTCAGCTTCACGCTTCTCATACATCAGCATCGGTATAAGCATGGGAAAAGATGAGTTGCCTGCGAGAAGTCCAGCAGAGGATTACACAGCACCTCTCTCACCAATCACCTCCATTGAGCCGCCAGTAATAACCGCTTCATCACAAAACCAACGAACCGCCGAGAAGACTCAAGATGATATCGCCTCCGAAGAAACCCCCGGAGCCCAACAAGCAGACCCCGAGAACCTGACCCGCCAACCCTCCGGCCCGGCCTACAGCGTCTTCTTCCCGTCCACGAAGCGATGGGTAGCCTTCATGGCCTCCGTCGCCTGCTTCGTGCCCCCGATGTCCGCCAACATCTACTACCCCGTCCTCGCCCCCATCGCCTCCGACCTCGACGTCTCCGTCGCCGCCGTCAACCTCACCGTCACCTCCTACATGATCCTCCAGGCCATCTCCCCCACCATCTTCGGCGACTTCGGCGACATGGCCGGCCGCCGCCCCGCCTTCCTCGTCGCCTTCGCCATCTACCTCGTCGCCAACATCGGCCTCGCCCTCCAGCGCAACTACGCCGCCCTCCTCGTCCTCCGCATGCTCCAGTCCGGCGGCAGCAGCGGCGCCATCGCCCTCGGCTTCGCCATGGTCGCCGACATCTCCGTCAGCTCGGAGCGCGGCAAGTACATGGGCATCGTCGGCGCCGGCATCAACGTCGGTCCCACCATCGGCCCCGTCCTCGGCGGCGTGCTGACGCAGTACTTCGGCTGGGCCTCCATCTTCTGGTTCTGCGTCGCCCTCATCGGCGCCTGGCTCGTCCCGTACGCCCTCTTCATCCCGGAGACCTGCCGGGGCGTGGTGGGGAACGGGTCCGTCCCGGCGCAGTCCTGGAACCGGCCCCTCATGGACCTGATTCGGCGCCGGCGCCGGGGCGGATCGCTGGAGAGGACGGACTCGGCGGCCGGGCGGCCGAAAAGGAAACTCCGGTTCCCGAATCCCCTGCGCGCCGTCAAGATCATTTTCGAGAAGGAGATGGCGGTGATTCTGATTTACAACTCGTTGTTGTACGTCGCCTTCATCGACGTGGCGGCCACGCTGGGCACTCTGTTCCGTGAGATCTACGGCTTCAACGATCTCCAGCTCGGGCTGTGCTACCTCCCGTACGGCGCGGGATGCTGCGTGGCCAGCCTCGGCCAGGGGTACGTCCTCGACTGGAACTACCGGCGGATCGCGCACAAGATCGGGTTCACCATCGACCGCCGCCGTGGCGACGACCTCAGCAAGTTCCCCATCGAGAAGGCCCGCCTGCAGCCCGTCTACCCGGCGGTGGCCGTCGGCCTGATCGCCGTGGTGGCGTACGGATGGGTCCTGCACCTCGAGACGAGCGTCGCGGCGCCGCTGGTGCTGCAGAGCGTCATCGGGCTCACGATCACCGGGTCGTTCAGCATCATGAACACGCTGATCGTGGACCTGTATCCCGAGGCGCCGGCCACGGCCACGGCCGCGAACAACCTCATCCGGTGCACGATGGGGGCCGTGGGCACGGCGGTGATCGAGTACATGATTCAGGGCATGGGGAGGGGGTGGTGCTTTACGTTCATCGCCGCGTTGTGCGCGGTCTTGAGCCCGATGTTGTTTTGGATTGTGAAGAAGGGGCCTGGTTGGAGGAATGAGAGGCGGCTGAAGGAGGAGGCTTCGTGATGATTGGATGGATTGGGTTTGCAAGGGCGCTCGAGTAGATTTGGACCCAAAGATAATGTCAGTAATATTCATAATGGTCGTGTCATTGGATTTCGAACGTTTGTGGTACACATAAGAGGCGTCTGACAGATCAGATGTGACGCCGAGCTTGTGATCATGGAGCTACGGCGCCCCTTGGCCGGCCGTCTTCCGTCAACCCCTCCGGCGGAGAATGCGGGTCGGTTCAGCGACATCGAAGGAGACTAGATCAAGGTGCTTTACGGCCAGCATCCGCTCCGTAGTACGCTCGTCTTCCGGTGTGCCGCCCTGGCCTCGATCTCTGGCGGCCAGTAGCGTCTCAGCCCCGGTTTCTCTCGGATAAGCGAGGACGTAGCAGCCGTACGATATGGGAGGCTGGAACACGGTGAGACGTCCGTCGTTGACCCGACTTGTTGTGACACCTTCGCGATTGTGACGACTCTGTCCATGGAGCTTTCCGTTTGCGGTCTCGTTTCCGGTGAGCATGTGCAAGTGCTTGTGATAGAGCTTCAAAATCTGGATGAATGTGAGACGCTCCGACCTGCTTCTGCGAAGACTGAAGCAAGGGGGGAAATCTAGCGTTGTTGTTGAGCCGCGAGGCAACCACTGAGGTCCGTCGAGGTTGGGCGGACGACTCAAGATAGTCGACGGACAAAGGCCCGGGGATCAGCAAACGGCTCTCCCGACAACGACAGTGAGACATTTACTGGCTGGCTTGAAGCCTGAAATGGACAGGAGTGGATCATGTCTCTGCGGGACGCCGGCGGACACGAAAGGTCAGTGCTTCGAGATGGAATGCTCCAGGGACAGGGAGACGGGTCCTGGGATCACAGGCACAGCTTCTTACGGCCTGTTTTCTCCTGATTGAGCCAGTAAGATCAACGCGAAGGAGGGTAATGTAAACAAACTCGCGTGACGGAGCCCCGGGTCGTCGTGTTTGATTCGCACCAGCGAAGTTGGGACTCGCTGCGGTCGAGACATCCAGATACAGACCACAGGTTGGGCTAGATTCAGCCGCTTACAGCATGAAGCAGGCGGGCTCGTGTCAGGCGGGAGAGCGTCGATGTGGGCGGGGAAGATGTGTTTCGATCATGATCTGCGAAGGCTAAAAATAAGCTTACGATGTATGGTGGGTGCTCTGTTCGACACTGGTGCTTGTAGCCTCCGATTCAACTGCTACCCGATTTATAGCTTGGTGAGGGTGTTAAGCATAAAAGCGCTCCGGCCCCCACGACTATAGCCAGATTTCAGAGTCGTTCACCAATCAATTCGCCTGCTTTGAAGTCTGAGTAAAGTAAACATGTCCGTTGAAGCTATGAAGAAAGCGGTAAGGTCGCGCTCCGGAAGCTCGTCGAGGGACCCGCTGACTTGATGGCAGACTGGTACCCAGGTCATTTTTGCCGGCGTCGGCGCAATGCATGACATACCATTCACCAAGATTCCCCAGGAGATATCCTTGGATTCCGCTTCTGCGTGCGATCAGATTGATATGGACGAGCTCGATTATTCGGCTGAGCCAGGCCTAGCTTCAACCAACACAACCCACCACGGTCCGCCGTGGCAGAATACCGGCCCCCTCGTAAGCACCAGTGAGACAATTGAATTGGAGACAACAGTAATCCTTCGACCCTGGATAAGACAACCAGATGCTAGACAACAAGTCAAAACCGCTCATGGCGGTGGGGATGCCAGATCAACCAAGATGGCGATTCAATCCTGGCTCGAGAAAGCCATGGAGGATGAACCATTCAATGGCATAAGAGGAGTGGCGCAACTAAGAGATGCTGTGAATGCGAGGCCGCCAGGTTGGAACAGTGGGGTCACGACTTCGACGGCGGCAACTGCTGGAAGCGGACAGACTGAGAAAGCAGCAAACAACGCGAACGAAGCAGAGAATAGGAGTTAGTCAGACAGACATGACTTCGAATTCAATTGATGATGTCTATAACGCGGGTACGGAAGACTCTAGGGGCTCTCTCCGAACTTCCCATGCCAACCAATCTGATCGCGTCGTCCTGGAGTGATGTTAGCATGAGTCGCAAGATTGCGAAGGAAAGCAACATACGGCAATAGTCCCATCGAATTGACCTTCCACACAGCCAAACCAAGCGCGACAAATTGCATCGCCACGTATGCCAGCTTGACCTGGAGCATCTTTCCCTTGTTTGTTTCCGACTCGAATCTCTCGAACGCCTGGTTGACCGCCGTCAGGCCGGCGAGAGGGTTCTTGAACGCCATGAATACCATCATGATGCTGAAAATCTGGAGCGAGTTGCCGGACATGTACATCATGATGGCCGTCATGGGCAGGTTCTTGACGGGGGCGAGGGCGACCTCCCACGCCTTCTTGACCTTCAACGTGTCCATCTCTTCGGGTGATTGTTGTTTGCGCGGCTGAACCTTCTGGTCCTTCTGTTTCTATACACGCATATTAGCGCGACTGACCTCCAGCTTGGATGCGACAAAGTGCATACCTTAGAGCCAGTGAACTGCGACGGGTAGCCTGGAGGGTCGGAGATGCCGGGGACCTTGGACTTTGAAGCCGGGGGAGACTGAAGGTCCGCTACCCATCGCGGGACGGAGCCGTTGACCATAGCCATTTTCGGAGGTGTTGGTATCGGTCAATCGCGATTCGCAGTTGGGAGTTCGAGGACGCGGATGTCGAGGTTAGGACGAAGGCCGTGGATGACGAAGGGACAGCGACCTACCTGGAAGTCGGGACGTTGGAGGGAGGTCTCCACAGTAGGTCGGCTAAACTTTGGACCAGAGCTTCTCACGCGGCTAAGCGTCTGTCTCGCTTATCCTTATCGCCTTGTCGCGCTGACCGATAAGCCAGCCCGGGGCGCTGTCGCACTCCACTGCGGAACGGCGGGAGCTTTGGGGATCCAACGTTTCCCCTTAAACATCCCGTCTGGAAACGCAAACGGGCCGTCCGCAAGAACCGAGCCGACAACGACGTTTTGCAAAGTCGCCGCTGCATCACAACCCGGCTCCTCCTCTCCCATCCGCCCTCACCGAAACCCACGAAGCCGACCGGACACCAGCGCGCGGCGGGAGGAAAAAGCAAGCCAGGCCGAAGAGAGAACACCGACGGACTAGAGAGACGAACGGCCATCACACATTAAACCCTTCGATTGGCCGCGACGAAACCCCCCGGCCCCAACGACGCATGTGACATCCCTCACTTCTGCACCCCTCCCACCATTCCAAGACACTCGAGTCCAGGAAAACTGCAGCCTTCCGCCAACTTTTGCGACCCTCCTATCGATTGGGTGGCTCGACCCTAGGCCCCCGCGGGAGCAAACAGGTCGACAATACATACCGTCCTTCCCACAGCTGGGCGTGAGGGGTCTGTGGTGTTATCGCCCACCACCAAGCGATCGAGGCACACGGCAAAGCTTGTTGGAGGCCCATCCGGAGAGGGGGATTCTGTCTGAGATTCGCGCTACATACCACCACACCGACCGCTAGGTCTCGTGCAAGAAGAGGGCGTCACCATGTCGGCCGCTCAGGGTGGAGGAGACTCCAAGTTGTTTGCCAGGGTAAGCTCAAGTCTCTCTACTGCTGTTGTCATTCTGCGCACCGTTTGTCGACAGCATCAGTTGCTTTCCGTCCCGTAATACCTGCATATATTGTCTTCCAATCCCTGTCCGGTCTTCAGCTGGAGGTCTTGGTCTTGGTCTAAGATATCTACCGGCCCTTCCCCAGTTCACCCCGCGACCTGAAGTTGTTACCGCCGTCTGGATCTGCAGCGGCATCATTCGCAATCGCTTTTTCACCAAGACGTTTTCTACGTGCCTGCATATGCGTCGCCCATCATGTTCATGGCCTACGTGCCTCCGCCGATCTATCTTCCTAGACAACTAACAACCTCCAAGGGCAAGGTAGCCGAGCTTAGGCTCGAGCTCAACAGCGGCGGCAAGAAGGACAAGAACAATGCGAACAAGAAGATCGCCCTCAAGAAGATTGTCGCCAACATGACAATGAGCAACAATGACATGGTTGCGCTGTTCCCCGACATCATCGGCTGCATGCACATTCAAAGTCTGGAGATCAAGAAGATGTACGGACCAATACTGTCGTATGATGAGGACTTTGACTGACAGCTCCTCTAGGTGCTTCTTGTTCCTCGTCAACTACGCTAGAATGCGCCCCGAAATAGCAGTTCAGGCCATCCCGGTGTTGGAGCAGGTAGGCGAGAACCGGCGGCTCTGGTCGAACCAGCTTGACTGACACAGTTTAGGATATGGAAGACCACAACCCTCTCGTGAGAGCGCTTGCCCTACGAACGATGTCTTACATTCACGTCCGCGAATTCGTCGAAGCGACAGTCCCTCTTGTCAAGCACATGTTGAAGGATGCGGATCCATACGTGAGGAAGACCGCGGCATTCTGCGTCGCCAAGCTCTACGACCACGACCGGCGCATGGTTGAGGCTTCCGACCTGATCGACAGACTCAACACTCTGCTGAGAGACGATAACCCTACTGTCGTTGCCAGTGCTCTGGCGTCCTTGATGGACATCTGGGAGCGCAGCGATGCGATCAAGCTCACTATCGACTACAGCAACGCCTCCAAAATGGTGGCTATCCTGCCAGACTGCTCCGAGTGAGTAAGCCCGATATGATGTGGAAGTTGAGTGCTGACATGAGAACCTAGATGGGGTCAGACGTATATCCTCGAGGCCCTCATGTCATACGTACCCCAAGACGGCAACGAGGCCGTTCTGCTCGCTGAGCGTATATCGCCGCGTCTGTCTCACTCCAACTCGGCTGTTGTCCTCACCTGCATCCGTGTCGTGCTCTATCTCATGAACTACATTGCGGACCAGAGGCACATCTCCGCGCTTTGCAAGAAGCTCTCACCACCGCTCGTAACTCTGCTCGCAAAGGGACCGGAGGTGCAGTACCTAGCGCTGAGAAACGCGCTTCTGATCCTGCAGCGCCGGCCCGAAGTCTTGCGCAACGACATTCGCGTGTTCTTCTGCAAGTACAACGACCCCATCTACGTCAAGGTCACAAAACTGGAGCTCATCTTCATGCTGGCCAACGAGAACAACATCGACGAGGTCCTCACGGAGCTGAGGGAGTACGCGACGGAGATCGACGTGCACTTTGTGCGCAAAGCTGTGCGAGCCATAGGCAAGCTCGCCATCAAGATCGAGCCGGCGGCGCGGCAGTGTATCAACCTGCTTCTCGAGCTCGTCGCCACAAAGGTCACGTACATCGTCCAGGAAGCCACGGTAGTGATTAGGAACATCTTCCGCAAATACCCCAACCAGTACGAGTCCATCATCGGCACTCTCTGCGAGCATCTCGACTCCCTGGACGAGCCGGAAGCGAAGGCCGCCATGGTGTGGGTCATTGGCCAGTACGCGGACAGAATAGAGAACAGCGACGTGCTCCTCGAGGACTTTTTGTACTCGTTCGCGGAGGAGCCGGTCGAGGTCCAGCTGGCCCTGCTCACCGCGACCGTCAAGCTGTTCATCCAGAGACCGACCAAGGGACAGGACCTGGTGCCGAGGGTGCTCAAGTGGGCGACCGAAGAGACGGACAACCCGGACCTCCGCGACCGCGCGTACATGTACTGGCGCCTGCTGTCCACGGACATAGACGCCGCGAGGAAGATCGTCATGGGCGAGAAGCCGGCCATCACGGCTGAGTCGGAGCGCCTGGACCCCGCGACGCTGGAGGAGATGTGCCTCAACGTCGGCACGCTCGCGACCGTCTACCTCAAGCCGGTGCAGACCGTCTTCCGCTCCGCCCGGCCGCGCAAGCTCCTCGACTCCCCCGCGCTGCAGAAGCACCTCCTCCCGACGTCCATCGAGAACCAGAAGAGCCTCAGCATGCTCGGCATGGGCGGGCAGGCGCAGGACATGACAATGCACGGCCAACATATCCAGCAGCAGCAGCAGCAACAGCAGCAGGCCAACGGCGGCGAGGGCGGCAACAACCTCGCGCAGGCCGTCAGCGACGCCGACGCCTACTTCTCCAGCATCGGGCCGCAGCAGATGGCGGCCATGCGGATCGACCAGGGCGACGCGTTCGGTGACACGTCGGGCTACGAGACGGGGTACGTCGTCAACCAGCACGCGCCGCAGCAGATTGTGCAGCCGGCGCAGGGAAGCAACGGGGATCTGCTCGTGCTGTAAGTGTAAGAGGAGGAATGTCGGAAAGTGTAATGCCGGGAGTTTTGTAGACTACGCGATATATATCCTCGTTGGTAATGGCAGAGATTCGGTTGTGTGTAATTTGCAATAAGACTTGTACACATCTAGGGTTATGGGTGGTCTATATAAAAAGTCACGAGTATCGCATACTGTTGTAGTAATGACTAGCTTGAGAGGTGACGCCCTTTCTTTGGAGATTGATCTGAAAGTTGAGCTACCAAAGTCGAACGCCCTTTGAGTTCTCTTGTGCAGATTAGTGCCGTGTTGAAAGGAGTTCAGACAAAGAAGATAGATCTTCAGCGGGCGCAAGACAGCCCTCTTGGAGTGGCGGGCGTGGCGGGAAGTCTAAAAGCCAGATTCGCTACCTAGATCGTATTAGTGACAGACTCAGAGAGCAATGACTAGACACTTTTGACAGGTGAGACCTGATTCGCACGTAGAGACATTTTGGCCTGGGCAGGTTGGGGGAAAACGAGACTGGGCCGGCTCGATGGAAGGGAAGGATCCAATGGGTTTAAGGTGGGCTTGGCGCATTCGCAATCGGGTGGGGGAAGTAGACAATCCTCCTCACCCCGCGATTTCGTTTTCCTTGGCCAGCGACCAGTGACGTGGAGGGGACGCCGAGAGGAGGCCATGACAGATGAGACTGGGAATGTGGAGTTTCTCGGTCTGGAGAAGGTCTGGTTAATTGATTGACACTGGCGGATATCCGTCCGCAAAGTGACGAGCCTGTCGATGGTGTTTCTGATCTGGGTAGGTGAGATCTCGTTGAAAGAGGCAGGCGACTCGGTGGAGGGTAAGCTTCAGCTTTCGTCCACCAGCCCGTAGCTTATTCGGGGCAGGTCGGTGTCAAAGACTGACAGGCGATTGGAGGCGGCCCTAAGGGGATGGGCTGGAACTCGGACGCCTTTTCCGCTGGAGCCGTAGATGGGACTACCTTAGGTTAACGACGCCGCGAAGGGTTTGTGACGGATGCGTCCAGGTCCGGGATGGCGGCTTTGCAGTCTTTTTTCTGGTTTGATGGTCGTCCTTGTGCAAACCAGTCGTCAGGTCGCTATTTCGTGATATTTCTGAGGTGCTCTGTCATCGTCGAGGTCTGTTCTGCGACGTCAGGTGGAATCCTTCAGTTCCTCATTCATGCCGTGGTCTTCTCTTCTCCCGGAGGTTGCCGCATTCCTCGAACGAACCGACATAGAACTGACGCTCCAGTGCCGCGGGAAAGCTCGTGCCTGGTGGTTCTATTTCCAACTCGAACTCGGCGAGGAACATGAGGACTGAGCGTTGATCCTTCCCGTCCTGCGCAGACCAAGCGACAAGAGCCTCCGTGCCGTCTGTCGTACAACGGGCGGGCTCGTGATGTGGTGAGTTTGGTCGGTTCCTGGACTTTGTCCCATGTTCAGAAACAGAGACGGGGTACCTGCGTTTTTTGCGACGGCGAGGATGAGAAACAAAGCGGTGACGAGCTCGCAGCGGTTTTCTGACCGTCGGGGGAGAGTGTGCCCACACGCGTATGGGGGATTGCTGAAACAATTGCTGTTCTCTTCGACTTTGATGGCATTAAAGTGGCGTGACTGGGAAAGCTGGAGGAGGAAATGGGATGCCCAGACAGGAGCCAAGTTGGATATTCCCTGGAAGAAAGGCGAGAGGGCGCAATGGCCGAAAGGCAACGCCGAATTGAACGGTGATGGATGTATCCTGGTTGATGAGTGAGCGTGTGCCTGTCTGTGCCTGTGCTTGTGCCTGGCCGAGACTCCTGAGGCAATTATGTGCCTGTACTTTCCTCGTGGGAGACTGTTGCCTGGCATTGACAGCTGCATGCCTCGTGTCATATTGGACATTTGATGCCTCCTTCTTTTTATTCGAATATCGTTCTCTTCCTTACTAGTCCTTCCTTCCTTCGAATGCCACCTAGGTACCTAAGGTATTCGTACAGTGCGGAAGTGATTGTGTCATGTCGGAGTAGCGGCGGTGATGGCGGAGGCTGTCCGTGTTAGTGCCAACCCGGGAAGCCGATAGCGCGGTGTGCCCCACCTTGCCACTGGCTGGCAGGCCGCTAGACTCCGTTAAGAATAGCGAGGTGAAATACAGTGTGAAGAGACCCGGACGCCATTGGTTTGTCGGTTCTCGCACCTTGCTGCGCTGCCACAAGGAAGCACCCGATCCGATGGGGCAGGGGGGAGGGGACGGACGGGACAGACCTGGAGAAGGAGGGGGGGAAATGGGGAAGGAGCTGCATCTCACGCTGCACCTGCCCTGAGGACCTGGAGGTGGAGGTGGGCTTGCTGAGTGGAGTGGATCGATCTTTCAGTGTTCCTTCCAGTTGCGAATTCCCTCAACGGTCAAAATGGGAGTTGGTGACCGCTTTCCTGGCTGTTGAAAATGCAGGTCGCGCCGTTATCCCGGATCCTGCACCCGCCTGCAAGAAGGGACTGAAAGTATGGCGGGAAGAAGCAGACCAAGAGAATGCGGAAAGGACTGAATTAAGGACAGGCAAACCTCGTTTCCGCGTACTCAGAGGCTCTAGGTCTATCGGGCGTGCCGTCCATGCTATCTGCTTTTCTCCTGTTCACTACTGTAGTGTAGACCCATCACCAGCCTCAATTCTTATTGATTCTTATTGCCTCAGTATTCAACAGTAACAGCTTTCGGACGTTGGCTGCATATCTTGTCTCATTCTCACCGAAACAGTACACCATTTAGTGACGTCCATTGGAAGGATCCTGAAGACAGGTATTAGCCCGTGATTCCGGCTCAACATCCTCAACCCTTGCCTTACCTTACGGCCACTCGTTCGCCGCTTCGCTGCCGGATTCCGTCACTGTTGTCGCCGTCTCGAAGGCCTGAGAGACGAAACAGGCTGCGCGACTCGACTAAGCCGTTGCTACGCCGCAATCCGATCTGCCCGGAACTCACACGGGAAGACAAACTTGACTACCATCTCATCGCAGCATCACCCTGTCTCGCGTCACGCCTTGCTTTCCTCTTATCGCCTATGACTTGAACAACCTCGTCAATCATCGCAACGGGTAATTCAACGTGTCAACCGTAAAACAGATTCGCAAACGAGAACCAGCTACAAGCACAGAGTATCCGTACCTTGACGGACATACTGCGCTTCCACGGCCGCCCGGGGCACTCGCTTCGCTGACCCTGCCCAGCAGAACGGGCTTATTGCCGAACCACCCACCCAGAACGGACCCAGCCAGCCAGTCCAATTACCCAGCACCCAGCACCCAGCACCAAGCAGCACCAAGCACCCACCGCCGCCCAGCCGGTCAACCTCTCCAATTCAGCGCCGACCCCCATACCTACAGACAGAGAGAGTACCGTCCGCATCCTGTCCTTCCATTCCTTTTTCCCACCACGCTGGATAGGTTGGGTCCGCCTTCCGCTTCACAAACCCCCCATCCTGGCAACTGTCTACCAACTGGTAGTACCCTCCTAACCGTCTCACTCCGACGACATCTCTTGCCAATTTCCTCCTCGGAAACCACAGTAGAGAATCACAATCACGACGCAGTACACTGTCGCGCCGACCGCATGCATTGAGCAATTGCATCGCTGCCTTCGACATTTCACTACCACCCATCATCATCACCATCGCTGCCACTGTCGCCCGTTCAATCAACCCGCAAGGAGACCGCATTCCTCCCAGCGGCACATCCTGCTTCGCCATTCGTCATCCATCCGCGATGACCGACGCCAAACCATCCGACACGAAGCCATCCGAAACCAACATGAGCGGAGGACAAGCTGCCCATAAGGAGGGCGATGCCTCTCTGGCCGAGAACAAGGATGCCGTCCCTATGAAGAACCTCTCCACAGATACCGATGCCGCCGCAAACACAACGAAGCCGACCTCGTCGACACAGCCAGAAACCGCCTCCAAGTCAACACCCGATGCCGCCGACGATTCAATCGAGCCCTCAGCCAAGGGAAAGGGGAAGGAATCCACTGCGCAGTCCGTCGCCCAGAGCCAAGATGACTCCTTGGCAATTGGGCCCTCGGTTGATGATATGCCGCAAGTCAGCAATTCACCAAGCGACGGCCCTGTCTGCAACATCACGCTTCTGTTAACAACCGGCGCGAGGCACCCCTACAAGTTGGATGAGAAGTACTTGACTAAGAGGAACGTCAACGTCCCTGGATTGACAGAGGCCGGCAAGAAGGACCCTTTCAGCATCAGTGTCTACACATTAAAGGAGCTGATCCTGCGGGAGTGGCGCGAAGAGTGGGATGCCAAACCAGCCAGCCCTAGCAGCATACGGTTGATCCATTTTGGAAAGTTGTTGGATGACAAGGACCAGCTCAAGCGTAAGCAACCGTCCCGATTCTAGGCCTTGCTTGATATGTTTCCCCGTACTAACCCTTCCCAGAGTATCACTTTAGTGCAGAGACTGCAAATGTCGTCCATATGACGGTTCGTCCTGCTGATATCGTCGATGAGGAAGAGCCCAAGGGAGGCAATAAGGCAGCTTCGGGCGGCAACCGGAACCGAGAAGGCGGCAGCGGATGCTGTGTAATCTTATGAACGGCCAGACTCGGATTGTGTTTTTCTCTCTCGGCATTCTCGACGTCTTCAAAGATACATTCCTTAATCGACAGGAAAGAATGACATGCATGGAAAGAAGGCGGAAGGGTCACGGTTTTTCGATACTGTATGCATTTTCAGATGTGCCCACAGGCCGGCTCGGCTGGGTCTTGAGGCTATCGGGTTGGGGTGTTTCAGGGTTTCTCTTATTTTTTCTTCTTGTATCGAGTGCCGTCGTCAGACGACACCATTCCCCCCAGCGTATTACAAAGAGCGAAGACGATACGGGGAAACAGGAGTCGGCGTATTCATAGCTGTGTATTTTTGATTGTTCCGATTACTCTCACGCCCTGTCCGTGGGTAGCGCCTGTCCATAGGATATTAGAACGAAGGTATTCGGTTCCTTTCCCTCTGGGCTGCTCTAGCAAATCTCTATCATCTTGGAGTTCTCTCCTCCCAGCCGCGCCTGAAAGTCATTGCGTCGTAGTGTTACAAGTTCACACCGTCTTCCATTTCCATGCCGTATCAAGACCCAGTTCAGATCTTCAGCTTCTTCTCCATCTCGTCGTGCATGCCAACGATGCCGACGCCCTCCTCGCCCGTGTAGACGTCCTCCCACGAGATGCTGGCGTCCTTGCCGCGGAGGATCTCCTCGTGGACGCTCGTCTGGTGGCCGCCGAGGGCGAGGGGCCTCCACTCGCCGTCCTGGGTGATCTTGAGCTCCATCTGACGGCGGATGGGTTCGGCGAGGCCAAAGGTGCGGCGCAGCGTCTCCATGCGCATGCTCTCCTGGGTGGCCTCCCAGTTCTTCAGGCGGGCCTCGAGCGGGTGGGCCGACGAGGGGACGTTGTTCTTGGAGTCGAGAGCCGTCTGGCCGACGCCGGCGCGGAGCGTGTCGTGGATGCCCGGGGCCGAGGGGGCAGCGGCGCCGGCGGCGAAGGTCGTGGTGTGGTTTGCGGCGGGGACGATTCGCATCTGAGGGGAGATGTACGTCAGTATTTTGGTGATAGAAGGGTAGACGTGGGTGGCAGAGTACATACCGACATATTGACTGATTTGGGCGGTTACGGAAGAGATTGAGTGGTGGTTTGTTTGGGGAGGTTGATGTTGGTGATGCAGGCTGGAGGACGGCGACGGATTGCTTGGGAGCTTGCGCCTACGGTGATGTGCCTGGAGCTTCCCGCTGGCGTTGCTTCCCTGTTCAGAAATGCTTAGGTAAACACTGCACGTGACGCGCCAGGCTGGAAGTCGCAGACGCGGCAGGAAGCACCGGCCACCCCTGGTTTCCGTCCCCCGGCCAAGGTGTGGAGCAGGGTGGCCCGCGAAGTGGGGACGATGACGGACGAGCTTTCACCGAGATCGCAGCGAGCTCTGGCTCCATTAATTTACTGCCCGCCTTTACGTTACTGAAAAAGAAAAAGTCCGGGGAAAGCTCGAGCCCCGGATTTCTACGAGTCACAATGTGAAGAGGTGGAACTCCCGACGCTACGAACATCTTGAAGAAAGAGGCATTGGGCTCGGTCAATGGTGGCCAATTGAGCTTTTTTTCGATTTTGCCCGCAATGAGGTTACCGTCGCGTTCGTCCGCGCCCATCTTGCGCATCGCGAACGGCACGTTTTACCGCCGGCATCCGAACGCGCAATCGACGCAACCGAATCCGCCGCTGTTCAGCGACCTGACGTTCGAGCTGCCGTCGGCGGCGGAGGGACCCAAGAAGCATTGGTGCATCGTCGGGCCTTCGCTCTCGGGCAAGACGACGCTGCTGCAGGTTCTCAGAGGCCAGCACCTTGCCATCCCGCCCGCGACCAGATCGTACCCGTACCTCTCGAGCGAGGACGTCGCGCCGCGGCTGCGGACCACGAGCAAGGCGATACAGTATGTCGGGTTCGACGGCGAGCAGGGCGGCGGCGGCGGGATCGGCGGGGCGACGACGAGCGCGTACCTCGCGGCCCGGTACGAGTCGCGGCGGGAGAACACGGATTACTCGCTGCGCGACTTCTTGCTGGGGAACTTGGAGCAGAACACGCTCGAGCGAGAGCTCCGGCAGAGGGACGAGGGGGCGATACCGAGGGAGCTGCTGGAGAGGGTCGTCAAGGACTTGAGACTGGATCAGTTGCTCGATCTGCCCGTCGCTTTTTTGAGTAACGGACAGGGCCGGCGTGCGCGGATTGCGAGGGCGTTGTTGACGACGCCCGAGGTGCTGTTGCTGGACGAGCCGTTTATGGGGCTCGATCCGCCGACTGTTGCGTCGTTGAGTCCGCTGCTTCAGGGTCTGGCGGAGAGGCAGAGTCCTAGGCTTGTGTTGAGCGTCAGGCCGCAGGATCCTTTGCCTGACTGGATCACGCACTTGATCTACCTGCGGACGGATTGCCAGATTGGATCGATGGGCCCCAAGGATGTTGTTCTGGAGGGGCTGAGGAAATATGTGAGGGGAGTGTGGAAGGGTGGACTTGCGGAGGATGAGAAGTTGCCGGTGCATTCACTCGTGGAAATGGGGAAGACGTTGACTGCGAAGGGAGTACAGGGTGATGGATTGATCGACGCAAAGGAGAAGGAGAAGCATGTCGGCGCTCCTATGTCGACGGCTGACGCTGCTCCCGAGTCGGTGGGAGAGCCATTGGTTGAGATGGACGGATGCCAGGTGAGGTACGGTAACAAGATCGCGCTGGGCAACTGGTCTCAAGATACATCATCTGGACCCAAGGACGGTCTCATTTGGACTGTCAGGAGAGGCGAGAGGTGGGGTGTCTTCGGTCCCAACGGATCGGGCAAGACGACCATCGTCTCTCTCCTCTGCTCTGACCATCCACAGACGTATTCACTGCCTATCAAGCTGTTTGGGCGGAGCAGACTGCCCGAGCCTGGATCAGGACAGAGGCCTCTGACGTTCTGGGACATTCAGTCACGGATCGGACACTCGAGTCCTGAAGTTCATCAACATATGCCTCGCAACCTGACGGTACGACAAGTCCTGGAGAATGCGTGGGCGGACACCTTCAAAGCAGTCCCCAAGCTCGACGACGAAGCAAGGGGCAAGGTTGAGGCATCGCTTCGCTGGTTCGCGCCGGAGCTCAACCCGGAGTATCACAACACAGCCGGCGACAAGCTGTCTTGGGCCGACGACTACCTCTTCGGCGGCCTCTCCTTCAGCGCGCAGCGCATCGCGCTCCTGCTCCGCGCCGTGATCAAGAACCCCGACGTGGTCGTCCTCGACGAGGCCTTCAGCGGGATGGACGACGCCGTCCGGGACAAGTGCATGCTCTTCCTGGCGCGGGGCGTGGAGAAGACGTACCGCGGGGAGCAGATCGTGGACAGCGAGGTGGACGAGGTGAGGGTCAGGGGTCTCTCTGATCGGCAGGCGTTGATCTGCATCAGTCACATCAAGGAGGAGGTGCCGGATTGCGTGCGGGAGTGGATCTGTCTTCCCGAGGCGAACGAGGGTCTGCCCGCGCGGTTTGGACGGTTCGATGGGCCTCTGCGGACGGACGAGAAGCGTTGGAGGGCGCTCTGGGGCGTGTAGAGACATAAAAAATGATAGACGTCTGGAGGCGGAGATTTGTTTACATACATGATGGACGGGGATGCCATGTGCAAGAGGAGACGTATCTGCAAAGCGTTTGCGTGATGCAAGACATGAGGAGAAGAGGAACACCAAGATAAAATAGACGAAGGCAAGGAAGGCCCGGGGTACCTATCTGTTTGTTTCTGGCGCAATGGCCACGTTGTGCCCCCCGGTGAGAATTGACAGGTGGAGGAGGAGACGATGGTCTCCAAAGAAATCGGACATCACATCACATCATGACGGACGAGACGGCTCGATCTGTTTACTTGGTGGCCGTTTCGGGCGATTTGGACGCTAGGCGCCCGCTAAGCGGTTCCACAGACGCAGCTCAGCCCCCCATGCGGCAGCCCGCCTTTTTCTTACAACAAGGAACTCCCGCCAACAAGCAGCACCTGGTTGCCGGGTCAACGCCGTCAAACTCCCCGATCCGCCTTGTTGCCCCTCGACACACACGCACTCGCGGATGCGCTGGAGCTGGAGCGTCGAGCAGCTAAGGTACCAATCCACCTCCCTCCCACCCCCAGCTCTTTTTCCTGCAAGTGAGGTAGGTGTCTTGCTAGCTAAAGCTGGGCTGCTTCATATTACTCTCACTCAATTCCCACTTTGCGAAAAAGGCCATCTTTTTTACCTGCATCGTACGGAGATTTTCATCGACTCCAATTCCCATCGACGTCAACAAGCGACGACTTACACGAATTCGACGAAACGAGTCCTTTGGAATTGACCTCACCACTCGCCTGGGACTCATCAGACTCACCCCAGACTCCATCGCGGCGCCGGCCCCGTTGGAAGAATAAAACATCTCATCCCACCCGGCTCTCTCTCACACACACAAACATTTTGTCCTCAATCCCGAGACATTCGCCCCGGTAACTGGCGGCGCAAACACCAAGAGGCAACAATGGACCCGAATACCCCCTCGCGACCGCCCGACTACAGCCTCCCGTCCTACGATGACCGCGACGACGACACCCCGACGGGACGGTCCAACAACCCCGCCGCCATCCGACTCTTGACTTCGGTGGAGGAACCCATCGACACTCACACCCGTCCAGCGTATGTAGCTCCCACTGTGGCCAGCAACCACACTTCGTCTTCTTCGACCTCTTCTCCTTCTTTTCCTTCGTCTTCTTCCGTTCAGCAGCAGCAGCACCCTGTCAAGACCCCCGAGTCGTCGCCCAGCCTCTTCCCGCGCCCGCTCTCGCTGCGCAGAAAGAAGTCGGACGCAGCAGACCCGGTGATCTCGACACCTGAGCACTTGAACGCATTGCGGCAGCAGGAGGAGGCGTTGACCGCGACGTCCTCTGCTCCGGAGCCCGTTCATGCGATTCGCAAGAACAGTGTTCGTGTCGTCGACTCTGGTGAAACTCAATACGCTCCTATCAAGCCTGCGCGCTCCGCTACTGTCAAGCTGCAGAAGAAGAGACACTCGGCGCAGATGAGAGACGCAGAGTTCCGGGACAGTCTCCCGACCATACCAGAGGGCCTTTCACCTCGAAGACAGGCGATGCGCATGTCTTCTAGTTGTCCTGTTCCTGCTCCTTTGTCAGACGAGTCGTCCGACGGCTCCCATCCAAGTCCAAGCAAAAGCTCACACGCAGATAATGTTAGACCTCAATCGTCGAGACGCTCCTACGCGGCGTCCTTCGTGTCCGACCGCTCGTCCATCCGCAACCCGCCCAGCATGCCGCCGCCCGACTCGACTTACGTCCCGTTCCAGGGCCGCGATTACGCCCGCGAATACGAGCGCACTTACGAGCAGGAGTACCAGAGCGAATACGACTACGAGTATCAGGCCGGCCGCCAGTCCCCGACGAGGACGTACAGCCCTTCACGTCTCTCTTCAGAGTTCACCAGGCCTCCTCCCTCGGGTATCTACGAGCCTTCCGATCTCAATGGCAGCCCCAGACCAGGAACCCCGTCGTCGAGGTACGGAGGCAGCCCGAGACGTCCGCTTCCACCGGCGCCGCTGTTCTCAACCGGCGCAAACCGCAACTCAGCCGCGTTCGCAGACGATGCAACTGTTTCGATTCCTCTTCACGACGATGACGTGTTCGGCCCGGAGACTGACATTAGTGAGAGCCGCCCCATGAGAGAATCGTACATATCGGCGGACCAAGTCACCCTTAGTGAGGAGGGCGAGGACATGGAGACCGACATGGGAGAGAAGGTTGAGCACTACGGACCCGCCCCGGACGGACACCAGGAGCGCAGAGGCGTGCGCGCGCCGCAGATGTCGAGGAAGGAGGTCCAGCTCATCAACGGAGAGCTAGTCCTGGAGTGCAAGATCCCCACGATTCTCTACAGTTTCCTGCCCCGCCGCGACGAGGTCGAGTTCACGCACATGCGATACACGGCCGTCACCTGCGACCCCGACGACTTTGTTGAGCGCGGGTACAAGCTGCGCCAGAGCATCGGCAAGACTGCTCGCGAGACGGAGCTCTTCATCTGCGTCACCATGTACAACGAGAACGAGTTCGACTTCACGAGAACCATGTACGCCGTCATGAAGAACATTTCGCACTTTTGCTCCCGCTCAAAGTCGCGTACCTGGGGTGACCAGGGATGGCAGAAAATCGTCGTCTGCATCGTTTCCGACGGAAGAGAGAAGATCAACCCGCGCACTCTCGACGCGTTGGCTGCGATGGGTGTCTACCAGGACGGTATCGCCAAGAACTACGTCAACCAGAAAGCCGTCCAAGCACATGTATACGAATATACTACGCAGGTCTCGCTTGACTCGGATCTCAAGTTCAAGGGTGCCGAGAAGGGTATCGTCCCCTGCCAGCTGATTTTCTGTCTGAAGGAGAAGAACCAGAGGAAGCTGAATTCCCATCGTTGGTTCTTCAACGCCTTCGGTAAAGCACTCAACCCGAACGTCTGCATTTTGCTTGACGTCGGCACGAGACCTGGTGGCAACTCACTCTATCACCTGTGGAAGGCCTTCGACAACGACTCCAACGTTGCTGGTGCCTGTGGTGAAATCAAAGCCATGAAGGGACGTTTTGGATCCAACTTGCTGAACCCGCTCGTCGCCTCGCAAAACTTTGAGTACAAGATGTCTAATATCCTGGACAAGCCGTTGGAGTCCATCTTTGGTTACATTACGGTGTTGCCAGGTGCCCTCAGTGCCTACCGCTACCACGCTCTGCAGAACGATGAGACGGGACATGGTCCTCTCAGTCAGTACTTCAAGGGAGAGACACTGCACGGTCAGCATGCAGACGTGTTCACGGCCAACATGTACCTTGCCGAGGATCGTATTCTCTGCTGGGAGCTTGTGGCCAAGCGAGGTGAAAGCTGGGTGTTGAAATACGTCAAGGGTTGTCACGGTGAAACTGATGTGCCGGGTACGTAATCACAACGTCTGTATCGTCTAACATGAACTAACAAACATCGCAGATACCGTCCCCGAGTTCATCTCCCAGCGTCGTCGCTGGCTGAACGGTGCCTTCTTCGCCGCCGTCTACTCCCTCGTCCACTTCAAGCAGATCTGGCACACCGATCACACCTTCGCTCGCAAGGTTCTTCTTCACGTGGAATTCATCTATCAGTTCCTGCAGCTCATGTTCACCTACTTCTCCCTGGCAAACTTCTACCTGACCTTCTTCTTCGTGGCTGGCGGTCTGGCCGATCCCACGGTCGATCCTTTCGGTCACAGCATTGGTCTCTACATCTTCACGTTGCTGCGGTACACCTGCGTCCTGCTCATCTGCACGCAGTTCATCCTGTCGCTTGGTAATCGTCCACAAGGAGCAAAGAAGCTGTACCTCTTTAGTATGGTTGTGTACAGCATCATCATGATCTACACGACCTTCGCCACAGTCTTCATCGTCGTCCGTCAGCTTAAGGAGAAGGACAACCCTGAAATCCACATGGGCCAGAACGTCTTCACCAACTTCATCGTCTCCATCCTCTCGACCGTCGGTCTCTACTTCATCATGTCCTTCCTGTACCTCGACCCCTGGCACATGTTCACCAGTTCGGCGCAGTACTTCATGCTCCTCCCGGCCTACATCTGCACCCTCCAAGTCTACGCCTTCTGCAACACCCACGACGTCACCTGGGGTACCAAGGGAGACAACGTCATGAAGACCGACCTCGGAGGCGCCGTCGGAAAGGGCAACAGCGTCGAGCTCGAGATGCCCTCGGAACAACTCGACATCGACTCGGGCTACGACGAGGCCCTCCGCAACCTCCGCGACCGCGTGGAGGTCCCCGAGTCCCCCATCTCGGAGGCCCAGATGCAGGAGGACTACTACAAGAGCGTGCGCACCTACATGGTCCTCTCGTGGCTCATCGCCAACGCCATCCTCGCCATGGCCGTCTCCGAGGCCTACAGCGACCGCGGCATCGGCGAGAACTACTACCTCGCCTTCATCCTCTGGTCCGTCGCCGTCCTCGCCGTCTTCCGCGCCCTCGGCTCCGGCACCTACGCCATCCTCAACGTCATCGGCATCATCGTCGAGGGCCAGGTCCGCATGAGCCTCAAGATGCCCAAGTGGATGGGCGGCTTCGGCGAGAAGATCAGCGAGAAGATGAGCAGCGTGTCGACCAGCATCGGCGGCAGCAGCGTCGGCGGGAGCAGGCTGAGCGGGAGCGGGTTGGGCAGCAACCTGAGCTCGCGCTTCACGAACCCGTTCCGTCGTTGATCTCCGTTTTCCCGTCCAAGGTGGGCGACGAAGATGAGATTTTGTTTTGCAGCTTTTGGCGTTTACGGTTTTGTTTACCCTCCACTTGTCTCGTCCGTCTTTTCTCTTTCCCGAAAGAAGAGAGAATTCTTGCAGAAGAACCAAGTCTGGGGGTATTTGTTTGGTTTTGGGATCGTTTTTTTTAAGTGATATCAGATGAAAGGGAAGGGCAAATGACGATTGGGAAAGATTGATGGATGGATGCGCTTTCTTGTAATGAAACAATGTTGTTGACGGAGAGATCATGGAAATGCCCCACCCCCGCTACTTTGAATGTTGTTGTTTGTTTTTCAGTATGAGGAAACGTACGTTTGGCCCTTTTTGTAGATAGATGAGAGAGTGCGGATAAAATGACGGGATTTGCATGTCTCTCGTCCTTATGACGAGGTCTGGCCATGATCCTGGTTGACTGGTTCTCAGAGCTTATTGGCTTGTGGGAGGTTGATGGAATTGAATTGATATACCCCCTATCTGTGTCTTCGGTGCCTTTGTTTGTATACTATCTCATGTGCGGTCTGTCCTTGCTCATTCTGAATGTTCCGATCTGCTCCCGCGCGCAGAAGCTCGTTCTCGATCTCGAAGTTTTCGTTAAGGCGAGATAGGTGCAACGAGGTGTTACCGTCCTTGTCGGCTGCGTTGATGATCTGTCGAGCCTTCTTCACGTTCTGGTCCTTGAGAAGGCAATCAAGCAATATCCTGGTGGCTTCTAGTCTCTTATGTTTGCATGCCAGCGCTAGAGGTGTCCTGCCGTCGTTGTCCTTCTCTCTGATGTCGGCTGAGAGTTCGCACAATCTCCTGAGTATGTCGACTTTGTTGTGTAAAACCGCCAAGTGAAGGCATTTCCAACCATGGTTGTCTCCATTGCCGTAGACTCTGCGAATCGAACACGACCAGAGCATCCCAACGACTTCAATATGCCCTGCGATCACAGCCCAGTGTATTGGAGTTCGGCCCTGGAAGTCGGCCCGGTACCAAATCCTATCTTCAATCAAAGACTTGTTATCTAAACAAGCTCTTATAACATCTTTGTTGTTCTGTGCAGCTGCAACATGCATGGGATACGCTCCATCTGTTCCTCGTGTCATGGTATTCATCTCCCATGACCCATACGGATTGGTCTGCTTCTGCAGGTTTCTGGCATGTTTGCAAAGCATTTCCACGTTGTTCCAGTCTCCATAACCGAATCCATAGTGCATTGGGGTATACGCGCGAAGATCTTCGGCTTTCACATCCGCTCCTTCCTCTAGGAGTGTGCTTATGGCGGTTGAACTCGGCACAGATGCAGCATAGTGTAGGGGTGTCGCGCCGAAGATATCTCTCGCGTCAGCTGACCTGATCGCGTCGTCTTTATCCACAGCTTCACCCCTCATGGCCTTGAAGTGTGTCTGGGAAAGTTTGAAGAAATCCGTTGATCCGGTCCAAGACTTTAGTGTGGCTCGCGAGTGCTGAAAGACGCCCTCGAGCTGTAACGGCCATAATGCCAGCTCCTCACCAGCGCAGAACTCCTCTAGTCTTGACAACAGCCTCGGGTCTCGACCTTGCGCTATGTAAAACTGCGCAAGACGAGATAACGATTTCTGGTCATCGTATTTGAAAGTCTCAAGAAATCTGCGGCCGAAAGAAAATAGCTTCAACTGCAATTTTGTGTTGTCGTCGACGCCCTCTATCTTTCGGAAGTTGTGGATGGAGTTGAGGTCGTGAATAATGTTCACCAATAGCACCAGCATCCATTTGAAACCAATGTTGTCGTAACCAGTATAAAGATTTCTCAAATTCGAGAATGTCGAGATCCAGATTTCATCGTCTAGAAATTCCCAACAAGACTTTGAACGGCTAGCAATGATCTCCTGGGTTATCCTCTTGAAAATATCGTAGGAAGGCAGCTTTCCTGCCAGGCTCAGAGGTGCCAAGATGGTACCCGCGGCCTCGTGGGGAGACCCGAAACCCAGTTGATTAAAGCTTTTGATCAGCTCGCTCAGATGCGTTCTGCCATGTGTCCTGAGCTTGAGGTCGACCTGGGTTGTCTCCGGCGGCCAACAGTCGATCTTGGACTCAAGAGGTTCTTTTATTGTTGCCGCCACCGAATACATGAACGCGAAGAGAAGATCTTTGGCAGCAAGGATCTCTAGGGAATCTCGAGTTTCGATGCCTATACCAATAGGAGACCGAGAATCGCCAAGAAACATAGAGTAACCCGGATGTGCGTATGCCGAGGGGGGAAGTTTTTGATCTTCTTCAGTCGCAAGCCAACCGAGTAAGTTGTATTCTTGGGGCTTCGTAGAAGCCTTGTCAGTGTTGTCTTCGCCGGTGTTGTCCATGCCGCTATCGTTTACACAAGTATCTTCCACGCCAGTGTTGCCTTTCCTGGTGTTTTGTTCGCCAAAGATACCGTCGTCAATCTTAGTTCCATCTTCAACTGCCTTGCTGATAATGACAAATGTCGGGTCGTTAGCTGTGTCAAAATTATGGTCTGGGCCAAAGAAGCAGAGGTCTCCGAAAGTCGAGGCAGGAGCAAGCAGTCGTAAGTCGTCTTGAAGGGCTTGACCTCGAAGCCAGTGATCGTTATCCTCTCCTACGTGATCAAAAGTTGGATCTCCAGAGTGTGAATTTCCCTCGTCTGTGTTTTCGGCCATTGCGATCCCAAGTGACAACGCTGCGTCCACGTCGTCGGCCAAAACTTTCCATGACTGTTTGATGTCGTCATAGCATAGTTTCAGATTGAATCCAATCTGGTCCTCCAAGTCTTCGGCCTCGTTTCCGCAAGCCGGAAAGTTGTGATTAACGTCCAGTTTCCACCTATAGCATTTTATGTCATGACCAGGGCCCAAAAAAGCATTCAGCGCCTCTTCCATAGCCGTGGCGAGTTTTACAGCTACTTCCGAAGCCTTGCCTCTGAAATTTGCAAGTTTACCAAGTTCTCGACGTGCTATTATTATTTTAGAGGCAGAGGGTGTTGCTATTGTGGCGTCAAGGAAGGGGTAGCACTTCGAAGTTTTGACGTCCCAAGTCCTGGTAGGAGGGATGTCCTCGTCGGGAGGAAATTTCCGTGTGTTCGAAAACGGATAGTGGCTTGACTGGTTTCTTTTTTCGGAGACCTCGGCACCATCGACGGGCAAGGACATACGTCGAGGTTTGACTTTGCCGTTGGCGTTGGTAAAGGTGTTGGGAGCCGAAAGCTCACTTGCAAGCCACTCTAGCTCAGAGCCAGTAACCAATTTGACCTTTTGAAGTGACCTAGAAAAGTCACTTCGCACCAGAGCACGCGCAATTGTCATGGAGACAACTGCACCCAATTGTGCCAATGAAGCTGCAGAGCTCATAGCCCTGAGGCCAACAAACTGCAAGACAAACCCTACAATTCCAAGCAAAACACCGATCACGGTCTTCCATTTAATCCATAGAGTCTTCGCTTCTTCGATGGGGTGTTCCGGCCGACGAGAGGTGAGTAGGACGGTCTGAGTATTTGAGGAATACATCGCGAAAGACGCAAAAACCTGGTCGCTGACAGTATGACTTCGTTGTATCCAATACGTGCGCATCTCATAGCCCTCTGGCGCCTTATAATAATTCTCCGTCGTAGAATTCTCAATAACATGAGAACAGATAAGTAATCCGGTCACTAGCAGTATAGTACCGCTAGCTGTGAGTGGGAACGCGTGACGAGGTGCTGAGCTGTCATCCTTTTTGAAGTCGGGCTGTATCTTTGGATAGTAGGTGATCATGCCGAAGAAAATAAGGATGCCTATCTGCAGTACTGTTCCGATTACAGCTACTATAATAATGGCCGTGCGATCATGGTATTTACCCAAGTTCAAAGAGATATTGGGTGCTGCGGGATCGGTGTTTCGAATGACGGTCATTACTGAGGGGTCTTGTGATCCGGGGCCTTGCTCTAAGGAGCTCTCTTGGGACGTCGGCGGAGACGCGCTACCTGAGATTGCGTATGTCAGACTCTCGTGGCAGCGAACATTTGAAACAAATACTTACTCTGTCGACGAGACCGTAGAAGTAGCCTTCGTATGTTGTGTTGCATCGCAGTGGAGATCCCAATTGGCGTTTCTTCACTCGATTCTCTACCCTCTGTGGGCCCACACTCTACTTGACGTCAACTTCTTGACCTTGCGTATAGAGGGAACACATTCCATAATGGCTATCTCACCTGCAGATGCCAGTGTCCACACTCCTTCCTTTGTGGTTTCACGCTTGGCATTCTCCAATGTCTTGAATTCGATCTGCTGGTTGATGCTCGGTGGACTTGAGTCTTTTTGCGGGATGAGACAGATGTACTCCCAAACGAGCCCGACCCCTTGGCATTTAACAATGCTCTGGCCGTTGTAGAGCTCGCAGACCTCTTGCGATGTTGATGATTTGAGATCCAACTCTACGGCTGCCGTATTTTCTGCAGCACGGCCAATAATAGCTTTCAACCACAAAGGACCTCCCACTCGAATCGCGCTCACAAGAATCGTTATGATACCTAAGGGAGCCATTGCTCATGCCACACAGTCTGCCAGGCCAAGTGATTGGCTCAGGAATTGCATTGTGACGCGTTCGCCAAACAATGCGAGAAGACTGCCGAGTCAGCTTACGTACACTTGCCAGAGATTGGCAGAGAAAGCGCACTTACGGAGCTAAGTCAGAGATGAGGTTGTTGGCAAAATCGTCCAAGGGATCCGCGTGGGCTGAGCCAAGCAGGATGCTAATGGCTAACCAGAAGCCTAACGAATGATGCCCCATGTTGAGCCACCCTGATGAAAGTCTCATGAACAGAAATCGTGAAATCCTCAAAATACAGCTGCGTGGTGGTGCGCAGGTAGAACGATCGATAAACCATGGAATGAGTTGATTGAGAGTATGTGAGGACGGCTACGGGGTTCACACTGATGAGATTAGATCCAGGAGAGCGGGGTTGTGCTGCAAAATCTGAACGAGGCGAACGAGATCTGCATCTCACTGTATTTGATGTTGTGCATATGCCTCATGCACCCGAGTTCACCGATTCGGAATATGCGACTGATCATTGGATTTTACGAGCCCGTATTCGAGAGAACCCACTTCGATAGCCAAAGCTTTTGTTACACTGCACGACGCGCTGAAAGAATGCAGTCGGGTTTCTTAGGGTGTCACAGGGTATTCTCGTCTGCGCCAAGTGGATGTATGCGCGAAGGCCCGACATCGTTGATGCCAAAGCTGGGCAAGCAATTGTGGAAACCTGAGACGGACGGAACGCTGTCGTAGGAATGCATGGCTTCTCAGAAACACCAAGTCTAGATCTCAAACACAAAATCTCGTAGTGCATGTGTATCATATCCAATTGAAGATCACTGACAGCCACATTCGTTTCTCTGTTCTGAGAACTCAGTGCAACTGCAATGATTTCACGTGCACGAAGATAGTTTCCTTAGCCTGTAACTACTTGGACTCAAGCTCTCTACTCACTCCTAATGTCTCCAATCAAGGGCAGCTAGTTTATTTCTCGAGGAATACTATCAGGAAATGAGCAATATGCCACTTGCGACATTTACATTGAGATTCGATAGTGTGTGGAAAGAATGTGCCGGCAGACTTAGGTCTCATTTGAGTATTGGGTCTGGATATGCCAATGTGACTCCGGCAAGCTACCGCCGGACCGTCAGGCGATCCCGCCCGGCCCGGCGAACCGGGCGTCTCCAATGCCCCGCCCCGCCGGAACTTGACAAACGTGGACTGCCCGACACATGCGCGCAGTTAACTCACATGTGCACTCCAACTTCATGCACTCTCCTTATCATTCATAAAACTCAATTGAAATGCCTTATCAAAGCTTACAATACTATCTCCTCAAAATAGGACTACCTGGAAACCTTAAGCTTCCTGTGCGAAACTGCCGGAGCTGATACCGAACTCACGTGATGCCATCGATGGTGAAATCACATCTGAGGATGGCGACAGATGGCGAATGCTTCCGATCAACCCAGTTTCCCCTCCCGCCATTCGACAGATGACAAATGCCCATGGCCTGACTCGACTGAGATTCCTCTGCTCAAGGGGAATGTTTCTCTACTTAACTCGTTCACAAGTTGCAGTCATTATCTACGACTTACCAAAGCCTTTTTGACTCAGTTCTGGTCTGAGCTTTGCAGAGTCCACCATGGGAGGCGAACGGAAGATCAAGTCTGTGGCCATCATTGGCGCTGGCGCTGCAGGTAAACTCATCCACCACAATCTCGGCATTGAATGCTAGCCAAGCCATGGGCTGTCAGTCTGTGTGCTTTTCAGGGAAGTCGAAGTGAAGACTAACATTTTTTGGTGATCTTGAATAGGAGCTATCACAGCTGCTGCATTTAAAGCAGAGGATTACTTTGAAACAATTCGAGTATTTGAGCGAAGAGAGTCTGCCGGTGGAACATGGTACGGACCTCCGTCGACAACAAATGCCTCGCAGCTACCTTACATCTCTTAGGATCTACGACCCCAATCCCTCTCAGCTTCCTCCACTCCAACCGGGACTTTTACCCCCAGAGCTTGACCCGGCGCTGGAGATCCCGGCCGCGCTGCCCCAAGTCAAGCCTCACAACACTCAGCAGGAGCGGTTCAGTCAAACACCAATCTACCACTCACTAACGTATGACTTGCTCCTTTCTACTAACAAACATAACAAGAAAATCGATGTTTACACAAACTTAGGACCAACGTGCCGGACATTGCCATGTCATTCTCGGATTCGAGGTTTGCCTATGGACCTTTCGCTCCGCATTGGATCCCTCGACAGTACATCGAGAACTACTTTTCGCAGCACAAAACGGATGATCTTCTAGTTCTCAACACTGCGGTTGAGGATGTAACGAGCATTCCTGCGGCTGATCGACCTGAGCAGTGGAGGTTGACGCTCCGTAGATTTGACGCTGCGAGGAACGTCGACGTTTGGTGGGAGGAGATATTTGATGCGGTGGTGTTTGCCAATGGGCATTACTCCGTGCCATTCGTAAGCTTCTTGAGTCCCTCTTATGACGTATCTGAATCGGCTGACTCGGGCATAGGTGCCGCGCGTCAAAGGCCTGGAAGAGTATATCGAAAGGTTTCCTGGTCGTGTGGTTCATTCGAAGATTTACCGCTCTCCGCAGCCATACGCCGGCAAGAAGGTGGTTGTGATTGGGAACTCGGCATCAGGCCATGATGTTACTGCTGAGCTGGTCGGTACGGCATCTACGCCTGTGTTTCAATCTCGGCGAAGCAAGTCACGCTGGGATGGAGACGAACCACCGCCTGGCCAAGCCTGGAAGCCCGTCATCAAGGAGTTTCTACCAAGCGGGCGGATCGTCTTCGAGGATGACTCGTATCTCGACGATGTTGACTACGTCATCTACTGCACCGGCTACAAGCCGTCATATCCCTTCTGGAATAGCAAGGAGAACAACGGACGGCCGCTATACGACTACAAGAACGGAAAGCTGATCAAAACCTTCTGGCACACCTTCTTCCAGGACTTTCAGACTTTAGGTATCGTCGGTATACCCCGTGTCTTGACGTTCAGGAGTTTTGAATACCAAGCCATCGCCTTGGCTAGACTCTTCTCCGGCAGGAACTCGGTCGCATTGCCTTCCGTCGAGGAGCAGGAGAGATGGGAGAGAGAAAGAGAAGAGACTGTGCGAAGAGAGGGCAGAAAGTTCCATGACATCCCGTGGGAGACGGGTGAGACCTTTGAGTGGCTTACGGGCTTGTTCAGACTTGCTGGTCTGCCGACTCTCAAGGGGAAGGGAAGGGTTCCGCCTGTGCTTACAGAAGAGATGATTTGGGCTCTGGAACATTTGAAGAAGTATCCTGAGCCAGGCAACGGGGATGGGAATGATGGCGACGACAAGAAGAAGGATGAGACAAAGGCGACTGACTGGGGTCATCAAGACCACCTTCATGAAGAAGCCAGAGGAAAGTGGTCTCTGCCAGAAAGACCAAAGAAGGACCTCCTGAGCTTCATCTGAGGATTATGAACTAGTTTGAAGTAAGCGCGTAGACTTGTGGATGATGATCAGAGCTTTTTTTTATAACAGATAGAGAGATAAATAGTGCTTACAAAAAGCACAAAAAATAAGATCCCGTCGTGTTGATAGCTGACTCCTGAGCATATGATCACAAGGTATGCAGGATTGAATAGGCGTTTAATCGGAAAGCTACTTACATGAACTGTGGTATATTCTCAGATGAAGCACAGTCTGTGATCGCGGACTGAGTTCTGTCGTCGGAGACATTCACTCTCCATTTGATGATCCGCAGGAGAAATGTTTGATCTGACATCCTTCCGCCACAAAGCTAGCAGAACCACACGTAGGGCGTTTGAAGGCCCAGGTACGGTGTTCTGAGTAGTTTCTGTTCCGCCAGAGCCGCATCCAGGGCGTCGCTTGATGAAGGCGAGTATCGGATCTGATACACGGGGCTGACGACAGGCCATTCATTTGAATCACTGCGGCCCACGAGCTTAAGTCGTCGGGTGACGATGGCCGGTTGCCCTAGAAGCGGGTAGCCCGATGGAACATCCACTGAATACTCAACCTGACACACCGTTTCTCTATTTTGGTCATCTTTGAGCGCACAAGCCAGCATCATGCCGATCCGAGGTCCAGCCTTGGCCATTCCCTGCAAAAAAGCCTACAAAATGGAGTCTTCCCTGACTCAGTGAACGAACACCAACACTTGAATGTTCAGCCAACACGAGCCGCGAAGTGATTCGGTGTTTTCGTCACCTATCCCACCGCGCTCCGACGCCCACTTTCACGCGGCGATCAACAGGAACGTCTCCTCAGTCTCGCCTGATTGATAGCGCTAACATGGGGACATGACGTTGATTTGGCAGGTGAACCATGGCACCAATTTCCGGGATCCCTGGTCATGGTGGACCCAGCTTATCGTCGCTTCGTATTTGACAGCCTCCAGGATCCCTCCCGCTGGTTCTGGGGATTCCAATATTCTCCATTGTAAGCAACAAGGAAGCCCCAGAGGATAAGACATCAAAAACCTCCGAAGATCCGTCCTCGTCGCGCGGTCGACTTCTCCTCACCTTCCCTTCACCTCGCCCATCGAAACCGCTGCAGCCATCCGCTCTCCGACCTGATCACGATGGTTTCAAGTCTCCCAGCGGCTCTCGCCCTTCTCTCCGCCCTGCCGTGGACCTCGGCTGCCTCGGTGTCCGCGCGTCAGTCTACAGGCGACGCCGAGTGTCGCGACGTTCACGTCTTCCTCGCACGCGGAAATAACGAACCGTACCCCGGCCGCCAAGGCAAACTTGTCACGGCTATCTGCAATGGCCTTGACAGCTGCGACTACGAAGACATTCAGTTCTGGAACCCGCTAGAGGCACCGTATTGTCAATCTGTGGAGGAGGGTGCGGCGAACGGCACAGCACAGGTCACTGCGTACAACAAGAGGTGCCCGGATTCCAAGCTTGTCTTGAGCGGCTACTCTCAAGGCGGTCATGTTATTGGCGACGTGTTGGGCGGAGGAGGCGGTAAATTCTTCCAGGATTGCCAGCAGAAGTCAAACGCGGGCTTAGATGCGACGAAAGCACCCGGAAACAAGAGTGAGCCGAATAGCTGTCATGTTTCTGTGAACTGTGTTGACTAACCAGCCGATTCTTAGTCTCCGCCGTGCTCATCTTTGGCGATGTGCGACATACAGCCAACCAGCCGTACAACTACCTGTCTGGATCTGGAGGTGCCGGACTGTTCCCTCGTCCCGAAAACCAACTCGCCGGTATGAGGGCGTATTCCGACGTTATGCGCTCATACTGCGTTGAATCAGACCCTATTTGCGCTGGAGGAGACACATCCGCCAACCACCTGAACTACTTCGACATCTACTCCGGCGACGCCGGGAAGTGGGTACAGGAGGTGGTTGGTAAGACGCCGATCAGTAGCTCCTCTACCAAGACGACAGCAACTTCAACCAGTGCTTCGTCTAAGCCGACAAGTGCTTCGTCAAGTCTGCCGGCGAGCGCGACAACAGAAACCGCTGTACCAACTGAAGCACCCCCATCAACCGGAGCTTCATCTACACCCTCCCCGACATCCGATAATTCTGAGGCTTCCTCGACCCCTACAGCCCCAAGCGCAGCAGGTGCTCTCGCAGGGAATGGGATGCTTCTGAGCCTTACCTTGGTTGCTGGCTTGATGATGGCCTTGTAGATTTAATTGTGTATATACAACGACGAAGTGCGATTTACGATGGCATGTACACGATAGAACATGGAAGCTTTCAGGGCACTTATTTCCAAATACCCCGAGGGAGCGCGCAATAGACTTAGGGAAGCTTCAGGCGACCAGTTCGCATCTAATATACATATGGCGGTGGTCCGCATATGATCTCGAAGCAAACGAAGGCAATCAGAGTTTAATATTGTAAAAGAATTAGCAAATAGCACTTCTGATCCTATCTCAACAGTTTGCTTTGCCTTTCTAGAAACAGAACCTTGGGCCTGTCCGTTTCGAAAGTGAGCCTCTTGCTCTTCATGCCCAACCCTCGATCCTTAGCCACTCTCAGCCCTTTGCCCAAGGTATTCTCCCCGCTGCCTCCAACATGCTCGTACCATTGATGGATTCCGTAGGCAGACCTCAGAGTTTCGGCCATCATGACTTCTACTGCGCACCAAGCACGATCATAGTACTCATCATCATAGAGGCTAATCATCGCGTCACACTGAGCGATAATCATAGGAAGAGCAGCGACTCCTGCATCCGGGTCGTCCTGGTTAACACAAGCAAAGTCCTAGCGGACGTCAAGTCAGCGTCTACTATTCCGCGAGCCCAAAGTAGAGTTCTTACCATCCATATGCCCAGTGTCTTCCTGTTGACCGTGGGGTTCAGCTCCAGATATTCCTCGATCGCGCTTAGCATACGTCGATACTGAGTATGCTTTGCATCGTCGGGCGAATTAGATTCGGTGTCCTTGTTGATCCATCGGTAGGAAATGAAGATCATTTTCTCAGCTGTGATCTCGGGCTCTTGAGCGTTTGACGACGCGGAATTGAATTCGCGGACCGAGCCATCGCTCGACCGAGGGAGTTTGCCAAAGTTGCAAAAGTCAGAGAACCACATGAACTTGAGCACATCGAACCTGCTCCTCTTTGCCGCGTCAGTCTCAAGCGCAAGGGCATACGCCTTTCGCAACTCAGACAACACATCTGGTCCACCACCCACTAGCACGGGTCGAAGTCGTTCCTGGAACAGTTCGCGATATCCCTTGCGAAGCCTAGCTTCAGCTCGTCGCTCTTTGATCCCATCTTCGGCGTTCTTCCGCAAGCCTTCCAAGATGATACTCTCCGCCAACTCATCTCCGTTGAACACAGCATAGTCAATTGCTGTGTACCCTTGTTCATCAACAATGTCAAAGTTTGCTCCGTGGTCAACTAGCTCTTGCAGATATCCGCGATGTTCCTCCGAGGGTTCCTTGGCAAAGGCAATGGCGGGTGAGCACGTCTCCGGCACGTTGAAGAGACTCTGTGCTTCTTTCCGCCGTTCCGCCATTAGCAACGCTCTTCCGTGGAAGAATCGCGTCATGGCCTTGACAGTGGCATCGTTCGAGGTACTGGTCATCTGCAGAGCCTCTTTTGAGGTCTCTATGGCCTCTTGAACGTCCCCACGAGCATAATGACAGATCGAGAGCCTACATAGCCCAATCGTCTTCCATGTCGCAGCAACATTCGACCAGCGCCTAGAACTTGCGCTGCTAGGCTCCTTGCCAATTGACTTCAACAAGCTTTCTGCGCGGTCTACTCTTTCTCGAAGTTGCGAAATGGCAAGATCCAGTAGTTCGCTGTCGTTTTTCTGCTGGGACAATTGAAAGTTGACCATCCCCATGTTGCCAATGGCTCGGCATATTTCCCGCTCAGATCCGAGCTCTTCAGCAGTCTCGTATTGTTGCGTGAAAGCGGCGGCTGCGTCTTCGAGAAGCCCCGCGTGCCGATACGTCACTCCCAGCTCTCCGCTGAACTCGACTCGCTGTATGCAAGGCCTCAAGCCGCTGATTGCCTTCTCCAAGTAGGCCCTGGCAGCGTCGTATCTGCCAAATCTGCGGTTCGTGCAGCCTATCTCGCCCAATACGAGATGCTCGTAGAGGTTCGCGTTCGGGAAGGCTTTCTCGGGGGAGCAGAGGCTGATAGCTTTGTTGAAAGCTCGGAGAGCATCTTCCCAGTCGGTTTTCTGCGCATGTTTCCGTCCTTCCTCCATCAAAGCCTCCCATGAACGTACAGCGTCGACCGCTTGAATGAGCTCCAAGGCAGTGATACCCGCTGGGTCTCGGTACTGCTTGAAAGAGTCTCCTTTGGGGGGGCCTAGGACGCCAGCATCTTTGACAAACCCGCGATGGGCATCGAAAAAGAAGAATGTAGCGTGTAAGCTGTCGGGGCTCACTTCTGACCTATGGAATGCAGCTGCTGGTATGGAGTACGTTGTGTTTGTCTCGTGTAATTCGGACGAAATTTCGGTTGCCTTACGAAGCTCGCCTGTGTTTTCGACGATGGAGTAGGTCTGATGCGCCGTGTAAGTCTTGTCGTGACTTTTAGACTGAGCGTCACTTCCACTCCATGCAAGAGCAAATTTGGCATGCGTCGCGTCGTTTGTGTTAGTGACAGGCTCAACCTCGTATGAGTGATCCAAGCCTTCTCCCGCGAGAATCCAGCTCTGGGCGAAAGGCTGGTGAGAATGAACTGCGAAGTCGGGATTTCCTCGCATCCCGTCTGGCATCCAAACATGGACACGAATCAGTTCGTCGAGGTTGCCGTCTTTGACCAGGCTACATAGCGGAATTGCCAGAAAGCCCTGTGCACTGCGAGAGGCAGTAAAGAGACCACGAGAAGCCCCGTCGTCGAACATGGCGGCATTGCGCACCATGTCCCAGCACTGGCTCAGATCACTGGGCGACACTACTTGATCATGGCGGGAAGACTCTCTCAGGAAGGACACCAAGAGAGTTAAGCTCGCAATATGAAACTGTCTGTCCCCCTTTATGTATTGTTTTGAGGCGGTATCGAGAGATAACTTCCAGTCCTCGAAGGATGAACAATCCGGATCATTGTTTGATGTGATCCATGCTCGGATCGATATAGTTTCGGATTCTGAGGATTTCGTAGCATTCGCTACTCCCTCCAACGATCGCAGCAGCGAAGGCTGAGAAATCTGCATGTTGACTGCTTGGGGTTCGTGGGCGTACATCAAGAACGGTAAGCAGAGTGCGACATACTGAGCAGAACTCGTTCGTTCAGTGCCATATATAGTTGCAAGCCAGACAGCCCACTCTCCGGAGTCTTATCTGGGGGTTTCAACCCTGGGTTGAAAGCGGGGATACGATGCAAAAAGTATCACGGCTCCTCTTTATAGTCGTCCAGTAAGAAACTTAGGTAGCAGTCTAAGAGGGTCAACGGAAGACTTCATGAGCTACTCATGCAAATCATGCAAGGACTACGAAAGTCTAGTGGTCAGCCTGATCTGATCCTCCGCACCAAAGTGGAGGGACAGATGACAACAAAAGCGTGCTAAGCGCGGAGTTAGTCGGCCCCGTGGTGGGTGGAAGGAATCCAGTCTCCATTTTGAAACCTAGTGCTTGGAACAGAGCTCTAAAATGACGCAGGGCAGTACTGTTGCGATACAACAGGAATATCATTTTGATTGAATAAGATGCTTGGTGGAAACATCATCGGTTGGTTCAGCTGGACACATCATTGAAAGCATAACTTGCAGAAACGATCCATCCCAAAGACTGGATATGTGAATTGAACTATAGGGAGAACATCCATCCTAGTGACGCGCAATGAAATCCTTGATCTCCTCTGTGTCGGCCTGATATCCAACGCCTATCAGGGGTTCTCCGCCCATCGTATGATGCGTGTAACCGTATCGTATTCTCTGTTTTCTCAGCTCTTTTGTGAGTTCAGTGCCGTCCATCCAACTGGTGTTGATGAGCAAATCCATGAACTTGGAGTCGCGAATCAACGTAGAGACATATCCCAAGACCTCGGGGCCATGCGTTATGTGAGTGAAGACAACGCTGAGAATACCGCCGGCAAGGAGGACGAGACAAGCGACTAAACAAAGCCCTATCCACGGCCCCGAAACCCGGAATACCTCAACGAGGTTGCTTGTTTCCGAAGTAGTTGTGATATTTTGGTCAAAGCTTGTTGTCTGGCCGAGACTGCTGCTCGTAATCTGCAGCTGCTGTTGGGCAAGCATAAGATAAGTATTGAGGAGTTGATTGAAGCGTATTCCGATCGTGTCTTCATTGAGTTCATCCATCGTGACTTCCGGCGATGACCCGAGTTCTGCGAACGTAGGGTCCTTCAGATACTGAACGGAGAAGTCAGGGAATCCCGCTAGCGGTCGGCCCGTTGCCGCAAGAGGAAACTCTCTGGTAATCCAGTAGAAAAGATGCGGCAAGGATAGTATAGAGATGTTCTCCGGACCGAGCGGTTGTTGAGAAGGCCGCTGTGCTACCACAGCGCAAGTATGCCGGTTAGATGAGGGCACGTACGTGCAATTGACGCGAGATTCGACGTATTGTTGGGTAACACCGCACACAGCTTCGAGTTTGAGTGGCGCCCTGCGGATTCTAGTCTTCGGGATAATAATCTGCAGCAGCATGTTGGCCTGTTCTGCTTGGATACCCGTTTCATTGACGAATAGTCTCAGGCCATCCCTGATGTCTTCAATGCCCTGTGTGGTGTTCAGCTTTTCTTTTAGCCTGGCGTCCTGGAGGCTTAAGTCGGCCCAGAAAGGGTCGACAAATCTGTCGAGTGCGACTGCCCAGGTCGTCAGGTTCTGAGTGCTGTCCAAATGGTTTTTGATCCCTCGCCACGTCCCGTTGGGCGCCGTCAGGATGTCATCGCTGTATGTTTGACTATCCGCCCAAAATTTACTCGTCATATTGGTCATGTTCTCTTGAGGAAAGTCTGACGGGAACTTGGTGATATTGTTGCAATCAAGATGAACATGATTTGACTCAATCGTAAACGACATGTTGCTGGTGCTTGAGTATTTCAAAGGGATACCGGTTAGAGAGGAATACTGAATCGTTTTGCTATCCGGAGACACGTTTGTCCAGTTATTGGAAGCCTTTGGGTCCAGGAATGGAATCTTGACGTTTCCCCAGTGATCCATCGTGTCGCTTTGGATGGACTCCGGTTGCGCGATGAAGGATGCATAGACCGTCGCCATGTAGCCAAGAATACCGGTATTGGCCAATGCCACGATGGAAGAACTACTCGCTACCGGCAAGGTGTTAAGCTGGTTGCTGGCGAGTGTATCGAAGTATGTGAGATCCGTGGTCTTGAACTCTGGCTTCAGTCGAACAGTCAACATCCGCAGGACCGCTTGACCTCCAAGAGGTGAGAACGCCCAGATGAGGATCAGACCAAGACCAAGGATGTTGAAGGTGTTGAACTCGATCAGGGTGTGAAGAGTTCCTCCCACGGTTCGGCTTCCCATCAGCTGTTCGAGAGAGCCGATAGTAGATCCCTTTTCCAGTCTCCATCGCGCGGCTTCACTCATCAGTCGTCCTATGACCGCTGCAAAGATGATGGGGAAGAGTGTTGCGAGCTATATTACAAAATATTAGTTACGCCCAATCATGCCCATGTTGTCAAGCTATCTGTCATGCTGCATTCAACTCACCACCGTGATGGCATTTCTCCATCTCGCGTATGAGTTCTCTTCAGTACGAGACCCATCCAGTCTCCAGACCAGTATTATGAATACTAAAACAGCAAGAGGCAGAATGACAGCCGCGGCATCTGCAAATGCAGTCCATGCTGAGACGTTGTGCTTCGGGAAGCGTGGGCCGTTGGAGGCCTTTTCGTTCGTCGCAACACGATTGTAGTTTCGGGGACCACCATTACCACTGCCGATATCTTCTGGTGAATCACTGGTCCTTGAACCATGGAAAATGCCATCTCGTGAGTTTTGGGACTGGCTATGCGAATGTCCACGCTGGCGTGTAAAGTCGATTGAGTCCGGGGACTGGCCACGTTTTTGACCCAACCATGGGAACGATCTTGAGGACTTGAGTTTTTCCATATTGCTCTACAATAAGTGATCCGTAGAACGACATGCGCGAGAAGAGGAAGGGGCTTCCTAGGCGAGGCGAGCCTTACTTTACTAGATAATACTGGCTACTTATCGAGCCCGGCGATTGATGTGTGCAACTCATTCTCGTGCGCTGTAATGTCTAGGCCCTGGCCGATCCATTCTGTAACAAGACATAAAAAGCTGCCAATCATCATGAAAAACTGTATGCATGATGCCTGTCGAAGGTACGCAAAAGTAAGCTTGCTGAAGTTGGGCCTTTGGGGTTGAGGGCGGAAATGGTCCAAAGATGCAACCCAATAACCAGCTCAGGTTCAGCCGCTCCTTTCAAGCCCTGTAATAACTGCCTGGGTGGTCACATCGTGGTTGGGGGCAGATAAATGGCCCTGCTTCATCGCCATAAAGCCATTGGCCACTGCCCAGGGTCTGTGGAAATGAACAAGTTTTTTTCATGAAAATAAGCCTTCTGCCTGCACAGAAAACACCAAGTCATTCAGCCCTCTGATGATCTCGCGGTGAAGTCCAGTTACACTAGGCCGTTCTGACCCCTGAACCTCGATGGGTTGTGGGGGCTGTTCACACCCTAAGCGCCGGTTCCAGCAGCTCAGCTTCGAAAATAATCAGCGTACAATGTAACCACGGTGAAGAACTTCGAATCAACAAGCCTATGTAAAGAAGGGTCCGATGAAACGGCGAGCCACTGCTCATGGGTTCTCTTGTCCACAGGTCATCATCCCGTTGACACAGTAATCAGGCTTTCCATCTGAAAGTCACGATTGCTTATTATGAAGTCTGCACGCGCGTAGTAGGCGTTTGAATAAGGTAGAACGGCCCGAAACTTAGTTGTCTTCTCCACCAAACCAGAGCTTCTCATCCAGAACCGTTGATCATTTTTAGGTCGGCTGCGCACCTTTGGCTTCCGGATACGATTTCAGGCTGGGCGAAGGACGAAGACAAGAAAACAGATGAGGATGTTCTGGATTTGTCATTGAAGGGAGAGCATATGGGACTTTGGTCAGCCATGCGGGGCGGTCCGCCTGTACAGGCCGGCGCTTTTGTACTGCTAGTGGCGAGGTCGCTTGTCATAAGATGCTGCCTAAATGCTGACTGCATTGATGCTCTCGTCTGACGTCAAACTCATGACAATGTCGATGTCTCATTCAAAGCATAGCAAGTTGAATAGAGTAATGAGGATCAATATCCCTGGCTTGGATTGATCCACCAGATTTGACGAGATGATATGACCCTCGAGCTGTCTCTCGTCACGGCAATTTACCGGCTTTTATCAACTGGTGTAGCCTCATATTTTTCCGTGATTACAGCATGAATCTCGGCATCTTACTTTTGCTGACAGCTACCCGGCATCCGGCCAAGTTATATCCAAGGTCACTCTGTACATTGGGTTGCCTCTTGTGGACAAAATGCCGTGGTTCTAGCTGCACCTCGTATTTCCAACCCGTGGAATGCTTGCACTGCCTCAATGACATGATTGCTCTCCCTTCCACAACAGAAGAAAGATTGGGTATAAGAAAGCTTTATGTGGCGCTAGGATATCGTCTTTCTACCAAAGTCGAGCCAGGCCAATGCCCAAATTGTTCAATATGAGGGTCTCCTACTCTGCCGTATTCGCCTCGTTGGCCGCGGCCGTCATTATACCCAGCCCTCTTGGGGGACCTCATTCCGTTGCATATAAGGTGAAGACCTTTGAAGACTCGGCAAGATGGGATCCATATGCTCCCGAAGATAAACCCGAGAAGCGCCGAGTTCTTGTATCAGCTTACGTCCCTCTCGACCAGAAGAACTGCACGAATGATGTGGTTCCGTACATGCCGCCAACGACTGCGAAGGTGATGGCGCAAGTTTCCGGCTCCTTTGGCGTCCCAGTTCCAGACGATGTCTTCGATGACCTCGAACTGGAGTTCTGCGACTTGGGACGGCCTTGCAGGTCGAAAAGAAACTCCGCTAAAGAGGGCTATCCATTGGTTCTTTTCTCGCCTGGTCGTGGAGGTTCAAGGCTGGCATACGGCCTTTTAGCCCGAACACTTGCCAGTTATGGCTACATCGTCATCACAATGGACCACACATATGAGACCAGCATAGTTGAATTTCCTGATGGGAGCGTTGTCTACGCTGTCAATGCAAACAATAGCGAGGTGAAATTTGTTACGAGACTGGTCGAGGTAAGTCATTTCCCTGATGATGGTTTAGACGTCATGAACATGCCCTAACATCCCTTCGATTGCAGACACGTCAAGCCGACGTATCATTCCTGATTGACCAATTGACCACTCCTTCCGTCGCGGCTCAGCTTTTGGACGGCACAAAGGCCACGATCGACTCGCAGAAGATCTTCGTCTACGGACATTCCCTCGGAGGTGCAACTGCTGCGGAAGCCGTTCGTGTGGATCAGCGCGTACTTGGGGGTCTGAACTTTGACGGTGCAATGTATGGACCTATTACCACCGAGGGTACGGACCGGCCGTTTGTTATGGTGGGAACACCGATATCACTCAACAGGACTCTGGACGGTATTGCTCCCTGGAACCAGACGTGGGCGAATTTGCGCGGCCCGGCACTCCTACCGATTATTAACGGTACTGAACACAATACGTTCCTCGACGCGCCTCAGCTGCCCACCATCAAAGCGTTGCTTCCTGACTTCGGTCCCTTAGTTGCCCAGCTGTTGGGTACTATTGATGGTGACAGAGCGGGGTATCTTACGACTGAAATCGTGAGGGCTGCTCTACAGTTGGTATTTGATGGAAACAAAGAAGGATTTTGTAACATCGGAAAACTTGGGCCTGAGATTACCTACCAAATCAAGGGAGTAGATTGCACTTAAACAGGTAGCACTCGATGGCATATGGGCCTGGAGACGGTGAAGATCCGTATTTGGCTCGAGATAAATACCAGTATCTGATCTCGTCGTTACAGTAGTGTTCTGGAGATGCTCTGTTCGGTGTGAATTTCCATTGAAAGAAAGAATACAAAAAGTGACTGGTTTGTAGTTCTGGTACACATGTAGGTTAGAAAAAGCGGGATAGCATCGGCATAGTCCCACAGTCCCGCACGGAACATCGGCGTAATGCTGGTGTGGGGTTATTCCCCCGGTTGCGGCCCGAGTCTACAGACTTAGCTCCGGAATCACCCCTCAATTGGCACGTGCATCTCCCGAATCCGGATAAAATAATGCGTGAGGCTTGTTCCTCATCGCAGCTTCAACGTTTCTATCCATCGCAACATCATCTTCTCGCCTTAGATCGATATCTTGTTCAACCTAGTCCCCAATAAAGAAGAAAATGTCTTCTCAAAACACCGACAAGCTGCGTGCCGAGTTGTTCGAACAGGGTCTCAAGAATCGCCGAGAGGTTGTTGGGGAAACGTACGTCGAGAACGCCTTGCGTAATGGATCAAGCGAGTTCGCGTACGCTCAGCAAGAACTGATAACCGAGTAAGACTCCGATGCCACTTCGTTAAAATATACTTCCACTAATAAGAAGCAGATGGGCCTGGGGAAACATATGGTCCCGTCCCGGTCTCGAGCGCAAGCAGCGTAGCCTTCTGAGTAAGTCCATTTATGTTGACGATTGATGAGATATCTGACTAAATTTTTGCAGACATTGGAATGCTCATTGCTCTGAAGAGCTGGGCCGAGTTTGGAATCCACATTCGTGGCGCCATCAGAAATGGACTCACTGAGCTCGAGATCCAGGAGGCAATTCTCCAAGCTACTGTGTACTGTGGGGCACCCGCTGGCGTCCAGGCTATGAAGGTAGCAGATGAGGCTATCAAGGATATGGTAGAGAAAGGAGAGCACAAGAGACAGATGGCGGATGTCTCTCCCAATTTCAAACAGTGAGATTGAGAGGTCAGAGTCAACTAAAGCACAATACTATGTATAGATGTCAGGAAGTTTTCTAATCATGTCTGAATTCGTGTCTTCCTTTGTGCGCGTTGCCTGCGTGCATGAAAGTTCTCATAGCTTCGTGTGTGCAACCCGCGGGTCGCCGTCTCGACCAACGTGCAAGGAGGATTAGCCAACACCCAATCCGAACTTTGTCGGCCATTGAGCAGTGATGAAACGACATCTTTTAAGTAATAAGTATACTACAGTAATCTCATGAACAATGAGCGCAGTTGGACAGATGACATTTCTGGAACTACCATTTTAGGTATCCTCGCTATTAACTCCCGGCTTTCTTACATGGCGGACAAATCATCTTGGGTCACCTGGCTCATCAAGAAGCCTTACCCCGCCAGTTTGACCTCGCTTTCGTTTCCGCCAGAGTATCATCGCAATCATAGCCAGGATTGATGTGGCAGCTAAAAGAGTGAGCATATGATGATAGCTTTCGTGATGAGAGGTTAACATACCTACGCCTCCGAGGACACCAATCACCACGACACCAGCCCCCGTTGTGAATGAAACTCCATTGTTCGCTGGTATTGTAGTTGGTGGGGGCCTTGTATCGGCGGCATCACTTGGAATGAGTATTTGGGTCGGCGCCGCGGGCGCGGAGGGCACAGGGGGTGCAGTTACCGTGATCGTGTGCGGTGCTTGCGTAATGAAAACGGTGTTTGTAGGACTTGGCGGGCTCCCTGACGATATTGAAGGAAGTACAAGCGATGGAACTCGTGTTGTTGAGGTGAAGAATGACGTCCGCGACACTGGTAGTGATGCTGGTATCGTGGGCGTGGAAGGACGAGTGTCAACAGGGTCTGCAAATGTTGAGGTTGGTGTTGTAGGGCGAGTCGTTTGAGGCGTGCGGAACGCACTGCTCGAAGTCGTCGGCCGTGCAAGCGTAATCTCTGGAAGCGCAGAGCCGATCAACGGCCGATTGGGCGTGAGCGGCCCCGCAGGTGTTTTTGGATCATCGCGGTCTCGTTGTTGATCTTGTTGTCTGCGTACAAGATCTAGGTCCAGCCTAAGGGGAGGAAGTGCTCTCCTCCTGGTCAAAGATGGACCAACCATTATGTCTCTTATATGTCGGTAGGTATCTGTCGATGAGCTGTTAGAGTTTGAAAGCTTTGGAGAGCTTAGATGTAAATCATACCATGAGTAGTTAAAGCAGGAATGTAGGATCAAAAATATCATTTGTGGGAGGATATTAGTTGCGTTGGCTGAGTCAACGGGTGTGTAAGTCAACCCAAACCACAACTGAACGTTTTGAGAGGTGTTCGAACGTCTTAGCTCATTCTTTCTGAAAGAGAGAAAGATAAGGCGAGTAATGTTGATGCGGGCGTCTGGGCATTCGTAATCCAAGCCGTCTGAGAAGAGCAACAGAAATGTCCCGCGGGGTAAAGTTGCAAAGATATCGGCTCCTCTTGTGCAAACGGTGCTAATCACTATTCTTGGCGAAGCATGAGGCTCCGATGTCTTTATTACCGGAGCTGATACGCAAAGGAGTGACACATGGCAGGCCGACGGGCGGTTTTAAACTCGGGGTAGCACCCATGAGCGTTTCACGCTTACTGTAATGCCAGCCAGTAGGGTTGCGATACGAGCAGATTTGGGTAAAAGTCAATTACTCAAGGCAGATCGACTTCGCCGGACGTGTGCACCGACAACGAACTACAGTTGAAACCCAGATACTCTGCCGCCCTATTTTTGGCAACCCTTACCGGCGTGTCAGCGAAGTTGCGTGGTTTGTGACGTCGGCACATTTCACCGTCGACGCAGGTGTCCGGCTTGAAGGGAGCCGGTGTTAGTTTGGAATCAGCCGTGTGAGTCTTGGCGGAAGCTCGCTGATCTGTGTGTAAGTTGAGAGATTTAGAATCTTGCCATGTGGCTGTACAGAGAGTCAATAACTACACGGGATGCCTCACAAAATTCCCGGGTGCTGTGATCCTACTCAAGTTCAATGTCATCAAAACAACAGTCGGCCTCTCTTCTCACAATGGCTGCCGAGGGAAGTGTGTCCCCTCGAATGCGGCAGAATAGCCTACGCAGAAGTCTATCCGCTGCCGCTACAGGAGGTATGCACCTCCTGACCGGCGAGACTGATCTCAAGCAAGGCAACGAGCACGACGAATACATATCGCCGACTAGAGTCTCCCTGAGGGATCGCATGAGCATCCGCTCTAGGAGCCCTGCCGAGGACAGCTTCTCGTCTTTGGATGTGTTCTTTGAGCGAACGGTGTCACTTCCTTCTATTCGGGAGAGTGAAAGTGACCACGACAGCCAGTTCCGCAATCCCTTTGCAGACACGAACTCTGTGGACGACACATCGCCGAATGAATCTCGGAATCCGTTCGACGATTCAAGCGCCGAGGAAACACTGAATGAGCAGCCCCCGGAGCCGCCCTATCACATCTTCAACAAGAGGCAAAAGTGGTTTGTTATTGTCATTATAGGTACTGCTGGACTCTTCTCTGGCCTATCGTCAAACATCTATTTCCCCTCTCTCGACGCCATCTCACGCGTAAGCTCTGTATCCTTCGTATTTACGAACCTTCGCTCACTCTGACACAGGATTTGCATGTGAGCGCTGAGATGGTGTCGCTGACGATTACGTCTTACCTCATTATCCAAGGCATTTCACCACTCATTTGGGGCTCAATTTCAGACGCCTTAGGGAGACGACCTATCTACATTGCATCCTTTGCTGTCTACATTATCGCCAACATCGGCTTGAGCTTTTCGCCAAATTTTGCCGTCCTCATGATTTTCCGTGGATTGCAAGCGGCTGGGAGTGCTTCGACCGTGAGCATTGGTGAGTTACAGCCGAGACCGAGCCATACTCCAGCCTATTTTTAAACGATATTTCCCGTCGTCATCAGTTCTAACAGCCACCTCAGGAAACGGTGTCATCCAGGATATCTCTCCTCCTGCCGAGCGGGGAGAGTTCATTAGTTTTTACCAGGCGAGTAAGTCGTGTGCTCCTGTTTCACTTGTATGGTTGGGTGCTCGGAGTTGCTTACTCGGAGGTATCTCGAAGTCCGAAACTTCAGCATCGCGGTTGGGCCTGTGCTCGGCGGTCTGCTCGCAAACTTCCTCGGTTTCCGATCTATCTTCGTCTTCCTTTTGATACTCTCCTCGGTGGTCACTATTGTGATCATCTTCTTTCTGCCCGAGACCATGCGCAGCATTGCCGGGAATGGCTCGCTCCGGTTGGGGGGCGTTTACAAGCCTCTGATACGCTTTGTCACAAAGGAGCCCGACTATCTGGAGGACCCGGAAGAACCGCTCCCGCGGCCAAAGGTGACACTGGCTACCTTTCTGGAACCATTACGACTTCTGGTGCAGAAAGACATTCTCGTTAACCTGGTCTTTGGTGGTGTGGTTTACACCATCTGGAGCATGGTTACGTCCAGCACTACTGGGCTTTTCAAACAGTTGTTTAATCTGAGCGAACTTCAAATTGGTTTGGCGTTTTTACCCAATGGTATGTCACCTCACCGCATGGTGTAAGTCTGAGACCCGGACTAAGTCTTGACGATCAGGATTCGGGACGATCGTTGGCTCAGCCATCGCTGGCAAGCTGATGACCAGAGATTATCTCGCCGCGGAAGAATTATACAAAGCAACACACAATGTCGAAACCACCGGCAAACTGACCGCGAAGAACATGCCCGCCGACTTCCCGATAGAGCGAGCCCGACTTCGACGCCTTCCGTGGGTCGTCGTGATCTTCGTTGCTTCGACGGGGGCCTATGGTGTATCACTCAACTTTCCGTCTGTAACCTCGCTGGTTGGGTGGATTGCTGTGCCGCTTACACTCCAGTTCTTCATTGCTGCGACCAGCAATGCTGTCTTTGCCCTGAATCAGACTCTCGTCACAGATCTTTGCCCTGGGAAAGGAGCAAGTGCGACAGCTATCAACAACTTGGTTAGGTGCGGGCTGGGCGCCATCGGTGTTGCGTTCATAGAGACATTCATCGCTTCCACTGGACCTGGAGCCGCCTTTCTTGGATTGGCCCTCGTCACAGTTGTGGTTGGTCCGTTGGCGGTTATTCATTGGTACTGGGGCCAGCAGTGGAGAGCCGAGAGGACGAATGCAAAGATGACTGCCGAGAACGAGAAAGCATCTGGAAGCTGATGTTGAGGCGAAACTCGTCTCTACTATTTTCATCCTACATATATCACCAGAAATCACAACTATCAGCGTTGGCGTTTAGCACAGTACTGGCCGGGAACGGCTAGAGACCGGAAATATTGTATCTAGAAATCTGCATATGGGAACATAGATAAAAGCGTAGTCCATCAGCGCGGTCGCATTACATCTTCAATTGGATTCATTCTTGAGTGCTATGAACATGAGCTACCGGTGGTTTCCAAGAAGCTAACTGAATCTTTCAGTTTTACTCACATGTTACAGAATACATTTCCGGGACTGGGGGGGGGGGGGGGGGGGGGGGGGGGGGGGGGGGGCGGGGGGGGGGGGGGGGGGGGGGGGGGG